ACTACACAGTTGCAACCGGACCTGTGTGAAAGCCGAAGAGTCCAGAATCACGAATCCGAAGCGGGGGGTTCAGTTGCAACGGCAATGATCCCTGTATCCCTCTCCATCGGCATGGTCATTGATCATTACAACAAATGGCTACGTATTGATGTACAAGTGTGATCCACATATAGTGCAGAAGTAGCTTTTCGCCTTATAGTTAGAAAAGAGAAGCACACAAAGCGAACCATCGAAGCCACCTCAAGTAGCTCAGTTTCGGTTTTCCAAACCAGCAACCATGGGATCCATTAGCCCAAGCTCACAGAGAAGAGAGGTTGTCATTGTCGGCGCAGGCTTCTCTGGTATCTACACTCTCCATAAATTGAAAGACGCTGGGTTTGATGTGCATCTATACGAGGCGGGCACCGCAGTTGGAGGCATCTGGCACTGGAACTGCTATCCAGGTGCTCGCGTCGACACCGCAGTTCCAACCTACCAGCTCACCTCAGACGAAAGCTGGAAAGATGTGAATTGGACTGAACGCTTCCCTGCCTATTCCGAACTTCGGACTTATTTCCAAAATCTAGTTAAAGTATGGGGCCTCGAGCAACACATGACGTTCCAAACTCGTATACAGTCAATGGATTGGGACCAAGACACGAACGAATGGCAATTGAACATCTTGCAAGGGCCTAATGGAGAATCAGACACTCTGCGAGCTCGCTATGTCATTCTTTGCACAGGATTCGGTTCCAAGCCCTACACACCCCCTCTCCCAGGTCGTGACAGATTCAAGGGCGAGATTTACCATACTGGGTTGTGGCCCCAGGATGGAGTCAGCCTTCAAGGGAAGAAGGTGGCTGTCATCGGTACTGGTGCATCAGGGGTTCAAATTATCCAGGAGACAGCCAAGGTTGCGAAGCATTTGACTGTTTTTCAAAGAACTCCCAACATGGCTCTACCAATGGATAACCCAGCGTATGATGTTAGTCATAACAATGCTTGGAAACAGGCTTTCCCGGAGACGAGGGAGCTAATGTTCAAGACATTTGCTGGGTATGACTACGAATTCAATCCAGAATTCTCCGACAAAGTCAGCATTGATGTCCGGAACGAGTTCTACAAAAAGCTACTTTTGAGTGGGGGATTGCAGTTCTGGCTAGGGACATACTCGGACGTCCTGTTCGACCAAAAGGCCAATGACGAGGCCTACGAGTTCTGGAGACAGAGTGTTCTACCTCGAATCAACAGTACTCGTAATCAAGAGATTCTCGCTCCAAAAAAGCCCCCTCACCCTTTCGGTACTAAACGAGTCAGCCTCGAAAATAAGTACTTCGAAGTTTTCAACCAGGAGAATGTGGACCTTGCCAGTCTCGCTGAAAACCCAATTCTCGAGTTGACAGAGACCGGCATTAAAACTCAAGATGGCGTTCATCATGAAGTCGACCTTATCGCCACCGCCACGGGGTTTGATAGCGTGACTGGTGGCATCACGGCTATCAATATCCGAGGGACGAAGTCTAAATCGACAATTGCGGAAAAATGGTCACAGGGTGTACGGACTTTATTTGGCATGACTACTGCCGGGTTTCCAAACATGTTCATGATGTACGGACCTCAGGCGCCGACAGCATTCACTACAGGTCCGTCGTCGGCAGAGTGTCAGGGCGAGTGGATCTTGGCATGCTTAACACATCTGCGTGACAACCATCTCACAAGGATCGAGGCAACAGAAGCGGCAGAGCAGCAATGGAGGGATCATACACTGGAAATGGGCGATAAAGGATTGTTCTCCAAGGCCAAGAGCTGGTACTACGGAGATAATATTCCTGGAAAACCCCGCGAAGCATTGAACTATATGGCGGGGTTACCAACGTATCGCAGGAAGATTTGGGAGTCGGCCAACAACAATTATGAAGGGTTTGTTCTGGAACCGTAGCCCATACCCAGACTTTTGGTATCAATAATTAGTCAGCTAGGCATTAGGAGCATCGTCGCAGACCAGATATCCGTACACTCGATCGTTGCAATAAGAACATATTTTGCTATTCTTCTCCCAACCCATCATCGATCTAACCTGCCAGCATGGATGCCCCCTGTGACCAAGATCTCAGCCCCAGTAGTATAGGAGGCTGCATCACTCAGAAGATAAATTATAGCTGGTGCAAGATCATTCCGATCTCCGATCCGCTTCAGAGGCGGCTCGGTGTGCATGATTTCATAATATTCCGGGACCTGTTCTCGTAGGGCTTTGGTCATATCACTCTCGATATATCCAGGGGAGATAATATTGCAGCGGATCTGATGGGGTGCCAGTTCGATCGATAAAGCCGTGCTCAACATCTTGACGGCACCCTTGGACCCATGATATGAAGACAGCCGCGAACCAGGCAGGGCAACATGAGCACAAACGGAGGCCACCAAGACAAGACTGCCGCCTGTTCCTTGCTTTGCCATTTGTCGAGCTGCGAGTTGGGCCGAAAAGAATGTGCCGTTAACCTTGTCCAGATCAGCAAAGGAAATATCCGTACAAGCTTGTGTCTTGCTCACATTAATGTCCATAACTCGTTTTGCCTGTTTCCAGTCTTGCTCTAAGAAAGGTTTGTCATATGCGATTCCCGCTGCAGTTACACTGTATAAGATGCGTCAGAGCCAACTAATGCGTGTAAAACGTGGACTCCTCACCAGCCATCAAGGGTCCCGAGTTCCGCTATTGCCTGCTCGAACCCGCCGTTCAAGCTTGCCTCGTCCGTAACATCAGTATGAAAGTATTTGGCCTTCACTCCAAACTCGCTCTCTAGTGTTTCAAAGTCCTGCACTGGCTTGTCTAGTATATCGAGGACAACAACGTTGCCTCCCATCTCTGCGATTGCTCTCGTGGCAGCATATCCGATTCCACGACCTCCACCTGTAATGATGTAATTGCGGCCTTTCAGCTCGAACATTGGCCGAACGGCTTTGAGATCTCCGTCGTGTAGCGACATGGCTGATTCTGGGCAAAACAGATATTAACTGAATAGCAGTAGCCACAAGTTGAAGATTGTGGAGGAGTAGGCGCCACCACCGGTGACGGACATAGAAGTATGCATTCATATTAAGAAGCCCAAATGCGTTACCCCTCATTGTCGATGTCAATCGTGAAGGCGTCCAATCGAGAGACATCGGTCTTAAACCACAAACCAAGGAGTGGAATTTTCGGGTTTAGAAAACCCCACAATGGTAGCTCCGTCTTTGAGAAGCATAATGAATGCCGTGCAATGGGTCAAATGGAAATCCCAGACTCATTTTGCTGAGAATTATAGTATCAGTAGCTTCTATCCCTACAGGATAGCTTGATCAATGACAGGAGAAAGAAGTTATTTCCTCTTGAAGATGTTGAATAGTTGCCCATAGACATCGCTGGCTAGTTTGTGGGTGGGGTTTTCCAGGCAAACCTTAACCTTGCCACCTCCATCAGCGTGGTGAATAGAAGGAGCATTCCTATTACTGTCAACGACGTATCTCTAGAAAAGACATGCTGTAAGAGTTTTATGCTTTGCCGCGGCTCTCTGACGCCATGGTAGTCGCGCTGACCTCTACTATGAAATGGAGAATGTGCCTACAATCGCCAGCGGTGAAGAACCCTGACTCGGAGTCCACATATGATATAGAGGGGAATTGAATTTGTTCTTTAGGATGTCCTAGTTCGTTGGGATCCCATGATAGTCATTGCCAAAAGGTACATCCTTAGTCGTCATGTTGATGCTTCCTCATGATCTGAATGCCTGTGACTCTTAACTCCGGTCACAGGATGAAATGTGTGAAAATATGTGTATTGTCTTTTCTCAAACTGAATACTGAATAAAGCTTCAATGTGAGTGTAGGCATCGAGATATTTGTTTGATATGAATATGGGGGGAACTCTTGATTAGGTCTGATATTGCCGAAGAGAAGACAAGTACAGGTAGCTGCACCAGGTATACATCCTAGTGGATCACGGAATTTCATCTCCCCTTGGACCATCTCCCAGCCGGAGGTTGTTTCCATAAAGCATATGTTGCTATTCAGGGCTGCCAATCGCCAACACCTTGGTACAACATCTTTGTACAAGGGATGGTATCATCTCCCAGCCTCCTGTACACTGTAGAGAGAGTCATACGTTTGACTATAGATAGATGGGCTTCCCCCATAGCATCGAGGAAGCCCAAGCAACTCATTTCACCTCATCTTTGACAAGGGCAGCTGTGATTAATTCTCATCAGCCCAGTATCTAGCAGGTCTGAGGCAACCATTGACGACATGAGAGAAAGCAGTAGGGATAAAGTATTCACTGGGGCATAGAACATATCTCGGAGACAAAGTGGAAGCTTGGCTACTTGGGCCTATTAATACTCGTAGATTTCATTCATTGGGCGGGCTTTTTCAATTGATTCCGAGATGGTGGCCGCGGGGTCCGCGACGTGGAATTTGCGTTCAGCGACCACTAATCGATGACCCCTGCCCAGCAGTCTAGCCAAACAGTCAGTATTACAACCACTTCGGGTTCTCCAGGCCAGAGACCAAAGTACTGACTTTTGCTCTTCTTGGAGCCCACAGACCCAAAGTGACTAATTAGTGCCAAATTTTCGGAACGAGGCACCACCATTCCGACCACCATCACAGTCCCCACAATTCCCCAGCCCGTGACGGCCTGGGGATAATGTACTCCACACGTTCACTTTTCACGTTTTCATTTCAAATCTGCTATACATCTCGGGGCCAAATTCAGATTTCATGGAGTTCCGGAGTCAATGCTGGGGAATGTAAGGGTTCACGTGGGCTATCAGATTACGCGCCAAGTGTCCAGACTACAAGATGCCTCCGGTGGATGAGACCAGCGATCCTTAAATAAGAGGTGCACCTGCTTCACAGCACTGGAATTCAGTTTATCAACGCGACCAGAAACGAGAACCTGTGGCTCTTTCGCTCGAAGTCGAGATTAATATCAAATTTGCAACGGCTCAGAAATTTGGTCCTCAAGAGATCTTGGCCCGATTTTCACAATGGGATCAAAGGATGCGGGCGGCGAGGTCGACTACGTCCAACAACTCGAGGCGTCCAGTGTCGAAAAGGACAACAATGAGTTTGTGATCGACCCTGCTCTTGAGAAAAAGACCATGCGCAAGGTTGATAGGCGTATCCTGCCCATCTTCCTGCTTCTCCAGCTTTGCGCGTTCATTGATCGGTGAGGCTTGTCAGTCGAAACGCACGGCATAGTTTTGCTCACACATCTTAGAATCAACATTGGCAATGCTCGCATCCAAGGTCTGGAGGCCGATCTGAACATGAAAGGCAACGACTGGAACATTGTATTGTTTCTGTTCTTCATCCCTTATATCCTGCTCGAAGCGCCTAGCAATGTCTTGCTAAAGAGACTTCGACCATCCCTCTTCCTGCCTATAATCTGCTGCGGATGGAGTCTCGTCACCACGCTCCAGGGCGTCACCGCTTCATTCGCCGGTCTAGTTGTATGTCGAGTTCTCATTGGTGTTTTTGAGGCAGGCTTATTTCCTGGTAAGTACTATTACTAAACTCCAACCTCGAAATCGTGAGGCTTGAACCATTCCTTGCTAACCTTGTACCCAGCCCAAATCTACATCATGTCGACCTATTACCGTCGCAAAGAACTACAGTGGCGAGTCAGTTTTCTTTTCTGCGGAGCCATCATCTCCGGCGCTTTCTCCGGGCTTCTAGCCTATGCCATTGCCCATCTCGATGGGGTTCGTGGCTATAGTGGGTGGCGTTGGATCTTCATCCTCGAAGGAATCGCGTCGTTCTTGATCGGTATCTTGGCATTCTTCCTCGTGCCCGACTGGCCTGATCGCGCCAAATTCCTCAACGAAGAAGAGCGGAATGTCGTCTTGCAAAGAGTTGCGGACGACAGAAAAGGCGCTACCATGAGCCAATGGACCAAAGGAACGGCAAAGCGTATCTTTGGCGACGTCAAGATTTACCTTGGAATTGGGATGTACATGGGTATCGTCGTCACGAGCTATGCAGGCTCCTTCTTCATTCCCACTATTCTCAGGCAGCTCGGCTGGACATCGATCAAAGCCCAGGTTATGTCGATTCCAGTTTGGATTTTTGGCATGACCTGTGCTTTTACGTCTTCTTTTGTTGCTGACTACTTGAATCATCGATTCGGCATTGTTCTGGCAGGTGGACTTCTCACCTCGATCGGCTATATCATTTTGCTCAACATGCATTCAGTGGCTGTGGGGGTTCGATACTTCGCCGTCTTCTGTTGTCTCGGCGGTGGCTTCGTCGTGCAGCCCACCATTATCGCCTGGTTGAGCAATAATGTTTCAGGATCCTACAAGTCTGGCATTTCCTCGGGCATGCAACTCGGTTTCGGCAACATCGGCGGTATCATCGCCTCGAATATCTACTTGAACTCTCAGGCACCCGAATACCCTCTCGGATTCGGTCTTGGTCTCGGCATGGTTTGGTTCTGCATAATATGTGCTACGGCGTTCTTTTTCCTCATCTGGCGCGAGAATCGTATTCGGAACGCGGGTGGACGAGATGATCGCTATAGCCTTCCAGAGGAAGAGTTAAACAACCTGGGCGATGACCATCCTACGTTCCGCTTTACATACTAGACGCAACTCTGGCCGGAAGCTCATTAGCTGTGGAGGTACAATTGGCAATGGCTATATGTAATAGAGCGTTGGCGATATGCTGACAAAGTCGAGACTCTCAAGTGGAGAATAACAGACACTCGCATTCAGAGATCAAATTTGCGCAAGCAAACCAGAGAAAGTTTAAGACGTAATTTGTTCCACACAACATTCCTTTCTATTGAATGAATGCCCGGTGTCTTTTCCACGAGCTAACGAGGCGAACAAAACACGGTGATGGAATCTTCAGTGTAGACCTTGCATCGATTATCTCACATCAAGATTGCTTTTGAACCATGGAATAAGAACTTTGGCAGTAGGAGACATACAAAGCACTCAACTATGATGCATGCAGAGACAGTCCTACCATTGTACGAACCCTCAATGGATCGATCTTAGAATGTGAACGTCCATAGCACTAATTGCGGTTCGGTCTGTCACTTTCTGGACGCGATACACATTCTAGATTTTGAGCCCCTGAGTCATACAGTGAGCCAACTCTGTATTTGACATTACTCTTGGGCTCATAACATTGCATAGCCTCCGGTGGCGGCTTCGGACAGAGTCGTCGGAACAAGGCATCAAGCTGCTAGAATGAATACGGAATATGCAAAATATGTTACCCCGGGACCCCATCCTCCACGAGGATAGAATATATTTTAACGAGGCTTCTGACGAGCCTTGGAGGTTCCCCGGTCGGAAAACTGTGGAATGAGGAGAAAAAGTCGATTAATTGACGCCTGGCTGGGGCCAACATCCTTACTTCCAATTAGACAACTTGACACAGGAGGACGGATAGGGTTTTCCGAGCGACGGTTATGGAGGAGGGTGATTTGCACACATAATCAACATAAGGTCTTAGACCTTCTCAGACCGGGATGTTGTTTAAGTCTCATATAGTAGCCTTGAAATCCCATACCTATTGTACTTGTGTACTAAAGTATTTAACAAACTTGGCCGCAGGCTCGAAATAGTCGATTGTTTAAGGCAATCGACGTACAAATTCTGAACATCATGTGTCAACATGTCAACAGATGGTATAAGATTGAAACTCGGTGAATGTCATTGCGTATTGGAATCCCACCAATATTGTCACATTGATGCGTGTAAGCATTATCTTCTATCAATGGCTCGCACCTATGTCTCTACGAGAGTGAGAGGCTGGCAAGGCTGGCAAGGCTGAATTTCTTGTGAGATCATGCTACGCAGGGTCCGTTTCGCCTAGAGCCACGTTCCGAAATCACGGAATGCGGCTAGAAAGGCAATTGAAGTCATGACCCCATGAGCAGGGAAGTATTTGTCTTGCATGGGGTCGGTAAGATCCCCACCTTGCGTGGAGAGTAATGCTGTAGAGTCGCACTTGTACTGCATCGAAAAACGATCTCTACTCTCTCATAAGTATGGTCAAAGGAAGAAAATTGCGCCAGAAAATCATGTCCGATCTCAAATATTTGGAGATTGGCCCCTCCCATGAGACATCACGAACTTTGGAGCAGGTGAACAAAGAGGCACTCCCAGGAGGGAACTAGTAATTTGAAATGGTAGGATCATACGAACCACGGAGTTACATTGAACTCGAGGACAGGGGACATTCCAAATATCGAGAAGTCAGGGAGATGCTGACTCCAAAGCGTTCTGGTGTGCCTAATCTGGGGCGTTCTGTAGATTTTGCACACGAGTAAAAGCGATCAACCCCACAGTCCGTGAGGTAAAGCGCCTCTTCGTAGTTGGCACGATTGGTCAGGTGAATTGACAGGGACCTCGGGACCCTGCTGAAGCCTGGATCCAACCTTGACAACCGCATAAAATAGCGCCTATTTCTAGGGCACCTTGGCGTACTCCTCTTCATAGATCCTCCGACGTCGCTGACTTAGCACATTAATTGTTGCACTCATGATAGTGTCAACTTTGCCCAAATGAATCAAACTGCAAACGAAGAAAAGGTCCGGTCTGATATACAGACCGAGTCAACAGAGAGATTGCAGAAGCCTCACAGACGTTCAAGAGCCAAGGATGCTGCGGATCGCAAGAGAGCTGTCTACATTGGTCGGGCATGCGAGGCTTGCAAGAGACGCAAAACCCGATGTGACGGCACAGTTCCCTGTGGATTGTGCCGAAGACGGTCGATGACTTGCAACTATACAAATTCGGGCAGAGAGTCGGAGCGTCTACCTCCACAGAGTCCGAGTTCGCAATACTCGACCGCGAAACAAGTGTAGGTCTTTGTGTTCATGAATGTCGTGAAGCTGACCAAATCCCAGAGGTATCGCGGAACTGACAGAACTCGTGTCATCGCTCCAACAGAAAGTGGCGAGACTCGAGCAAAGGCGGGGAGATGCGGACCACGACCACGCCGTCGAAGACATGGCGACTTCCCATGATCGAGGCAGTGAAGAAGCAGAGGAAGACATGCCGAATTCGGTCCAAGCAACCTCTCCCGTATTTGCAGGTCCAACCAGTGCCAACTTCAGTTTCGGAATTGCACGAATGATTTTCGAGCAGTCCGGCGCGGACAAAGCTACAACCGCTCAACAAGACCAGAATCTGATAGGGTCGATGACCTCGGACGAGGATGCAGACGGGTTTGATGGCGCACAGTTCGAATGCTCTCCATTGGCGGCTACTCAGGCGTCCATGCCTCTGCCACAGATGACCTTGGATGATGCGCTTCGACTGATCCGCGCCTACAATGAGTGTCTTGGAGTTCTCCACCCTTTGCTAGAAGTCGAATGGCTCGAGAGCATCTCGCAACTGCTATGGCTGTCCCGCGAAAATGCAGCAATCGATTTGGGCGATCAGCATTCTCTCCAAATCATAGACGTGGTACATTTGAAAATGGTGTTAGCCATTGGTTTACTAGCTGAAGGTGGCGGCGCAAGCTCCATGGCCCGAGCTATCTACGAAACTCTCGAATCTGCAGTTGCGAGCCAGCTGATGGCTAGGGCCTTTTCGCTTCCTGGTCAGATTTTACTTATTCTAACTGTACGCGGCACCTTCATCAGATCCTGGTTCTTCACTAACATACTGCTAGGCCTTTTATCACTCATTCCAAGATGATCATCGCCTGGCATCTCGGTACATCGCAAACGCCGCTCGCTTGATGCTTGAGTCGGGTCTCCATCAGAAGCCAGTCCTTCTTCAACGATATCCTGTGCCTGCTGAGCGAACTAAGGTCCTTGTGGTCTTGGCGACGTGCACCTTTCTTGACCGACAACTCAATTTCAACGCTGGGCTTCCATTCACGCTCAAAGAGAGCGACATCGATCTTCCTCAGGAGACACTACCACCGTACCTCAAAGCGATGACCGCTTATGCTCGAATTGGCCCGCCTGCTTGGGCATCTATAATCGATGGTAGTGGCCGTTTAAAACCACAGATCAAGGATGAAGACTTTGACTATATGGATTTTCAGGTCCGTCGTTGGCAGGACAGCCTGCCGAGAGACCTGGTCTTGGGCTCAGAATCCGTGGCCGACGAAGCCGCTAGCATGGCTTCAAACTCCAGCCTGGATCGAGGCACACAATTTGTGCGGTCCATGCTCTATCTTCGCGCGAATCAGTTTAAAATTGTCATCTTTCGCCCTCTACTGTTCTCTCCTCGACATGCTCGGGCTCACTCCAAGCGCGTCCGACAGCTGACACAGCTGGCAACTGATAACGTCAACCACATCATCGACATGAACGAAAATCAAGACCTCTACCAGAAACATCAGCCCTTGCTTAACATCTTCCTATCTTCAGCACTCTCCGCCCTATTCTTGGTCTATGTCCACAGCCTGAAAGTCCAAGGAAGATATGGACAGGCCGACAAGAAACTTTTCGCCGATGCCGAGAATGCTCGACAAGTAATTGGAAAAGGTCTGGGTCTACTCCAGATGTATTTGCACTGCCGCTCTTCGAAGCGTCTATGGAAAAAGTTCACTAGCACACCAGGTATTCTCAACCGACTAGGATTCGCCCATCTCGCCTCCAAAGCACCACCGACGAATGTGTCTGCTGATGAGGCGAGTTTCAACTCATTCTCAGGTGCACGCCCACCCCAGGGCTACCAGACCTCCGCCGATCATGATATGGGTTCTCTTTCATGGAACAATTTTAACATTCCGCCTTACTGTGGTAGCGAAGGTTCTGAACACTTGGCCGGAGGGGATTTTCAACCGACCAATGCCTTTGGCCATTTCCCTAATTCTTCATTCTTCGAGTTCAATCCTCTTCTCATTCCAGGCGATCCTGCTTTGGCGTTCGACGATCTTTGGTGGCCTAACATCGACGTACCTGGCGGTTGAACAAACGTTGGGCCCTGGACCCAAGATCTATTGCATCAAACCCGTTTCGATCATACACGGATCTCTAGCTGAGTATGGCATCATCATAGCGGCGGTCAGTCATTCGGAGTAACCAAAAGAACAAGAGGTCTCTGGGCATCCAGCAGAACGCCTTTCACGGCTCATCACATCCTATGAGGGAGCGAAGCAAGTGTTGCAAGATGACAGAAGGGGCACAGCTGCGCAATACCCACCAAGAGAGCAGATATGGGGTTATCTCTCGGAGGAAGCGAACACTTGGACTGGCAGTGAGGAAATGGGGTACCAGATTCCACTTCTTTACACCACATCGACCCCGGATGCAGATTCAAGTGTCAAAGTACCTCCCCACACAACTTGAGCGGGACTTGGGGTGAAGGGTCTTAGCTCGACCCATCAAATTGTGATAATTGACACAAAAAATGCCAGGGTTCTGTACGGTTGTCTTGCCAGCAGGCACTAGTCAATCCGTCGTGGTGGGTGGACGCACGGGATAGACCAGGTGTAGCAAATGACAGCAAAAAAGAGTCACACGGCCACCTGGAGCACCCGTCAAACTGGGGCACTGCACTCAAGATACTAGACACAGATGTGGATATCTTTCTGCATATCATCAGTCGGAACGAGGAAACGGAACAAGACATCAAGTCATGTCACGTGGATGGAACTCCAACATGGTCACTCCTTCACCTTGCGTTGCTCTTATCCGTCTAGGAGTGTTTCAAGCACTCAAAGATGTGGAAATGTGTTCAGTATTCCGTAGAAATAACCGACTAGACGCACCTCAAGTTCCATGCATGGTTCATTAGGAAAACGCCAAGATGACGGGCAAGACGGTCGAGACTTCTGTAAGTAAAGGGCCAACCGTCTGTCACGAAAGTTGAGGAATCATACAAACATACTCTAACATAATGGCATATCCTCAGAAGCTGGCTCCTAGACTCCATATTGTCGTTGTGGGCGCAGGGATCGGGGGGTTGTCATGTGCCATCGCTTGTCGGCGGGCGAACCCCCCGCTGGCGGTGACAGTGGTTGAAAGAGCACCGGAGATCCTCACAGTCGGCGCTGGCATTCATATTCCACCCAATGCGTGTCGGGTGATGGATGAGTTTGGCCTTCGGGAAAAGTTGAAACAAGCTGGAGCGTACTCGGTTGACGGATTCACCTTGAAGAGGTACAAGACTGGCGAAGACATTGTCGAAAAGCCTATGGGAAAACGGATGGAAACAGAATATGGTTCTCAGTGGCTGTAAGTCATTCAAATTGCCTCCTAGATGCCCCTAAAGACATAGCTAACGTCATTCACTTGAAATAGGGCTGTACACAGAGGCGATTACCAAAATGTGCTTCTCGACGCCGCCCGATCTCTCGACGCCAACATCATGACGAATGCCGAAGTTGTCAGTGTAGAAACTGGGACTGGGGCATCGCTTGGCTACCAGACTGTAAATCTGGCAGATGGTAGCACCTTGAAGGCAGATGTCGTTATCGGCGCAGATGGTACATTCCCCTTCTAGCCAATGCGAGCGAGCGAGCGAAGCTAATAACGTGGAATTTAGGCCTTTGGTCAGGTCTTCGTGAGCATGTGCTGGGAAGGCCGTTTGCGCCATTGGAGACCGGAGATCTGGCCTACCGGGGAACCTTTACTCGAGCACAGCTTGAGGCCTTCAAGGACGAAAGAGTGGACAAACTTCTGGACAAGTCCAACGTACAAGTTTGGCTGGGCCCGGGACGCCATGCAGTCTTCTACCCTTTGAGAAACAAGTCAGAGTACAACTTGGTATTATTGTGAGTCGAATATTGCGACTGAAGATGAGGATGCTGATAATTGCGCAGGTGTGCGGATGATCTTCCTGAAGGTGTTCGGACCTCGCCTGGCAGTGTGGAAGAAATGGCAGCAAACTTCGAGGGTTGGGATCCTGCGTACGGAACTTCCTTGCAAAAGTTGGGGAGTCATGAACTGACTTTGTCTTTAGCCTCAATATCATCATTTCCTGTTTGAAAACAGCCTTGAAATGGAAGCTGTTGCATTTCGAGGCGCTTGACAAGTGGACGAAGGTATGTTGCGTCGCTTACAACTGCTTGTGTGATATGGAGCTGACACAATGGGAACCTAGGGGCCCATTGCCCTCCTAGGGGATGCCACTCATCCTACCCTGCCGTACCAAGGCCAAGGAGCTGCGATGGCCGTCGAGGATGGAGCAATTATTGGACTGCTCCTGAATGAGCTGCAACAAAAAGGCATCTCGGAAATCCCTGGACAGCGAGTTGCCCAACTGACGGGATTGTTCCACTTGTATGAGGATCTTCGAAAAAAGAGAACTCGAGTCAACGTTGCTGGTGCCGTTCTCACCCGACACTTTTATCATCTGCACGACGGAGAGGAACAGATTGCTCGCGACAGAGACTTGGCCAGTCTCCCCGCGACTCAGTGGCAAGGAGCTTGCAAATTCAACTGGGGAGATGCTGCATATCAGAAATCCTTGCTAGGATTTGACGTTCTTCGAGATGCGAAGGAAAAGTTTGATGAGTGGTCCCGTGGAGACGCAGCAGGAACAATACAGACCTCACTATAGCTCAATCAGGAGCAGAAGAATATTGAGATTTCTACCTAGGGCATGGACTTGCCATCATCGTGATCCTACGGAGCGAAGCAAAGTAGTATCCATTGGCGTGACCTGGAACAACCCTCTGAATTCATCCGTGTGATCTTGGAGTGCCATGTGAGTGCCCTGGAGAGAGTGTATAGGAGTGATTTCTAGAGCTCTGTAGGCGACTTAGTGTTAGTTGCAGCTGCTACTCGCGACGTATATTTTATTTTACCAAGGAGATGCAAGGTGCTATTTTACATGCTCAGTACATATTCTGAGACCAATTGATTGAAAGAAATGACTTACAGGATTTCTGATGCAAGAGAGTTGAAGTATCTCATTACCTGAGCTTGATAGCTATTTCGTTGGCCTTTCATAGGATCAGAAAAGGCTTTCCCTCGAAACGTCGCATTGAAAATGGGTAGGGAAGGCTGAAGCAATATTGATACCACAGTGAGGGAGGGGCCATGATAGGGCGGCAGCATCAACATCCAAATACAGCCTAGCTTGCTTCGAAAAGTCTTGGCAGCGTGAGCAACCTCCGAGCCTCAGACCACCAGTAATGGACCTCTTGTTACTGGACGCTTTTGGAGCTTCATTACTACGACCTCTGTTGCTATTGAAGCAGTCTCTAGAAATTCCACCTCCGCCCTCACCCTCGTACAGCTACCGCCGCAGTATCCGTCCCCTTACCACCGCCGTCATGCACGAGATCACCCCTCCCGACCCAGAAGAGCTCGGTGGAAACGTCACCAAGCCTTTCAAGTTCGTGACTGGTACGAGAGCAACCTTCATGAATAAGAGCTGGAGAGCGCAGGCTCTTCAGCGACAAGAGGAAGATTGAGAAATGGAGAAGAATGGCAGGCTAACATGTTTCTTTTTTTTCTGTTCTAGCTGGCTACGACGCCCGATTCCCCAACCAGAATCAGTACGTGGACGACCGACAAGATCCCCCTCGCAATTCCTTTCGATCACCTTAAGCTTGCCTGAACCCTCGATTCAAAGGGCTTGAAGCTTCGATTGATGATGCACGAGACGCCCAGCAATCTTTTTGGACATACTTCCGACCAGAACGCCACTCTTACTAACGTTTTCTTCCCTCTCCACTAGGACCAAGCACTGCTGGCAAAACTACGTCGACTACCATAAATGCATCCTGGCCAAGGGCGAGGACTTTAAGCCCTGCAGACAGGTGAATATTCCCCTCCCCTGAGAGCTTGAGCTATGATGTCGAAAAGAAGGTGGAAAATCGCGTGGAAGAATCAGATATCATTACCCCATGGGTTCCGAATTCTAGGCTGACGTGTGGCAATGTACACAGTTCTACCTTGCGTATCGCTCGCTCTGCCCCAGTGGCTGGGTGCAGCGATGGAACGACCAGCGTGAGGCGGGCAACTTCCCCGTTGACTTGGAACATTAGTGAAGAAACGATGGAGAGAACAAGGCGAGGAAAGCAGAACAGAGATACCAAGACGAGATGTATCAAGAAGCAGTAAAAACCCAAATCCATGTGGCAGTCTCGCCAAAGAAAAACACAAAACAAGTCACAATAAATGGTCATGGATTGTCCCACGGCACGGCGGGGTCCATCATGTGTACTTGACACTGGCGACTTTTGCATGCAGGATGATGTATGTGGAGGACAATCGGCGCCAAAGACTCAGACTCAAGACTCAATTCTCTGTACATAGCACACTATCTCGAGTTGGACGCGGTCACGCTACTCTATCTAACATATCTCTGCTGTCTTCGACAGAAATCCATCATCATGTAATACCTGTTGTGCATTCTATGCCTACCTGAATGCTTGTCATGAAGGTTTTTAGATGAGCATACATGTCGATTACGACTCGTGTCAGTATGTATGTATCTCTAGCGTCGTGGTTCGAACAAGAAACCGATTGCGGGGTGACCATGACACACGATGGGGGCACCTACAAGAGTCTTACATTGTCACGTTGGACGATGCCGCCATGGCACCTATGTTGATGATCTATTATGATCTATCACTGTTCTGTCGTTTTCGGGACGAGAACGAGTTTGGGATGCTCTTGCATGGCCCAGATGCTCTATCAATGCCTTTGGATGAATGACAGGCAAGTCGAAGAGGCGCTAGGAAAACGGCATGGCAAGGGTCCAAAGGGAGCCCTAGGCGCCGTATATACTATGTATCACCTCTTGAGTGAACTCCTCTTCAAGGCCTCCAAGAGTTCCGGACGGGTGGTGAGGTGTTGGACGGCTTGAGTATAGGTGAACCACTGTCTAGTACGTTTGTCCTTTTCAGGCCATTCTGCTCGTTCCTCGGTGACGGTGGCTTCAAAGAAGTGGTAGCTCGCCTTGGGGGCGTTTTTGGATAATGCGCCAGTGGGTCTGGTATCGGCGATGTGTCCTAAATCTTTGTCGACGTTGCATATAATGCCGGCCTCTTCCCAGGCTTCTCGACACGCAGCTGCGGATGCTGTGGCTTCGTCCAACTCCCAGCCGCCTTTAGGCAGGACCCAGCCATTTCGTCGGGTGGACTGGATGAGTAGGACGCGGCTTCGATCAGAGGAGACCGGGACAATGCCGGCAACGAGCCTCTCGCCTTTCGATCCATAACCTGGAAGCTGGTTAGCCGGGGTTCAGAATGACTCGGGGACCGGTGGGTACGTACGCTGGTTATCAGATCCGCTGCGAGAGGTCATGGAGTACTGCTTCGCCATGATTGAGACCGCAGTTTCTTTTTGTCAAACTTATGAAAGCCGAACTCAAGGTCTGGTACAGGGAGGATTAAAGTCCCTTTCAAACTTGCACACCGATGAGGGCAGAGGGACGGAAAATGAGTGGAGGATTACTGCGATACGGTGATGAAATGAATGTAAAAGACTCTCAAGGTGTTGTTCCAAGGGCGTTTGATGGGAGACGAGGAGGTAGTCGAGGACAGAGAGGCAGAGAGGCAGAGAGGCAGGAGGGTAGATGAAGATGAAGTCAAAGAGGACCCATGGTGATGGTGATGGTGGTTTGGTTGCGGTAGCGCGCAAGAGTGAGTCAAGAGCCTTCAGTCCCGTGTTAGACGGGGCTGAGGGATGAGGTTGAACGTGGGAAGGCTTTGAGAATGGGTTGAGCCATAATTTGTAGTGTGATGTTTTTTTCTATGCGGGTGGACAGTAGGAAGGTGGGCAAGGTTGCTTAGTCCGAATCCGACGTGGGAGGGCGAGGAGGTGAAGTAGGCACGAAGCTGGAAACGCCAACGCCAACGCCAACGCCAACGGGAAAGGTACGAGGCACACCTACGGTCAAGGTTTTCTAAAGTAGGAGCTTTGTGAGTGGTTAGCGCGAGGCACCGAGTTCCATGGGTACGCTTGACTCGTGACTCTTGAGTGGTGCTCTGTGCACGATATGACACAGGGTCCAGGCACGGCATGAAACCTCCCTAGTGCTGGCGCTCGTTTGCATTGAGCGAGGTGTTGGTTGAATGTAACACGGGGGAAGCTCAATTCAGCCGAAGCTTAAGTGCCTAGGTACACTCGGTTTTTACCTACAACAGTACCCAAGGTAGCTGAAAAATAGAGACCCAGTGCCTAAAATATACAAGAGCCGAGAGCCCTCGGAGTTCATAGTCATCAATCCTCGGTGCTTCGAACGGTGCCAAAGCACCCACCTGGGGGCAGAGAGTTACAGGGCCCGGAAGCATGTTCAGGCGGCGCCTAACTTACTTGTAAAGTTTGATGCACGCCATTCATTAGGTAGACATTCTTGTCATATCCGGACAACCCTCCCGAACACACTGCAAAGACGAGAAACCAGGTGCTTCAACTATCCTGTCCTGATCTATCAAGGATATCCATCGGTTGCTAGTCGAGTGATGAGATCGTGGTCGGTCCATTATGATTGTCAACCAAACCAATATAATGCGCTAGGCTCTTAGCGATGTGGACAAGCATGACTTGCAGCATCTCTGGCGTAACGACTGGCCTGAAGGGCCACAGAAATCGTTGCGCCGGGCTTTGGTTCGTTACGCCCATCTGCACCGATAACCCTCTGTCTTCCATGCATTGCACCTGGAAGCACGCGAGCCTGACACACGTGCCTATTTCAACGTTTGTACTGGTCTAAATCTCGCTGATTCTATGCCCTGACCTTGCCACAATTCCCTCCTATCCACTGCTGCCTTCTAAGTTTCCACCGCCAGTCCCCATTTCCTCAACTCAGTGCTCACGCGAGCTACTTTGACTGACAAGTTCAGTGGGGGGCTTCCTTTCCTCTCCAACCACCATTGATCAGCCTCACTTTTGGCACCGACAACCTTGTCTTTTTCTATCACCGGGTCCTTGATTGGCACCGGCTCATTGTCGTGTGCATTTGCATCCCACGCTGCTGTGCTGCAGATTGGAAAGCCCATGACTTGTCTCGATAAGTAATTTGAATTCGTCATTACCCAGGTACCTGCAGTCTGGTCAGGTGACATCACTCTTCCGTCTCATCCTCTACGAACTTGACGGCCATCGAAATTGTCGTGTGCCTGATCAATTGGACATCTGCTTTTCTCGTTTCATGCACGGCCCGTCCATCGGCAGACCGTGATCCATCTCGGCATCATGGCAAACGATATTACAATTTTGAAGCCACTTGGTAGGTTTCCGGTTTCCCTATCCAACCCGCAGGCTGATGTGCGAGGCTGGATTGATCTTGCCTCACGTGACCGCCAGTACTAACAACACACTCGTACAGGCTATCAGAGAAGGAGTCAATGTGGGTATTGCAAGACATCAGCCGGCAGTAAGTCAAATATCTGCATGTAGTCATGCAAACATGAAAGCTCACTCATCCCACTCCAGGCTCTATGTTCTATGTCTCGAGTGACAACATGCGCGTGGACCACTATCAAGAACTGATGGACAGAGGTTGGCGAAGATCTGGCACATTGTATTACAAGCCGGACCTGTTAAGGGCATGTTGTCCTCATTATACCATTAGGTAAAAGCATTGTCTCTGATCTTGCCATGCTTGGGGGCTTATTCCTTTTCCTGCCAGGCTTAAAGCCGCCGAATTCAAGCCACGTAATGAGCAGAAGAAGCCGATCAACAAGTTCAATGCCTACATTCTAGGCCCAGAATATAAGCGAAATGCGGCAATGTTATGTCCACAGAGCAGGGAGTACGTCTCGACCATGTTCTGGTTAGCGCCACGTTTATTTGAGCTGACTTGGCCAGGGAGAAGCGTCGACTCAGGGGAGTTTTTGACTTGACCTCTGCAGTTCACAAAGCTGAATACGACAATATCAAGCGACCTGTTGGTAAGAAATCATCGAAGCCAATTGAGCCAGCACACATATTCCAAGTCAACCTTGAGAGTGATTCCTTCACCGAGGAAAAGTAGGCACCGTCGTTTACCATCTTTTCTTTCTGAGGCGCTAACTAACCCCAGGTACTCAATTTTTTGCCAATACCAATTCAAAGTCCACAAAGATCCGGCCTCGCGGTGGCAAACTGCCGACTTTAAACGATTTTTGTGCTCAGGTCTGAACCAGAGAACGTTGAAGATTGCAGGCAAAACTCTCAAGCTCGGTTCTTACCATCAATGCTATCGTCTTGACGGAAAGCTCGTAGCTGTTGGTGTCCTCGATCTACTTCCTCATGCCGTAAGCTCGGTGTATCTCTTGTCAGTCCTCTGTGGTACCCGCTTAACCTTGTGCTGACGATATAGCTATGATCCTGACTATTCTCACTTGAACTTTGGCAAGCTTAGCGCCCTTCGAGAAATTGATCTTGCACTCCGTGGAGGCTATGAATATTACTACATGGGTTTGTATTCTTCTTGCTCTACAGATTTTAGCTCATTCGTGACAAGGTTATTACATACACTCGTGTATCAAAATGCGGTACAAGGCGACATACCGTCCCAGCTTCCTTCTCGGTAAGTATTGCTCAGGCCTAGCCTCGACTCCCTCCTCACATTAATCTAGATCCCGAAACACACGAATGGAACCTCTTCGATGATGATTATCAGCAGAAACTCGACCAAAACAACTACTTCTCTCCTTCGAGGTATCGAAGTCAGGGAGCGGACGTGGCGCTACTCGGTCAGGCACAACCAACACAGCTGTCTCTTCCTACGCAAAATGCCCCAGAAACTACAAAAGAGAGAGCCAAGAACTTTGGCGATGATGACGAGCTGGAATTGGACGAGGCAGGCAGTGATGAAGAGGATGCCGAAATTCCAGAAGGATCCTTATTCGATTACAATATCCCAGGGGTTCTGACCAAAGAACAAGTACAAGATTTAGACCTTGACCATTGGAAGCTTGTCGTCAGAGATATGTTGATTGATCTGGAGGTGAGATTTGGACTTGCCTAACATTAATTATGCTCAGATACTAACAGAACAGGATCTACGAGGCTGGGAGGAGTCCAAGCTCGACGATTCTGGATCTATCAAAGGAATTGCCGCTGAAGTCATTGCAGCAACCGGCCCAAAACTCCTCGAACATTCTGCTCTGAGCCTGTTCTGAATCATGATCGTTTTCGTGATTCAGCTGTGTCACCAATGACGCATTGAACAAACAGGTCTCGTCACATCTCTAGACTCATCCAACGATCAGCACAAAAGCCCAGTCATGTAGGGGGTTATAAGCGCTCGATGTCTCCCTTTCAAATGATCCTTCTTTTTCTACCACCACCGGCATTCAAATATCATCGTCCCCGAATCGATTTTCACCCCAGATCATACCCAGCGGGTCATAACCTTGGATATACACCACCAGTAACCATAACCATGACGAAAGACGAGAATGCATGGCCTCATTGTGGACCGTATGGTCCACCATACCCTCAACCTCATTACCGGGTACGTTCCTACGAACGCCTTCGACCACCAGCGGAAAACCCGGAGGGAACCAAAGTAAGTCTATTGATGCCGATGGGCCATTCCCTTGGCCTCACTAATTGCCACAATTACCTGCTTTTTGGGAATGGGACGGATTCAGCTAAACAAGATTTTGTTGTAATAGGAAGGAGAGACTGGCCCCCAAGGCGACGAGAAAGACAAGAACTCCGGCGGTGATGGATCTTCAAAGACTGAAGAGACCAAGACCGAAGGAGAGGATAAGGCTAAGGAAGGCGACAACAAGTAATCTACGAGACTAAGCCCGATATCTCGACCAATTCGACATTGTATATCTCGAAATGGGCCGCAGGTACTAGGCATCTCCTGAACTGAGATGTCAAAAACCAGGAAACCTTTCGATCCCGGAAGGCCATCCCAAGTTGCCAACTGACGGAGCTAGAGTGATCATGCTTCGATGATTACAGGCCAATAGGCTAGATGATGGTCTATCCATCAATGAACTATATAGAATCCAAATGAGCATTCGTTTCCAAATCATAAGATTATCTAAGATATCTTTGACATCATCATCATGAAATGGCAAAGGGCTTGTTCTCGCACGTGCTTCTGCGTCGTTTTCTCATATCGTATATTTAGCCATTATATCTCCAGCTCCAATTTCTTGCTCATCATGCTCAGAAGCCCGTTTACGGATAAAACAATCTTAAGAATCGAATAGCATTCTGCATAATGACAAACTCGCCTCAACATATCTGTGGTGCGACATGAGAACGGGGTTCATACAAAGGTGACAAACAAGCAAGTCAAACGATTCAGTCTGTCACTTCTTACAAGAGGCGCTCTGATTTCGTAGAATATGAGTCGACGATATAATCTGTGAGTATCTCGGACAAGTTTGATATACAAACATAATAATGTCCTGTCATATATCTCCTACAGAGTGAATAATGAAGGGTGAGACTGGGTGACTCTTGTTCACTAAATGACATCGATTCATTTCTCATGAATCATCCCTACAAGAAATCTGACTCTGGCCATTTTGCAACAGTCTGTCACAAGACTTTTGATCTCTGATTTCGACTGCAGTCACAGTTTCCTTCTTAATCTTTGACTTTGATCCTATCTTCTCCCTCTTTTGGGTTTCTCATCTTGAGAGTATTTTTGACAATCTCCTCAAGTATTCGAACCCACTTCTTGCAAAGAACGAGACAATTGATCACAGTTCAACAACCATGAGACTCACCGCCTTACTTTCGATCTTTCTCTTCTACTCGTCGGTCCTGTCCGGCCGTGTTGGGGACGATCCAGACACGACCGTGCATTCGACCACGACCCTTCATTCTACTGTCACCGTCGGTCACTATAACGGCCCAACCTCAAGACCTTGGGCATTCCCCCTTGCCGGCGGAGGACCGAAATGGCAATGGAGAGGATCTCACGGTTTTGGTAGCAGCAACCATGCGGTTGGTGTCAGACAACGTGACGGTAGCAGCCATGACCATGATGGTGAACATAAGGTGGTGGAGATCCAGGACTTTGAAGGTATGTCTTGTCTGAGCTAACTGATGTTAAAACTGTTCTAGCGAATTTCCGCTTCCTAGGACTAACACTCGCTGGTCAGAAAATACACCTACCAAAACATGGCCAATGACCCAGGGCGACCTTCCCACAACTACTTTCGTCCGTTCAACTGTTTACTCCACAACAACTGGGACGAAGACAGTATCATTCAGTTCTCATATCCCAGTAGACTTGTTCAGACGAACTCCGCATTGTCAGGCAGGCTACAACATCTGCAAGGATGAGAAGTCGTGTTGTCCGGACGGGACTTATTGTGGAACGGACGTGTCGGGGCGATATGGCTGCTGCGCAGTTGGTGCAACCTGTACAGGGCTCGTGGGCAATCCCGGGTCTGTGTCAGTGTGGCTAACATCCACAGCCCAGCCCGTCAGCAATGCAGCAAGATCCAACTATCGACCGGCACCCTTCTTTGGTCTACTCACATCTCTGGTCAAGACCACATTTGGGGCGAGCGTGCCGGATGCCAACAGCTGTTCTGAAGGCGATGAAGTCGCAAACCCTGCTGCCAGAGCGGACCTGGTGAAACGATCGGAACATGTGACCAGGAAATATCATCACCATCATCATAACAACACCGCAATCTCTCTCAGACCACACAGAATGTTCAGCATGCTTGCGCCATGGCTGAGCGTTGGGACAGCATCACGGCATATGCCCGACCCTAGAACCGAGAATGGCGGGTTAAAGGTCAAGAATCGTGAAGTCGCCGATCATGAAGCCAGTGAAAATGGACACTACGTCGGCCAAAATGATCACGCTGTCAAGGGAGTTGTCGATGTGCCTTGCATCAAGGTGGAGAGAGATGTTGATGCAGAGCAGAGCAAAAATGCCAATGAGGCTCTTGGACTGGGCAGTGCACTAGTTTCTGCATGGGAAAAGGCGAAGGAGATTTGGTCCTAGGCGTATAATCCCGGTGAAGGCTTCTGCTCCTACTTCAGTTGGTTAGGGGCAGGAGTTTTCTTGACACTATGGTCGCTGTCTTCCCTGGCGTTGATGACAGCAAGCTGGACTCTGACCCCGGGAAATCGAAGTAACATCCATTTCACATTATTTGGATGACTGATTGTATGGCATAATATTTGCAAATCTATCAAATGGCATAAGATTTCTCTTAGGATAGGTCAATGTTGAGTTGAATGTCGTCTCCAAGGGATCTGGCACTAAATTCCCCAGACCACGTGACGAATCTCCGGTCTCTCCACTTCTTTTGTAGGAAGGAAGGCAGTGGGGGAAAATTTGTCCTCATCGTACCTTCTTCATCTCGGAAAGTTCAACACACTGATCACACACACCACAATCCAGCTCATCCACACATTCAACACAGGCATTCTTTTCACAATGCTTCGAAAACAGCTCCTCCGCCAGTCACGCGCCGTGTCTGAGGCCTTCACATCAACATCGGCGTCATCATTGCCTCAGCTACGCCGAGCTCACTTCTCCTCTTCGCCGCTCACTGCTTCCCTTCGACCAAGTCCTTCCTCCACATTGCCTTCACGATGGGTGTCTCGAAGATACCAATCAACGGACGCGGAGAAGAAAACTCAAGAGGAGACTCCTGCTACAGATGATGCCAAATCCCCCGAGCAAGCAAAGGAAGATGCTCACAAGGCCGAACTTGAAAAGAAGAACAAGGAAATCATTGACCTCAAGGTACGTGGCCAGCTACTATCGCCCCAGCTCACGACACAGCGAGCTGCAAGTCCTGTTGCTTGATAAGCTAATAAAATGTTTTCGCCTTTACAGGACAAATATCTACGCTCTGTGGCGGATTACCGCAATTTGCAAGATCGGACAAAACGAGACATGGATTCGGCACGACAATTTGCCATTCAAAAATTCGCAGCCGACCTTCTCGAATCAATAGACAACCTGGATCGAGCATTGACAGCTGTGCCTGATTCAGCCCTTGGAAAATCCGACGGCACCTCCACCACTTCCACTGAATCCACCGGTGAAGGTTCATCATCCACACCAGACAAAGATCTAGTCGCTCTACATTCAGGCTTGCGCATGACAGAAGAGATTCTCCTCAACACACTGAAGAAACACGGTCTCGAAAGATTCGACCCAACAGAAGGCAGCGGGCGAAAATTCGACCCCAACACCGACGAGGCCACATTTTTCACCAAGGTCGATGGCAAAGAAGATGGCGACGTCTTCTTCGTCCAGAGCAAAGGCTTCAAGCTGAATGGACGGGTCATTCGAGCTGCAAAGGTCGGCGTGGTCAAGAATTCCTAAACTTGGCACATTCCCGAGAAGGAAACACAAACTTTACAGACGAGAAACACTCAGCCCAAGAGGAATCTCCCATTCACTTGGCCATGAGATCTCTTCCCTTTGGGTACACCAGGTCACAGACGACCATACACTTCTCTCACCGACTCACATACCTACCTACCGACTGACCCATCGATCGACCGACCGAGGAAGCGACCACTGTCGACTTACCTCGTCTCGCGTCAACCTGACCTTCCACTCCAAAAATGGCCTCAAGAATAGCTGCTGGCCGAGGGCGATGAAAGATACCCTTTTACTTGTACAAAACAATAACCACACACTGCCATGTCCCTTGGAAAGAATACTCAATCCTCGCATGGCCTCTGACGAACACACACACACATACTGAACTCTGTGATGGGAACTATGGGGTCGGAATAGCAAACTAGACGTTTGTCCCTTTGGTTGTAGCATTGGGAAAGGAGTCTTTTGAACTGAGCCTGCAAATCCAAGCGAGGAATTCCATGTTCTTGTGGATTGTCATATTACTCTATATATACTCTGGCAAGGTATCCTGTAGATCAGACGGCTAACATGTCCCGTCGATAAACAATTAACTTTTTTTCTGCTCTATCTATCTTCACATGCTTGTAACCAGAAGAGTCGAGATGTTTTGTACACGGTTGCGGTTTCGCCATGATGCCACGTAGAATACTTTTAATCGTACACGCCCGAATAGTCCCATCACCTGAGCTCCACGTTAAGCGAATTTTGAAGGCGTTGGCTGACTTGCTCGTGCATGGTGTTGACTTCGTCGTTGGTCAAAGTCCGCTCCAGACTGCGGTAGTTGATGCGATAACAGAGACTTTTTCGACCACTCGAATTAACAAATTCATCGACGAGCGTCACGTCCTCAGCCAGAGCGCCGGCCACGTCACGGACAATTTCCATGACGTCGTTTTCATGGAACGCTGCTGGCTGAGTTTCACCAGGCGATGCCTTCGTCGCATCACCGCCAGCTGCGGCTGCTCCGGTCGAAGAAGATGGATCAGGATGAATGGGCGACGATGCTGCTGGGGATGGATTGATCCAAAAGGAAATGTCCTTATAGCAGGCCGGGTATTTGCTAAAGGGTTCGAACCGAGAGATCTTGCCCCGAGTGAATTGGTTGAGGAATCGGGGATCTGTGGACCAGAAAAGCCGGATGTCAGGGATGTTGAACAAGAGCATGGCGAATCGTTCAATGCCCAAACCCCATGCCCAGGCGATGTGATGGCGCAAACCGGCGTTGTTGAGAATGGGCTGCTGCACAACACCAGAGCCAAGTAGCTCAAGCCAGTCACCGTTGTAGAGAACCTCCAGCTCAAAAGACGGCGAGGTAAAGGGGAAATACGCTTCAATCCAGCGGCCTTTCAGTTCAGACTGTGGCTGCGTGGAAGCGCTAGGTGAGGCGGCGCGAGCAGCGGAGAAGATAGTGCGTGTAAGATGTTCCAGGCTCCGTTTCAAGTGTCGAACAACGGCATTGACTTCGTCCGGATGATGTTCCAGCTGCATCGGGTTCTTCTCTGGGTAGAACGAGGCGGCTTGATCACTGAAACGAGCCTCATGAATGGGGATGGTGGTGATGTCACTGAGAATTGTATTAAGACGCTCGCGCTCGTGGCCATAACGGTCCATCTTGGGGACGTTGGGATCAAACCGTGGGAGGCCCCAAATCCTAGCGCCTTCCATCTGGTGGAAGATCGGGAAATGGGACCTGTCGATTGCGTCTCGACGATAGACATCGGCGCAGATGGTATAGCCTGTGGCGCCATTTGGATCTGTGGAGAGTGCTTTGAATGCGTCGTGTTGGTGGGCTGAGGTATGAGTTCGCAAAAGATGAGACGAGTTGATGTAGTAAGTGTCGGTACGACTTCGACCAGGATGATCAGCAGGAAAACCAAGGACATCAAAATTGTCGGCGACAGTGACAACTGGATCAGCAACCGTATAGTGATTGTAAGTTGGTGAGGCAAAGCATGACTCTATCAACTCTCGAGTGATGGAGAGGGGGTGGTTTGGATTCGCATACAGATTTCTGCCGACGAGGTCGAGGATGGATTGTGAAACGTTGGTTGTAGCATCGAAGAGATATGGTTTCCCCAAAATTTTGGCCCCGGACAATCCAGGATTGACGTGGACAATCTTGTTGCCCTGGTCCAAGTCAAGAAGAATTTGTCGTAGTTGTTTTTCACGATCATCTTGATGCTCGGAGGATGACTTTGCTTCCGAGGCTGATGCGGCAGCTGTCTTTTCCGGGTCGACTTGCTGTGGGAGAGGGGTGGATTGATCAGGGAAGGGAGTTGCGGAGGACTCGGACGAAGTTGCTTGAGTGCTGGACCATCTTGAGCATGTTGACGATGCGTATGGATATGGTATGAGCTTTTGGGGAGGGGAAGGTGAAGAGATGCGTGCGGCCCGCGCTGCACGGATGAAGGCGCCGGTGTGACGCAGCTTCATCTCGTCAAAGGAACGGGGAAGCCGAGTTGGAGGGAGTGAAGGGCCGATGGACTGCGAAGGGTGCCGTGCCGTGCAGTTTGGTGTAGTTTGCTATAGTGTAGTGCGGTTGTGGTCAGGTGTTTTGTGGATACGCAACTTTTGCTTGGGGAGCTACGATCAGCCGCGAATTGCTCCTTCCAGTTCAGACCCCAGACGCGTCGAGGCGTTCTTGGGCGCTGCTCCTCCCCGGTCCTCGGTTATTGGTTTCCTAGGATGGGAAAGAATACTTTCGAGGGAAGGAGCCACCCTGTTCCCGGTCCTATCCAGTCTTTGCACGAGGCTGAGAATCTCACGAACCTCATTTATCAGATGTTTGCATGGCGTTCACAATTTCTGGGTACCAGTAATGGAGAGTTCCGGTTAATTCTGGCCTGCTGCGAAACGGCCACGGCCCGACTGGCCGACCTCGGGCTGCATCTCGAAAAGCCAGTGCATCCAATGCACCAAGATTCGTCTCGGAACCACTAGTCTTTCGTCATCCACTCCCGGAAGCAGCACGCACCCTCCGAACTTCGCGCATACTATCGGCACTGGGCGGACGAGGCCTAGTTTCTTGCTGGAACTTTTTGGAGTATCTCCGCGATTGCTCCAGGAGCCAAATGCGTAACACTCGTTTGTAAAACGCCCTTTTAACCTTTCAGTCGAGTCATCGCTTTCGCTTTTCCCTATATCCTCAGCAGAGTCCTGTCGCCTGCCTACGCATTTGTTACCTATCGAAAATCCCCCCTTGTCCCTATCGACGACCGTTCGTCCAATGGAGCCATGTCCACAACCGCTCTCCCTGCGTCCAAGTCGCTGCAACATGTCGACAAACCACAGAAGAAGTCTCAAGCCCTGAGATATCCTTTCTGGTTCGGCGGCAGTGCAGCTTCTCTAGCTGCCGTGGTCACTCATCCCTTGGATCTAAGTAGGGTATCCTAGCTTCTCATCCTTGTACCTTATTAACAAATTTGCGCAGTCAAAGTCCGCCTCCAAACACGAACGGCGCAAGCTCCAAAGACGACCCTTGGGACCGTCGCCTTCGTCTTTCGAAATGAGGGAGTTCTTGGTCTATATGCGGGCCTCTCCGCGGCCCTTCTTCGTCAATTGACGTACTCGACTGTTCGCTTCGGCGTCTACGAAGACCTCAAAACGCGATTCGCTCCAATACCCACCGAGTCAAATCCTAAACCACGACAATCTCTTTTGAATCTTGTTCTCATGTCATCGGCTGCAGGATTCCTGGGAGGCATTGCTGGGAATCCAGGTGACGTACTCAACGTCCGAATGCAGTCAGATGCGAGCAAGCCACTGGACCAGCGACGAAATTATAAGCATGCGCTTGATGGGTTGATTCGCATGATCCGTGAAGAAGGCCCGGCGAGCATCTTCCGCGGCGTCGAGGCCAACAGCGCAAGAGCACTTCTCATGACTTCGTCACAACTCGCGTCATATGATGTCTTCAAACAGATGTGTCTCCAAAAGTTGGGTATGTCGGACAACCTTGGCACTCACTTTACAGCATCACTCGCCGCTGGATTCGTGGCTACGACCATCTGTTCTCCGGTGGATGTGATCAAGACTCGAGTCATGAGTGCTGGTGAAAAAGTCTCGATCTTGACTCTATTGACCAAAGCCACCAGAAAGGAGGGTCTGCTGTGGATGTTTAGAGGATGGGTACCCAGTTTCATCCGACTGGGGCCTCAGACCATTTGCACCATGGTCTTTTTCGAGCAACACAAAAAATTGTACAGAAAATGGAAAGGGGTGGACGAGTGATTACTATTGCAACGCGTCTCGGATTTTCATTTCCAAAGGCGTTTCAAAATGGTTGCAGCGACACGACCACAGCACGAGGTGTCATGGCAGCCATATGAAGCTGATCTTAGCATAGGCACGGCGTTGATTGATGGGCATGAGTGACATGGGCTTGCCATCCGTTAAAATAATGTTGATGCGCCCGCACCCTTCGCATGATATTAGGTCATTTTCTGCTTTCTGTCTTGTTTTGGTGATTTGTAGGGTGGAATAGTCGGCCACGTGATCTATCCGACTTGAATTTCTTTCTTTCCAGCCTCATCTTGAACATCCCAAGAGAAAGTGAGGCTTGGTTCAAAGACCCAGCATGCGCCGTACCCCTCTTATAATCTCCCATAGCCGTCCTTGAGCTCACGCAGTCCAACTGGCTGTGCTCTGCAAATTTCAACGCCTTGAACCCTCTGTTCTACTCCAGACAAACAAGAGGTGCTTTAGTCCGGTCCCGGCAAATATTGCTTAATGATGTTCCCAAAGTTAAACACCTCTTACATCAACTCCACCGGTGGTCTCGATGTATGCTCCAAGATCTTTTTTTCTGGTTGGTCCAATTCCACATCGGAGTCATCCTCGGTCTCCAACATCACTGCTGGAAGAGCCGGACTATCTCCGTGATCCTTGGGGTCATATATCAGTGTTGCGCTGCGACTTCGCAATTTCATCGGCGATGCTGTGTCAGTCGTCGGCGAGGTTTCAACGGAGATACCCGATCGTGTTCGTGAGTGATTTGGTTGCAAAGACTTGGCCGTGGCGGGTTCTTCTTCGCTTGTATCGCCAGACTCATCGGGGGTGAATGTGGTGGTAAGTTTGCCACTGAGTTTTGCTAGTTTGCTGGCCAGGTCGTCGGCGTGGACCAGCTTGTTAGGTGGGTCCTCTGTTCTCATTTCCCAACCTACAGGTGGACTCGGTGGTGGAGAGATGAAGAAGAGTCGGCCAGCGTCGGGGCGGTCAAGGTATTTCTTCTCATCGCCAATCGGTGTAGGTTCACCAAAGTAACACTTGGCGACTGAGTGGCCGAGGAATGCGGTTCCGTCAATGACTTGCCGGACTTGAATTGCAGCATCTATGTCGTGGAATGAACAGATGATGCGGTGCATAGATTTCAACGGGGAGAATGAGTTGAGTTCTGCGATGGAGTTGATGTGTTGGCGGATCGTCGCGAGGGAGGCGGGGTGGAAGATTTTGGCATCGTCAAGTCGAGTGATCAGAAGGGTGTTTGAAGGCGGGGCAGGTTGTGAGAGGGGTGGGAGATTCGATAGATCTAGGGATAATGGAGAGTGTGATCGCTTCTTGTGGAGGGACGCAGGAGAGGAGGGGGCAGAAAGAGGTGGTGAAGCCGCAGACGAGATATTCTGGGTTTGTAGTGGTGACACTGCTTGCTGGGTGGGTTGAGCCATGGTAATATTGGCAAGGGAACGACGCAGTGACACAGAGAATATGGGGATTGTATGGAGGAGTGGCACAAGAATGTGAGGCGTGAGAAGAAAGAGGGAACGACCGTAAGATATGATACAGGCCTGTGTAGGATGATGGAGGCGCAGTCAACGTTCAAGGCATAGTCGTACTCGGACGTAACGGGGTGGAAGTCGCTGCCAAATACTCTAGCGTAGAACTGGTGAACCTGGGATGCGTTAGAATGCAAAGTGGCGATGAGGATGAGTGGATTCGGTCTGGTCGGTGACAAGGATTCTAGACTGACAAACTGTGCCACTGTCGTCGTTGTCGTTGTTGGAGGCGAGTGTGGCGGAGGAAACCAGTGACAGCGAGGCAGGTGCCTGCACCAGCCACAAAGAGGCGCCAATCCGGACTTCCCCGGCTGATCTTGGTGGCTTGGGATGGCGGGAGGGAACAACAATTCTCCGTTCCTTTTCATCCTTGCCTGTCACGTGTGAATTTGTGTCTGCTGCCTCTGAACACAACACGACCTACATCATCAACTACGTATTATTTGTGATACCTAACTTCCTTTAGGTAGGAACTGCTTCCTGTAGTGACCACATGATCCATCGTGATTGCCAAAAGCGGTCAGTGGGATTGCCTATCTGTAAAGTGTGACTTCCCTTTTCTTTCAAAGAAAAGAAACGTGACTTTGCCATCACCCAAGTCACCCCACACTCCCACTTTCTTCCTACTTGTTGAATACTACGCAAATATCCCAAGATCAATTGAAATCGCCTCGTACGTAAATGGTAGGTTAAAAGAGACTCATAAGGCAATAATGACCGTAACTTCACCGAATTAAATCCACAGGGCAAAAGACAACCACTGGCTACAGCCCAACCTGGACATTCTTGCGGGTCGAATTGCAGCGAATTGGAAATTCCCCCTCGTTGCAGACTTCTGCCCCGCTCAGAAAACAAAAAATTTCGACAACCAGTTGTTGGATTCGTTTGTACCTGGCTCTATTTCCACCTTTCACGCGGCCCGGTACCAATCTTGCGTGGTTGACCTTTTTGGTGAAGCAGATTGATTGCTTGAATGTAACAAGTCTCGCTGCCTAACTACTTCTTCATCCTGTCTCTCTTTCGTTCTCTCTACCGTTGTCCACGACTGCTCTTCCTCACTCACCGTCAACCTCACCACTTTCGCTACTTCAACTTCTCACACCCACTCAAAATGTCCGAAATCACACACCCCACCATCAAAGGTCGGTGACGAACGCACCCCTCACGCAGCTACTCTTTGACTAACCTGCTTTTCATGACAGATGGCTGGTTCAGAGAAATCTCCGACATGTGGCCAGGCCAGGCCATGATCCTCAAGGTCAACCAGGTCCTTCACCACGAGAAGTCCAAATACCAAGACGTCCTGGTCTTTGAGAGCAGTGATCATGGCACTGTCCTTGTCCTTGACAACGTCATCCAATGCACCGAACGAGACGAGTTTTCTTATCAAGAGATGATCACACACTTGGCAATGAACTCTCATCCCAACCCCAAGTCCGTTCTTGTCATTGGTGGCGGTGACGGCGGTGTTCTGCGTGAGGTTGTCAAGCACGAGACGGTTGAAAAGGCCATCCTCTGCGACATTGACGAAGCTGTCATCCGCGTCAGCAAGAAATACTTGCCCGGCATGTCCATTGGCTATCAACATCCTGCCGTCGAGACCTTTATCGGCGATGGTTTCAAGTTTCTGGCAGACCGTAAAGATGAATTCGACGTTATCATCACCGACAGCAGTGATCCTGAAGGCCCAGCAGAGTCTTTGTTCCAGAAACCTTATTTTGAGCTTCTCTACGGAGCCTTGAAAGAGGGTGGTGTCATTACTACCCAAGGTTGTGCGCTCCCATCCTCCCCACCCACAATAGTTGTTGATGAGCAGTTGTGCTCCAGTCTACCCTATTCAAACTGTGACAATCATGTACTGACTTGTGTCTCTCTCCAGCTGAAAACCAATGGCTTCACCTTCCACTCATCACCAAGCTCAAGAAAGATTGCAAGGAAGTCTTCCCCGTCGTCGAATACGCCTACACCACCATCCCCACCTATCCTTCCGGCCAGATTGGATTCATGGTTTGTTGCAAGGACCCCTCTCGCAACGTCAAGGAGCCTCTCCGCACATGGACCCCCGAGGAGGAAGAGAAGCTGTGCCGATACTACAACAAGGAGATCCACAAAGCCAGCTTCGTCCTGCCCACTTTTGCCCGCAAGCACCTCAACTAAGCACGCAAACTCCTACATGGGCCCCGACACGGACTCAAAGCCTCTCAACTGAGTCACTTCTTCATTTGTAATTCAAGCATGATACCAGGTCAAGCGTTTTTCTTTCTTCCCTACGGCTGTGTTGATCTCAGCCTTGACATCTTGTGGATCGATTCTTGGGCCGTTTGCGGCAGATGTACTTCTGTTGCCATGAGATTTGCAGATCATGGGAATTCTTTACAACCGACAAGACCGACATATGCATAGAAACATTGAACCAAAAAAATTATCGGGAGTTTGCACACGAATTTGCCGTTCCCAGATACAGTATGCTAGATGATGAGAGACGAACAAGGACTGTGGTAGAACCAATCCAAACAGCGATAACGCAATCTGTTTCAAGACACAATTCCGAGCCACTCTTTTTGGAACTGGCTTGCAGGGATCATTGAGCCCTGTGTGCCTGTACGCTTTTCCACAGCACATGCTTTCTGCTCATGACTTCACAAATAGTGGAAACCCTCCAAAATGATGTCACGACGTGATCATAGAACTCTATCAACTCTGATTTGTTCACCCCGGCGAGGCAGAGTATTTAGACCATCGAGATGATATTAAACATGGGCGAACTCTCATCTTCTTTTTTCCTAAAGGTTCATCTATTGCGATTTCCTCATACGAGACAATACCCACAAGGAGCTACTACGATTCCAATCCCCAAAGCATTATCCTTCAATAGTCAACAATCAAACCATCATGTCTTATGCTGCAAATTCCAGGGCCCCCCAACTCGACCCCTCGAAAGTCTCTCAAGAACCCACAGGAGCTGTGACTTCTGACTCCCTAGCTGCTGATTCAATCAAGCAAGGTGGTGGGTTTGCCCAAAACGACAATGCTGTCCCACTGTCAGTCAAGGGAGCCTCGTCGACTTTAAACACCACAGACACCTCGGCCGCGAGCGCTCTCCATCCGGCACCTTCTGGTGCCGCACGCGAGCAACAGGACGCTATGGGTGCGGGTCCAGATGAGCGTGGCACGACCGGACTCAAGCTTGACGCTCTGGACGACCCTCAATTCAGCGGCACTCACTCCCTGCAAGGGTATTCTGGAGGACCCTCCACTAAGACCATTGGCTCGTCTGCAAGCACTGGACCAGCAGGTGCTTCAGATTTTGGAGCCACCACTACATCAACGTCTGGAACACCTGCCTCTGGTACTTCCAACATCACATCTTCGTCAGCAACAGCAACGTCCAATGCCTCTGCTGGGGCCGGTGTTCGACCGCATGTCCCCACTGCGCCTAATTACACAGGCGCCGTAACAGGGGATATTGCTCCGTCTGGGACATTCAAGCCCAAAGGGTCCAACTTGGATGATGCCGACCTGACAGATAGTATCCCCAAGACCAAGACGTTCACTGGCAATGTAGGTGGGGTCAACGACCCTGGTCGTTTGGCCGAGCGAGACTTCGAAGGAGTCAACACTGAGCCTACTCAGGAGTCTAGTCAAAGTGGCACCGCAGGAGGTCGTCAGAGAGCCGGCGAGCTGGAAGTGGGTGGTAAATTCAGTGCGTTGGAGAGTGAGAGAGCCTAGAGATCTTGGTCATGTAATATCAAAAGTACAGGGAGTCTTCCATGGGCATCATTAGTTCATCAAGGTCTGCATTATGAGTTGCAAGGATATAAAACACATGTTAGCATGGTTCTGAAGCATGAAAAGGCTATGAATGCACATCTTTCTAGGCATGCCTCCAAAAAATAAGCGCCAATCCTCGTATTCTTACAGGCGGTTGGACGCCCGAGGGGCCGAATCCACATACCCCAGACCCCCTCTGCCGAGGCTTAGAGCGCTACTGGTAAACGGTGACAAACCCATCTACACGTAGTATCCGTTGCAAGACTCATTGTTAGACGATGGGCTAGACGATGGTATCTTGAATTCAAGCTAGATACATGACCAGCCCATTCTGTTTAATTGTGCTAGATGATACCAAGTGAAGTCCCCAATGCATAGGCAGGCATTGCCCAAGCGGCGAGCACCATACGCCTCAATCGCATGGTAAGAATCTCACCTCTATGTCAACGGTGGTGCCTTTCTGACAAGATTGTAAATCTACAGCGAGGAATGTAAGCGAAGGAAGATAAAGGTACAGAAGCCTCAAAGTCTTACACAGAATGGAATCGCTGACCTGGCTTCAGTGTTCTGGCCAATACCCCTGCCGACCATGTATCACTGCAAGAGCCAGAACTTGCAGCTACCTCCATGGTGAACGGCAAGCGAAGCGTCAAAAGACTGAACCGCCATCTACACCTGCTAGTGGCAGAGGCCAGCAACATGAAGTTCAAAAGGCTATCCAGTTGACTCCAGACCAGCGAGGAGCCGATGTGGCTTGCCAACCCTTTCACCATCAGCACTTAAAGTATCTGATTCCACCACCACCACGTCTCAATGATGTTGCTTATCAAAAAGGTCATTCAGAAATACCTCCAACAATCATTGAAACAAGGCTTCAGCCAACTCGAGATCTGGGCCGTGTTCTTCAATGTTTCTTCGACGAGATAGAGGCATTCTATCCCTGCATCGATCGGACCGATTATTACATTCGCATGGCAGCAATGTTTCGGGACGGCTACAGATCTCGTGGGCTTCAACGTCAACACATCTCCCTAGCGGCACTTACTTGCACCATGGCCGCCATAGGTGTCTACCTCGGTGGGGAATCACAGCCCAGAGACGCCGACGAAGACTATATCAAGTCTTCACAGGAATGGTTTTGCGAGAGCCAACGACTTCTCGAAGTCCTTGAACCTTTGCCAGATTTGGATCTCCTTCGCCTTCACCTTCTCCGTGTCTTGTACATGACGATTCTTCAACGTAGGGCAGAGTTGCCGAAAGTCATGTCTGCTGCGGTCGATGTCGCCTTTGGCGTGGGATTGAACGACGAATCTTCGTGGGGCCCTCTCAGCGCTCGTGAGCGAGACTATCGCCGTCTACTGTGGTGGACGTTGTGCTTCATGGACTGTCGCCTCGCATTAGCCAATACAAGACGGATCAAGATCCAACATAGCGACTTTGCTGTATTGGCTCCTACTTCGACGGCATTAGACCTTTTCACGGACCCTGAAGAACGTCGAGGCTTCGACTTCAACGCTGGCCTGCAAGATTGGCCCATGCCCTCAAATCGCACACAGGTCTGGCTCGATTACGTGTGCTTCTGTGTGCAATTCACTCAATTGGTCTTATTCTCCTGGGAGAAGGTATTCAGTCTCAAAGCTACAAAGGGAGTCCAAAATCCCGAATTGCTGGCTGAAGCAGAAATATCCCTGCTACATCTCCGGAAATCAATACCAGCTTCTCTCCTATGGGATGTGTTGTCCCTCCCTGGATCTCTCGACCTGGGAGATCAGGACCGTACTTTCCGGTTGAAGCTAATCGTTCATGAGGTATGAGAGTCCTTCCATCCCCAGGTTTCTTAGGGAGCTCAGACAGCTAAATAAAAGAGCAGTCCATCAACATGCTACGTCTACACATTCGTTGCCGGTCATCCGACGTTACTCCAACCACGACTTTGCGAATCGCTTCCCCCACACCCAGCGCGGAATCAATCGCCGCAGACATCCTCACATCTATATCCCACTACTTCAGTGTGCGGGGCCGCTCGCGGCCATGGACGACCTATGGAAGTATCTTGATGGTTGAAGCTGCTTCTCTCGTCAAACACTCCCTCGTGGCTTCAATCCTTGACAAAGCTTCCCCATCCACACCCCAGTTGGCATTCACATCAATGTGCGCTGCCATCAGCTGCCTCAATCGATTTAACATGAGAATATGTACTGACGCTTCCTCCGAACTTGCTTCAGTCTTGTGCGAGGTTCAACTGTCTATCCCATACACCATCCCTCCCGAGATTGCTCCTGGCCTCCCCGGGTATCCCAGTATGCATCAACAGGGCCCAGAGCTACACAAATGCGATGACGAAGCACCTGACGGGATATCTATGCTTCCAAATATCGCGTACCCAAGAATACTTGATGTCTCAAACGGCTGATTTAGACCAATCTCACAATATCCCCTCATCATTGTCCTTGCTTGTGAATCTCTGGGAGAGGTTGATTATCATACCCAGACTCCCTCTTTTCAGGACTTCCTCTTTCTGGACACAACACGCACGAAGACGGCTCCCTTCTTTGCTTGACCTATCAGCTCAAACTGTGCAAATTGTTAGCGGCATGAAGTAGTTTTCAGGAATACTCCGCAACATACCCTGAACGCAAGCATCAAGGTTGCAACAACCTTGAATATTTCTAGATGGACAATATTCTTGCCAATACACGTCCGGGACCCTTGACCAAATGTCAAGTCGGTCCTATCCCACACTTTTCGCCTTGTGATGAACTCGTCATCACTTTCGCCCTCTTGGCGCATCCAACGCTCTGGTCGGTATTCTTGTGCGTCGGGTCCGAATATACGGGTGTCTTTGTTAATTGACTCGGCAGGGCAGCCAATCATGATACCCGGAGGAATAGAATAAGGCACATTGGGAAGCTTAAGACCTTCAGGTCCTGTGACACGCTGCAAGTTGAAAGATGCGGTGGTGTGCAATCGATATGCCTCTTTGATGACACCTTCCAGATACGGCAGGTCTTTGACATCGTCGAATCCTGCTGGCGTGGAGAAACCGGCATCTTTGAGCTCGGCGTACAGCAGATCCTGCGATTCAGGATGATTGGCGAGATACTGGCAGAGACAGTCAAACGTGGAACTTGGACTCAGGCCACCAGCAATTAAATTCCCAGACGTGGAGATCATGACTTGCTTGACGTCCATGAGTGGCTTTTCTTTATGAGCGGCGACAAAATGTGAGAGCAAGTCCGGTCGGGGCATGTCTTCTGGGTCGGGATTCTGAATTCGGTCATTGACTTTGGATCGAATAGCCGCCATGAAGGGCGATGGCTTGGTCCTGCGAAAGACAAAGTTGTCTTGGAATACTTTATGCAACCATGGCATTTGTGCCACTGCGGCAACATATACTCCGAATTCTCTGATGCGCTGAATAAGTCCAAAGGCATCTTGGCCAGCACCGTCCATGAATCCGAGAGCGGTGCCGGTGGTGATCTTCGACACAACATCGAAGCAGTCTAGACACGGTCAGCTGGTTACATATCGCTCAACTACTCTGTTCCCAAACTTACAAAAGTGCGTCCATCGACTGATGTTCATGGGCTCACCGCTCTCGGCGTGTGTATCACACACCTGCATAAAGCGATTGACCATCTCGTCAACATATGGTTCATAGCCCTTGAGCGATGACATCGAGTATGCATTGGATACGAGCTTGCGGTATTGCGAATGCGTCGTTTCGCTGGATATACTCAGCAAGCTGGTCGTTACCCCTGGTTGTCTGAACGGAATATAAGCCGGGCCCTTTGGAAACTTGTGTCAGTCATACGCTCTCGACTCATGCTTGAGACTCGGGAATGTTACCTTGTCAAGGCGCGCCCGCACCGAGTAGATGACAGGCACTGCATCCGGATCCATGACGATAACTGAATATGGACCAACGCGTACGACATCGCCATACTGGTCCTGCAATTGTCTGTGAAACCGGCCCTTTTCTCCAGTTCTCGCGATCTTCCGCGCCTGGTATAGGCTCCAGGCATCTGTATACCGCGCAAGAAACGGGCCTGGAACTTGTGATAGACCAGCATTTCCGCTGCTGATGACCAGCCAGGTTACCCAGGTAATGCAGATGACGGCTACTACCCCCAAGGCGAGAGTCTGGTCAGTAGCATTCTCTCTAATTCGTGAGACTAGTGGATTCTCCATGTTGAATGAGATGGTGACGAACTGGTGGTAGACGTCTTCTGAAGTGATGGAGAAATTATCTGTTCTAGATATCTGAAGGCTGCTATCCCTCGATAACTCTCTTATATACTTTACTAGGTCATCCAGTACCTCACTCCCCCCAGATAAAGTTCCTAGTATTGGATCCCAGGAATAGTCGAGATCCAGAATCTCCTCACTCTCACAACCAATCAGAGTTCTGGTCGGGGAGTCCAAGCACGGAATGCAAGTTCACGGAATCTGCAAGGACGCGGAATCTGGGGTCTTTGCCTGATGATGAGGGGAGATTAAATCATGGGCATGGGAGGGGCCGAGGGGGCTGACTACGAGTATATGACGATTACGACATCGCTTACGACTCCTTTAGGACTTGATCGATCTATGCGTTCGCTCTAAAACCAATCTCGACGAAGATCGGCCTGAAGTAAGTTGACTACAAACTCCCTTCTCAAAGAACTTTCAGTAAGACACAACTCTAAATAAAGAGGACTCTCCGACTCTGCTCAGACATAACTTCCATGACGAAGGTCCCTTCTTCATCTACCAAGGAATGACGTCGCCGTTGAAATTGATAAACTGTCCAGAATATTTTTCTTTCGTTGCATTGTCCACCTTGACAAGTTATTAGTATTCCACTAATAATCCAACGAAGTTCATCTAGATGTTCTTACCATTCCAATGAGGCTTTGTACGCTTGAGGTCATGTCCTCGAATTGAGGTTCTTCAAGTCCATACGCTTTGACTGCACCTCGTCCCATGTCGGTTTCCAAAAACCTATTGGAGGAGCCATTTGTTAGCTGGTGGGTAACCTTTCAAATAACTTGGGAACTGAATTCTATCAAAAATCTCTTTCTGTTTTTGCAGACACTCACCCAGGAGAAACCGAGAAAGCGACAATATCAGGAAAATCAACGTGAATCGTCTTGGTAAAGTGATTCAACGCCGCCTTGGACGCATTGTACGGATACATCTTGAAGAAAGAGTACTTCTGAAAATCTTGAATCGACGCAACCGCAGAGCTGATGGCCATCCATTTCGGCGACTCGGCTTTATCGAGAAGTGGCTTGACAGCAAGGAATAGAAAGGTCGGTCCCACTGAATTGACCATGTAGACTTCTGCCACGTTCTGAGGGTTGATGGATTCCATCGGTCCTTGTTGACCTACAGTCCCGGCATTGGCAATCACCACGTCGAGTTTCCAGATACCTTGGGCTTGGAGTTCTTTCACGGCTTCGAATGCATCGGTTGTTGAGGTTGATTCGATTTTGACGAGCACGAGTTTGGTGCCTTCTGCTGTGGGCAGGTTGAGGAGATCAAGCGCGTCAGCACTCTTGACGTTGCGGACAGTGCCGACGACAATGTGGTTCGGTCGAGCGAGATATTGTTTGACGAATTCTTTACCAAGGCCTGTTATTCTCGTGTCAGTCAAGTCAGTCACACTATTCTCTGTGCCATCGATATCGAGCACCGTCATGGTTCCATCTCACCAACCATTCAAACTTACCTCGATTGGCACCAGAGATGAGAATATTCGTGGAACTCGCCATGGCGATACTTTTTCGGTGGCACTGTTTGTTATTCTTACACCCCAAGGCAATCAATGCTTGTCTATGCGATTGTGCTTGCGCGTCTATGATACTCTGCGTGAAGTCAGGATGCATGGCTAATTCAAGTTTTCCACCTTTTCCTTTTATGCTGGGTTGATGTCTTGTTTGCTAGCTCGCAGAACCGGTGAAATTTAATCATGATTGGCATATTTGATGAGATTTCGCATGTGAGTGCACGCCTGATTTCAAAGCGACGCCATCATACGAATGATTGACTGGCTTCTAAATCCTCGCAGGACCAAGATTTTCTCAGTCAGCAAGAGCTGGGAAAAATTGCCGCTGAACTTTACAGTCAAGTTCAACTGAACAATCGACGTCTCATTTTCCGGTTTAGGAAGCATTGATACGATTACGACTGGTACGTACCTTAGGTGTTGCGTTGCCAAGTTACCCGCCTTGTCTTGGTTGCTGGTTGCCATTTGTTCGGACCCTCGGACCTGCTTGAAGGTCCGGATGTCGCGATCGTTGTTTGCATGGAGGTATGGAGACAAGAGCTTGTCCATTACCATTTGTGACCATTCCTTTGGTGTCTCTGATATGCCATCACTGCTGAAAATAGAATTTATAGTCCTTACTGTGGACTTACTCATCAAGGACCAGTTCCGCACAAGATCAAATAAGCCTTTACTACGATTGTGTCGGCTTTTTCTGCTGTGAATTGGCATAACTACGTAGGTACAGACTGCTTGCTATAGACCAACTTGTTCACTCCACGACACGAAGAGAGTCTTTGACGACCAAATTATGACGAGCTTTTCTGACACCTTCGTCCCTGGGGCCCAGCCAGCAAGCTGAGGCAGTAAGTTGATTTAATTGGCTGAAACTCTCTCCTCACCACTAAAACGGCAGGGCCAACAGGATGCCGGCTCCAAGTAGCATCTTCACCTCGGCATGTTCGCCTCGGTAAGTCCGGTTTAAGGACATCGACATCTGGCCACGACACGACGAGCGCAAGTTCTATACCTTTGATCGTAGACATTCCAGATTGCCGAGTAGTATAGTCTTTGATTCGACGACCATCATGAGTGACCAACAGCTGCCAACATCATACAGTTCATTACCATTTCGCCACATCAAAGTGGAACATGTACCGGCATCATCTCCGACTCCAACGCCAGTCCTTTTGATCAAGCTCCATCGACCAGAAAAATTGAATGCATTTACTTTTGTAATGCAAGATGATCTGGAGCTGGTGTATCGACTTGTGGACAAGGATCCACGAGTCAAATGTCTTGTGTTGACAGGATCGGGAAAATCGATGTGTGCAGGGATGGATTTACAATTGGGATTTGGGAAAGACGCAGAGTCTTCCACACAGGAGCGTGAGAGAAATGCCGATCATCGAGATTCGTAAGTCGAGAAACGAAGATACTTACAACATGTACTGGTGCTGACGCTGTCGCTGTCGCAGAGGTGGCCAAGTGGTCCTTGCCATCCATCAATGCTCCAAACCCACCATTGCCGCAATCAACGGTGCTGCCGTTGGCGTCGGTATCACAATGTGTCTACCGGCAGCAATCCGTGTTGCATACGCAAAGGCCAAGATTGGATTTGTCTTCAGCCAACGAGGAATCGTCATGGAGGCGTGCTCTTCCTTCTTCCTTCCTCGTCTCATTGGACATTCACGATCACTCTTCTTGACCACGACTGGTGGAGTCTACACTGCCGATTCCCCCCATTTCGGCCCTTTGTTTGCTGAGGTCTTGCCAACTCCCGAAGCAACTGTGCAAAGAGCCCTCGAGCTTGCCAATCAGGTTGCCAACAATACGTCAATCGTTTCCACCAAGTTGATGCGAGATCTCATGTATCGAGGCCCACTCAGCGCTGAAGAGACTCACCTTCTTGATTCGAGAATCCTAGATGGGATTCACATGAAAAAGGATAATAGTGAAGGGGTGCAAAGTTTCTTGGAGAAAAGGCCAGCGAGGTTTGAGGGTGCGTTGCCTGCTGATGGACCTGACGTGTATCCTTGGTGGACACCGGTGGATACCTCGAAGGTATCACCAGTGAATAGCAAGGGTGGGTCTTCGAAATTATAGGCTGGGTTCTATGGTGATATATTTTGGTTTGATCACAGAATCGAATATTAGTCCTGTCCAGATACAACCAGAAAAGTTGACTTTGTTGAGAGTGGCCGTGTTGTCGTGTTGCTTTGAAAGTCATATGCAGATATTGGTCCCGGATCCACCAAGGCATTCCAACCCTGTCCTTCACATTCGATGGTAGGAAGTCATTCGCGAAGTCTGTCTGGTTCCCGAAGTTGAACATCATTAACTTTGCACTTGATCCTTTCCACTACCATCGGCACTGAAGAGACGTATCCCTTGGATACTAGTGGGCCTGGGAATTTTCTGTTGTCGCTCAACTCTGATCCCACAAGCTGGATATGACTTAGGTTGTTGATTGAAAAACAAACCTAGGCAGTGCTGCTGGTTGAAAAGTCTGGTTGACATGATTGAGTGATTGGTCTGATAGGAATGTTGATGGTTTGATATTACAATCAGGGTAAGAATATGTGGACGTACCAGAGATGGATCAGGCATTGTCGTCGGTCAATCTACGATCTGTTGTCGCATTTGAGCTAGGCGCGGTGGCTGCGACGAGATGAAGGATGTAGTCCTCTAAGTTTCCTTCTGACCCATAGCAACATCGCGTTGTCCGTGGATGTGTAAACCCGTTCCATGTCGTTGAAAGTTTATATAACCCACTAGCGTAGAATTTATATGGCTGGCCAACCATATTATCGAGCACCATATACACTTTGTCGATATAGTTGGTTTCTTCTATCTCGTGATATATGGTTCCACTATAAGAAAAACACACCCAACTTCACTGCCTGTAATTATCCCACATGAATGGAGTTGATATTTCACCCCACCGCAGCAAACATATTAAGGTTCTCTTTCTATGGTTCAACCAGAAGGATTGATACATCGCCAGCCTTTCCCATTCAATTGTCCAATCCAGAACACTTGCCCCATTATAACAGCCCATCATCTTCACCTGCGTGCCAATCTAGTGCCATTGTCCATAAGAAATGTCATTCACTGCAAACTCAATCAGGGGCAGATTCTCCCAACAACCGTGGTTCCCCAGTAGATCGTCAAGATCAAGATGTGAATGGCAGGAAAATGATGGTTTCTGATCTCAACAGAATCAGTCTCGCAGAAACCAGGTTGATCTTGTCACCCTCCAGACCCTTCCTCTTTTCTATAAGTAACAGCTCTTTCCCCCTTCATTTCTTCTTCCCTTCTCCAAGTCCACAGTAGGTAAGTCCTCTCAACTGAGGTGCCTCACACTGATCCTGTGGCCAGTTGTGAGGTGGGTCGGCTTTGGAGTGCACAGTTTACTGTGTCGGGTACCTCACCTCCCTCCTATCCCTTCCCTCTTGTCCCTTCCCTCTTGTCCCTTTCCTCTTGTCCCTTCCCTCTTGTCCCTTTCCTCTTGTCCCTTCCCTCTTGTCCCTTCCCTCTGGTAGTCCCCCTCCCCTTCCCTCTGGTAGGATGTCTGCTAACGCAACATCATCATCAAAATGCCATTGTGCCTTGACAGATTATGCATTGCTTTCATTGCAATGTGTGCTTGACTTGTGCCAGGCGACATTCATCAGTGTTGGCCACAAAGCCCCTCGTGCTATTCTTCTCCCTTTAGGTCTATCCTCATCCTTAGAGTAGTCGTAGTCATAGTCGTAGTTTATACTATCTTTATCCCCCTTAGGCCTATCATTAGCCTTAGAGTAGTTGTAGTTGTAGTTGTAGTTGTAGTTCATGCTATTCTTATCCCCTTAGGCCTATCATTAGCCTTAGAGTAGTTGTAGTTGTAGTCGTAGTCGTAGTTCATGCTATCCTTATCCCCTTAGGCCTATCCTTATACTTACAGTAGTTGTAGTCGTAGGTCATGCTATCTTTATCTGGGCCTATCATTGTCCTTAGTGTAGTCGTAGTCAACTCATTGCCTTATGACTCTGAGGTGTTATGTCATCATCTACCTTAGGTAAGTCAGTACTAAGTGTAGTTGTAGAGCACAACATAACTGTGTTGTACTCAGTAGTATTTGATTCTTTCCGTTATCATTCTTCGTTATGTTCCTCTTACTGTTTGTGATCAAAACTGCCAGTGCTTGCAACACGCGCAACACACTTGTACTTCATAGGGGTGCTGCTGTCGGTGGCCGTTGATCACCGCATGTCATTGTTCTAACTAGTCAGATAACTTAACGGTAGTAGTCGATCCTCGTTCTAGTTAATCCTGGTCTTGATATTAGGAGATACAACATAAGACGCATGAAATGGTCGACAGCGACGTCGTCGCCAGTGGAAAAGGGTCAGCATCACGTGTGGCGTCTTTGAACACCTCGTGTCAGTTATCGCCCCCAAGCACAACGCCGCGAAAATACGACCGAAACCACATTCAGTTAGAGACATTCGAAGTCAATCTGCGAATCGGGCCGGTCCTGAATATTTCCGACCAGCATCCTCGTAGCGATCTAGGTAGCCATGGACGTTGTGAGGCTGAGTCTTGCATCTGCCCTCGCAGAGTCATAACTCCAGGTCTAGAATTTCAAGCGTAGAATTGCCAACGTATTATCATTATGCCTTTCAAATTCGCATACATCGAGTCAACCGATTGAGAATGCCTGAGGGGTTGATTTAAACACCCATGCATCTCTCTCACCTATGATTGACCTGACTTCGAGATGCTGAGTTAGGCCCTGGGGAAACATAAGAACATAACCTGATTGCACGACTTCAGAACCTCAAACCCCCAGAAGATACAATAAATCCATGGCCGAAGTCGTTGCCATAATCGGCCTGGTGGCCGCCATCGCGCAATTCATCGAACACGGCAGCAAACTCATCGTCCGACTCAACGAATTCTCGGCCATAAACAACGATCAACCCAATGTCTTCAGCACGCTCAAAATCCGACTCACGGCCATAATATCCGTCATCAAGCGGATTCAAACCCAAATTCAAACTCGGGCTTACTCAATATCCGAACCAGAACAGGAACAAATGCTACCGATCATAGAGAACACCATCGCACATATTGCACAGTTAATCAACATGTTTGATAAGATTGTGCCACCACATGATAAAAGTCGAATGTGGCAGAAGTATGTTCGGGCGTGGAAGAGTTTGGCGACGGATAAAGCGGTGCAGAGGGTGAGTGGGAGGATTCAGGATAATATTCAGATTCTTTCATTGTTTCAGACGACGAGTTTGGTGGAGTCGAGTCAGAAGTTGATCTATGGGTATGGACGTGGAAATGGGGATATATCGGCTCAAGTTGAAGTTGCTGGATTGTCCGCGACGACTGGTGCTCAAAGTATGGCTGCTGTTGTTGTGTCGGAGAGACAGTCATACGGCACAGCGACGGCGGTTGAGACTGTGGTTTCGATTTCCAGTCTGGAGACGGAGACTCAAGTTCAGACCAACACAGCTGAGCATCAGACCTTGCTCGATACAAACAGCGGCAGCAGCAGGAGCAGCAACAGTACCAATTCTGAGCCTTACACCCCCAATACGATGAAAGCAACATCCACCAACAAAGACATTCCCATCTGCCGCAGCTTATGCAGCTGCATCTGCCATCGCCCATACCTTCTCTCCACGCCCGCCATGCTCAGCCGAATCTTCGGACGGCTATCAATCGATATGCCAGGAAACGGACTTCCCATGATCCGATGCACCGAGCGACAATGCCAACGACGACGAGACATCAGTGGAAACATGACATACCAACTACCAGGATGGATGTTGGATCGAATGGTCCGAATCAGCGTGAAGAAAACAGCACTCAACACGCACATCAATCTCAACACGATGAGAATCTTGCCGGATTCAGCCGAGATTTTCTCGGTTGTGTCACGAGGAGATTTGAATAGACTTCGCAACATGTTTGCGACGCAGCAGGCTTCTATCTATGACATTTCCAGTGGCGGATGGACATTGGTCCATACATCTTTCACGCTAAATCGGAGAGATGTCACACAGTTTCTGATCGATCAAGGTGCGGATCTGACGATTGGAGCTGCTAATGGCAGTAATGTCATGGAGCGGGCGTGGACGCAGGCGCAGAAATCTAATGGACCGCCGGGCCAGTTCGTCGTCAGTGACAGCCAGATCCTGAGAGAAATCGATCTGGACGACTTCGTGTCGCAACAGCAGTATAACCTCGTGCATAAAGCTGTATTAGGAATCACGAAGCTGGATCTGGGGGTACTGCTTGATTCGTCGACGGCCGATATTGATGGCGTTGATTCACGACATTATACGCCGCTTTGGTGGGCGTGTGTTCAGGGGAATTTGGATGCGATCAAGACGTTGCTGGACCATGGCGCATCGCATGCCGTTGGTAGTCGAATCAACCAATTGCCTCTGCATATAGCACGCAACGCTGCCGTTGTGCATTTGCTGCATCAGGGTGGTGCTGAGATTGATGCTGTCGACACTTCAGGACGCACTGCCTTGCATTGCTACTGCTATCGGCAAGTCGGATCGAGTGACGAAATCGTGCGAGCGATCCTGGAGTGTGGCGCAAATGTGAATGCCCGCGCCTATGGCCAGCAGACTCCTCTTCACTATGCAGTCATGTTCGACAATGATGCCTTGGTTGATCCGCTGATCGAGTTCGGTGCTGACATTGCTGCCACGATGCGTGGTGGCTGGACTCCCCTGCTGGCGGCCATTAGATACGACCAGGCCTCTTGTGTGGCCAAGTTGTTGGAGCATGGTGCCGATCTGACATGTAAGGATGGTCTCGGTCAGGGGCTTCTGCATCTGGCTGCACAGCATGCTGGTGTTCAGTGTATGAATGTTTTGGCGGATGCAGCAACTGTTTTCACGGTCGACGTGAGTGGCGATGTCAAGGATGACCTGGATCGGACCGCTCAGATGTACTATGACATGAGGGAAGGGAGGACGGAGAATTTGGACATGGCGTTTCGACATCTTATGACGGCGTGGCGGCGGGGTCAGGGGCCTGACCATGGTAATGAGAAAGAGGACGATGATATGAGATATGAGTGTGACTGTGACGATGAGAAGAACAGAAGTGAATTGCAAGAGACGATCTTGGTTGGAGCTTACACTATGCCAGGGTCTTTTATTGTCAATACAACTTGGTCATGATTGAGCGAACGATGATGTTGGTATGCAAGATAGAATCTCGTCAATTGCGAAAGATGAATTGTTGGAATCCTGAACGGGTTTTGCTGGGCCCTTCGAAGAGACAACCCTCCTGTCCTCGATCACACCAAAGGATGAGGATGGATCCATTTCCAGCGTCTTTGTATCCTTGCCGCCCCGTGTGAACACGATTGTGCAGCCTCATCTGACTAGCGGAGGAAATCCCTAGGCCGATCTTCTCCACAACTGTGTCTTCCTAGCATCTTCCTGTTCTACCCAGATCACCAGGTAGCTTGCTGGAAGAATGGCTGGATATCGTGGTCGACATACATTGTGCTGTAGACGCGCTTGTCCTCTGGACAATCAAGGTTATGTTCGATAGGTGGCACGGTCAACATGATGGCAGTCGACTCAGTGGTGATGGAGACGATCAAATGGTAACGTCCTACGATGAGGCCGGTGGTGATGGTCGTGTGCCTTGTCTTGATCGTAGTTTGAATGGCAATATAGCCATCCTCAAGAACAACAACGTCTTGTTCAACAGTCGTCTTGGGCATACTCGTCGACGTGGTCGGCATGTCAGGAGCAGCGCTGTAGGGCGGTGGGCTCCCAAGTGGGCTCCCAAGTGGTCTCCCAATGCGTAGAGCTGACATTTTGAGATGATGGTATATCGTACGATAAGATAGATGGTTGGTACGAGATATGACGTGGATGGTGTAAGTCTGCTGCAGGCAGAGGTGTCGTCTTGACTGGGCGACGGCGAGAAAATGAGGAATTCGCCTTTCCAGTCATGTTGCGGAAAGAAGGTACGACCGGCCACAGACAATACGGTCCTTTCCTCGTTTGTCGCATTTGGAGACGCGAGTGGCAGGAACCATATCATGCAGAAGGAATTACCAAGTCTCCTCAAGACTCCAAGCCAATAAATCCATCAAGACCGTCCAGGACATCCTTGGCCACACCGCCAGCAAATACCTCCTTGATGACTGATTTCAGAACACTTCTCTTGATACCTCCCACTCTCGGCTTCCACACGCCAGGAACATCGATACCTTCTTGAACTTCGCCAGATTGTGGAACGCCCTTCATAGTGTCTCTTGCCGGCGTGTTGATCATCCTCGTTGCCAGTAGTCTCAGATCCTTGCCATCAGGTCCACCGACACCAACACTGACAGCCACAACGGCATCGGCCACGGCAAGTTCTTCTCGACTGGGATCGAAGATGACGCTTTCACCAACCACGACGACGAGTAATGTCACCGGAGGTTTCTCTGTTGCCGGTGAGGTTGTCTGAGGATGGGAGATGGACTCGCGAGGGTACAAGAAAGTGCTAGCCATCCAGTCGTCATTGGCAATGGGATCTTCCTCGCCTTGGCTGGCTAATTTTGGAACACGGGTGTCTCGAAGGGCGAGATGAGTGGCCATACTCAGTAGAGGCAGTGGGTAGCTAGCCAGACCATGGGGAGAGATGAGGAGAACATCAATGTAGATATGCCAGTGCCAACGGTGGTTGATGACGAGCTTATCCTGTAGCGAGGGGGATTGTGAAGACGATGTAGACGAAACAACAAGAGGCTCTCGCAGCATCTCCTCCAAGAAGACTAGATTGGTATCATCGTCCCTCAAACCAGGCAAAGTGAGATTCAACGTCACCCACTCAGGATTTCGTTGTGGAGTACTGTTCTCTTGATCTTGCCCATCCAAATCCATGGCACCGTCTACGACAAGAGACTCTGCAGCAACCAAGGCCGGGTTTCTAGGGGTCTTTTCCACTTCGAGTTTGACACCGACAATGGCTTCACGGCCGTCACTAAAACCGACGTGGGCGCTTCCATTAACCGCAGGGAGAATGCCCGTTTCGGCGCGCAAAGGGCGAAAGTCGGTCGATGACTGTCGGGCATCTGGTCGGAGAGGTGGCACCGAGGCCAGAGACGTATGTAGGTATGCGAGCTCGGCGGGCGAGAAAGGGAGGGATGTGGTTAACGAGGGCATGATTGTGTCGAGTCGTGTGTGGCGGGGGGAAGGGAAAGGTTTGAAGGTGTGAACTAGGAGAAAGTTCGATTTGTCGGTGGCTTCCACCCGTCAGCGGTGGTGGATCGATGAGGGCACCTTATCCTCCTCTCCGGTCTGGACTTCTAACTTTCAGCGTGCTCGTAGTAGTTGTTGTTCGAGATGTTCGTGTTGCCCAAAAATGAATGATGGAGAAATTCATGCGGAGAGGTTGTGGAGATAATAAACCTGCAGGTTGTTATCTCCGGCTAAGGCATCACACTTACACGAGCACGATTCTATGCTCTCAACCATACGTATGGGAATTCTGTGTATAATAATACTTTGTATCTCTATAACCCTATCCATGTGCTATGATACAAATAACTTAAGAATCCCTATTTCATATTCAATCGAATCGTATCCAATGACTTTGTTCTTTTCAACTTGGTCACTGCTCGTCCAGTCATCTCAGTTTCATCTCATCGTGCTTCCAGTACCCTTGACTCGACAACCGTTTGATCCACACCGATCAGCTTTGCACGACTTGGCTTTGCGCCGTAGACCATCTCCATCAGCTTACTCTTCTGTTTCTCTCGGACATCTTTGAGGTAGACGTATGTTCCCTCGAGACCTCGGATTTGCTGGTCCACCACACTACCGTTGTCAATCGTCACCGAATCATTTCTTCTCACCAGCGGACTGACGAGTTTTCTTCGGAGAGTTTCCAGATTTACTTTAAGCGTCTGGAGTCGGCCATGGTGTTCCATGAGCAAATGCTTGTTGTTGACCGTTCTCGCTCGCACACTTGACAATAGTTGTTTGTTCTTTTCATATTTCCTCAACATGACAGCATTGGGTCCAAGAACTCGTGTCCACAATGATGACAGGAGATCATTCTCCAGCCTCTCTTGCGTGTCCGTCTCTCGAACAACGGTTCGTTGGAGGTTCAGAAATTGTCGATCGATAGACTCGAAGAGAACGAAAAGGGCGGTCGAATGGGTGAGCTCGCTGTTGATGGATTCTTCCAGGACGTTGAGAAATTCATGGAAAGTTCTCGTCAACGTGGCTCTTGTTTTCTGAGGCGAGCTCGACCCAAAAACATCAGTCAATCTCTGACCCATTGCCGTTGGGCCGTTACTTGACTCCAAAAGTCCTCCTCGATTCAAAAGCCCATGCATGTGATCGAATATCACACCCCCAATTGAATGTGCCTGGGGTGATGACAGCCCCTCCAATTCTCGCTTGGCCCAGTCCATGACTATGAGAATACTGTCGACGTCTGAATCCACATCGGCGAAGAATCTCGTCAGCTCGAGACCCAGAGTCTTGAGGCTTTCAGACAACTCGTCCAGGGACCGAACAATCAGAGGGGCAGAAGTCATGTTGGCACTTCGTACTGATTCTCCCAAATCCCAAACAGCCACGCTTGTTTCCTGAAGTGCAGTAATTTGTGTATAGCCATTTTCGGAATAGAAGATCAATGGCTCAAAAGATTTGGCGAGGGTGGATAATTTGACCAGGTCTGGTACTGGCGCAGGCGGAGGCGGCACAAGAACGAGTCTCATCATCATCGCACACAGCAATGTAGTCCCCGCGTAGAATAAAAATGTAGATTTTGTTTTTGTGATTTTGTCAAAACTTTGTTGAAGGAAGTTGGCCAGCGCGGTGAGAGGTTCTCGATGCTGCACTTCCGCCTGCAAACGAAGGCGGATATCTACACGAAACATGTTAGCAGACGACCTTGAAAGGAATTAATGACAACCATCATACAGTTATTAGGGTTTTCCGTCTGATCCCACGGATGGTTATCTTGTTCCTGTCGAGTTTCCACCTCAGGTGACCGCTGTCTCATCGGGGAATCAGCCCCGGCCGGCAAAGGGGTGTTCACCGCTGTCGTAATATCAGGGTCGCCTTCTGTGGCATCTTGATAGATTTCTGGACTTGTTTGACGTGACCGCGAAGGGCTGATTGATGGTCGCAGGTCGAATTTACCATATGGGTCCTGTCGAAACCATCCACTCACACTGGCATTTCGGGGTTTGAACCCAGGCGGCGACCACGGCAATCCCACGCTCGATCTATCATCAGCCTCGCTTTCGTCTTCAATTGACCTGAAACCTGGCATCAATGGAGACCGTCGCTCTTGTTCCTCAAAGTCTTCGATAGATGCTTCCATGAGAGAATGTGTGTCACCATTGTCATCTTCTGCATAGAACCGCTCAAAGGGTGCGGCAGCCATCATGGCCATCTAAGATGCAATTGCAATAGGGATCGTAGCATGCGCAAGTATGCTGGTATCAGGGTTCAAGGGTATCAGGCTGGAAGGCTGGTCAAGGTGGGGTAGCGGTCGACCTGTCAGTCAGCGGATGGTAGATATATCGGTCGGATCAGATGTCACCAGGCAACGAACCTAGGCAGAAGAATCAGATAGGTGAAACCAACAAAGAATTCTGAATGAAAGGACTTGGTCAAGAGTGTTCGCAAATGAATGTTGCAGGAATGGTTCACGATGTTTGAGAAGGCAGATTAGGAATGGCCGAGTTCTGGAGATATGCAGGTCTGCGAAACCCAGCCACTTTTCCCATTCTGGAGAGAAACCTGGGTCAGCTCGAACGGGTGACTGTCATTGTGCTGTCGTTTGAGGCACCAGTGGCATTCAAGGCGACCTCGTCAGGCAAACGTGCCAGAGAAGAGTGAAATGTTGAAGGCTGGGACAGCTGGCAGTGAACTTGGGAGTGGTGAGGAGGGGTATCTGTCGACCAATCAGAAGCGCAAACATCTCTCAGAACAAGGATCAGTGATGCAAGGCACCTACTGGCCGCATATCTAGCTCCTGTCAATGACTGCATTCATTGGAGAATGACAGTGTCCTAGCAAGAGCTTCAAAGAGTTGGTCGTTGGTCTCGTTGGACCAAAGATGGGTGGTTTTTGTGGAAGGATTTGGGTGGCCCGTGCCGACGGTCATCAGGCTACCTTACCTTCCAGATGGCAAATATCAAACCAAAAAGACAAAGAGTGGAGCAGAGAAAGTAGTTCCATTCTGGCCCTATACACTGTTCTGGACGGTCTGTTCCAGGCACAGACGTAATGGGATGGTGGCATGGTACCAGGGTAAGATTATGTACAGAGAGGCTCGGGGACCGGATTCTCCGGAGCAAGCCTCTCGCAAGCATACAACATGCATGTTCCAACCCGACCATTAGCTTATTGACGCCTCCCCCATCTTGATGATACAGCACCCGCTGATCCCGGATTCATTCATGTTCAGATAAATCGAGCTCGCCAAGGCAAAATGTCCAAAGGAAGTCCACGTGACTAAGGATGGTGCTCTATTTGCACTCCTCCTTCATCCAGCTAAGCAACAAGTTAGCACTCAAGTTTAAGTGTGTGATAGAATGCGAACACATACGTGATCAGATCATTCCTGTCCTTGCCCTTCTTGAGACCACCGAAGGCCATCTTGGTACCAGGAATGTACTTCTTGGGGTTCTCGAGGTATTCGAACTGCATAGTGTTAGCATACATGCATGGACCAATCTGGCTAAATTATATCCTCACCAGTGTGCCCTCGTTCCATTCAATGCCCTTCTGTTTGTTGGCGTCTGTGTAGGCGAAGCCTGGGACGGAACCGGTCTTGCGACCGAACAGGCCGTGCAGGTTGGGGCCGATCTTGTTGCCTTCAGATTCGACAGTGCTGTGGCATTGGGCACATCTGGTCTTGAAGAGGTTGGCACCCTTCTTTGCGTCACCTGAGACAAAAGTATGTGAGCTTGTTTTCTTTGTTGTTTCTTTGGCAGTGGCTTTTGCGGCAGGAAGGGTGGCAGCAGCTTGGTAGGTTGATTCGTCACGTTCGTACAGTTCGTTCAGCAATTGAAATGTCCAATATGACCAGGCCATATCATGTCGCGAGAATGAATGTACGAAGTAAAGGTGGTGGTAGCTTCGATTGGACTCAGCGACCGAGATAAGGAAGCTGGTCTCAAGGTCTCCGGATGGTGGCATGACTATAGGCGCACACCTGCATCGTCACGTATGGAGCGTGTTGGACAGCTGTGAAGCTCGACCATGACCCACGAGCCTTGAATCATCCCAACGAAGCTGCTGCAAAGCTATCCTGCGCCTTCACCAGGGTGGCACTTACCCGCCTTGAATTCGTCCTTGGCCATTGTGAATGTAGGTGGAAAGGGTGTGTAAGCGAGAGTGGTGCGGAGGGTTATTGACACGAGGTCTTGAGGTCAAGTTGTAAGGTTGATAGAGGAATCTAGGTAGAAAGGAGTTCTAAGCAAGTGGTGGTAAAAGTTGAGAACAGAAACTTGAAGGCAAGTCGGAGCGAAAAAAGTACTGAAATGTATGACGGAGTGGACAGGGCAAGGATTGCGGGTTTATGCCAATGGTTAGGTGGCTGACTATGGCCCTCGGGCTCTAGGCGGCCCTGGACTGGCCTGACTGTGCCCACAACAGTATCTCTAGGCGTTGAAGGTCGCCGCAAAAGTGGCCGAAAGCAGCTCTGGACAAGCCGCTCGGTCACGGGGTGGCCCTTTGACTGTGGCGTTGTTGACTCCAACGTGGCTTTGGCTCCACGCAGCCCGACCAATTACCGCCCAGGCAATGTCATTCACGCGCATTGCTCTCGCATTGCTCTCCATCACGAGAATTTCTCGGACTGGCGCTATGCCCGCAACTAGAATTAATTGCGCAGGGCCGGTCCTCCGGCTCCACCAGAAAAGGAAAAAAGGGTTGACATCTGTCTTTGGTCATTATTCGGCTATGGGTTTTATCCGTTTGGAAGATCTGATGATTGTTTTTACGGTGACTGTATATAGCACTACTGTACGTACTAATGACTTCGGAGACATACAAATTCAGGTCTAGGCTTCCTTCGAACAACCGAGTCAGTCATGTGATATCACTGTAACCAAGTATCAAGGCAAGAGCCCAGAATGCACCTGCAGTGGGTATTGCAGTTGCACCTCTTGCAGTATCAACGATGATGACGTATTAGGTAGGTAGGTACTTACTGTACCACATATACACTACCACCAACAAGTCTCATTATCATGTCCTCGCCAAAACTCAAGGTTGCCATCGTTGGCCTCGGCCGCATGGGTTCGCGCCATGCTCTACACTTCCATCACCTGACACCGCGTGCTGAACTCGTGGCCGTCTGCTCTCCCAACCCCAGTGAGTTGGCCTGGGCCACCGAGAGCCTCCAAGGGATCCGCACCTATCTCGACTACGACCATATGCTTCGAGAAGAAACCGACCTTCAGGCAGTCGTCGTTTCATCTTCAACTACTGTTCATGCTGAACATGCCATCAAAGCCATTCAGCTTGGTCTGCATGTCCTTTGTGAGAAGCCGCTTAGCACATCCATCGAGACAGTGAGGACCACAATTCATGACACTAGACATTGGACCTTGCCACTGGTACTGACTGCGCACTCCTTATTTATTAGTCCCAATCCGTGCTAATCGCTTACCATCACTCTCTTGAGAAACACCCAAATCAAAAAGTCCTTTGTGGCTTCTCCAGACGCTTTGATCCCAGCTATCGAGATGCGTACCAAAAACTCCAATTAGGTCTGATCGGTCGCCCATCTGTCTTTCGCAGCCAGACATGTGACAAACTCGACCCTACTGGATTTTCCATCGAATACGCCCAATCATCTGGCGGCATTTTTGTCGACTACTCCATTCACGATATCGATCTTGCACTGTGGTTCTTTGGTGAGAACTCGGTCCTCAAATCCGTCAGCGCCGTAGGCATCAGCGCCATCAGCCCCGAGATAGAAAGATACAATGATCGTGACAACGCTCTCGGTATTGTCGAATTCTACGGTGGCAAGATAGCGCAGCTGTTCTGTTCACGCATGACGGCCGCTGGTCAGGAAGACACCACTGAGATCACTGGCACACGGGGAAAATTGGCCATCAACACTCAACCACAGACAAATCTGCTTCAGATCCATGACTCGACTGGTATTCGACGTGAGGTTGCACCCCATTACTATGCTCGTTTCCGCGACGCCTTTATTGCAGAGGCCAATGAGTTTACTACTTGTTGTCTCGATAACACCAAAATGCCTTTTCCTCTTGAGAGCGCTGTCAAAGCTCTCGAGATTGCCCTTGCCTTGCAGGAGAGCATGCTCACAGGCAAGAAGATTGATTTTGACCAGAATGGTCATAGAGTTGCCAGCGGTGATCGCCTCACAGCCAAGCTGTAGGACAAGACTGAAGCAAGATCGCATCGAATGTTCCACAGCTACACTCCTCAGTTTTAGACAGGATATATGCATGGAATGGAAGATAGGTAAGATTCATAGATGGAAATGGAAGATACTCGATACCAGATAGGTAACTATTTCGACTTGATTTTTACATAGTCCATGATGATCTTCGATGACTAAAAAGCATCGTCCATCATGTCACCATGTACCATGTACCTGGTAATGTACCGCATAGCCTCGACCAGAAATCGCCCATTAAGCGAGTATCTCGTTAGACAGAGAGGTAAGGAAAGTACCTAGATAAGATACTCATCACATCACATCCTATGACTATGTAGATGTAGGAAGTCCTGCACAATCAACTACCTATACCCCTACAATGCCATGCCATGCCATGCCATGCCATATCACCACCAATCCAAAGCCCACTCCCACCACACCGCATCATCACAAACCACCTTCCTTATACTCCATCCTAATCATCACGATATGAGATCTTCCTCATCTCACTCAACCTCGCATTCGCTGCGTCCAAAGCATTTCTCAACTTCAGAATCTCGACCTAAAACAGCCCAACACGTTAGAGAACAATTTCAAACCGACCAATTAAAACAAATTGCGAGTGCTTACCTGTTGTTCCATTTCCTGAACCTTGAATTCATGAGGATTCAAAGCAGCATAATCCACCGCGTCACCATCATCCTTCTGTCGCTGTTTAATAATATCCTGAACCTGCCTCACCAGACTTCGACAAGCCGCCCCCACGGCTTTGCTGGCCTGTTCCAATCGATCTTGCGTCTTGGACATGAAACTAGCTTTCACCCTCGAAGCAGCCACCAATTGTGCCGTCGAAGCCGCTACATCATTCGACGCGACAATCAACTGTTCTGGAGAATTTCTTCCTGAAATAACTCCATCTGCAGTTTCGATCAATGTGTTTGTGGATGTAGCGACAGCTTTCGCGGCGCTGATGAGTCCTTCTGTCCAGCGGTTGTTTTTCTTGTAGAAGGCCGTACGGGATGAAGAGCCGCGGCCTTCTTTGACGATTTCGTTTTGTGAGTCGGTGGCGGCTTTGATGAGTTGGGCGATGGCGTTGGTGACGGCGATGGCGGCTTCGAGGATGGAGTCGTTGACTTTGAGTTCGTATGTGGTGTAGCCGTCGCGAGGTTTGTTCTTTAATTTGGCGAGGCGTTGCGCCGCGGCTTCGATGGCTTTGGCGGCTTTGGTTAATTCGGAATCGACCAGGTCGCCTAAATCGCCCGAGGTGCTGATCTTGCTACCCTTGGGTGCGAAAGCGTCGGCTAATTTGGATAAGCGTTGGAGTTTCATCAACACTTCATGGTTATTGTTGATGACCACATCTGACTTCTGCATCGGTTCCAATCCTTCGAGTCGGAAGGATTGAAGACCACGGAAGAAGCTGATGGTGGATAAAGCAGCTTGTCGGGCTGAGTCGGTCAATTGGTCGCCTTTCTTTTCTTCTGTTGCAAACCGTGTCAAACCTTTTGCGTTGGACAACACATCTGCGATGGATGCTGCGAATATCGACACTGACTTGATGATATCTGCGTGAGGACTATTAGGTCCATCTGCGATAAAGTTGTTGAATGCTGTTGAAAACTCGGTAGCACTGGCAGATGCCTTTTCGATTTGTGAAAGCACATATGGAGCCGTGGCATTCTGGTTACCAGCTTGCATGGGAGAATCGAGTTCGTAGATAGCGTCGTCGACTCGCTGGACTCCACTTTGAAGAACGGAATCAATGATGTCGTTGATTTTGGTGACATTGCTTTTAATCACCTCGTCAATTGCACCATCCAAGGCACCGTCAGCCTCACCACCACCCAGCTTAAGCTCTTCAAGTTCTTCGAGAGCCTGCTCCATGCCCGACTTGTAAATCTCAATTTCATCGTCCTTTTCGCGTAGGACAGCTTCATGGTCCAGATTTCTCTCTCCATGTTTGGATCGGATATCGTCAAGTTGTCTCGTCTTGCTGCGAACCGTCTCTTCGAGATCCGCCATTTCACGATTGTACTTGGCCAACATCGACGACAACTCGGAACCTTTTGCCTTTTCGGCATTTTCGGCTCGTTCAATGGCAAATCTCAACTCTCGCTTCAGCTTGTCCAGTTCTTCGCGATGGCCACCAACACTTCGATCCTTTTCATGCAAAGCACGATCGCGTTCTCGGATCATGTCGGCCAACTCGAGATTCTTGGTCTTCATCTCCCGCTCCAGACGTTCTCGACGGTCGATGGCCTCTTGAGCAGACGCGGCTTTCAATTTCAATGATTTTGTCGTCTGCAACAGGTCGAGATGCTCTTGTCGAAGCTGCGAGTATAGCTTGGCCAGCGCTTCATACTTCGAACGCCAGGTGTTGACTTGCTCTTGCAAAGACGAAATCTGATCATCCTTGGATTGTGCCTGTAGTTGATAGTTGTTGTTGAGCTGTTGCAACTGTTCTTCGAGATTCTTCATACGTTGATCGTACTGTTGAAGCATCAATTGATCTCTTTCATATTGAGCTCTTGCATTGAGATTCTCTCTCTCCAATTCGGCCATTCGGCCTTGAGTCTGGGCAGCATATTGCTCACGCATGAGCTGTTCCTGCGCTAGACGTTGTTGTTCGACCTGCATTCTCTGCTGGTCTTCAAACTGCCGTTGAGCTTCTTGCTGGGCAATCATTTGTTGTCGCTGTTGATCTTCCCATTGTTGTTGCAGCCGCTTCTGTTCATTTTCATATTCAGCTTGTTGTCGCTGAGCTTCCTTGGACCAGAAGTCGTCCATGTCTCGAGGACCGGCATCGGGGGTGTCGTTCTTTGCGATAGGAGAAGGTGCTTGTTCGATTTCTCGAGCAGGTCTTTTGGGAAGAGCCGGTTTCTCTTCATCTTCGGCGAGGAGGTTGGGTGCGTCTTGAGGAAGTTTAGGAACGGTGATGAGGGAGGTCAGGTATCGAAGGTTAGAACATTCGTAGTAGAATTTGACAAGCCGGTAATGTTGACCGTCATAGCGAGATCGCAGAGGTTCGAGGGCCTCGTCGTCTCCAGTAGTTGTGTGCATGGCTCGCAGCATGCTGGTGATGAACTTGTAAATGCCATAGCTCTCTTGAACCAAAGGCACCAAAGCAGCGATTCTACATTCATTGTTGGCGCCGCCACGGAAATGCGAAAAGATCAACTTTTGGAAGGTGTCAATCTGATCCTGCAGAGTCATGAGGTCGGAGATGGTCTCGTACCCCTCATTGGGATCGTTGATGGATTTCAAGCTGATGTATTCCTCATACTCGAAGAGACCATTAAACTCGACATGCTGACGGTGGAAAGCCAACTTGGCCAGAAGGAAAAAGACATATTCTCGGATGATGGGGCCATAGCCTCTGAGCCCTTCTCCGGTCATGCCTCTAGCCAGAGACTCGACCCAATTGACATTTTGTTGTGCTTCTCTTACAGTGACGGGGTGACCTTCCTGGAGGACTTTGTGTATGGTGATGAGTGCTTTGAAGGTCTGAACCTCGTCAGCTTGTATCGGCTGAACCTTCATGCCCGCCCAAAAGGACATGGACGACTTGTGGTCCCAGGTGTAGACGATGCAGCTTCGAACATGTTTACGTTTTGGGGCAGTCTCTTCGATCGAGGTGGCCTTGCGAATGTTAATGGCCAGTTCAGACTCGGACTTGCTCATGTCGACATTGCGGCCGGTGCCGGTGCCGGCGAGACCTGGATAGGACATTTTGGAGGATTTGGTGGGAGATTGAGGGTTGTAATCATCAACAGCAGAAGTTTTGCCAAAGCCGTCGTAGACAGCACCTGCTCTGTTGGACTTCCTCCTCGACACCGAGTCTGGGGGTGGTGCTACAAAGAACGCCAGGGTGACGATTTCAAGAAGAAATGTCGAGGCGCAGGTGGCACGGTTGAATGTGACTGAGTGGCTTGAGCGGCGGGTGGTGGAACCTGGACCTAGAACCTTGTGTTGCCCGTCAAACGGATACTGACATAATAATGGGGTTTAGGACGCGTGCGCAGTAGGATTGAGTTGTCGTAGGCAGACGGATTTCTGGAGAGACGGAGTTTAGGATGAGGGATCTGCCAATCCAATGCTGGCTTCTAGGGCTCACTGGGCTCTGACTGGTCTCCACAATGGAGGCTGAAGGCGTGCAGTTGTAGGTACAAGTTAGATGGCGTTGATGAACAGCAGGGAATTTGTGTAAGACGAAGATCTCAAAGGAGAATTGGACTCCAGGATGAATCAGTGATTTGATCATCTGGTGTTTCCAAGCATAGTGACTACACAAGCCTATAGTGCCTACCTAGACCATGATGACCTTGGTGCTAACCAGGGTGCTGTTGTTTACTTGAAGCGATTTCGGCGCCGTGGGAAGCAGTTATTTTATTAGTTCCAGGTGTTGGTCGGTGACTAATTGCGGTAATTATGGACGAGATAAGATGTGTCCGGGCTCTTAGCCTCCCAATCGGCCCCTAAGGCTTAACTATTACACGCTTGTTGACCAGTCACCCAGGCTACAGCTTTTTAACCGCCACTACAGAGATCGACTTTAAACTACCGTTAGTATCTAAGTGCGGGCTTACTGTTGCCTACCTAGACTCACATACGAGTACATCCATAGAAGATATTTACCGCATCCCTTGGCTTGCAGGGTGCCATGAGATGTCGTCGTCAGCACAACAGACAGAGCCGCGCAAACACTGGTATGACTGGCTGACACCACTGGTCGGACTCCATGGTCTTCACCCAGTCTTACCACTCGCAGTCAGCCAGACCACTTCCCTCCTGGGCGTAGACATTAGTCGATATCCTTGTCACGTGACTCAGCATCAAATGGTCACATCATGTCAATAATCCACCCAGGCTCACAGTCTAAGATACTAGAGGAGTCATATAAGTGTATTCATGCTGTATGCATGGTAAGGTCTGCTCATATCTTCATTATCATTAAGTATACATGCCAATTTCTCGTCGTTCCAATTCTTCTTGGCCCTGTGTAAAGTCCTCATGTGGACTCTCACTCCTGCGTCGTGCGGGTAGTGGTGGCTTGGGAGGCAACTCCTCTGCCGAAGCCTCTCCATGTCCAAAGAAATCGTCATGATTCTCATCTGCGCTTGGAGCTGGGCTCGTGGGTGCTGATTCCGTTGGGGCTTCAACCACCATCACTTCATCCTCCACATCGTCATGCCCCATCATAGAGCTCTGCCGTCTTCGTCGATCTGGTAGGGCGGGTTTAGGCGACGATCTGGCACTGCCAATATTTCCATTCCTGGTATCGGCTCGTGGTGGTGGAAATGGTGGAGGTACAGCCTTTCTTTTGGGTACCACCTTGGTACTCGGCCTTTCGGGTGGAGGAAGGGGGATTCCAGGGGGTGGCAGTGGTCGTCCTCTCCCCATAGGCTCTCGTGGCGACGGCGGCGGCATATTATCATGAGCCCCATCACCGTTGGCGCCCGGTGTTATTCCATCTCTTTGGCGATTGCGCGCCAATACACCCCAACCCCATTTTTGAGCAGCGGCAGTTGCGGCATTGAGTGAAGCAAGAGCCTGCTTCCTATCTGTGGCACCTAATGACTTTGCGGCTTGTGCAAAGCTTTTTGGTCGGCCTGACCCTTGAGACGAAGGGCTGTCGCTCTTATTGTCCAATGTCGACGTTGAGTCGTTGGACCTGATGCTCGACATGGTCGGCGTCCGCGATACCGAAGAATCAGCCGTATGTTGCTGGTCCCACGGTTTAGGATCCGTCTCATTCGACATGGTTGAAGCGCCACTATCGCTTCTCCCCTTCAGAATACTTGCCATTGATGAATCAACTGGTGGGGAACCAGCTTGAGAGCTGGCAGGAGAAGGGTTCGCTGACCCTTGTTTCGCCGAGAGCACCTTTAAAACAGAAGCAACACTCTCCCTCCGGGACGCCACCTCAGCGTCACGACCCAGGGTTCCCCCATCTGCATGGTTGGTTGAAACGGCTGGATTGGCAGCGCTGGCGAACGATGTTGACCTCAGGAGTCTTGGGGTGGGTGGCTCCGATTTTTCAGGCGAGTCCGGGCTCTTGAGTCCCAAGAACTCGTTCAAAGAAGTGGCTGACTTTTTCCCCGAATTGGATTTCCCCAATGTTTGACTGTCTGGCAGGGCCGGCATACTCATTATTCGCTCTTCCTTGAGATCTGAGGGAGTGTTTTCTCCCGAGATCCCAGATTCGGCCGTATCCTCAGTCTCTTCATCCGGGATGTCCGTGGAAGGCACAGGAGCGGCCTCTCTTTTCCAAATTCCACCACGATAGCTCTCATTGATGGTGTCAAGGAAAGGCATGTCATCCCAGAATGGTAGAACCACGGTTTCTGCAACGACTTCGCGAATCCGACTTTCAATGGCACGAAGGATCACGTTGTACGTAATCTGGCGAGAGCTAACAATGGGTTCAATGTCCAGATCTAATTGTGGCATCTTCTCAAAGGTCACCCAAATACGATTGCTGGGAGGGGGCTTGAATCGAAGGAGAACGTGGCCCTGTAATGTTTTACACGTTGCAGCCAGCACCATGTCGACTTCACGAGGCTTGAAGCGTGATCCGAGTTCGATCCTTGCAGTGGCGGCAATCTCGATCCTGAAATGGCCAGAATAGTTGACATCCACTTCGACGACACAGTCCCCGTTGACGGTGAGATCCTTAAGTCGAGGGTTCGTGATAAAGGGTGCTGAATTGCCCGTGTCGATCTTTCGCAAGGCAAGCTTGGTAATAAAGTTGGGCTTTTTGACCCGGGAGATCTTCTTGGTGAGCTTCATGCGAATGAATTGTTCCATCTCGGGGGTCTTGTACATGGCCAAGAACAACCGGCCAATCATTGCATTCAACCATCGCGTCTGAAGGTGCTCCTCAGACGAGTGTAGTTTCTGGACCAGCGTGACAATATGCTGAACCTCAAATTCCTGAGGAAGGGGGGCATCATCTCCGATATTCCTCTCCTGGTTTTTGAGAATGGCAAAGTAGAAATCTTCCTTTTCGGAGAGATTCTCGCTGAAGAGGAAGAATGGTAAGGACGAGGTATAATCGCCGGGCCTGATCTTCTTGCGACTCAGGCGGATTGCATTTTTTTTCATCCAGAGTTCGCCCTCTGGGATTTCCTCACCTCCTCCATAGATATCGACATTGTGATAATCAAGCGAGATGACATAGCGAACCTCGAGCTGCTGGATATCATCGTACAGCATTAGATGACCGTGTCTGGATATACCAATTAGTATGAAAACAATCAACATGCCGACTAGACATTATACCTCAGAACAACATAGAAGACATTATTGGCCTTCTTGACCGTCTTTCCTGGCCCATCCTTGTTTGGCTCAATGGTAGGCTTTTGTGAGCGATCAAATATACTTCTGTACATAGTCTGGTAGACACTGGGGGACTCTGTGGAAACGACATCTCCCGCTGGAGTGAGCTTGTCCGGAGGTTTGCCATTGACTCCTCCGGGAACATACTCTCGACACACAGCAAAGTAACCTGCAGCGACGTCGGAATCATGTTTGCGGTGGAACTTTTCTGCTAGATCATCTGTGCCTGTCTTGAAGATAGCTTTCTCGTCATCGGGGTGTTTGAGGCCGGCTGGGTCATTGCGTTCTGACTCTGTCATCTCTTCGCTGGGTATGGGGAGGGTATAGTAGGCATGAAGGAATAGAAGGAGGATGAGGAGCGGTATGAAGGTGAGGCCCCCAAGGACATAGACGAACAGGAACCATTTGAAAGGACCCATCTGTTAGCACGGCATTGGAGATGAGGGAATGACGGTGCGCAGAAGAGAGTGCGACCGTGAGGGGAGTGAGTGGAATTGGTCAAGGTGAGACGAGGCTGAGCAAGACTGGACTGGACTGGGTGAAATGGTGGGGGTGATTCTTAAGAGAATGGACGTGAAGTGTTTTGTTAGATGTTGTTGGTGATGATGGCGATAATAACAGAGATACAGATGGTAGTGGGAGTGGCTCTAGGCTCAGGGCAGGAGGCTGGAATCCGAATGGGCGTCATTTCTGCCTTGGAAAGGCTGCACGAAGGAATTGAAGGCGCAGGCACAGGCGCAGGAGGGGCACGAGCAGTCACCCACGCAGCCTGGTTGGCTCCTTCCTCGGCGACCTTTGGCGGTGGGATGCCACTTCCACGGCAGGTGGCAGGCGTGAAACATGCCCAGTCGCTCCTTCCTTCGGTAGTAAGCGCTACTAAAAATGACGTCGTGACTTCCAGATTTCCAGCCACGATTTCGAGTCGATCCGATCCGATCCACGTGCATAAAACCATAAGAGTATGTAAGCACAGCATTCAGCATTCAGCATTCATCCAGAGAAGAACATAACAAGACGCATAATAACTACCATGCTCATTCCTATACATCATCAATCGTGCTCAGGAATGACTATCCAGGTATATTGCTATCCTATCCACCCTTGAGACCTTCCCTCCCTTATTCAAACGCCTTCCAATGCAGCGCTCAGTATACCAACCAACCCCCTTCTCGTATCCAATTCCCTATAATATACATTCACCATGATATCTCATCCCGTTCCACTCGCTCCAAACTTTCCAACACCGGCAACAACTGCGCTTCTTCATTTGCCAGAGCTGTCTTTTGTCGTGTACGGGAGTAAAAGACGGGACAGTCTTTACTGTCACATCGTATCTCGTCATTCCATCCAAACCCTGAACATGATCGACATACCTTGGAAAAGCTCGATGCCTTTCGTTCGGCTCTGACCAGTCGTGACCGTAAAGTCAGGATGCTGTGCCACGGTCTTTCGGAGCAGCTGCTGCAGATTGGAGATTCGCTGTCCAGAGCGTCTCGACAGATCAAACATGTAGACGCTTTCATGTATGACTCCAATGTCTTCTTGGTGACTCCCATCTCTTTCCCCTCGATCATCATGCCTGCATCAACTCTTCGTATCCTTTGGTATTTGGGCATCTCGTCATACCATTGCCGGACATTAGCGCCGACCAAATTGAAGATTCGCTCCAATGGTGGAATCAGATTCTTCGAGATGTAGTATTCGGCGTCCAGCTCCGAATGTGCATCGTTGAGCAGTACATCAGGGGCGACACAACGGTCAATCAGTCTTGCACCTGGCCCCCCTGTGATTACCACATAGGGTACTCTCTCGCCGTATTGTGGCTCTAGCCGTGGATCCTCCAGCATTCGTCGTGCACTGATCAGAGCCCCTGGTGGCGGCGGTCCCTTCTCACTGTATGTCCCCAGCTTAACTTCTTTGGCAAAACAAAAGTCCTGGATAGACACCTTGCCACGCATGATCTTGGCACATTGAGCCTGGAAGAAGGCCTTGACCTGGCTCAAATCTGATGTGCGGAAGAGCATCTTGAGTGCTGTCTCTTCAATTTTCTGTTCGGCTGGCGTCCCATCCCGCCGCACCGTCTCAATGCCTTTGGCATCAAAATCCGGCTCAGTCTGATTTCGACTTTCGTACTTGAACCCAACATATCGTTTCTTTGCCAGCAGAACACACGGATGGTATACCTTTTCAAATTTGAGCTTGATCGGTCGCGGGTTCATTTTAGTGATCGTGTCGGCAATCTCCTCTCCAATGTCGAATGCCTGTTCTCGCGTTCGACCTTTCAGATACACAAACAGGCTGTCGGTGTCGCCATAGACAACTTCAGCACCCCATCGCTCCACCGAATGAATATACGCAATCGCCTTCTCCAATGTTTCTCTTCCCGTTTGAACAATGCTGTCGGCAATCTCTGAACATGGCATTCGACCAGAGAACGAGGCAGACGTATATCCATAAGTCACGTTGGCGATCAGCTTCAGTGCTAGCTGTCTGTTGTTCAACAATTGCTGCAGCGTCTTGTCGTCCTTATCCACCTTCATCCCACTCTTGACCATGACTCGCGTCTCCAGAATCTCGCTGAGCATTTTGGCAAGTAACGACTTTCGAACTTCAGTCTTGGCGTACATGATCCCGTTGGGCGCAATATTGATGTAGTCCTTCAACAACTCGATCAATCTTTGCTCTCGTTGATAATTGGAAAATCCCATTTTGTTTGTCCCCCGCCAACTGACAACCCGACCGAGGAACGTCGAGTAGCAGTAATTGTATGCGATCATGACACTTGGGTACAACGATTGAAAGTCGAGCACCAGTAGAGGACTGGTGTAGAAATCGCTCTGTGGCTCCATGACTAGCGGCAGGCATTCCAACGCATTCTGTCCACCCACTTGCCTTCGACTCGGCGATACCAAGATAAAGTTCTCTGGTTTGGCGATTCGGAACATCAATGATTCCACTTTGAATTGTGACCCTCGAGAAATCACAGAGAACCAGTCGACGCCTAACAATCGAGCTTGCTCACTTGTTCTTGGGACTAGTTCATTGGCTGCCAAAATCTCCAGATCAAGTTGTACTCGAGAGCTGAAGTATTCCACAACCTTGGCCAAATCTCGCGGATTCTTGCTCTTGTACCACTTGGTAAGATCAGCAAAAGCATAATGAGGGATGCGCTGGTGTAGCAAATGAAACACGACGTTCTCCATGGTATACTGAAGCAGATTAAGTTCGCCTCTCATTGCGCGCCAGATGTTGATCGTATGTCGTCCAGTCACCCGGATGGTAGAGGTATGGTTGAAACCCCATCGATCGTCTTCTTTCCCAAACCTGCCGTGAGACTGAGACTTCATGCGAGAGATCTCATCGCAGAGGTTCATGTCATACGCAACCCGTGCACGTTCGATTAGATATCCCCATGAGCTATTATGCACTTCGTAGCCTGTCAAAATGTCTGGGTCGTACAGCCGGACGATATCAACCAGCCGAGTAAACACGTCAAGCTCTGTAGATTCCTCCTCGACGGAGTATCTAACATCGCGCCCAATCTTTCTGGCCATATTCGGCTCGTTGCCGACTACCAGAGCGCCCATGTGGCGCCCCTCCTTACTTCCATTGTACTCTATGTCTTCGTCATCTGTTTGGATGCACCAGAAAACACACTGAATCGGATCTTCATCAGGGTTAGGTGCAAGGGAGCCTCGTGTGTTGACATGCACTTCTAGCGCCATCACGCTCATGTACTGGGTCTCATGCTGTACACTTGTGCTGGAAAGTTTCTGAGAATATTTGAATCCGTGCTTGTTCTTTTGTGTAGGTCCATCAATCTGGGATAGCTTCTTTGTCTGAGAATTGGGTTGGACAGGGCCATTGACCGGCTGCAAGGAGAGAGACCGATGCTCATCAACCCATTTTAACACGTCCAACCTAGAGGGTGGCGCCTCTGCTATACTCCACTGTGAGATCGTACAACGTTTCCTTCGTTGATTGTCTAGCGTAGACTCAGCAGACTGGTCGAGTATCGTTGCAGGTTTTCGGCCAAAAGTAGCGAGAGACGTGCCGGACGCATCAAAATCAGGAAGATATGGCACCGTGGTGCTTTCCAGCTTGAATTCTCGTCCTGCATACTCTCTCGGCAGGTCGGGGACATCACCTTCATTGCTGTAGTATGCTTCTTGGTAGATGACATCTGGAAGACCTTCATGCCACATGGAGCTCTCAACCTGGCTGAATGGAGGCGGCCTGACTTGATACACATCGACCTGAGAGTGATTTGCTGGGCGTGGTATACCTTTGAGTTTAACAAATGTGTCCGCTATCGAGGATCTACTTTTGCCTGTGGTAGGACAAAGAAGGGTATGCTGTGAAGATTTGCCCATGATGTGCGCGGGGGTCTTTGGGGTCTTTGGTAAGATGGGAGATATGTCTACCTTGGTGGGCGAAGCATCATGTAGCTTTTGCGAGGAATTGCTCCTCTGGCTCAACCTCAGAGCTGTTAATGGTTCATTCGAATTCTTGACAGTGGGAAAACCGAGTGTAGACTGTTGAGATAGGCTCATGACGCCTTCGACGAGCTGTTTTGCATCTCGACCATGTTTTGTGGCGGGCTGGCCGTCTAACCTATTGATATTTTTTTGCCGTGAAGGAGATTCGGTGTCCTTGAGGAGCTCCTCAGCGTCCGTGACCAGATCTGCCTCATCCTCCGAGCCAGAGAAACTAACATCAGGGAGGATGTTGTCTTCATCTACTAGCTGTTTTTGTCTCTTCCTAGATTTGAAGGTGGGTGCATTTCCAAATCTTGTTCTTTTGATGCTGCGGACATTTGGGGCTGGCACATCGAGATATTGCTCGGGTACCTGAAATGTATCTTCGTCAACGTGAGAAAAGTCCCCGGCTGGGCGGATGCCAAAGTTAGCATACTCTGACGAGCTGATTGGGGTGGTTAAGAGGCGATCTCCTGGACTTTCCGAACGTGATTTGAGGCCGTTCGTCTCAGGAGAATGACTAGTAGCTGCGTCCACGGACAGCGTGTTTTCTTCAGAGCTCCTCTCGTATCCTTCTGTGACAGTTTGTGCGCGAGTCTCGTCGATGACGGCATGACCTTCAGTAGAGACATTACCACCGTCCCGGAAGGCCAATTCATCGCTCTGACCATGGGTAGTATCCATGTCATTGAACTTGTCGGGGTACAAATCTTCGACGCTTTCCAACGCGGTCTGAACTGTATCTTCCATTGGGACGGGTTTGACAAAATTTTCGAAGTCGAGCTTTCTTTGATCGCTCTTCTCGAACTCCTGAATGGCAAGCCCAGCGATCTTTTGGCGGTACTCCTCTTCATGAATCCATCCACCATCTGAGGTATTTCTAGGATCGGCAGACATAGAGATCAAGACCTCGGGAGGAAAAGGAGTACTATTCGGATCTTTTAGGCCCATCCTGGCCTTTCTCCGTCGCGTCTCATCCTTCCATAGACCAGCCATACTCTGTACCAATTTAGCATCGATCGGAAGAGGATTGACTCGTTCGATGAAATCATGGTGGATGAGGCGGGCTTCCACGTTGTTGCGATTGAGGATGTCCTTGACATGAACGTCGACTTCCAGCGCACAAAGACTCTGTTTGGGTAATGTGAACTCATCCGATATGTCCTTTGGGTCAATCGACCTATCATGCCATTGATGCATAGGGTTTGTCAAATCGACATACTTGGGAACAGGACCGCGGAATTTGACTTTGTCAAAGTCGATGTAGGCACAGCCATAAAGATTGTAGTCGCACATCCACTGAGCCAGATACTGCATGTGACTTTCATAGGGCTGCAAGACCCTCTTCATCACAGCACCTTCACGCAACAGATCGGCCAGTCGTGTCATATGCAAAGGATTGAGAAGATAGATCTTGAGGTAGAACTTGTAACCGACATGGAAGCCATAGAACGGAACTCCCTTGACCAGGGAAATGTGAGCGACATATCGATGTTTGCCCTCATAGATGTTCTTGCGATAACTAACCGCAAGCGCATGGTCGATGGACAGTTGGAGGGTTTGTATGGCCACTTGAACATCTTCCCGAATCAAACTACCACTGTACTCGATATAGGTATATTGTAGAGCGCCATGGACATGAACCAAGACCTTCTGGCCGGTCTCGGTTGCGCCAAAAACCCGAATGACGGAGATTCGAGGACGTTGTTTGGCATTCTCGCGTGTTGCGCCATGTGGCACAGGAGGGTCAAACTGATCGATTGGGACGGCTTGATAGTGATCGAGGCAGTTGAGACGAACTCGGAATATATCCATGAAGGTCAAGGAGGGAGGAATTGGGACGCGTCTTTACTCCGGCAATGGATTGGTCTTCATGGCGCTTTGGACTGCGGACATGCAATGGGAAAGGCAGAGCAGTGAACATGATACATGGGACATAAACTCGGTTGTAAGATCATGTCACGTAAATACTAGAGGTTGCCATGGCCAGAATGATTTGCCACGGACTGAGAGGCGGCACGTCAAGTGATGGTGGTGACGGTGGGGTTGATGTTGTGTTGACATGATTCTATGATGATGCAAGGCTGCGGGACAATGACAAGGCTGAGTGGCAAGGCTCTCCTGCAAGGCTACGAGGCTACGAGGCTAGACCATTAATTCCTCATCTCAACTTCAACTTCTCCACTTGACTTTGACATCCTCTGAGAAGAATTGACCACGAGTCTCTACACAACAACCTGTCTACACCCTTCTCATCTACGATCCCCCCTCCTCCTACCGCCTTTATCACTCACTACACACATCTGCCAGCATGTCCAACAACAAACCCCCTCCCACTGGCCCCGATCTCTCACGCAACGAATACATTCCATCCTTCATCTCCAAACGACCATTCTGGGCTGAAGGCATCTCCTCCAGCGACGCCGACTACCTCGAACATCAACGTCTCCAATCCGTCAACAAAGACACACTCGATAAAGCAAAATGGTACGATCGAGGCAAGAAAGTCGGCCCGGCCGCCACGAAATTCCGCAAAGGCGCCTGCGAGAATTGTGGCGCCATGACCCATAAAACCAAAGAGTGTCTCAGTCGACCGCGGAAACAAGGTGCACGATGGACAGGCAAGGACATCCAAGCAGATGAACATATTGAAGATGTCAAACTCGGATTCGACGCCAAACGCGATCGATGGAACGGGTACGATAATCGAGAATACGATGCCGTTGTTCAAGAATACGAAGAACTCGAGACCATGAAACGAACAGCCGCAACCGATGGAACCACAACCGAGTCAGACGCCAAATACGGCGAAGAAACCGACATGGGACGTTCTCAACCTACATCAACCCGTCAATTACGATTACGTGAAGACACAGCGAAATACTTACTCAACCTCGACCTCGATTCCGCCAAATACGACCCTAAAACTCGCACCATGGACACATCCTCACAATCCCTCTCCAACGCTGCTGAAGGCGACCCTTCCATCGCGGAGGAAAACTTCATCCGCCCATCCACGGACGACAGCTCCGCATTCACCCAAGCGCAAAAATACGCATGGGAAACCCAAGAAGGAGCATCCAATTCTGGATCCATGACCAAGAAGCTCCATCTCCAAGCCAACCCCACCGAAGGCGAAATCCTACATAAGAAACAAACCGCCGAAGCCGAAGCAAAGAAGATGGCAGCGCGCAAAGCTCTACTCGACAAATACGGCGGTTCAGAGCACCTCCTCCTCTCATCTTCAACCTCGTCCCCATCATCTTCATCCACAAATCCCAACTCCATTCCCCACCGAAAACCCCCACCAAAAGTGGTTTCTTCAGACCGCTATGTCGAATACGACGAATCTGGACGTGTGAAACCCCGAGCCGGTGAAGCCGCCCGTCCCAAAGCACGGTCCAAATACCCAGAGGATATCATGACGAATAATCATACGAGTGTATGGGGCAGTTGGTGGAGGGATTTTACTTGGGGATATAAATGTTGTCATTCAACGGTGAAGAATAGTTATTGTACGGGTGAGGAAGGGAAGAGAGCGTGGGAGGAGACGGAGAAGTTGAGGATGGGGACGGGGTTGGAGGAGGGGCAGGGGGATGGGGGGGATGGAGGGGATAAGGATGAGAAGTCGTATGAGAAGAGCCGTGGCGGGGATGATGGCAAAGATGACGGCGAAGAAGAGACGGATAACAACAAGGTCCAATCTAGGGAACCCAAGTCTAAAGCAAAGAAACGAACGCTTCAGGAATTACAGAGCGGGATTACCGAAGAAGAACTTGAGTCGTATAAACGCAATCGACTTGCGGCGGATGATCCTATGGCGAAGATGCTAGGACGGGATGAGTTGGTATCATGAGAGGATATGACATGACAACACACTCTTATGCATTCCTATGCATCCTACTAGGTAGGTATGGAAAGGAAAGGAAGAACAAAATCTGAGTGCATGATTAATGATATCAAAGTAATACTTCCAGTCCAGTCCATACCATGCTCACACCATGACAATGGCCTCACTCATCCTCACGACTATGAACTCCCACTCCCCCTCCCACCACGACAACAACATCTATCAAAAGGATGACATAGACTCATCCACCAAGCCATTCCTCGATCTCTGACAATCTCACCTCTTCCACTTCCATCTCCAGGAAGTGCTTGTCCATTGTCAACCCCATTCCCTCTCTGCGCATCATCCAACCCCTGACCAGACCAGAGCATAGGTGGACCAAGACGAGCTGTAATTGAAACAGGCGAAGGCGGAGAAAAAGACATGGGTGACAGGATTTCATCCCTATCAGCACTTGCATCACCACTGCCACTGCCTCCCAGTCCTAATCCCAACCCTCGTCCCGATGTTGTTGACCAAACACTCTCTTCTTCCCTCAATGTACTCCTCCCTCTCCCTTCGACTCTACTCCCCGACCCACCATTATCTCCATTATCTATATCTGCTCTTGCCCGGATTCGATAACGGCCAGATCCAGATCCAGAACCGACACCACCACCGACACCATGTCCACTCGCACGGACTGGAAACTTTCCTCTGATCCATGTTCCGTCATCAGCACGAGCGAGCGGGCCTACTACCGGTGCAACACGGAGAACCGATTCTCTCAAGTCATTGTCTTGACGTTTTTTCTTGCCTCGTCGCGAAGAACGGCGACCCCAGGTTGTAAAGCGGTGCGAGGATGGCGGTACGAGCCGGTATAATTGGGCTTCTTTGCTGCCGAAGCGGGGGAGGCCTGGTGGAGTGGGAATGCGTTCTGGAGGAGGGTTCAGAGGTTGAAGTGGGTAGATCAGATTGGTTGGTAAGGTGGTATTGCTACTGGTGAAGCTGGTGATAGATGGAGAGCATGGCGTTGGCTCGCTGGCGTGTGCTGTTCTTACCTTCGAGCTGGATCGGGTGTTGACGTCGGCGTCATGGAGAGAGAATGAGCGGCGGCCTGGGATGGGAATTGGATGCATGTTGAGCGAGGTCTGGTGGGATGCCGGCTTGAATGAGTTGTTCATGCATCGGATGTGACCATGTGACGGAGGAGCAACGATAGTAATGATAGAGGCCGGGACTTGGATGGATGGTGACACGTTGGTTAGACGAAGTTGTCGAAGCCATTGCCAGATCATGGTTGCAAGCATGGCAACTGCCTTGACAAGACGAAAAAGAGTAGAAGGCGCGTCTCAAAGGAATATAATTGGAAAGAACCTTGAAGGAAGAAGAATTCGAGTTGAAATCTTTGCATTTCAATAGAATTATTGTCCGGAATTAACCAGCGATGCTGGTTATACAATAATATATATATAAACCCAGATGACCCAATGGATATCTCCTTGTTTTTTGTTCGCTTCATAGCACTGATTGTCCAATACAAGTGCTCCCAAATCCCCTGCCATCCGTGTCTATATCCATGTTGGCAGATGTTGATACATACTTTCTGGTTTGCTATGCAGTTATACAATTCGCATTACTCCCGCCGGCTTGTATGCAATGTTGATGTCAATGTCGCCCTCTCGCTGCGCCTCTCGCTCTTCTTCAGAATTTGGTGTTGTTCGTCAATGTGTCATGATTCTCGTGGGTGGATGTTCAACGAGATTCTGTTGATCCGTTGGGCAAGGCAGCAGCCTTGCGGGCTTGTCTTTGTTGCATCTCCTTCTTCATGCTCTTGATGATGCCTTCGAGACGACGACGCTCTTCTTGTTCCGACTATCATCATGTTAGCAAGGTGCGTGACTTTGTTTAGGTCATGAGACTCACTCGGATCGTCTTGAGATTTTCCGCTCTTGTCTCGCGCATCATCTTCTTGAATTCGTTTTTGAGCACCATCGTTGACATGGTCTCGGTTGGTGCTTCCACATTGACTCCCATCCACTTCAATTTCTCTTCATTCAAATGCATTTCGACCGTCTCGCATCGTTGTTGGAGAGAGTCGACTGTTTCCTCCAGTCTCTCCCTCTCCTTTTCATCTTCGATGCTTTGTTTGGTCATGACCTCGTATTCCTCGATCATCTCCTTTAGCTCTTGTTGTAGAGCATTGACTTTGTTCTGGAGTTCGGCACTACCAGCTCCTTTGGTCTCGTGTTGAGAAGTCAAGAATTCTAGTTGGGTCTCCAGCTCCTTGTTCCGCGAGTTTAGGGTGTCTAACTCTTTCTGAATAGCTGGGTTCATCGAAACATCAGCTGCCCTCTCTGCACGAGAGCCATACGCACCGTCCAGTTCCGCTCTCGCCACAGTTAGCTCCGTCTGTACTCGAGCGACTTCGGTGGCTAGTGAATTTGTCTCCTGTTGAGCTTTGAGGAGGTCGGCGTCGGCGCTGTCTTTTGCGGTCTGGAGTTCTGTTATCTGCTGTCGAAGAGCACTGATTTCGACCTCGTCCTGCTCCTTGGATTTTTTGAGTTCGTCCAGTTCCACAAGGAGCTTTTGAGATGTTGTTTCGGTCTCACTGCGGACTTGAGCAAGCTCAGCTTGCACACGCGAATGGTCGTCCTGCTTCGCTTTCAAATCCGCCAAAAGCTTGACTTCCATGGCTTTGCTCGCAGCGAGCTCTGCACTAGAGGCTTTGCTGTCATCCACGCCGCGCTGCTGTTCTCGTAGCACATTCTCCTGCTGGGCGGCATCCAGTTGTCCCATGAGGAGCTCCATCTGGTCTCGAGAATGTTTTGCTTCTTCTTCGGCGATTTCATTCAGCTTCTTGGACCTTTCGAGCTCGTCTGTCAGAGTTTGAATGTGTTCATCTCGCTCCGCATCAGACTTGGTGTTCAGTTCACGTTGTTGCTGAATTTGTCGAGTCAAGATATCCTTGTGCTCCACGAGTGTTTCAACACGCGAGTTTAAGCGTTCGAGCACAACGGAGGAGAAGGCGAGTTGAGATTGCAGATCCTTGCCTCGAGGTTCGTCATAGGGCAGGAGTGGGCTGTGGCCGACCGAGTTTGTGCGTTCAAGCATATCTTGAAGACGCAAATTGACATCCTCGACTTGATCCTCAGAATCAAAAAGCGATTTTTCGACGGCGGCAGTCGCGCGGGTTCGAGAGGCTTCCATGGCGTCCAGAGCTTGTGACAGGTAGCCTAGCGATGCCTGGATCTGCACACCCACTCGTCCTGCCACGGCATCGTCGGTCGACATCGGTGGTGGGTCAAAGTGTTCCTGAGAGCCGGCCTGGTTAACCATCGCATGCACCCTCAAATTCAATTCTTGCAAGCGGCTGGCGACGTTATCAAGGGGCTGTTCGTCGCGTTTCGCGGATTGAGATTTGGGAGGTGGAGGAGGGGCAAAGTCGGTGACATAGTCTGGAACTTGATAGAGGCTTCGCTCGTCAAAGTCGTCCGAGTTTCGACCATTCATCTGGCTTGTCATGCTTTCAGGGCTTCGAGGTAGTTCAGTTCTCCTCACATTTTTCTTCAGACCTTTGTGGGTCATTTGCAGAATTCCAGCGGTGTGGCGTAGAATGCGTTTTTCGATGTCCTCTAGTTGAAGTTCCAACTCCTTGAGTTCTCGATTCAAATCCTCCACCTTCTTGTTACTCGAGGCAAACTCGATATCGGCGCGAGCGACTGGATCAGGCTCGGGTTGCTTAGAGCCCAGGAAGCTCCTGCGTTTCTTCTGTGGAGATTCTGGACTGTCATTGCTCTCTCGTTTTGTGTAGAGTCGGTTTAATGATTGTGCGGCATCTCGAAGTTTGCTTTCAAGGGCCAATTTCCTCTTCGTTGTTTCCACCTTGCCCCGGAGGTACACCTTTTCCTTTTTCAACTGCTCTACCTCCTCAAAGGACAAGACCTCGTACTCCCTGCTATCACTGATGGCGGTCTCGGTGAGTAAGTGCATGGCAACCGGGTCATTGATGTTGAGAAGTGTGGAATTTCGGCTGGCTCTTTGAGGAGGAAAGCTGGGCTGAGCCATGTTAGTGAGGCCTCATTTTTGCAGCGGTCAGCAACACTTACTGTCATGAATCGGGGTGTCTGCTCTTCATAAGGACCTCTTAACGCCCCCGACATGAAATTGGGCCGTTGTCCAATCGCCGGTGAATCCTCCGCAATAGGCCCCGGGCCACCTGCGCTGTAGACAGAACTGGGGACATAACGACTTCGATTGTCGTCTATGCTGTCGGAGGATTTCCTCAATCCAAACTGAAAGCGGTTCATGATGAGATTATGCCTCGCTCATTCCGGCCTGGTGACTATCTCCGCGTCTCTGCTTGTCACCAACAGATCAGACAGGCCACTATCCAAGCCAAATGGTGCCAAAAAGTCCACCGGCTCGTGCTCACGGATACTACGAGGGTGAGATTTTGCAGTCGCGCATGCTGTAAGACGGTAGAGGCCAACAAGTAAGGAGGAGGACGTCGAACCAGGAACAAGTCGCAGTGAGGGAGGAGTGAGGAAGATCTTGGCTATAGGAGAGTCGATGCAGGAGTATGTAGGATGGGCGGCTGTGGTTTGCAAACGGTACCTAAAGTGTCTTGACCAGAATGAAGGAATCGATAAAAGAGTGAGGATTAGGACAGGGGTACGTGTCGTGAAAGGGCTGAGATTGGTGCTACTGCGGTAGCGCAAAGGGTGGAAGCAGGGGCCGGAGGACAAGCGAAGCGAATTACAGGCCGAAGACTCATGAAGCTAGGGTAGCGATTGGGACAATGGCCACGGCTCGAGAGAACAAAGGGATTCGGGAGTCGGGGGTGGACGCGTCTAATCGATAGTGCGAGTGATGTGGTACGGCGTATACATGGAACAAGAGTGGGCGCGTGGAGATGGTTAGAATGGTGTTTTGTTGTATGGATTAGGGAACTCGTTGGAGTCAACTGGACGCTCGGCAGATGGAGCCTCAGTCGTCGACCAGAAGATGAGTGGACGAGGTCGACGATGATGGCCAACACGACAAGCAACACAAGCAACAGGCAGTGGAAGGAGCAATTTCAACCAATGACGAAACCCACATGTCCCTGGAAGGAGCGGGACTGATTAAAATCACGTATACGTAGTAATTAAATAGGCGTGATACGTAATTGCGGGAATGTGAGATTTGAGGCACACGGACCTTGGGTTATACACACTTTCTCACTTTGTGTAGGTGCCTAGGTAGGGAGTATGTTCTCAATGGTGGTCGTTTGGTATCCTCCTAGTGGGCGGTCTAATTAAAGGGATGGACACTGTAGCGGGTAAATTGTGGGTGTAAAAGGAGAGTCTCAGGCCCTTGGCCCCGCCATCCCCGGGCTTTCTCTGTGGAAATTGACGCCTAATTACGGTAATGGATGCCTATTCTTGTCGCTGGTAGTTATCAACTTCAGAAGACACGTGGACATCCATGGGAGAGAACAACTCAATCGATAGACAGACAGTGTACGTTTATGATCCCTATGATATCAGTATTACAAGGAATGCACTCACTGTATGTAGGTAGGTATGCAAGGCACAGACGTTAACAGCCAGCCTGCATCAACCCCGTCATCCCAACCTGTCAACCCCATTTCTGGCATGCAATCATGACTCATTCCTCATCCCAAATTAAAAACACTTGTAAAGTTGCTCTCTTCGGAGGACGAGGCGAGTCAAGCACTCACTAATCTCATGGCTATTCCCGTTTGGCAAGCCATGTGTACGAATGGGTGGGAAGCCCCTCGGCCCTGGTTAGAGGGGCCGAGGGCCGCGTGCCAGGGGGGTTTCTTGGACAGGAATTTGGAAGGTTCTCAGCTGGCTTGAGTCCCTACGGAGTACCCCAATTGCACCTGCCGCCAACCACATGGTAGGCAGTGTCGTTCGGATTTACAGACTCCGGATCAACATGCTTGTGGAGTTCCTGTGCACGTGACATTTCTCCGGCAACCGCATTCAATCCGTCCTCACGTGCTTTGCTTATGGAGTCGAAGATTTGAGCGCGACGGACTTCCGTAGTGACATCCACACTCGATGCTTGAACCCCCAATCGACGACGATATATCATCTCTCATCATCCTTATCCCAAGTGCCAACATGAACCAAATCACACTCAACGTCTCCGTGTTCACCCTGTACCTCTGATGGCGGATATCTCCAAATTCGCTTAATCGTCCATTCCAGCACACTGCACCATGTGACAAGGTCGCATGCGCTAACGCTCAGACCCTGCTATCTATCTATCTATCCTCACCTCGGTACCACCAAACCCTCGTGTGCTTCATATGAGCCCTTTACTCATAGAGGAGCCGTCACATTCCACGAGCAGCCATTCACTCGCTGTCGACTCTTTATTCTGGCGCAATCCCCACCATCGGCAGTCGTGGAACTGTTGCCATACATTTCCCTTCCTCGTGGACCGTCAATGAGACCACTCTCCCACCCGCTCGACTCGATTCGCACCTATCCCTTCCTTCCGTCAACTAGCCGCCATGGGCGCCCCCGATCAAGAGAACGTGGCACAGATGGGATCAGCTCCAGGTGAGCGCCAGTCCCGCGAGTCTGTCGACTCGCAATCTTCCAATCTCGACGTCAACACTCACCTCATTCCTCCAGCGCTGTCTCTGGTATCAACCTCCTCCTCCACCCCATACAAAGTATACAAGCGCCGATTCTTCGGCCTTGCCCAATTGGTCCTGCTTAATATTGTTGTGTCGTGGGACTGGATAGCATTCGCTCCCGTGTCGACGAGCTCCGCCGAGTATTTCCAAACATCTGAATCCAATATCAACTGGATCTCCACCGCCTTCCTTTTCGCCTTTGTCGTTGCCACCCCATTCACCTTCTTTGTCTTACACCGGTTCGGATGTAAAACCGCAATCATGGCTGCTGCCTCCCTCCTCCTGGTCGGCAACTGGATCAAGTATGGAGCGACAAAAGCCTCAAATTTTCCCGGCGTCATGGTCGGCCAATTGCTTATCGGATTTGCCCAGCCGTTTGTCCTGTCATCTCCTACCAGCTATAGCAACCTCTGGTTCAGTCCCCGAGGTCGAACCACCGCCACCGCGGTCGCATCCCTAGCCAATCCCTTTGGCGCTGCCTTGGGCCAGCTAATTTCTCCTCTCTGGGTCTCAACCCCATCCGACATCCCCAACATGATCCTGTATGTTGCCATCATATCTTCTGTTGCCTGTGTACCGAGTTTCTTCATTCCTTCGCACCCACCCACCCCACCGTCAGCAGGTTCCAAATCTCTCTCAGACGGACTCGACCGCAACACGATTAAACACGACGTGACCACCCTCATGCACAGTCCCGAGTTCTACCTCGTCTTCATCCCATATTCCATCTTTGTCGGCTTCTTCAACGCCATCTCCAGCCTTCTCAACCAGATCCTCGAACCTCATGGCTTTAGCGAAGACGATGCCGGCATCGCAGGCGCCATTCTCATCGTTGTCGGACTGGTCTGCGCCGCCATCTCCTCTCCAGTCATCGACCGATATAAATTCTATCTCAAATACATCAAATTCACCGTACCCATGATTGGGCTTGCCTACCTTATCTTCATCTGGGCGCCGCAGACCGGTTCTTTGGCATATGTATATGTCGTCTGCGCGATCCTGGGCGCCGCAAGCTTTGGCTTGGTTCCCGTGGTACTAGAATTCCTAGTCGAGATCCACTATCCACTAGGTCCAGAGTTGGGAAGCAGTCTCTGCTGGTGTGGAGGACAATTACTCGGTGGTATTTTCATCATCATTATGGACGCTTTGAAAGCAGGTCGAGATGCATCACCTCCATTGAACATGAAACGCGCCCTCATCTTCCAGGCAACCTTGGCCATGGTCGCCGTGCCCTTTGCTTTGGTATTGGGCTTATTCGGTCGAGAAGAACGGGTCAGACCGCGGAGATGGGAAGCTGATCAAGGCACGAGTTCCTCAGAGGAACAGGAGATCCGTGTGAGCGACAGTTTTGAAGAGCCCGTGCGAGCCCAGGATGACCGTACGAGGTCATGACCATGACCATGACCATGAAGAATCGACAATGGACGACATATAATCGAGAAGTTGCTAAAGGACCATGGTCATTGAAGAAGTTGTGAGACTTTCAAGCCTTTGGCTCAACCTTTTACGGCGTTTTTTTTTTTGTTTTTGGGCAAGACAAGGGAAGGAGTTAATGAAACAACCTTGTCAGGGTATCGGTTGTTGTGTAACTGAGCGATATACCATGACGTTTTGCAATCCAGTGTTGAGCAGCGCAGCGATCCAAGCGACCATCCAGTTATTTGGTTTCATAGTTGAATGAATCAATGCCATTTTCAAAATCAAGACATTCAACCGGGCAAAGCAATATATCCTGTATACATACCAGGACATAAGCTTGAGCGTGAGCTTGCCTAAGGTATTATAGCTGCCAACACAGCAGACCGCAGAGCCGCAAGGTAACATGATAATAAAGTCTAGATTGGGTCCTCAGCCAGCCCTCAACAATAAACAGGCTGAGGCCTACATAAGGTACATATATTAATAAGTCCTGCATGCTAAGCGAAGTGACGCCCGACTATAGTACAAGCACGCCTACTGTATTACTCTAGACCTGACCCAAGATCAACAAGGTGACATTTTCCTACTTTTATTCCCATCCAGTCATGTACAGCAGTCAACCTATCATCTAGTCATCTAGTCATCCAGTCGTTTAACCATCCAATCAATGACTGATCACCTCACTCACTCAGCCAGCCAGCTTCACCGGCATACTCGCCTCATGCAACATTCCAGCCGTGCTCAAATGGGTTCAGGCATGCTCAGCCCAGCCCAGCCCAGCCCTGCCCTGCCCTGCCTTGGATGGGAAGGATCGGGCGAGGCGTGAGTGGCAAGGTCCTGTGCTTTAGGTGAGTTGAGAAAGATGGGAGGAAGACGAGATTGGTAATCTGAGTGGTTCTTTTCTGTGGTAGAGTTACTAGCTTTATATATAAGATATGGTATTGACTCTGAGTGGATTTTAGCTGTAATGACTGTTGCAAAGACTTGTAGGGAGAGAGTGAGAGAGTCTCCTTGGTGGGAGATCTTTTCTCTAGTAGTCGCCGGCTACGGCAGATGGGAAGCTGCGCCTGTGGCTTTACAACGATCACATGGACAGGAACGGTATGAACGGTACAGAGGAGAGTAGAGCCTCATCTAAATACGACAACTTCAACGATGGTCAAATAGTCGTGGACAAACCCTTGGAGAGCAGTGAAGATAACATGATACTCAGGGCAGGTAAGCAGAGGCAGAGGCAAAGGTCGAGTTGCAGCATTACTGCGTTAATCATCCCCTGACGAGGCTGGGTAGAATATGCAAGATTCCAATGACGCTTCTGTTTGCTCGCGAGACCGTGTAATGTTCCTAAGTACCTAGGTCATACATGGTCGGATCCTATCTCACCTTTCAACTTGACTGCCCATCAGGCTCTTCCAGTAGGTTTCAAAGGACACATTGGCCAGTCACGATCATGGGCTTGGGATGAAGCAACGATGAGATACACAAAATCCATGTGCAATCTCGCAACGGCTCTCATAGATGACTTGCTGACAAAGGTCGAAACAAGTCAAAATCACCTCATAGGGGTAGGTTGTGATGGACAGATCTTTTATTTTATCTTCTTTCGCATTATCAAAGATGTGTAGCTGTACAAGCGGGAGGATGTGGACACAGATTAGCTTCTGGTGGCTTGTCTGACCTGAAGCTAGAAGCCGACCTTGCTGATGTTGTTCGACATCTTGTGAGTTGATTGGATTTGTGTCTGGAGAATCTTGATGGTATTGGACTCGGATGTCCTTTTCAACATGGAGGTAAAGTTCCATTTCCAGACCAAGAGCTTGAAGTGTCATTGAAATCGATGGAGCTAGCGGGCGTCGACTCGTTTACTTGAGCTGCTTGAACAGCTTTCCGGCCGCGCATTGCGAGGCGCAGTGCTGGAGATGGAAGACTAGACAGAATTAGTCAAGGAAGACTCATGGGCAGAATTTTGTCTCAAAACTCATGGGAACGTACATTCTTCGACACAGTCTTCCTTTGCACCGCTGCCTTCTTCACTGGCAGAAGTGACACGCTCAACACACTCGTCGAAATGGTGCTTGTAGCCGGCGCATGCGCTTGATCGTGCGCACTCTGGAAACTCAATTAGCACGGTGATCTAACCATTGTCGGGGACATCTCATCTCCGCCAAATGCAGGTATTGCAGTGCAGATTCAGACATACCCTCTTCTAGTAGTGGCTTGGGGTCCACGGGTTCCTCTTCCTCCTCTTCTTCTTCTTCTTCCTCCTCCTCCTCTTCTCCTTCGGCATCATCACCGCCTTCTTCGTCCTTTGATTCCTCTTCGCCTTCTTCGGTGGGTTCTTCCTCGTCGGCAGGAGCTTCGGCGTGAACCTCCTGCACCAGGGAGCTCATCAGGTCGGAGAAGAAATCTGTGATGCCCATTGTTGCGGTGGTGGAAGGAGCTGGGTAGATGACGAGTCGACAGTCACAAGATGGGGGAGGGATGCAGGCAATGAGCCAACAAGGATATACACCGGTTGACTGGATGTGAAAGAGAGATGCTGCAGTGTCGAATAGAACTGAAGGTGTGAGAGAGCTCCGAATGTCAATGCAAATCACGACGTCGGATCTGGAAGCTAAACTTTAAAGCTGCACTTGAGGAAGGTGCAACTGGTCGTACTCGCTACAGTAGGGAGACAAAAATTAGAGAGCATATGATTGGCTACTGAGGTCCATCCCTTTGGACATGCCAAGCCTCCCACCTCGACATGGACTCTGTCGTCAAGGATGGAGCTGGTCTGAACACCTCGACGCCGAACTCCAATCCTAGGCTATATGAAAATACAGATAATCATTATGTCCTGTTCTCGTCTTAAGGCTGAGGTTGTGACAGTCGTCTCTCCAACTCGGCTTGAACGCTTTGTTGTTGTGCTTCCTCATAGCCAGGAGGGGCATCGGCAGGGGTTCCAGTATCCCTCACCGTTGATGTCGCTCCCGGCCGTCTTGGTATCGGAGCAAGGATGGGTGTTTCCCTGACGGGCGAGTGCAGCAGATCCTGTGCTTCCGTGGTTCGGTCCGGTGACGCCATCCTATCTCTTCCAGAATCTTGGTATGAAGGTAATTGATCGAGATTCACCGCATCCAGATTCACGTCGCCTAGGAAGCCGTCTTGTCGCCTTCCAAGGTTGTTTTCTCGGGCCAGTGAGACCACTTGTTGCAGCCTTTCTTTGATGTGTTCGAAATTGGAATGGAAATCGGGTGCCCCGCCTTCTTTGAAGGTCATCTTGACTTCAATGGCGGATTGAGTATCGGGAAAATTGCCCCCAGGGACTGGTTGTAGAACGGCAAGCCAGGCATTGGGGCCAAACCAGGGAAATGTAACATGAGTGTCGTGCAGATTCAGAATGGGGGCGGAGAAGGACTGAAGCTCTTGGGTGGCCTTGTCAGGAAGATATACCACCTGTATGTCCCATCAGTAAAGATCTGGGAGGTTGATGTCAAACCGTGCATACCCTTTGATTTGTTAAATATGCGACACCTGAATTACAGTGGATATCAACGGGGTTGTTGGCTGGATAAGCCCCCGGGGTGGTGATAGATAAAGCAATCCTTGGAGATGATTTATGGACAATTCTCTCGTTAGGCAGAGGGACGAAGCCTTGTTGGCCGTCGAGCATGACCCAACTATAGACACAGTGTTAGCTAGATAGTCTCATAATATCGTAAGCCGTGACCTACTTGATTGACATGGCGGCAATTCCCTCTGGGCCCAGGACCAACAGAAGGCTGATTTGGGATGATGGATCCCTCGAGGCCGGGGATTTGTCGGCTAAGACGTATCGGAGTGACCTGGTTTTCTGATGGCGGGATGGCACAGACGTTGACGTGGTTCACGGAGGGATAGTCAGAGAATCAAGTTGAAGCCTCTCCCTCCGCATGGCAGATGAAATAAACAGTCACGCGTTGGTTTGTGATACTAATAAGTACGTGGTGGCAACCAGTGAGCCAATTGTGACGATGAGGGTTGGGATCTGCCAAGGGAAACGGGCAAGCATCAAATTATGCAGTCGATGGCGATTAGGCGAGAGCTTTTGGCGGGAAGGACGGTCACGCTGAAGCCCCCTTGGCCTACCTACCTAGCCAGGTGGTTTGCTACCTAAAATCTCCCTCGGGCCATGTCCAGCCTTCCCTAGAATAGGCCCGGAGTTAACTGTCATGACGTCGAGGCTTTAATCACCGCAATGCGTGAGTGCCAGGACCTGAGTACCTCTTCTGCCCGAGGGCCCTGAATCATGAAAGTTTAGGTGCCACTGCCACTGGTGATGCTGCTGCCAGCCACCACCGACATTCCCATGGCAAATGCCTTGTAGATTTCTTCAACCACCTTGTGTTTCTCGATTTTACTGTTAGCTGCCATCATGCCGGACAAGATATTAAAGATCCTCAAGAATATTTCCTCGACCCTCAGATATCATATTACCAAAGCCATGTCATTGTCATGATTCCAACACGTTAAGCCATAAAGATTGTCCCCCTCGGTTCACGCTGTCTGCATGGGTACTCTCGGGCGTGAGTGGGGCAGCGCAGCCAGCCCGAGGGCCCAGGCCGCTCAGGCGGTTATAATGCTATCGCCAACATCATCATCATTACTTACATCCCAAAATTTCCAAGGCAACCACATTTTGACCTTCTTATCACTGAACCAACCACGGTGTCAGGCAAACACTCCATCTTTCTTATGACACCTTGATTCAATGCTCGACAGTTTCCTTCGAGCTGTACACGGAGATGAACCTCTAGCATTTGTTTCGACAACACTTTCTGGCAATGTCCTAGCCAGATAACCTCCCTTTGAGTCATTGCTCATTCCACCGTTCAAATTTGACCCGAATCACCTCAAATCCATAGCATCTGATGTATCGTCTCAAGAGCGCTCTTCTAGGGAACAACGTTCCAACAGATCCCATGCCCGTCGTGGCTGAGGGAGAGTTAGCACCACCCGAATCTCTTTTGCCCACCACAGGTTTGCCCCAAGACAGAGCACCATCGCCAGTCCCCAGCTGGGTGCGTGAGATCAATAACACGCCGATTGGAAGACATAGTCGTGCCTCTTCTATCATTTCTACCCACACAAAGTTCTCCACGACCACTCTGCAAGATGACGCTCGAAGTATCAATATTACTGTTGCCGGTCAATACTTTAGGATCAATCGAGATGGTTCCCGCGTCACCGTGGATGCTCCGCCTCCATATTCCGGCCCAAGTCAAGCCGGCAGCGTTGAGGTAGTCGCTTTAGACAACCTTTCACTTAGCGATCGAGGCCAAAGTATCCAAACAGACGACTTGGATTTAGAAGATGTGTCTCGAACGCCTCGTTCGATCGTCGATGTCTCTCTGGATGATGACTTCTTTAGCAGATTGCGCGGAGTTGAGCAGAGTGTCAGTCCGCCCAGACCAGAAAATTCCATCCACCGATCTTCCTCCCTGGCTACAATAAGCCATGTCTCTGACATTGCGTTGGCTTCGACGGAAGAAGGTGCAAGTATTGACGATGACAACCGGGACGGCAGGTCCGTCTTACAACACCCATTTAACACTGTTGTAAACCTCCCAGCCGGCGACGACTTTGCACGGGGAGGCAGTCCCACCAGCCAGAATTCAGGATCATGGCATCGAACTTGGGCTATGGGGACCAGTACAACAGGTCCGACCTCCTCTGATTCCTGTGGCCATGTTCCTCTGTTACAAAGAATTGGATTATCACGCTCTGTGTCTCGTGCACAATCGAATGCACCATCAATGCAGGGCAGCCAAGAAGAACTTGCCCAGCCTTCACCAGACACCTTGCATCAGTCACAACCACCTATCAGCATTGCCGTATCTGCTCCTGCCGATAATGAGTCCCAGTCTCCTGATCAACCAGAGGGCGATCCCAGCCCTTCAGACGAGCCCAAACTCGGGATCCACAGGCAAATGTCGCAAATGTCAGTTGAGACTGAGAATGAAATGATGATGCACTATACTAAAATGATGAGAAAGCTCGACTATGAACATCGGAAAGCTCTGCATCTCAAAGACAAAGAGCTTGCAGACATGCGTGTGAGGCTGCATGAGAAAGATACTGTTTTACGACAACAAGTGCGAGCGAAAGACTTTATGATTGATGATCTCAAGCAACGCCTCAACGCCTTTGAGGAGAATATCGAGTCGATGCTGGAGAGAGCAAGAAACCAGGTCGAGGACATGTGGGAGTCTAGGTGGAAAGATCGTGACTTTCACCTTAGGGAACGCATGAAACGAATCGAGGAAGAGGCACAACGCAGCATTGATAAGCTGCGCACTGATATTGCATCTCCTGCGACAAAAGTTTGAACGCGCCTTGTGCGGACTACATACCTACGCAACAGACTCTGCTGGATCATTAAGGTCTCCTTGCGGGGAATACTTACTCAACATCTTTCTGTACACCCAACGAGATGTCTGGTATACCACGACGCACCGGACCCGGGGCCGGTTTCCCTGGCGCCCAACCACTCGTCATCCTACAACTGTGCCAGCAATATTTGTCGAGCCTTGTCATTATAGCCTCCTCGGCCAATAAATCGATGGCTTGTCTCAATCTATTGTGGCTGCCTTGGCCGCCGTGCCCCTCTTCGTTTTGTCAAGGGTGAAGTTGAATCAAAGGTCCCCAGGCCGAATCACACCTGCAGTAACATTCAGGTTGGAAATGAGGTTATCGACATGCTCACGACAAATGTCGAGGTTCTGAAGCTTTCTCAATCAATCAACCACTTTGATAGTTTTGTTGATGTTTGCGGGCCTCGAGGAATGATGGGTTGTCGGTTCATACGAAGATCCTTTGTGGCTGACAAGAGAATACGTGGTTGATTGTGGATGGTGGCAGGTTTCTGGAGCAGAAGAACTATTTATCTATTTAAATTACTCGGAAACGAAAAACCTATATGCCATTCACGGTTTGATCCTAGAGGGCGAGCAAGGACAGCTTGACCCTGAGCTTTAGCTGAGCCCTTTCTTGAGCATCACCAAGTGCTCTGTGATCAAACACACTGGTGGTCAAATCTAGCCCCTTGTGATCGACTGAGGGGTTATACGGAGTACATACATACGGAGTACATGCCTCTCCGCTAGCCACATGTTTTGGACTGGGATCAGGGAACTTGGCAGGTTCATGCTGCTGCCTACAGAGAGCAAGGAATTCAATTGAGCAAACTGATGGACCAGCCACCGAGGCGCACACTGCCTCTGTTCAACTGCAAGCAACCAGTCGCTGCAGACAAGGGACCCATGAAGTGTCACGAGTGTCCAAACGCCCAGCCACCCACCTATGTATGTCGAGCCTGACATCGTCCAAGTATCTCAAACCTGGAAAGTCCGCCATTCATCAATTTCCATCCCCTCATCACATCCTCGGAGATCGAGGACGCATACATCACAAAATGGAGCCTTTACACTATGTCAGTAGCACCTCGCAGTTCTCTCGCATTGGTCCAGGCCTCGTCGTCAAGGCGCCCATGGAAGTTTCGAAAGAGAACCCCAATCATAAACAGCTGGAGGAACATAATGCGAAGGCAATTGACGTGGAAGCGCAAATTTTGAAAAGACTGGGTCGTCACCCCAGGATCGTCCCGTTTGCAAAACCCCCCAATGAGACCATGGCCTCAAGCTAAGCCTTGTTGATAGATTCCACGGGGTCAATGACACGGGCATTTTGCTCAGCGAAGCAGTGCATGGAAACCTACAGGCATACATCGACTCCAACAATCCAACAATAGACACTGCTCTACGTTGGAAATGGTCTCTGCAGGCGGCCGAAGCCATTGCATATTTACATGAGAAAGGCGTGATCCACTCGGATCTACGACCTGAAAACTACCTGGTGCATGCCACAGTCGAACCACGCGATGATGTTGATCCTTCTCCGTCACTAGACCTGTGGCTTTGCGACTTTGGCGGGTCCGTGTGTGAAGAATTGGGGTTAGATGGCGGACACTTACCCGACGACCCTTTCTTCGACCACCGAAAGCCCTGGGTGTCGACACGGGAAACCGATATCTTCAGTCTCGGATCTGTCTTCTTCAACATCCTGACAGGATATTGGCCATACAGGGAGGGCCCGCCTCCTAAGAGTATGGAGGGCATAATTGCTTATGAGAAGGAAGTGAACGAGTTATTCACAGCGAGCAAGTTTCCAGACGTTTCCAAGTCGAGCGGTGGGAATGTGATCAAGGGTTGCTGGGATTACCGCTATCAGACAGCCCAGGATGTGGTAGAAGCCATCAAGAGGGAAATAGCAGTACTGGGAATGTAATTGACTGGCAGTCGTAGAGCATCGAATAGCCTCTAATGAGTATCTCGGGTGTGTCAGTAGATTGTGGAGTGATGTCTGTATGAGCTGCTAATATGCTATACGTAGATTAACTATATTATTGAAGACGAATAGGGACAAAAAGTATATATAATATGACGTGTGGACTCTGAATAGCATCAAGGCGGCAAGCGAAAGTCTTTTTGGACCACCCTGACTGACGCCTCTACATGTCTAGTACCTTGAATGAAACTAATACTCTCATCTAAGTACTGTACATGGGATCAATATCGATCTCGATGTCCAGACTGCCCCTCCCCCTCCATGCACGTGATAAGCTGGTGAACAGGGTTGAACTGGAGACGTTGGGGAAGCGAAGGAGGGACGAGGGGATGGTGTGGATGCCCGAGGGGCCCCCGGGGATTGGAAGATGGAGGGGGTCAAGTGCCCAAAGAGCTCTTGGAAGCGTGGAAGCCTTGTGTCGTTTGTAACTAAATTCGAGAGTCTGGGCTGTTAACTTAGGCACAAGGCCCCTCGGCACCCTCAATAACCCATCCCCACATTGACATTTATTACTCACCTGGGCACCCATGCCTCTCCCAACGTTCCCTCCTCCGTCACCTGCGATCCACTCACCTGCATCCTGGTCCATTGACGCATGCCTCGACCATCTCAACATCTTTTCTCTGCTAGTCCCTGTCTTGTGACCATACACAAGCTGGATGTTGATGGTTGCAATTTACTTGACACCAGCTTCCACTCTTCGATCTTTACCACTAGTTGGACCATCGCCTCCCTACCACTTCCCTGCCTCTCTACGATTCCTCCGCCGTCGAATGCCTGGGCATAACCGGGCATCTTATCGGCGGCGTCTGCCCCATCAAGGAGCAGCCTCTCCCTCGAACCGGCCAACACTCAACTGATACCTCTCCCGCCCGGACCAAATACCATGGAGAGAACTCAGACTTCCTCTCGTCCGGCAAGAAAGCGTCGTCAACGACGACAGATCAAATGGCTCTACGACCTGGTCCTGTGGGCCATGTCCGTCCTCATCGACCTGTTCTTCCGCGAAGTTCATCCAAGAGGTGCTTGGAAAGTCCCTCGAAAGGGCCCAATCATTCTTGTTGCTGCTCCTCATGCCAACCAGGTCTGTCGTGTCCTGTCCCAAGAAAGTACCAACATGTCAACTAATAGTCCCTCAGTTTGTCGACTCCCTCGTCCTCATGAGAATCCTCAAAACAGAGGCCAAGAGACGAATCTCCTACCTGATCGCCGAAAAGTCCACGAAGCGAAAGTTCATTGGAACTCTGTCGACGGCCATAGGAGCTATCCCCGTTGGAAGAGCTTTGGACAAGGTTAAACCTGCTCAAGGCAACATCTTCATGCCCGACCAGGACAACGACCCAACCCTCATTCACGGCGTCGGGACAAATTTCAAGAATGGGCAGTTCGAAATCGGTGGTTTGATCGTCCTGCCCAAAGTCAGAGGCCAGACCCCAAGCACCGAAATCGCCGAGATCATCTCACCCACTGAGCTTCGCCTCAAGAAACCCTTCAAGACCCCAGAAGCCTTGGAGTCCCTAAATCGCAATGGGCCCGAGAGTGGATCCGACACACCTGGTCGTGGTTCTAACGGCTCCCGCGGCTGCAAATTCAGCGTTGCTCCATTTGTCGACCAGACAAAGGTCTACAATTCGGTGTTTGAAGAGCTCGACGATGGAGGTTGCATCGGCATTTTCCCCGAAGGCGGTAGTCATGATCGCCCGGATTTGCTCCCTCTCAAGGCTGGCGTGGCCATCATGGCTCTGGGTGCTCTGGCGAACAACCCCGACTGCGGCGTTAAAATCATTCCCATTGGCATGAACTACTTCCACGCCCACAAGTTCAGATCCCGGGCCGTCATTGAGTTTGGCCACCCCATCGAAGTCCACCCAGATCAAGTGGCTGCCTACAAGGCGGGCGATCGAAGAAACGCCGTTGGCTCCCTTCTCGAGACCGTCTTCCAAGGCCTGGTCGCCGTGACACAGTCAAGCCCCGACTACGATACCCTCATGCTCGTCCAAGCCGCCCGCAGACTCTATAATCCCACCGGCAAAAAGCTTCCTCTTCCCTTGGTAGTCGAGCTGAACCGGCGACTTGTCAAAGGATATACCCAGTACAAGGACGACCCAAGAGTGGTGAAACTCAAGCAAGATGTACTTGACTACAACCGTCAGCTCCGGGCCCTGGGAATCCGCGACCACCAGGTGGAGTGGGGCAATGCCTCCAAGCGCCCTTGGTGGCTGATCCTGGGCACCTTGATCTATCGGCTCGGCGAACTGGTAGTCTTGGGCATTGGAACTCTGCCGGGCCTGGCCATGTTCTGGCCAGTGTTTGTCACGACCAAGCTCATTTCGCTCAAGAAGTCTCGCGAAGCACTCGCAGCCTCCACGGTTAAGCTGCAGGGACGAGATGTCATTACTACTTGGAAGCTGTTGGTGGCGATGGCGTTTGCGCCTGTCCTCTATGCTTACTATATAGTTATCGTCTCGCTCTGGCTGGTGTATAACCGGAATGGTGGGTATTACACTAACAAGGTGCCGTGGTGGTTACTCGCTCGGACTTATGTGCCCGATTTTGTACCCATCTGGCTGTTTGCCGTTTCGTTTTTGGGGTTGTGCATCAGCATCACGTTTGCAGCATTAAGAATTGGAGAGATTGGTATGGACGTGCTCAAGTCGCTACCTCCCTTGGTTGCTGCGCTGGATCCGAGATCCTCGAGCCGCTTGGTCAAGCTGAGGGCCATCAGACAGGCACTGTCTGCTGAGGTCACAGACGTCATCAATGACCTCGGACCAGAGGTCTTCCCTGACTTTGACGCCAACAGAATCGTGGCGGATCCCTTTCCGGAGGGGGCATACCAGTCCAGCTATAAGACTATGCCAGAAGAACCCCGAATCACTGAAGCGACAGAACCTTCGACACCGACGTCTGGGGGTCCCGAGGGCAAGTCACCAGACACCCCAACTGGAACCTCATTTGGGTTGTTACCTCGCAACGAGTCATTCCGCAACATTGGTGGGTTTGGATTCTTCGCATCACGGCCAACGACGCCCAAAAGCCGCAGTCGCAGCAGTTCCGCGGGCGGGGCTCTATCAATGTCTGGTGGTCTTCGGCCGTTCAGCAGTGTGGACAATAAGGAGAGTTTCGATGAAGTTAGCAAGCGAATCCGAGGCGCGATGCGTGAGAGGGGACGCAAGAGGGAAAGTGAGGGCATTGAAACCGCCACCGAGAGCAGTTGGGACATGGCCTCGGATGGACAGATGACACCGGCCAGCGAGGATGAGGAGCCGAAGAAGGAAAGATAGACAAGGAGGATCCATGAATATAAATGACAGCAGCATGAGTTACGAGGGACTTGAGTGTCTAGCGAGCACCTTGGGTACTGACGTGTTGATGAGCGGTGCAACCCGGTCTTGTGTAGAGTTTACCTGGGTACCATGCCACAATGTTTGACGACAGGTATTGTATGAGTCCAAGATTGATTTATCCTTGCACAAGATATCACCCTAATGTAAAGTCCTCGCGTCATCGGCAAGCCTCAGGAGTTGAATTCGACGCTATCCATGGTTCAGCCTTGTGAATTATGAAGTCGATGAAGCCACACAAAGTCTCGGCGGTTGTGATTGGCTGCCTTTTAAGTTTTGGCCACCAAAACAAGGCAACTGCAACCAGGCTTCTGTCAGTGCTTCCTGCCCTTGCTGGCATTTGCTACAACTGGCAGGCGCGACCAGGCAGGATTCTTGGTTTACTCAACAATCTGTGCCTTCCACAACTGACGTGATACTTGTTGGCTGTACGACGACTACGGAGTAAAGTACTACTAACTACCTAGGTAAGTACTACTAACTAACCTACCTAAACTACATACCTAACCTACCTATTACTCGCCAGTACTCCAAGGCACTAAGTACTACTACCTGCTTACGCATATTCAGATGCATCACGTCCTGACCTGACAGGCATCAACTTTTGTGTCTCATGTACCCTCGTCCAACACCAACACCAACACCAACACTACGACGACAATCTTTTCTTCTCGTCCACCATTTGTCTCAACATTACAATCATCTCATCCATCTTCGGATCTCTACTTCTCAACATGTCTAATTGTTGTTAATCCTCGCAGAAACACGCCTTCAAATTACACTGTATCTCCATCGCACCTTCCCACCATCTCCCCGCAGCCTACTGCTCATCTACCCTTCTATCGCTCATGGACTCTTACCGCGGTCGTTCCATCTCCTCTTCCTCCGCCTCCTTCAGACTTGACGAGGGCTTCTCCGAAGAAACTGCCAGTCAGAATGAAAGCAGTCGGATTACTCCCTCCACCGATCGTTTTCAGGCCTGGGTCCTCTCTCAGAACGAGGAATCTCGCGCTGAAATCGCGTACGAGGTGTTAAGAACCCTTCGGACATCAAGCATTGCAGCCGTCGTCGAAAGACTGACGCCTTTATTACACATGGATCCCTTGGAGAAACTCCCTCCCGAAATAACATGTCAGATCTTCTCATACCTCGACGCCAGTACCCTCATGACGGCGTCGTTGGCCTCTCGCACCTGGCGAGCACGTGTTATGGACACCATGTTGTGGCAGGATCTCTACAAGAGCCAGGGTTGGGGAATTGATACTACTGAAGTTAAAGCCTTTGAAAACACTCATCTATCCATCACCAGACATGGAACCCGCCGTCGTCTCCCACGACCTGGTCAGCCTCAGCTGAAGAAGCGTGCTACTTCAGACTGGCTCCAGTCCAGGGGTCGTCAAGGCTCCGCTGACGTTTCACAATGGCGCGAGCAACACGGAACCATTGAGGCAGATTCAGACATGCCTTCAGACCCCGACGATCAAGAAATGCAAGATGCTCCAAACAGTCTCGCCAACTCTCCCCAACGTCCAAACAAACGCCACAGCAACGACTCGGGCGACGAGATGGATTATGTGTCTAGCTCTCCTGCACTTCCTCACCCTCCAAATAACCGGAAAAAGGTGCCACCCGAGACCGAACCTCCATTCAAGTCGCGACTCATCACCTACGACAGCAACGGCGGTGAGAAGTTGAATTGGCTCAATCTTTACAAACAACGCCAACGACTGGAACAAAATTGGACCAACGGACAATACACCACATTCCAGTTGCCACATCCATCATATCCAAGAGAAGCCCACACCGAATGCGTCTACACCATCCAATTCTTCGGCAAGTGGTTAGTCAGTGGTAGTCGTGACAGATCTCTCCGAGTCTGGGATCTCGAAACGCGTCGTCTTCGTGGTAAACCCTTGTTAGGTCATTCTCAGTCGGTCCTCTGCTTGCAATTCGATCCCACCGAACAAGAAGACGTGATAATTTCTGGAAGTTCAGACTCGAGCGTGATTGTCTGGCGCTTTTCCACCGGCGAACGAATCCATAAAATCCCCTCGGCCCACGAAGAATCCGTTCTCAATCTTCGCTTCGATCATCGATACCTTGTCACCTGCAGCAAAGACCGCAAGATCAAGATTTGGAACCGCAAGCATCTCACCGCCGCCGACCCTGATTACCCACAACATTCTCGCCAAAGTTCGGCTCGCCTTCCGAGTTACATTGTCAACCTCGACGAAGTCGAACCCTCCCTCCTAGAGGCTCGCATTGCCAACGGCAGCATTCGAGCCTTACAGCCCTACACTCTCCTGATGACTCTCGAGGGTCATGGCGCCGCCGTCAATGCCATCCAGATCAATGGAGATCTTATCGTATCGGCTTCTGGTGATCGGCTCATCAGAGTATGGAACGTTAAGGACGGTCGACTCTTGCGCAGTCTCCAAGGGCATCACAAGGGTATTGCCTGTGTTCAGTTTGACAGCAAACGAATCGTCAGTGGAAGTAGTGACAACACCGTTCGTATCTACGATCCCTTCACCTCTGCCGAAGTCGCCGAGCTCAAGGGCCACACCAACCTCGTGCGGACCGTGCAGGCCGGCTTTGGAGATATGCCCGGCGCCGACGACGCTTCGACGGCACGTGAGGTTGAGAAAAAGTTCCTTCAGGCTGTCGCGAATGGTACTGTCCCAGATGACCGACAGTATTTTCGGCGTGTCAGAAACGGCGAATTTGGCTCTAGTCGTATGGCTCTCAATTCCAAGCTTCCCCCTGGTGGTGGTGGGAGTAAATGGGGTCGGATTGTGTCAGGATCTTACGATGAAACCATCATCATCTGGCGAAAGAATGCCCAAGGCGACTGGGTCGAGTCACAACGGCTTCGTCAGGTCGCTCATACCCCGGATGGTGCTCGGCCGCGCCCATCACAACCACCCAATGTTGCCGCCACGTTACCTCCTCTTCCGAACACGCTTGCGGCGCCTATGCCACCTCAGGCTCCCCACTTAACACAGGGCCAATCTTCAAGCTCCAACGTCGGTTCCTCCTCCAATGCCAATCATCAGGCTGTTCTTGCCGCGACTCAGGTCATGCAACAAGCAGTGGGAAGTGGCATGGCGGGTCTGGGATCTGGCTTGCTAAACGCCTTCGGGGCAGCCAGTACAGCGGGGTTGGGCACTTGGCGAACCAGCTCGACTAATGCTCGCGTGAGCGTGACATCGTCGGTTGGACCCATCCAAGGCCAATCTCCAAGTACCGTCTTGCCCGATGCGGCGGCATCTATATCTCAAACAGTACAACATGCACTAACGCAGGCTCCTGCTCAAGAACCTTCAGTCAATCAACCTCAAAGGTCGAATATATCCAACAGTAGTGGTCCCACCCCTGGACCACAACCCCAGCCACAAGGGTCATCGGCTACTAGTCAACCAGGAGCTCAAGTGACCAATAACCACCATCACCAACATCATAACAATAACACAGGTGGTCAAGCTCCAGTACCAAACCAACATCATCCCGTAGCCCCAGCATCAGTATCCCGAGTTTTCAAACTTCAATTTGATGCCCGTCGCATTGTCTGTTGCTCCCAGGATTCTCGGATTGTCGGATGGGACTTTGCTAATGGCGACCCTGACATTGCAGAGGCGGCCAAATTCTTTGTTGGGCCATGATCAGCGGTATTGGCCGTATCACGCACTATTGCATGTTGTATACCAATTATGCATTACAAAGAGCATGGATGTCGGCGGGGTCGAAGCGTATAGGTAGTCACGTGAAATGCCCACGATTGTTATAAGGCGCCTCCTGTTCTAGGTATTCGTATTTTTCTGTGGACAAGGGATGTATTTGATTCCGTCATCATTGATTGTTCGTGGAGATTGCTCAGCTTCGTAAGAATTGCCATGAATGATGCATGGGCAGAAAGCATAAAAGCGAGAAGCGAGATCTAGGTCCACACAAGTACTATGCAAGCATTAGTCACCCTGCCTAAAGAGGATCTGGCCGTTTAGGATTCGCGACGTCTTACCTATTTGAGGCTCAAGCTGTCGACGCCGAACAATTATAAGTGGTCAGGGTCGGTCATCCTTGAGTGTGGGCGGTGGTCTTGGGTTCTGGCCAGCTCGTGCCAGGCCAACTTGACCGCCGGGCTTGATCATGTTACGAGCTTCTGGTCCGAGTTCTACTACTAGAGGTTTCTGCTTTCTCCCACGCCCAGACCGACCGACCGACCGACTTGACTTGAGTGAACTTGACTTGTTCTAAACAGAGTGTCCTGTCCTAACCAGAGTGTCCTGTTTGACCTGAGCGTCCTGTCCTAACCAGAGTGAGAAGTCGAAGCCGGTAGGATTCGCGAGCGATACAGTTGGGTTGATTGTTTTTCGCATTGGTCATGGTTGACCAACTACTGCTACCTTATCTAGCTACCGATTTTATTTTTGACTTTCTTACATCCATGCACGGCGTGCGTCGTGCATTATACGTTGTGCGTGATTGTGTGTCCCAAAGGTCAACAACCGAATAAAGGAATCAATCAATCAATCAATGAGTGACAATAGCCGACAATAATGTCAACATGTCGACATCGACAGTTGAAGCGAATGCGAATGCGAATGCGATTGCGAACTCGAATCCGGCCAAGGGAGGGGAACGAGAACGAGAAGGAGAGACATCGTGCCGTAAACGACAACACCACCATCAAAATCAAAGTCGACATCATGTCAAACCAAAAGAAATCGAGTTCATCCTTATGAGAGGAGACGGGAGTATGGATAAAGATCGACTCAGTCAGATTCGTTCTCATACGACGAGAGAACAGCACAACCGACGGCGAAGGAATGACGAGGTATGTTGATAATGAAAGAGGTCTTTGGGAGATATGTCGGACTGATGGATGTGATGTCATCTAAGGAATTGAAAATGCTTCTCCGAAAGAAATGCGACCATTTTGGTATTTTGACCTTTGGCGCAGAATTCGATGCGTTGAGGTGTTTGCCGCAATTACAAATTGAGAGGCAGTCGCCGGGGGTATTGAATAGAGTTAAACGGAATGGTAAGCTACCACTGTCTCTCTCCTGTTTTCGATTTCGGGTTCGGCCTCGTGGTGTTGGTGGTGTTGGTGGTGGTGGTGGTGGTGGTGATATATCGTGGCATGATTCACATTCATTCTTGAATGTCTCGATCGAGTCATCCCGCCACATCACCATATCATCCTATCACACATGCCTTGTCCTGTCTCCCTATATCTCTCTACTCACTATCCCCCTCTCTTCTCTTCAATAGTATTCCTCGATTTCGGACAAGAACGAATGAACAACACCGTCTGGCCTATGGGTACACACGACCCCACATTCTTCACCGGCATGCTTCTTATGAGCTCAACTCAACTTGATGGCAAGACTTCGGGTCAGATGAGTTCAGTGACGACGGCATTGAAACTCGAAGCGATTAATCATGTTCGTTCGACGATTCGACAGTTGACTCCGGAGTCGATTGTGGGATGTATTGCCGCAGTGGCGTGTATGGCGATTTGTGGGTTGGTGAGTGACCTGAAATGAACTTGTTGTTCTCCGGATACCTGTGCGAAACACATTCCTGGGATCTTAGGACGGAGATAGGATTCTGACTCGTTTCTGACTCTTTTCTCTCATCAGGTCCGAGGTGGACAAGAAGCAGCCGCCGAATATCAGCATCATCGATACGCCGGCGCAACATTACTGGCACAAGCTCGTGAATGGAAATTAAGTGAGAAATCGAGCTTTTACAGGACCGTCCTGGCACTGGTTACAATTGGCCTGTAAGTCCACGTCTGATCTGATATCAGTAACCACGACAGATTGACCTGTATTCGTTTTGGGTTTTCAGTGTCAAACGAAGATGTCACATCCCCGTACGGGGATTAGCCATGGCCTCATTACCACCTCTCACCCACGCAACCGTGATATCAGAATACGGCGAACGGCTCGAGGACCCAACCCGACCACGAACCAATCCCGATCCACGACTCTACTCACCCGTCTACGATGGTCGAATCAATCCGAAAGAAGAAGACCCATTTCCTCACGTCCAATCACCACATCTCCGCGACTTACTAGAACAAATGTCAACAATCGTCAAGATCAAAATCGAACAAAGCGACACTACCACCCAGACTCCATCGCAAACCCAAGATAAAGCCCCATCTTACTCCTCAGACCCCATCCTCTTCCAGAAACTCTGCCAAAACATCCTCACCATCCCATCCCCCACTCAACGCACCACCCCTTTTCCTAACGACCACGTCTACGAAACCTGTCGCCTCACGTCGGTTTTCCTCGTCCGCTCCCTCCTAACCGGACGAAGTTGGCAAGCACTTGGATCGGAGGGAACCGCCGTAGCGGATCTAATGCATTCACTGTATGCTTCCGACCCCGGAGCGGATTTATGGGGTGAGAGGATTGGTTTGTTGCATTGGGTTTTGTTGGTTTGGTATTGTGCTTCATACAATACGGAGCATTATATCTTTTTGCATTCGTTGACGGTCAGGATGCAGTTTGAATTGAGTTATGCTTATAAAGATTGGCATGGTGCGTGTTTGCCAATGGTCGCGTTGAGTTATTTGATGCCGTTGGAACAGAGGATGTAAGCACTTAATCACTTGATGAGGATGATATTATTTGAGAAGAATGAGAAGAGTAATGAGAATGGTATGATGACTGATTTTGTGAAAGGGAGCTGGGGGTTGGGGACTGATTGTAAGGGGGGCTTGTGTTCCACCCCAAGCTTACTGCTACTAATACTTGTGCTACTATCTCCACGCGCTCCCTTTTGGATGGTGAAACATTGTTTCCATTCTGAGATCTCACAGAATTTGCCCCTCAGAACAAGATGTGATGGGATCAATAGCCTTACGTACTATTAGGGCACAACGACGATTGCCGTGGTCTCTGATGACTGCCAAAGTCTTCCCAATTGAAGTCAACCTACGCGCCACCTTCCAGACTCAGCGGTCTCGGATGGCTACAGCCCCAAAGACAATAGCGCGCCAGCCTCGAATCTTTCCAACCGAAGGCTTTGAGATACTACCATCAAATGAAATCATCGAAGAGGAGACTGTTCCAAATTACAAGGCTGAAAGATTTTATCCTGTCCGACTCGGCGAGGTCTTTCAATCTAGATATCAGATCGTCGCCAAGTTGGGCTTTGGCACTGCATCCACGGTTTGGCTTTGTCGGGATCTCAAGTAGGTATTAACCCATGGCTTCTTCTTCTGCCTTCTTCTTCTGCCTTCTTCAACTTCAAACTCTCGTGGGAAAAGCGGCTAAAGTTCCCAGTGAACATACCCTGCTTGCAATCAAAGTTTGTATAGCCGGAGAAGACGCCGAAAATGAACTGGCAATCTCTCGACATATTCGTTCCATCGAGGCAGACCATCATCCTGGAAAAGACCGTTTACGTCTTGTTCTAGACAGCTTTCAAATCAATGGACCTGATGGGCCTCATCAGTGCCTCCTTTTGACACCACTAGGCTTGACCTATACCGTGTTTCAGGTAATTGGATCGCCCCGACGCCAATCCCCGATCAAACACTGGAAATCCGTGAGAAGCGTCATGTTGGTAGAGAGAAGGAGCTGCTCCTTGCACTTGCTCGCAAGATCCTGCGTTGGCTTCCCGAGGATAGGCCGTCGGCGGAAGAGCTTTTCGAGGATGAGTATCTGAAGCAATCTGTACCTAGATAGGGGTGGGTTGGGGTAGGGAGTGAGACGGGTGATGGGTGAAACCGATTGGTCTACGAACACAATGGTATTGACAATTGTATGGACAACTGGAATGGTGATGAGATTGGGATGTGATAGCGTCTCGTTTATCGTTTGGAGCAGTTTCGGAGACTCTCCACTACCATCTTATCTCCACAGCTTCATCTTGTCAGTATGAGTATGAATGGGTATTCATGAGGGCCCATGGGGGCCCAAGAAATGAGTGGAGAGAACGTCTCGGGTGGTGGAGGAACCCTAGCAAGGCTTGTTAGTAAGCCAGTGGAGCACGCATGGTGAGAACGAATGTCGGGAATGAGAATAGTGAGAAACCAAGCCGAGGATATCGATCGATATCAGGTCAGTCGGTATGCATACAGCTGGGCCCGTCACGGTGGATGATTTTCGCCTGGTCTGGCGAGCCATAAGACAGAGACGGGGAATGGATGTCCCGTCAACTCAATACCGCCGTCTGAATTGAAACCACATGTCAAGAAATAGTCCTGAATCCCTCAATGTAGCGATCGATTGTCCTGAAATGAACGATCCAAAGACTTGGTTTATATTCGTCTTCCTAAGCGTGAGAATTTGGTATAACGTCAAATCAGACAAACAATCTGATACTGCTGGACAGCAAACAAAATTCACGACCTTCTAACACCGCCAACACTAAGCTGAACTGAGTTGAATCAAGTCGAGCCGAATTGAGACTGACTGACTCACCACCTTACTTCGTCCACGTCAAACCAGCCTGAACTGCACGATATTCGAGAATCTTGACGAATTTGGCGGGATCTTCAGCATAGTCTGAAATCTCACTATCGGCCAACAGGACATTGAATCGACCACTAGTTCCTCCCTTTGCCACCACACATGGATATTCGTATTTGTTTGATTCGATGAATTTTTTCAACTGCAAGCGATCGGAGTTAGAACTTTCTTATTCGATCCCAAAAGGATAATCCATAGGCATGATGTGATGCGAATGCAATACTTACATCTGAAGGAATTTCGTCGTAATGCAATTGTTGAATAGGGATAGGGATGGACTTTTTGGCTTCCACCCACTCGGGTCGTTCCGTGGTGCTGAGTCCACCGTGTGTCAATTCGAGTGCTGGGCAAGGTGTACTGCCGACAGTGGTGCTCATTCGACGGATGCCATATGCTAGTTGACCGAAGAATTTGGTGCTGTTGCTGTAGACAATGTAGATGGTTTGTTGAGTCGGAGTCGATGCCATCTGGGAGACGGGTATCTCTTCGAGTAAGTAGGGTCAACAATCGGTCACGCGCAACGAATGCTTGCTTCAATTGAATGGGGGGTATCGATATATGAGAAAGTATAAGTATAATAAGTATGAGATGTGAGGAATGGGTGATTTTTTTATTCAATCACTTGACTAATAAAAGATTGGACTTTTAGGAAGCTGGAAGAGAGGTACAGAAAACAACTCATCTCAATGATTTCATGGCATTGCCACGCGTCTACCTTAGTCTGTCAATCGTGGCAAGTCATTGTCTTCGGCACAGAATACTCTCGTTGTGGCGGCAAGTCTGCAAGTCTTTGGAGGGGAAGCTCATCCATCTCCACCTAACTTGGCCGACAGGAATCGAAACACAGCCGGTTTGGTTTGCTTTGGTTTGCCAACGTGCCAACACATTTTTTCGGCTGAGATGTGCCACAACTGCGAGTTCTAACGACGTCAAGATGACGAGGTGGGACTGGTGATCATTTGCTTCGCCCAGAAGTTACTAACAAAACTGGCAGGGCTGGGCATACATATTGCCAACAAAAAGTAACAGACTGAAGCCTGAAGATGCAAAGCTTGTGAAGGAAATTTTCTTGGATCGGTGTAGGTTTTTGGCTATACTGGGGCTATGTTGGGGCTTGTTGTCTGCAGTCCAAGACCTTACCAAGCCCCAAGTACATGAAATCTGAATCTCCAGTGACGATAGAAAGCCAAGCACGCAAAGATGAGGGATCATGCGACCTAGGGTTAAAAACCTCTTGGGATCGTCTACGTGGCCATGCTGCCACGATAAGATGCACCAATCCACGCACAGTGTTTCCTCACCGAGACTTGGGTGATGAGATGATTGATCGATGAAGCACCCAAGTAGACCGACCACCTGGACCACTGACCTCAGACCTGGTCTGCCTGGATTGCGAACCAGTATTAAGGCATGCAAAACCTGTGGCTCAATGTCCCCGCAGGCCATCATCCCCCCTTGGCGTCTTGGGGCTGTCCGATCTTCAAACCATGCGTGCCATGCAATAAAAATGCTTCGGGTGAAATTTACATTCCCAATTCCTATCATTTGCTCGTCTCGACGCGGTGTAGGAAGTTTTCCCCCCGAATCTGGCCGGCTAAGTAGTACCGCGGCTTTCGGACTCCGGCACGGCGGGTTTTCATCTTTGCCAGTAAATCCGACCATGATGTTCACGGTCCATTTCAGTTGGCTACCACGGCGTACACGTGTCATATGTTCTCAGCATCTGCTTGTTGTTCCAGCCTGCAAGCTCTCCACAGCATTCATGCCAAACATGAGAATGTTGCTCACAGGACACTTGATCGTCCGAATAGATGATATATGTTGAGATCACGCAGTCACTGCAATTCATCCGCCTGCGTTCGAATAATAGCATCGCGCAGTTGGATTTCGAGTTTTGGATATTCGATCAGATCGTTGGTCTGCAGGCTCTTGCGGCCCCGGCCCCCGCGGCGCGGCGGTTATTCAAGCTTTAGCCATCTCCTGTTGGATAGCAGCCTTCGTGGGCGAGGGCGGGGCGCCGGGGGCGTGTATGCTGGTGGGTAAAATATCATGTTGAAGGTTTGCTTTTACGAGAATCTATTGGAAATTGATGAATGAGTACCGTACACGAGACTGGTGGCATACTCACGGCGAATTGTTTTGGTGCGAGTGCGCAGCAGCTCATAAATAGCCTCCTTGTCCACCTCTAGCTTATTCGCGATGATGTTATTGTCGTGCTCACGAAGATACCGGATGTAGTTGTCGACAGTTCTCCCTTGAGTATCAGCGCCTAAATCGTCCCAGATGGGTGGATCGTCGCCCAGAAACTTGCCCGCTTCTTCCCTTGCTTTCCTCATTTCCCGGGCATTCAGATCAAGTTTGGCCCACCGAGACATGGTCTGCTATAAATTGACAGTAGAGTTATGAGAACGTTGATATGAGGCTGTTGGCGGTGAAAAAGCAAGTGGGTGGAGTGACGTGGCAAGGATCGAACAGCATGGCCGTTCCTAGCACTAGCCCATCCCCTGCATAGATTCAAAGACACTTGAGTCGTTAGCCATCGCTGATTTGATCAGAGAGCCTTGGAAGTATTGGTAGAAACCGTTGACCCTGTGAATTTCCATCGATCCTAGAAAAGTCCACGACTGATATCTAAGACTAAGGGTTCATTTGCTACGCTCAGATGTGCTACTACACCTCCTGTGGGCATTATCTTCAGCGCTCTATAAAACCCCCTTTGGCCGCATGATACTACACGAATGCTTTCTAACTTTCCCTCTTGTCTTAATGTAGATTTAATTCAAAGAACAAATCATCCCACCTTGAATCATTGTATGAATGCCTAATCTGCCTCACTTTATCCTCGAGGATGTCCCTGTAAATCGGCTTGACATGCGGTAGGTCGAAGAGGAACTTCTTGGCAAAGAGGAAATCCTGAATGCGAGACCTTTTTTCCGCAACAGAATCGCCCAGTGGAAGAGCAACAAGAACATCGGCGATGGTATTTGTAATCTCAAACAGTTTGGAGATCAGTCCTATCACGTCGATTGCCACGCTCCGGCTTGAGACTCGGTCAAAGCATGCTTTGAGTTGGCTGGACAGTCGAAGTGGCATGGACAGTGATAGGCCTTCAGACGGACCAGCTGCTGATGAAAGTAGGACTTTGGACATGGCCATCTGCCATAAAAGCGTCCGCAACCACTGACGTGTGATAATCAGGTCTGCTTGTTGGGTAGGTGCTAGTGTCGAAACCTCAAGTTCCCATGACGGATCCGTGAACTGTTGATGTTTCGTCTGGATCCAGTCGGCCGTGAGTGACGACCGATCTCCTTTCCAAAACCTCACGAAATCCCTATCAATGACCAAAAACGTCTGAATGATATGATTCCAACCTCGTCCAACTGAATCCGATGCCAAGAATGCCACATCCGGCAAGGATGGCAAAGGTTCCAGACAAATCATGTTGGAACCCTCGATTGCCTGATGTCGCTCATGGATGAAACAAACCCAGTAGACTCGTTCTCGACGTGCCCGTTCCACTGGATCAATGTTGATTTCTCCCAAAAAATAATCCAGTCCGTGCATAAGCATCAGAGAAATCGCTTGATGCAGATAAAAGAATGACAAGTCCTTTCGATCCACGGAAAGAAGACCCATTTCGAGGAACAAGCAACCAATGATCCGAGTCAAGTTCGGCTTCGAATCGAAATCAAGAGGCTTGTAGTGTTGGAGAGACAGAGCCAATAATTCAGCACATTGACTGTAACAGCCAGACTCCCCACCCGTCTCAGAAACCTGCATCAACAGCACGGCCAGAGCAGCAAACGCGTAGACCAATGTAGCGGCATCATTATTAGTGTACATCATGTCAACCTGAACCCTAAGGTCGGCTTCGTCCAACACTGGACAAATCGGATACAATTTAGCCATGTAATCCGATACCAGACTGTACATAAACACGGGTCCATACCGAGAAGCATCTACCGGAGCGGTAGCTCTTGACGCGGTGATAGAAACTGAAGGAGAAGATATAGCTTGAGCTTGATCTTGACTATGTGTGAGAGACAACTCATCATTGCTGCTTTGCGCTCGAGATTCAGTAATGATAGCGCCTCGATTCGCAACACCCAGACGCGACCGACCAACAGCGAGAACCTCAGGTCCCACGTAAACACATTGTATACTGAGACGATCACATTGTGAACATGGTTGTTGACCGGTACACCGGACTTTGCGACGTTTGCAAGCACTGCAAGCTTGTAGGGCGCGCTGTTGTCGTGGATTTGGTGACGGTTTCGAACTAGTCATGTAGGTAGCCAGCCTAGGTTGGGTCACATTACTGAGTGTGGAGGATCCGACCTAAGCCAAAGATAAGATAGGATGATTGCTCCTCTGGGTCCGTAGAAGGTGAGAAGAAGTCGGTTCACGGACCGGTGGACATGTTCCTGAATTAGCAGATTGGTTGTGGGGCTTTTCAGGTTCCCATTCTTCGAAAGTACAGACAGTACGGAGTAGTAAATATCCTTGTCCGATGGCCCCTCGGCCTGGCCCTGGAGTGAACTAGACTAAGCTATGAATGGTCACCGCCACTAGAGGCAATTAGTCAGATGCATCAAAGCGTCTGATGAGGCGGTTCTACACATACTCGTAGGTGACCGAAAGGCGTACTATGAGCCATAGTCCATACTACGTTACCAAGACTTTTCGAGTCACATGAAAAGACATCAGAGAGATCATGGATGAGAACAATTGATCATGAGTCACTTGACTTGCTCATTCCCCTGACATGGTGACTAAATTACACTCAAACCTTCTCCACTCTCTCCTCCGTCGGCAATTTCGTGTCGTGGAGAATGTCCTTTCCGTCCTCGATAGGATCGATAACTGTCGAAGCAAACTTCCTTGCTGAAATGCGGCGTTCGAACAAAATGTCCAATTCTCCGTACGTACGGCCCTTTGGCTCCGGCAGGCGGAAGAACACCCAGGTAAAGCAAATCGCCGCGAATCCAGCCCAGAAGAAACCAGATCTCGCACCCCATCCCCAAGCCGATGGATTGAGCATACGGGGAGTTAGGATTCCCAGAACGATGTAGCCCATGTTATAAACACATCTCGCGAGGACGACGGATTTGGCTCTCAGACGAGTTGATGCCAATTCAGATACTAGTGCGTAACAAACGGGACCGACACTTAAGTCGTAGAGAGCAGTCCAGGTGATGAGCAAGCTTCCAATGGCCCATCCAACTGCAGAATTAGAGGAGGGGACAGAGACGGACACAATTCCAACGATGAGCAGGATTGTGAACAGCGCGACGATTCCCCAAAGATAGAGTTGTCGACGACCAAACCGAGCCATCAGGAACCAAGAACACATGGTTCCCACCGCACCAAGGGCATATTGCACCATAGTCATCGTGAAGGCGTGTTGAGGGGCCAAACCTGCCTGGATGTAAAAATAGGCAGAGTATCCCGAGAGAGCAACACCAGTAAAGATCTGAACCATCCAGGTACAGCAAACAATCTCCGTTCGACGGAGGTTAACTCCGCGGAAACAATCAAGATAGCTAGTACCTTCAGAAAGAGCCTTCTCCATGGCATTGGTATGTTCCATCATTGCAATCGTCGCATCGGGATCAAAATCAACTTGGTTTCGCGAAGCAAGACGGATCAGCGCCTTTCTAGCCATATCACGCTTTCCTTTCCGAACGAGCCACCAGGGAGATTCCGGCGCCAGGAACACACCGATCATAATGGGAATAGGCCACATCCACTGCAAAGCGAAAGGAATTCTGTAGCTCCACTGATCATTTCGTTGAGTCATGGCTCGAAGAACCCCGGCTGCAATGAACTGGCCAAACACCCAACATAAATTGATATAAGTCGTGAGGTATGCACGAAAAACGACCGGACAAACTTCAGAGGCGTAAGTGACCGTAATTGTCTGAAAGACACCCCAAGGCAAACCCATCAAGATTTGACCGGCGAGGAGTTGACTGACATTCTTGGCGAAGAAGGTGATGAAGATAAATGCAATAGTGAGGATAAGTGAGAGGATAATGGTCTTGCGGTATCCGTACCGTTCGGCAAGGATACCGTTGGCCATCAAGCCTAGGATCTCGCCCACGACGGATGCAATGCTGAGTGCTGTTTGCCATGAAGGTGCCAGGTCGTATGTCTCGTTAGGGCGTTCATGTCCGAATTGTTCTCGAAAAGCAACATTGGCGAATAAACTCCGGATCAGGGCTTTGTCAAAGCCTTCCATGACGATAGCGGTCGAGATAACGATAGACCATCCGACGGCTTTCGGGTACATTTTGAGACCTTTCCTCAGACCCATGGTCTGCTCTTGAACGGTGGCTTTGGCTGCTCCGTCCAAGAGCGAGTCATCGTGATTGTCATTGTCGACTCTGCTGGCTTGATGACTGAAAGAGGCGGTCTGGGAGTTCGGACCTTCCTTCTGGTCGACGGAGATTTCTTTCTGGTCTGTCATTGGGGAGATGGGAGGACAGAAGGTCCGATTGTTTCTGGGGAGATTGAAGATAGAAGATGAAGACTCCTTTGAAAAGGCAGGCAGTGACCTTATCGCAGAGGAAAAGGAAAGTTTGTGAAGAGACAAATCCTCAGAGAACGATCGAGGTCTTTATATCCCCAGGGTTCCCTCTCTTACCAAGACCTCGCTTGCCACGTCCGGATAAGGATCGATTGGTTCTTCTTTTCTTTCGTGGAGATGAAGCCTGTTTCCCCGTTCTTCCCGCCATTCCATACGAGTCGTGGTGTGGACAACGTGGAGAAAACGGAAGCCTTCGTAAGCGAAAAGCAGTCTCCCCGGGCTTTGACAATTGAAAAGTCCCTGATATGCAGAGGTCGCGTGGCTATTCGATCCACTTCCCGGGCCGACATGTGGGGAAATGGGATAGAAAAATCTTTCGATATGTCCAAAGAAGGCATGAGTGGAGCTAAATGCTTACTGAATACGAATAGTCCGACCACGCACTAGGTCCAAGCGAGAGAGCATGACATTCTAGACAATGTAGACGATGTCGGGCCGGCATGGAATAGATAATTCCTGACTGGACCTAGAGCCTGGAAATTACTCTTGTCCGGTATATCAAGTTATATCAGTGCGGGCATAGGCTCTTCGATGCGCCGACTGCTTGCACAGTCATATGATTCCGTGTGTACCAACCCACCCACTCACCCTTGTTACCTTTTCCAAATCCATGATAACATTGCATTGTGCATCTCGTTTAACCAGAAATCACGTATGCCGGCATTTCTTATCCTTCCTTGTTGCTCCTCTCGACCTTATAATCACCAAATATGACTATCACCATCCATCCATGGTGGAAGGAAGCCAACATCTACCAGATCTACCCAGCAAGTTTCAAAGATTCCAATGGCGACGGTATTGGCGATCTTCCCGGAATCCTTTCGCGTATCGACTATATTTCCAGCATCGGCGCAGACGCTATCTGGATATGTCCTATGTACAACAGTCCTCAACATGACATGGGATATGATATCTCCGACTTTGAAAGCGTGTATCCTCCATACGGCACTGTCGAAGACATGGAAGCCATTATTGACGCCTGCCACCGACGTGGAATGAGAGTCCTACTAGACTTGGTCATCAACCACACGTCCGACGAGCACGCCTGGTTCAAGGAATCTCGCTCCTCGAAAGATAACCCTAAACGTGATTGGTATATCTGGCGACCAGCTAAATATGATGCCGATGGGAATCGACATCCTCCCAATAACTGGGCCAGCTTGTTCGGCGGCAGTGCATGGCAATGGGACGAGTTAACACAAGAATACTACCTCCACATATTCGTTACGGAACAGCCGGATCTCAATTGGGAGAACGCAGAGACTCGTGAAGCGATCTATAAAACGTCGATGCATTTCTGGCTGCAGAAGGGTGTTGATGGCTTCCGAATCGATGTCGTTAATTTGTATAGTAAACAGCCTGGCCTCCCGGACGCTCCTGTCACAGAACCAGATGCAGAATTCCAACCTGCACGATCGCAGTTCTGTAACGGTCCTCGCATGCACGAGTTCCTCAGCGAGATGTACGAAGTCATGTCTCAATATGGAGCAACTATGACGGTGGGAGAATTGCCTGCCACACATGGACGGGATCATGTCTTGTCGTATGTCTCAGCCGCTGCAAAACAGTTGAACATGGTCTTCCAATTCGACATCATGAAAGTCGGCGCTGGTTCAGGCCTCTTTGACCGATTCGACGTCGTCAGAGGCGAATCATGGACTCTTCCGGACATGACAGCCGCTGTGGCGGCCACACAAGACTTATTGGACGGGTCTGACGGTTGGGTAACTACATTTCTCGAGAACCACGATCAGGCCAGATCAGTGACACGATGGGGAAGCGACGCCACCGAAGAAAACCGTGTGCGAAGTGCAAAAATGCTGGCTACTCTCCAGGCCACTCTGTCTGGCACGTTGTTTCTTTACCAGGGTCAGGAGTTGGGAATGGTTAATGCGCCCGAGGACTGGTCTGTCGACGAATACAAGGATGTTTGCAGCATCATGCATTACGAGAGCGTCAAGAAACAGACACACGGGGATTCTAAAGCTCTTGCCCGTGCGTTGGGTGGCTTGCAATATCTCGCAAGAGACCATACTCGACTTCCAATGAGCTGGGACGCAAATCCCAACGCGGGCTTTACTCAAGGGTCCGAGACACCGTGGATGCGAGTCCACGACAATTATAAGGTTGTCAATGCCCAGAATCAGATCCATGACAAGAGTTCAGTCCTCTCGTATTGGAAACTAATTCTGGCTATCCGCAAGCAATATGCTGATGTCCTTGTCCATGGTATATATCAGGCTGTGCAGGACAAGGATGGGAGTGTCTTCATATATGAGAAGAGAGGTTCGAAGAGAACAGCATCTGTGGCATTGAACTTTTCCCAAACACGGCAAGCGTTGAGCACCCCACCGTCTGTTGGGGATTTTTCTGAAGATCTGATTGTCAGTACATATGACGGAGTGATTGACTCACACTTTTTGGAACCATTTGAAGGACGGGTCTGGGTTAGTAACACTGTCTGAGCTTTTGTATACCAAACGGGACTTATCTTGATACGATTCAGCTAGAATAGATTTTAGACTTAGCAAGCATGCAGAGCAGTTCTAAATGGAGATGGAGGTGGAAGACCGATGGTGTCCACATCGATGAAGTTCGATATCCCAGCCAAGCACATGGAATAGGCTCGCCGCGCAAACACAGGAAACGGGCTCGGAGGAAAGAGTTCGGGTATATCAGGGACATGAAATGTATTGAAATATTGTCTTCATCTAGCCATCGACCCAGCTTCCACTGGCGGCATCGTACCGCCTCACTGATGCTCCCGGTCCTTGCCTCGATGCCGTCGGAGTAATAGCCAGGTTCCCAAAGTCCATATCTCGAAGGATTGGAGCAGCATTCTTGCCCCTTAGGCTCTCACCAGAGCGCACACGCTCCAATAGCGCTTTCAGTACACCCCCGAGCCACTCGAAATCCTTGAGTTCCAGGTATATTTGACCCGAAATCCTCGTCCACAGTCTTCCATCGTACTGGTAAATGGCGACAAAAGTATTATATTCATCCAACAGAGTTTTCTGCATCCATTCGACATGCTTCATCACATCCTCCTCCTGGATAATGATTGGCCCAGATGCATAGAGGCTAGGGGAACTCAACGGAGACGATGAACGAACGGATGCATCCAGAAGAGAGCTTCCAGATGCCGCCCGCAGCGATGCAGTGGTACTAGCGGTTGTTGCGCCGGCGCTAGGGAACCCATAAGAACTCTGTCTGAGGGCCGGCGAGAGACCGCCAGCACTACCAGCACCGCCAGGTCCCATGCTGATGCTGCCACGTGTGGTGGCGCCGACGATGGTGACAGGAAGAAGTACGTTCGCCATTGCACAGTCACGGAGGCCGCCTTTCCATCCGCAAGTTCCTCCTTCTCTATGGACGCTAGCTTCGTAGCTACCCATGGTCTTGAGTCCAAAACCAGCGTCAAGGTCGTCCATGACTTCAGTACCAAGAAGCATGGCGAGCAAGTCAGCTCCTCGTTGAGCAATGTCACGAATATAGTTGTAGATGGCTTCTTCGCCACCACAGAGATTCTGACGGAAGTTCAGAGCGGCAGGTACACAGTAGTAAGGAGTGTTGTCGGCAGTGGCGACGAATTGGAAGAGACTGACAAAAGGAGACTTGCCGGTGTCTGGGAGGACTTGACGGACATTTGCTGCGCTGACAGGTACATAGCCGTGAGAGGTGGGAAAGGTCGTACGGATGAGGTGTTGATTTCGTCCCGGCACGTAAAACACCGCGCACCCTCGTGGGGTATATAACCATCTGGAAACGTAGCATTAGCAACGAATGAGGGGTTGGCCACAAGGTGATCATAACCTACTTGTGGCAGTTGCTAACAAAGAAGTCTGGATCAAGTTGGGTTAAGTTAAGAGCAATTTGTCCGACACCGTGAGCGCCGTCGATGACACTAAGAATGCCATATTCCTTGCACATTTTGGTGATTCTCTCAAACGGAAATCGAACTCCTGGGATAGAGACGATGGTTTCGAAAACACAAACTTTGGGGGTAAGGCCATCATAAATAACCCTAGAAATAGTTTGCGACAAAGCATTCAAAATTTCGGAATGTGTACATGGGAGAGAGTAAGCAAAGTCTTGTCCATGGCCAACCTTCCTCAGCTGGACTTGCGGATTGGTTTCGACGAGGGACAGCAGCGTCTTTTCGATGGCGCCATAGACTGTGTCAAAGTAGATGATACAGTCCTTTTCTTTGTACTGGAGATTGCGAAGGACTGTGTTGATGCCTGCTATATGTGTGAGAGGTGATACGCAGACGGCGTGGGGAAGACAACATACCCGTGGTGGCATTGGAGACAAAGACGCAATCATCGACAGGGGCATTGAGAAGGGTTGAAATCCTTTCCCTAGATTTGTTCAATAGGTCCACGTACTGGTATCGAAGAAATCGGTCTGGCGCCGATTCAGCCAGCTTCTGGTAGCCTATCGCACTCAAAGGTCAGATCCATACGATTGGAGCTTCGATCATGTGCAGTGGGCGAGGTGGTGCAGGTGACTGGCGCAAGCCACAAACGTAAATGGCGTTGAAGGACGAAGTGGGGATTTAATTAAACTTACCTCTTAAAGCATTGCGAACTGGTAAGGAGTATGTGCCAAACGAGCCTGTACAAAACCATCATCAGCTATTGTTGATTTCTTCGAGATATGACTGTTTAGGATGAGGCTCATGGCGTATGAATCTGACATGGAAGTGACATGTGGATCACGGGCAGCCTCGTCTAGCTTGGCATGCCGGTAAATTTCTGACAGCTGAGTGAAATGATCACGTACCATGGTTGAGATTTGTGTACTTGAGATCGTGAAGAAAATGTGAACGAAAGCCATGACCAAATTCCGTGACCTCTCCGAAGGAGCCCATGGTGGACGTTCAAGAGTGAACGGGGGACGATAGCGGTGCCAGCTTGGAACGGCTTGAGACGATGTCGTCGAATGAGGGGTTTCGGAGACTCTTCGTTTCATGCGATGAAGTGACCTCCGCGGGCCCTGCGGGTTTTTGAGAATATACAGTAGATAGATGGACCGGCGAGAGGCGAATGGGGTGGTTGAGGGCGATGCTTCTATGGCAAGGTTGCAGGCGCTGTTATTGTAGGGATGATATCAGAAGGGATGATGATGGCGATGGCGGTGGTGGAGGTGAAGATGGCGGTTGATGATGAATGAAGCATGAGTCAAGTTCAATTCAGGTTCAAATTTGGGTCTTGGTTGAAGCTGAAACAGATACGAGGGAAGGAACGACCAGGCAGAGGGATCAGGGCCGAACAGGGAAGCCACGGGGCCAAAAAACCCAGCTTATTATTCAGAGGAAGATGCCGATGAGTCTAAACTTTGTGGAAGGAAGCGACACCGCGAGACGCGAGACGTGGAAGCCCCAAGCCAACTGTAACTGAACCAACAAGTCCTCAGGCCAAGCCCGTATCTAGCGGCGCAACCGTGGAGAAATCCCATATGGGCAAATGGATGTAATTGGGGAATGCCCTGATGATCTTTGGTAAGGAGTTTTCCAGAGAACAGTGAGACGATAGGTACGGACGGAGCATGCATATGAGCGCTGTTTTAGGCGTCCTCGCAGGTCGACTTAAGCCCCTCGGCCGAACCGCGGGGATGCACTTTAGGGGCTGAAGGAATTTGCAGGCGTCGCTGGAGGCCTGTGCGGACTTCCCTGTCTGGAAGAACATTGTTTCGTCAGCGATTGGCCAATCATTAGGCTTCTATATCATGCCTCTCGGGCCTCTCGAGGCTCTCTCATCTTTATTCCGGGGTTTGATTCGGTGAGCCAAGTCATGTTTTCAAGGTAGGGGATACCTAAATATAAGCCTGACAGCAATAGACGACTGGTGGTCAGCTGTGGTCTCAACGGTCAAGTCTGATAGATAATGAAGTTGGCTTATGGTTGTGGAGTTGTGTCTATGCAACGCTACCTAATCAAGTTGTCTCTTGAGAATCTACAAGTTCTTCCTGAGACAACGTGTCTCACCAGCACTGTGATCTACTGTTCTGGATGTTCTTGATGAGTTACTACTGTTGGGGGACTGGAGAGGAGAGACGACACGTGACTATCATGATAAAGGATGCACATCCATAGTTATCCTTGACCGTACCAGGTGCTAGGGCGGATCTTTTCATGCTCGGCAAGTAGTCCTTGTATGAATCTCATCTGAGCCGAGGCTGAATGAAGTCATGGCCGAGCAACACAGAGCATGGCCGGGCAATAGGAGACCCCACCAACATCTGAGATAGCAATGAGGGGTTCTTTGCAATCATCCTCGTGATTGTTACGGTACAAGTGCCACTTTTGTCCAACCTCTTCTACCATTTGATATACCTTGAACCGAAGCAATCGCGACTTTTCGCCGACTGCATTGATAAGCAAGAGTCGAGGCTACAAACCCCCGAGACGGGCAATTATATTCTCCACAACTGTTAAATACGACAGCAATAGGAGAGTTTATCTAAAACTCACCCACTCCTACCAGATCACTTTAACACAACATAACATTCTTCCAAAATGCCCAAATCAGTGTCCATTTCCAAGGTAGACGGCAAGCCCGGACAGGTGTACTATCCTCTGTCACTGGACGAAGTGCCCAAGCCCACACCCAAGGGAACGGAAGTGTTGGTGCAAGTACACGCGGCGGCACTCAACCATCGCGATCTCTTCATCCGTCAGGCCTTGTACCCGGCGATTGGGTTTGGCGTGCCGTTGCTGGCGGATGGAGTGGGCACCGTGGTCGGACTGGGACCTTTGGCCGACTCGCAATGGAAAGGCAAACGTGTGATCCTGAACCCTGGTACCGGATGGAAAGATGATCTCGACGGACCCGAGGACCCCAAGGGCTACCAGATCCTCGGAGGCACCAAGACCAGCCCGATCGGCACACTGCAGGAGTACCTGGTTACCGACCAGTCCGAACTCGAAGTGGCACCATCTCACTTGTCCAATGCTGAAGCTGCGGCGCTTCCGTTGACAGGTCTCACAGCCTGGCGAGCCACCGTGGTCAAGTGTGGTGAGCGCAATCTCCAGCCTGGTCGAAACGTTCTCATCACCGGCATTGGCGGCGGTGTGGCTCTGATGGCTCTGGAATTTGCCAAAGCCTCGGGCGCCAACGTTTTTGTCACAAGTGGCGACGAACAGAAGATCAAGAAGGCCATCGCCTTGGGTGCAAAGGGGGGTGTCAACTACAAGGACAAGGACTGGGACAAGAAGCTGCAGGCCTTGTTGCCAGCACAGAATAAGCTCCTTGATGCAATCATTGATGGTGCTGGAAGTGATGTTGTCTCTCGTGGCTCCAAACTGTTAAAGGTCGGTGTAACATTTCCCTTTGCTGTTGCTGAGCAACTCTAACAAAGAATAGAACGGAGGTATTATCTCAGTCTACGGCATGACGGTCTCGCCCAAGATGCCATTCTTGATGCAAGCCGTCCTCAAAAACATTGAGGTCAAAGGCTCAACCATGGGTTCTAGAAAGGAGTTTAAGGAAATGGTTGATTTCATTAGAGAGAAAAAGGTCCATACAGTGGTCTCCCGCACGGTTCAAGGTCTCGATCTCGCCGCAATCAATACCTTGTTCGATGATATGCACAAGGGCTCCCAGTTTGGAAAACTAGTGGTGGAGATTCCAGCAGGTACTTCTACTAGTAAATTGTGAGATACGGAATATATCAAAAGATAGCATTTGCTTAGACATGACAAAATCTGCAAGGCACGCTATCCCCGACTTCCAAGTTTCCCTCCTTCTGACCACGGGGTCAAGCCTGACTTGCGATTCTGGGTGTGTTGATGCAAGCTCCCAGCGTCCCAATGCCAGGGGCGTCAACGTCGTGCTACCCGAGTTCCTATTTTAGCCATGCCACCATTGACCACATCCAAGACATCTCGCAGAACCAAGCCCAGACGATCGGGTTACCTTGTGTATGCATAGCTTGCGCTTGCTCAGTGGCCGCAGGGTCACACGGCGCATTCTCACCCTGAAAATCCTGTTCTATGCGCGAATGCAGGCACCCATCTGTGGTGTACCATTGTGTCGTCGCACAACGAAAGCACAAATACCAGCGAAAGGAATCCAAAGCCTGTAGCGCCATATGTTTGGACGATGTTGCTTGCGATCAGTTCCTCGAGAAAGGTCTGTGGGGCGATTGAGAGACGTTGGGCATGAAAAGATAGAACCCGAGGCTGGACCTGAATCTTCGAGTCTTGCAATCTCGGGGTTAGCGAGCTCCTGTGTAGCCCATGCGTCGGGTGCTTGGCGACTTGAGTGGTGCAGGACACACCGGACGCAAAAAGCGTCTTCGTCTGCGTCTGCGTCTGCATATGCGACCTGCGGTGTGGAAACGAGCACATGTTTGGAGGAACCTCGTGCAATAGCGGATCGACAGCATGAACAGCAATGATGAAGGTGGTACAAAATGGGCGCTAGTATTTTTGGACTCGCCAGGGCACAGGGTGATCTTTGACGCGTTGAAACGCAAGACCTGGACAATCTTTCAAACGAACCTCATGCAAGCAAGCCTCGCAAGCTAGATAGATCTGATGTGAGACAAAAGAGTTGCTAAGAAAAGCAGCAGGATGGAGGGGGAATGGAGGGGGCTACCTCCCTGGATTGTGACTAGAATGAGTCCATGGGGTCTGGGACCTCGCGTCTGGTGTTTGATCGTTGTCGTTCGTCAACTCATGGTGACAGAAGTACAGTAGGTAGAGGACATTGTTTCTGTGTCGGTTTCAACCCACGTCAACTAGAACTTCTAACAAACGCATGACTGTTTTGAGGTCGGTTACACCAGGAATGCACACTGGCGGACCTGAGTTCGCCCCAGGTGCATATTGACGGACCTTTACGTATGCGCCAGACTGAAACGCCGCCTTCCCCCCGATCATGATTTCGTTGTATAGGGTCTATGCGGGGAACGTGTTTGAATAATCGATAGTTTGCCAGCTGTAACCCACCTATGCTAACTGTTCCTGTGTTCGAGCATTGGTGATGAGTGGCAAGTCTTTGCGACCCGCCAAGATTCGAGGAGATGAGAAGCACGAGGAAAGGTGGTGTCATCCGTCGTCTAGAAGAGGCGAGTAAAGGGGAAATGAAGGGTTTGGACGAACACGGCGGAAGTTGTGGTGAAAGGATTCTAGTTGCTACTGTATGTTACAGCACGGCATGGTGCTCTTGGAACGAAAACTTAGCCTTGCGGGGTGGAGGAAGCTATACTTGCCTCGAGCGTGATAATGTAAGTAGTAGGAGACATGCAGATCTAGCCAGCCTCGCTTGGGTGAATACTAGTCATTGGAAATTGATATGGTTCTCAGTCTTTCAATGTCAAGTATGCAATACCTTGATCGGGTAAAGTGTGGACGAGTGAAGTCAGAGCCAGGCAATATTGGGTCATGGCCGAAACGTAGCGTCCATGCGTGCAAGAACCATACGTAGAGCATGCAGACGGACTGCTGCATTATCGTGATTATCTGCTGCGAACGCCTACGCATAGGCGAGCTGCAGGAACACCCGCCATCTGCGATGGCTTCGAAAAAGGTGATTGACCTGGCAACGGGGAACAAACGGAAGTGGCTTTGCGAGCCAGAGTCCGGCATGGTTGCAATAAGTTATAACGAAAAGGAGTCGGGAGGACAAAGACTGCAATGCTCCGAAAGGACCTTTGATGTCAGGTCGAAACACAGTAGTGGAGGTGCTGGATGAGGGTTTTGCCTACCTAGGGAACCTACTCCGTATGCGCATTTGTACCAGCCTCCGAGTATCTGACTCTCTGATGGGTAACGGAAACCGATGAGTGGAATCATGGCTGTACGGATAGACTTGATGGAGCTTGATGAGAGAGGTAAGAAGTTGAGAAGCGAGGACGGAGTAGGTTTGAAGAGAAACTATGGGTTTTGGAAACGCGCCAGAAGTTCCAAGGCCATTTTCAGAGAGGGAAGGCGTGACGCTGGCCGGTAAGCCGCCGTCAGCTTAAACCCAAAACAGGCACGCGTGGCTTACGGATCAAGGTTCCCCAGAGCCTCCAGTGTTTTGAAGCTGCTTGCTACTAACCAAAGTCAACGTTTTGGACAGAGCCCGTCTACCCTCCGTCCAGCGCCGTGCCCCGTGTTGCCAGAGTCGTCACAATCTGGATGGAATTGGCATTGCTCATCGGAGTCGGCATCCGTATCATCTCTGAATGCAGTTGACCGTTCTGGCTTCTTGCGTGAACCACAGTAAGAGTCACGACGGCTGGTGCTCGCTAAGGCCCAGGCGACGAGATGAAACTCACAACCCGCCATCCGCGCTGCGACCTTTGCAGTATGCCCCATGAGACTAATGCACACGTCGTCCAGGCAAGCACATCATTAAGTTTATGTTGCAGAGGCCGGCAGGCAGGATGAAATTAGGGATGTAGCTACGGAGGATGTACCTGATGTTCATTTCGAGTGACCCATGAGGAAAACGAGATCGTATTGGAAATCGATCATGGCCGTGGCGGCAGAGTGGCCAGATGTGTGGCCCATTATTCGTGATGAGATGAGAAAGTGGCAATGGTCAAAGTAGACTTTTTATGATGAATCGTCATGCCATGTGCAGAATGGAATATACGCAGAATCAGGCTATGAAAAAAAGTCAGGCACCTACATAGGAGACACAGCGTGACAGGAGCTGTTTGTAGGCCGCGGAGTGGATAATGGAACCCTCAGTGCCCGCTGATAATAATCAGGTGGACCGTGGGTAATCGCCGTCACTACACTGACCAACGGGCAAATGTGGCAGTGCGGAGTGGCAGTACCTGATGATGATCTGCAGGATCCATCATTGTACTTCATCATCTTTTGCCTGCAAAGTATAGGAGACTTTTTACATGTCCAACAACGACATTGTGGAATCATGCAAGGACCGTTGATTGCCACAGGTCGGGCGGGGAAACGCGTTGCATCTTCCAGATGACAGATCAAAAAAACTCCGGATCTGTAAAGAACGGTAAGGCAGGTAGGCATTCCGGGCTTTTGGCAGGCACTGCAGGCCAAGACGAAGAAGCATCCCAAAACCCTGACGTGGACATGTCACAACAAATGTTGTCGTATGGTTGTCTTCGCGTGTCAACCCATTCTACGCGTACTCCGTACTCCGTGTTACGAGGGATAATAATGTCAATAATGGTTTGGCCTCTGATATTGCCGTTCCCACTCAAACGGTCCATCGCCATTTGGCCGTCAACAAGACTGCAAGTGTAAGGGGTGCCCTCAGTACTTGTTTACGGCGTACTGGTAGGCTGGTACCAAGCTATCTCCAAGCCAGATGGATCGCCCTCAAGATCGATTGGTAAAAGGTCTCCGCACCCCGACTTGGGCGCCAAACAACATTGGGATAGGCGTTGTGGGCGTGTCGCCAGGAGGCAAACTTGCTGACTTCCTCCTTCCTCCTTCCTGCTGCTTGCATCCTGCTTCTTGTTTCCCAGAGCCACTGACCAGGGTGACTTAGCGTGGTTCGGCTGTGGTGGTGGACTCAAAAATAGACATCGCCAAAGCACCATCACACGGGGCTAGGGCCCTTATCAGCTTAGGCTGGCCTAGGGCCCTAGGGGCTGGAATGAGCCTACCAGCACCGGGAGATCTTCAGTCCTAAAAATCCTCCTTGTCCTGTCACGCCTGTCGGGTGCCCACTGAGCAGCATTCCTCCACTGCTAGTCCCGCTGGTCCTGCGTAATAATAATAAAATCCTGCAAAAGAATTTCTTCATAACCTCACTCCAGGACTGGCCGAGGATGATAGTGGCCAACAATGCAGGCCTCCCCTTACTCTACGAATTGCTCTCTCGATGGCATGGCGGTGGGTGGGGGTTCTCACTATGTACATGGCCGTGTCAAGAGATGTTGTGATCATTTCTCCATCCCCTCCTCCGAATTCTGGATAGACTGTGTTCGGCAAAGGAGAAAGTAAAAATGTTCAAAATTGACCATTCAGAAAATTGCATGACCACAGAGGAGAGCTTGCCCAAAGCGTAATAGTGCATTTGGAGGCTGTGCAAACCCGCCTTGGACAGTTGGGACCCAATGGACCCTCCATCGCACCACTGTCACTACCTAAAATGCTTAATTGTCTGGCTGCCACGCACGCACGGCTGGCTCCCAGTCTAACCTGAAATGGTGGCGATCGGGTCAATGATGCGTGTGTTGCTAATCCTGGCGAGCCTCTCAGCCCTCGGCCGTCAGTGCCTACGGAGTACTGCTCAATGTTGCTCGCAACTTCTTTTTCCACCCTTGATTCTCGCCACTGGCCTAGCTTGGCTTGCACTCATTCCGTCTCCGAGGTCAATTACCTGAGCACTGAGGTCCTGTACACAGGAGACAACTTGTACCGAGTATGTGCTCGTAGGGATGATTTATTTTGACGGGTCTTCGACTGGTCCGCACTGGAAATCTTGTCCTTCCGTCATCAGCCGGTGACTAGCGACTGGCCTGTGCCCATCACCTACGCATCCTACCACGACACTGACACGGCGTCTCTCCTCGCCTGTTGTTCACATCGTATGCTATTTCCAGTCCATCTATTCGCGGTTCCATCTTCAGACACTCGCACAAACCCTCTAGGCCGTCTTGTTCGAGTCTCAGACCTTGGTGGCCTGCCCTCTGCAAGCCAACCGTCTTTTGCGAGAGGAAACCACCGGGCTCCTGACTAGCGGTGGTTCATGCAGCTCATCTGCAACACAGAAACTCTTGACTCTTGACCTCGTAGAACGTTTGGGCCATGCACCCGACAACACCCCAACCCAAGGAGCCAGAGGACAATCCACACGCCAGGGCTGCTTCTTCAAGGTTGACCCGTTGTCGGCCATTCTCGTCACATGTGCTTTCTTGAGGACCCTCCTAGGTTAGGTTAGTCGCTGACTCGCTGAAGAGTGCACAACGTATTTTGTAGCCATTATTACCAGTACCGCCCTGGAGGCTAGAGGTAAAAACGGTGACAGACCACTGCCTCTCACTGCCTCTCATCATTCGCGTGCCCTCGCATCGTCTTTTTCTCCCGTGACCCATAATATTATTATGCTCATCTACGTCTCCGCTTTTTGCGAATCCTGTCTGGCGGCCTGCCTGCCACTGTCCACTGCCATCTACAGGAGTGGGATGAATGCGTACGCATGCTCAAAGGCTTCGTATCTTGGTAGTCTACAGCGTGCTAGTCACAGTGTGCTCGTACTGTACCAATCCCCAACCTGCCTAGCCTACTCTCGTCGTCCTCGTCCTCGAAAGGGCCGGGGGGGTTCCTAATCCCTGAACCGCCTATCCGCCTATCCCCATCTCCAAGCTAAACTCTTTGTGACTCTTTCCATGTTCCATCGTACCCCATCCGACCAAACCCTGAGCCCACCTTGCCCACCAGCCCGTCACTGCCACTAACCTAACCCTCAAACTCGTTACGCCTCCGTCGCTAGGACGTGTCATTGGCCCTGCACTTTTTGCCTCTCCCGGAAAAGCCGCCGAGCATGCGCTGCCAGGCTTTGGGGTGACCACTACCACCGCCCACGTCCACGTCCAGTCCCCGTACATCGTTGCCCACTCTGCCACTCGCAGACCTAGTCGCCCAACCTGGTCCATTCCCACACAATTGCCTCCTCCCTCGAGCCCAGGCCGATATAGCCATTTGCATCCCCCTCTCTCCTCGGCTCACCTATCTTCTGTTCCCACTCTCCACCAACTCCATCCACCACTTTCGCTCTGTACTTTCTGGTTCTCTTCGCAGACCATACTTTCGTTTTTCTCTCGACTCCTTCGCACTCGCTTCCCACGCCTTTGTGAACATCGCCCGTCGTTGGACATCAATCGCTCAAGTCCTCAACCTCGATACATTCGCTGAAAAGCCCAACAATTTTGCCTCCACCTTCCATCCTCACTCCACACCAGATTTCTCTCCTACACTGGCAGTCTTGATACGATCTTGATCTTGGATAACAACCAATTCTGTACACCAACATCATTACCAGGAGTGTTGAAAATCAGCAATAGTGGTCACATACTCGACAATTGACGTTGCGGGATATCCCAACTTGATCTGGTCACCGAATATACTGAAATTCCACCCAGATATCGACCCTACCATAAGAAAGATCCTGAATTTCTGGACAATACCTTGATCTGTCTCGCATCAAAGGAGATTCTCTCTTACCTGGTGAGTGGAATTACAAACATGCCATATTTGGCACACCCGCAGTCCCCCTCCCCTCGATTCGCCGCCACAATCCTCCTTGCTTGCAATTCAATACTCCTACTTTGTTACCACAATTTGCATCATTCTCTCCAACCTCTGGGAATGTACTCACCTCCTGTGAAGAACCCTCACTGACAACAGCAGTCACAGCAGTCACAGCAGTTTCAGCCTGACTCTCCGGTCGTGAATTGGAACCTGCTCCGCTTGGACAACTACCCTAGGTCCATCTCCCCCTTCGGCTACCCACTGCACTGGCGACCTCCCTTTAAATAGGTCTCCGGGCCGTCTCAGATTCTGACTGATAGTTCGGTCGTTCAGCCGTTGCTGTTCGTTCCATCTCTCTGGTTTTCTTTGTTCCTCAGATTGCTCTCGCCAGCATACTGCCTGACTTGGTTTCGAGTGGAACCAGCTTCAGTTGTGTCTGCAATCATCCGTCATCAGCCTCCTCTCCACCCTTCCATATCCAGCCTGTGCTCGCCTTCGGCAAGCTCAGTCCCTTCCTTGACGGTCCAGTCGTCAATTTTGGCGTCAAGCCCGACCAGCCTTTGATCCCACCCATCATATCGAATGTTCGTCGCAGGAACCACATCTTGGACTCTCAAAAACCTTCGATCTCGATAGCAATATTGATATCGTCATTCGCTTCGATTTGAGACAAGCACTTGTCTCGTCACCCACGCTCGTTTAGCAGCAACCACATTCGCTTAGTGTTTTTCTGTACCCTACCCCTCTATCCTCGCCCTTTTTCCCAGTTTGATCTCAAACTACCGGCAATCTGGCGTCCACGGCTTTCCAACATTTCCAGGTTCGTTAATCTCCCATCCCAGGTCTCTGTCTGAGCTCCGCTGCTGCTTGGGGGCCGGACAAGATGACCAGATATCCTTCTGGGTTCAAAATCACTGATTGTTCCGCAGCCCCTTCCCACCTTCCAGCAAACTCCATACATCGTCGACGACTCCCCCGAGTCCTCAGTCGTTGTTGGAGAGCACTTTGCCAACCAGCTTCAGCAGGGCTTTGAAGCCAAACCTGATCAGCTTCTCCCAATGTCCGGCTATGATAAGATTCCTCATCGTGGCCTTGTTGGTATGCAGTTCCTCTTTGATTAATACCTGGGCAGTCTGCTAACCATTTCAGACTTTCAACCACAGCCTGCCATGCATGGTCCCATGTTTTATGGCAACTTCTCCGAAGTGGACCATGACTATCATCCTCTCCTACATCCCGGTGGCGGTCCGCACGTTGTAGAGCCTGAATTCAAGTACCCGTCAGGAGAATTCCTCAACAATCAAGGCATGGATGTTGGCAAAGCAACGGGTTTGAGCCTCGACCAAGTCAACCATGCACAGGTTCGCACCTTCAGCGTTCCCCACACACGTGCCACATCCACCAGCTCGGTCGTCATGAACCATCGGAAACGAAAAGCCTCGAGCGTGGATGGTTTCGATACTGCCCCTGTCGAGATCAAGCGGAAATCATCAAGCGTCGATGAGTTTGATATGTTGCCAATCCACAAGAAGCGTGTAGTCGCTCAGGTCCACGTCCAAGATCCCAATGGCGACTATTACGATCTTAGCGGACACACATCTCCATACTCACAATTTGTCCCAACTCCCACTGGCAGTACTGGGTTCCCTTCATATCCAGGATATAGCTCATCCCCTCGACCATCTGGCCATCAATATTCTACCTCGAATGCCTCCCAAATCTCGCTGGCTGCTCCATCACCTCACACCCCCTCATTCAGCCCGTCCTTCACCACGGTCAAGAGTGAGCAATCCCCTGGAGCACCAATGACCCCTCTACCCCATGCTGTCTCAGCAAGCTCCCCGGTCAAGTCGTCTGCTCCCAAACTCATTCGAACTTCAACCATTCAACAATCCCCGCCAGGGGTCGTGAACAATGTTGCTGTTGGACAGACACAAAACTTCAATCCATATGCAATGTATCCCCTCAAGGCAAACCTCAAGCTCAAGGGTGATCTGGAGACCATGAAGCTGAATTGGACGCCCGAAGAACGTGAGGCACGACGCCGCTTGGTTGAATTCAAACGCAGCCAGAGCAGCTGCACAATCAACGCAGAATTCGGGCCTGTCGCTCCTCAAGATCGAATGTCTGGCAGTATCTGCATCAGTTGCATCTGGTGGAAGGAGAAGAACGAATTCTACGTCACGTCGGTGGACACCATCTACCTTCTTGAGGCGTTGGTGGGTGTCAGATTCACGGTCGAAGAGAAGAATCGTATACGCCGTAACCTCGAAGGCTTCCGACCAATGACCGTGTCCAAGTCCAAAGCTGACAGCGAAGAATTCTTCAAGGTCATCATGGGATTTCCCCACCCTAAACCTCGGAATATTGAGAAGGATGTCAAAGTATTTCCATGGAAGATTCTCTCTACTGCGCTGAAGAAGATCATTTCTAAATATTCAGCGAGTTACTCGTCGACCGCTGCAGCCATTCTTACCCCTCAGGCTGCACACGGTCCACATTCCGAAGGACATGCCGACTACTATGACATGTCCCCACGGACAGGCTATGTACCATCTCACGGAGGCCAGTACTTCTCCACCAATGATGTTGCCTACATGCAGGGACCGCCTTCGGCATCGTTCGTCCCAACATCAGCTCCTGCATTGCAGCTGCAGATGCCTGAGTACACACCAGCCTACAGTGTCAATGGTCAGTTTCCCTGTCAAACCCTGACTCAGATGCCTCCGAATACCATGAGCATCCCGGCACAACCCATGACTGCGCCTGCCACACGGATGCCATCATGGGATTTTGGAACTTATGTCGACGATTACCCTATGCCAATGCCCCACAGCGCACCACCTACAGCGTATCCCAACGGCATGATGCAGCCAGCCGAGTTTTACCCCGGCATGCACTATCCCGCCAACTAATGGTGAAACGTAATCCACTTTCCTTTTCTCACCTGTTCTTACCAGATTGCTTTTTTGTGCATAGCACGCGGATCTGAGATACAGACGCCCGGGACATGGTCCGGGCACGCACCCACAAATTTCTTTTATTTCGGAGTCAGGGAACCACGGGGAGGCAACGAGTCATGTACACACCACAGCACACATCATTTTGTATACCAGCATGAAATCATGGTTTTGCAGCGATTGGACAATTTGGATTTTGGATTTTGGATTTTGGAAGGTCCTGGGAGTGATTGGGACACAGTTATGGCTGTGACGGAGATGCAGAAATCTTAATGAGCGAATATGAGCGCACACGAATGGAGACAAAAGCAGAGCAGTGATGAAAGTATCGACGGCACAAAAGCACGCAAGGATTTTGATGATGACACTTTTGCTGTACATGCGCGGATGGTTGCATAGACTTTGGTCAAATCAACTGCTATCCATGCACAGCATTGGATTGATGCTGCATAGGCTGACGTTCTATCCATACGGTACTAGTAATCAAATACCTATTGATACTCTCATGCTCACGTGGGTATGTTTTGGGATTCGTTTGTTGTTCTTTTCCAGAGAGAGTGCTTGGACGAGAAACGAAGAGGATTGTGAGATATACGGTAGTGATGATGATGATGATGGTCGGGCAAAATGATGACGGGACAGGAATGCAAAGCTGGCAGGAAGCTAACCTAATCGGGAAGGATAAACATGGTGAGGGAACTTCGCCAATCGCGTCTCACGAGTCTCGTGCTCCTTCCCCTTCGTATTTCAACCCACCACACAAACGGCGGACGTGATGCGCCTGGCATAAATGCAGAAACCACAGTGGTCTGATTGCGTTTCATTAATAGTTTTTGCATCAAAGCTATCTTCATCCATCGACCCTTGATCATGGCACTTGATTTATCCTGTTCCACGCCGACACGGCGAGAACAATTACTATCCTTTGAGACCGCGTCTCTGGAATCATCTTCCAGCCCCGAACAAGACCAGGACCCTCACACACAGGATGATTCGGATGCCTCTCCTCAGCGATTCAATTTCACTCCTCGACGCGTCACATCACTGCCCCGGGCCTGGGAAAGACGGCCTGCCACGCCTCATCTGCCGCGGAATGAAGCTCAGAAAATATGGAAGCGGGTGCCGCTGGCGAGTGTCAACATGAACCAGACGGGGAATTGGCGCAAGGGTGATGGTCAACCGATCATGAGACCGGTCAAGCGTTTGCGTGTAACTCATATTGGGCAACAAGAACAAGATAAAGAGAACATCGATTATGTGAATTCCAAGTGGGATAAAGGTATTGGAAATGAGGCGGAGAGTCCGAAGAGGAAGGTCGCTCATCTTGTCGACTGGGACCTGGCGGAGGAGCAGAAAGGGTCTCCCCTTGATGTTGACGGCCATAATGTTGATGGAGCGGTCGAGAGTAGGAGCCAGGCGGATATGTGCGAGGACATTTCACCGCTAGCCGCTGATTTGAAGAGTGATGACGAGTTGGCAACACAGTCCGGGGTGGAGGAGACTTCGCGGCCCGTCAGAGATCCGAACACAACAACGGAATCAGTCCTAATTTCGCAAGAGAACCTCCTACTTCGACCTACTTGCACACTATCTGTGGACCACGATGATACTGCATACCTGAATGACTTTCTCAGTCGGGCGCGGGCTCAGAAAGCAGCCAGGTCATCCTCCAGCCTGGAGACTGTGACTATGGATGGGGAGGCTGTGGAAGAGGAGGACTTGATGGAGGAAAACGAGGAAACTGAAGTGGCAGAAAATGGCACCGACTCAGATGGTATCGCTGAGGTCAGGGAGACAGTACTCGCACCTCAAGATGATACAGAGGCAAATCTCTGCTCTCCCCGTCGAAGCTCCCGGCTGATAACCAGACTACCACGGCCACAGAAGCCAGTGACGTCGGTTCCGAGCAGCATTACGCTGAAGCGACTGAATGGGACCGAATTTATTTCTATGCAAAAGGAAACGCAATCATTGGCATTGACAACAAGAACCAACACGAAGCGAAACAAGGGGCTGGCACAATCAGTTCAACAGAGGCTTAGGCAGCTTGATGCTGAGGCGAGGGTGAAACAGCCAGAAATAGGAGGAGTGGAAGGTGAAGCGAGTAAGAAGAAGAGGAAGAAAGCGAAGGAGGTAGGTTGGGCGGAAGAGCTGGCTCGATGTCAAGACGGAACAATCATCAAGCCGTCGGCGCAAGCAACGGAGATGAATGAGGCCGAGGTAGATTTGCCTGTGCAGATTGCGCAAGTCTATGAAGGGGAGAACATTACGCCTGCGGTGGAAGAGCAGCAGGAGAAGAAACAAATTAAGAAGGTGCGGAAACTCCGAAAACTCAACGTGGGGACAGTCAATGGTACACCGGCACCCAAAAAAACGCAGAGCTTGGAAATTGCTCCGGCGCCGGCCATCAACGTTGAGAGGGACATTGGTATGTCTAAGGCTTCAAAGGACGGTGACCGCCACGAGTCGAAGGAGCCAGGCAAGTCGATTAGGCCTCCCAGTGCTGGTATTCTAAAGGAGGTACCGGCGAAGACGACGCGGAGCAGGAGAAGAGTGTGAAGGTGATGATGGTAGTTACTGGAACAGAGGGGGGTATGGGGTGAAGAGGAGGCTGAGATTCTTGTGATTCATCGTTTGTAGCGTCAGGCATTGTTTCGAAATCCAAAGCATGCTTTGCTTGGTTTGTGTGTGTATGTGTGTCCCATCTCTTTACAGTCATGCTTGTCGAGACAGATCAATGGAAAGGAGTAAGACGGCGCAGACAAACAGAGAGGCAGACGGAAATAGCACAAACAAGCAATCACTAACCCCGCCTCCCGCCAAATCAGGCTCCCGTCCACCCCGCACTTGCTTTGGGGAAGCAATCAACAATATACGCTATGCTCTTTTTGTCGATTCACGTCGTGTGATCTTCTACGCCTGGTATTCATTCCAACACGCGTAATCCGCTCGAAACAAACTCAGCCTAGGTGCCATCGACTGTTGATCAGATGGTCGACATGCCTATTGGTGAGAGTAAAGAGTTGACTCTGGATTTGGCATCATGTTACCATGTCCTCCTTGTCCTCCTTGCCTCCCTGCGCCCTGCGCCCTGCAGCTCACCTATATGTCGTGTTCGTAGGAGTCAAGGTGAGAATGAGGATGGGCTCTGAGAAATTGCTAATGTATTATTTTCGTTGGTCATAGTTATATCAGAACCTGCCACAAGTTCTATTTTTCGGAGCTAGCAAAAAACCCGTTCTTTCTCCTTCTTTGATTGTGAATCATGTCTACAACACCACCACCACTACCTCGATTCTCAACACACTCCCGACTTCTCACCGCGCTCTTCGGCAACTTGTACGCTTCGATCCACGTGGTGGAAGAGTCTGCTTCTTGGAAGGTTTGAACGAAGTTGCCTTGCCATACACCAGAACCATGCACAGGAATCTGTCAATTCGAGGGAGGTCCATGTACACCAGGGAAGATATTCGTGCATTTGTTTCGCTGGTGGATGCAGGTGTTGTTCGACTTAAATCTCCGATCAACGGTTGGGAAATGCATGGTAGTGTGTGTATCAACAAATATGGTTTGGACGATTGGGAGAAGGCTTTTGACGAGGCAGGGAATCCTGCAGGGAGTGGAAATGTTTTTATTGTTCCTTGATATCTCTCGGACAAGAATCTATCTCACTCGACTCAGAACAAGCACTTTAGACCATACTATCACCCCTCCTACTTGCAACCTCCCTTACAAAGTATATCAATCCACACACACAAGGCTGAGAAACTCGTCCTCTGATTGGCAGGCGCTTATTGCCGGTCAAAATGTCTTGGCATCAACATCACTTGGTGACATCTTCAACAGGATCCTCAACAGGATCCTCAACATGGTGCAGCGCTGCGTCAAAGATAATCGACCTTCTGTATTATGACTTCTGGTTCACTCACTCTATCCTCCGATTTTTGATAGCTGAGTTGTTCTCAAGGAGAATGTCCATGTCTCCATACCAACGTCATGTTCAAACACGCCCTTCCACATCGCGTTCCCGCAGCTAGACGATACCTCCAGCCGAGATGGTCTTCTCAGTCCTCAACTGCCCAAGAGCCCTTTCCACCAAATATCAATGAATGGTCTCATCCTCCCTCCAATGCCACCATATCAGACGAGGAAATCTCCCGACTCGCAGCCAAACCTCGTCAACCTCTAACTCTCGCCGACCTCGTCAAGTATGTTCTACCTATCTATCTATATCAGCCCGCCGCTCTTCTCCCCTTCTCGCCTCGTCCTGTCTCCAGTCTAACCAATATCCCCTCAGACATGGCAAACCCCCTCTCAACGACGCCGCTCTCCTCTCCTCCGCCAACTTCACACTCTCCCGCCTCCCCGCCCGTTTAGCCCATCGAATCCAAGCCCTGCGCAATCTCCCCTTTATCGTCGTCGCCAACCCCAATGTGTCCGCCATCTACAACAACTACCTCCACTCCCTCTCCACGTTAGAACCCTTCTACAAAAAACAAATCACCACCATTGAAGAAGAGATGAAGTTCACCGAAGTCATGGCTGATCTAGTCCGCACCCATTCCAACACCATCCCGACTCTGGCGCAAGGCTTCCTCCAATGTCGTAAATACATCGATCCCATGGAAGTCACACGGTTCCTGGACCAACACCTCCGCGCGCGGATTGGAACGCGGCTCGTTGCCGAACAACACCTTGCTCTGCACATGGCCAGCACGGGGGAATCCGCGCTTCGAAAACCCGACCCCACGCACGTCGGCGTCATCGACCTCGCCCTGCAACCCGCCAGCATCGTACGCACGTGCGAATCATTCGTCGGAGAGATCTGCGAATTGAAGTACGGAGTGCGACCACAAGTCGTCATCAACGGCGAAGTCGAGGCCGAATTCGCACATATCCCAATGCACATTGAATACATCATCACCGAGTTACTTAAAAATGCATGTCGAGCCACAATCGAATCCGGCAACGAAGCCCATCCAATTGAAATCACCATCGCCACCGCCCCGGACGTCGGCTCCGCGACAAAACTCGATTCACTACGGAAATTGTCCGTGTCGGAAAAGACGAATTACGATTTCAGTCAGGATGGACTAGAGGAATATGTCTCGAGTCAAGAAGCAGATGTCGAGCCGTTGAATACAGCTGCTCCGTGTATTACACTCCGGATTAGAGATCGAGGTGGGGGCATTGCTCCGGATGCGTTGCCGAATATTTGGAGTTATAGTTTTACGACGTTTAATAAAGAAGAGGCGGATGCCGCAGTGGCGGAGAATGGGAATTCGGATGGTTTGAATGCCATTGCCTCGAGTGGTTCGAATCAAAGTACCATTGCGGGTCTGGGGTATGGGCTTCCGTTGGGAAGGGCGTATGCCGAGTATTTCGGTGGTGGGATCTCGTTGCAGAGTATGTATGGTTGGGGAACGGATGTTTATCTCACTTTGCAGGGAATAGGCAAGACGGAGGGGTTGAAGGAGGGACCGAGTGTTTTTGACAAGGCTATGTCGAGGAAGATGGATCAACGGGGTTGAAATTTGGAAATGAAGATGAAGATGGAGGTGATGGGTTGGTTGATGTCCCATGACAAATGGAAAGAAAGCAGGGAAAACCTGATGCAGAGTCTTCGGTTTCCCATTGTATATACCTATTTACATCTACGTCGTCTATGTCTGTTTGCTCTGCCTGCAAAGGCATATGAGCTGACGATTTCTCTACCAGACAATACACAACCCACAGATCCTTGTTCCCACGATCAAGTGAAAACAGCATGCAATCTCCCACTCTGGCGTGCCGCCAATCTCTCCTGCATGACCACACCATACATCTCACGTGTCCAACGACACACAATCTTTCTTGTATCTTTGGGATCCACAATCTCCTCGACATTATACGGCAGAGCAGTCCGTACCGGGTTCATGAGTCGGATATATTCATCCTCCAACTCCTTATATCGTCTCTTCCAACCTTCCTCGCCTTCCTTGTCACGGATCTGTTTCAATTCGAATCGATGACCGACTTCGATTCCACCATCGAGTGGCAACGAGCCCCAGTTTCCGGATGGCCAGGCAATTCGTTGGATTGGGTCGCGGGAGTCGAGCATGATTCCGCCTGCTACGCCGAAAACGCGTCGTGTTATCACGGAGAAGATCGGTGTGGTAGTGGAATAGTATGCTTTGCCGAGTTCAACGCCCCATTTCATCGTCGCGGTGCGTTCGGCCACGGTGCCAATGGCGTAGCCAGCTGTTGGGGATATGAGATTAGCTTATGATTTCTTCGCCTTGAAGTAGGAAGGATGGAATGGTGCAAGCCATAGTATCCCATGGCTTTGTGATGAAGGGGACTTTCTTGGGTGGAGGTGAATACTTACGGACATCGACGAATTGAACAATCGGCAGATTGAACACATCGCAAAACTTGATCATCTTCAACAACTTCTGACTTCCCAAGGCATCCAGTGCGCCACTGTTGACCTCGCAGTTGTTACTCAGGATACCAACCGGTCGCCCTCCAAGCCTCGCAAGACCGGTGATGCCAGTGCGGCCCCATAAACGACCAATCTCGAACCATGAGCCGCGATCCACCACGCTCTCGATGATTGTGTAGGGATTGTACATGCGAGCCTTGCGGCGAGGGATGATGCTGCGCAAGGCAATGTCCTCGCGGTTGACGTCGTCAAGGCACTTGGACGTTGGTGGGGCTTGCAGCTCGCCACAGTCGGGTAGGTAGCCAAGGACGGTCCGAAGTTGTTCGTAACATTCGGCTTCATTGGCCGCGAGGTTGTCAATGGTGCCGTTGGTGCAGTGGACACCAGGACCTCCCAGATCCGAGAAACTGAGGCCTTCTTCGAAGGTGGCGCCTTCCACTACCTTGGGGCCTGCATTGAACAACGATCCGATATCGCCAGCCATGACACTGAAGTGTGTGCTGACTACTCGTGCCGCACCGAGACCGATGGCAGGACCAACCACGGCGCCCAGGTTAGGGATACCCGCGTTCAGTTGCTTGACCACCGTGGAGAGTAAGACTACATGGGGAATGTAGGAGTACCCCTGGGTTTTGATGGTGCTGACGCTGCCACCACCAGAAGACCCGTCCACGAGCTTGATTACAGGGATCTTGTTCTTCAAGGCCAATTTCTCCCCGTGGACCGTCTTGATCATGGTCGCACCATCGGCGTGTCCTGCTCGTATGCTGAAATCATCAGCCGTCAAATAGACCTGTCGCGTTTGGCCAGTTCGTGCACATGTGACTCGTCCAAATCCCTGGGGATTGTTGGAAGGAATGAAGGCGTCAATGTGTTCGCGTTGTGGGTTGTTGGGATCAGTTCGCCATGTGACGGTACCAGTGATGGAACCAATTTCACGCCATGAGTCAGGATCGACCAGTTGAGCAATACGTTCTCGAGCCCAAAGTTTGCCAGATGTCAACTGGCGTGTGTAGCCTCGGTTATTGGGGTCAGGAGTGTTGGCAATCTTTTTGAGCGTGCTGATGTGCTCCATGATGTCGGCGTAGTCGCCGGGAGGTTCATCGGATGAGGCACCTTTTGATGACTTTCTTGACTTTCGAGTCTTTTTTGTGTTGGCTTGAGGCTCAGGTTGAGAAGGAGAAACTTGAGAATTGAGTTGTTGAAGTCTCGAGGTTGCTTGGGTCTGTTGTGAATAGACTGGATCTGTAGCTGGGGAGATAGACCCCTTTCCGGGTCCAAGGACTTGGCCACCTGGCGTGGATGGAGCAGACTGTGGTTGCGCATAGACTGGGTCATTGATCTGGCTCTTGCTTGACACTGCAGCGGATTGTGAATACACCGGATCCTCTGCTGGTTTCGGGCCTCCAGAAGCCTTGTTTTGTGCTGACGCTTGAGCTGCTGGTTTTGCTGGGGATGATGTCTGCTGTGAGTAGACAGGGTCATTGACACTAGACCCTGATGCAGGCGATCCTTTGGAATCTTTGCCGCCTGCCATGATTTCCACTTATACTTGATGCAGATCAGGGATGAGTACGCCTTCAGTACCACAAGTCAAAGTTGGATGATCTGTTGGAAGGCTATCCCACGCTCTGCTCGTTGGAGATGGAGATCCGGATACTTGCAGAGAGTCGACCAAATGAAAGCGTCGTCCTTTTCGACACCCAAGTAATTTTGTTTATCTTGAAACTTTTCAGGAACGAGAGTTTTGGCCCATACACAATCCCTTGAGATTTGATAGCGGCTGTTCGGCATCTTAACCAGGATGCTATGACGAGTCGCGCCTGCTGTTGGAGTATCGGTCCTTCCCCGCGTTTGGCCGCGGGTCCCAACTGCCTCGGTAAGTTTGCGGTTCAAGTAAAGGAAAGCACCGACCAAATTGTGGAGAACTCGATCCGGCTCACCAAGTCCAATCGAGGTAAACGAGGTTCCTTCAATCCTGTCCAGAGTCCAAATCAACCCTTCTTAGTCTTCAGATTTGGACCTCATCGTCGAAAGGCTAGTTCTGTGAGATCTCTGTTCTATATAGAATCCAGGATCCAGGAGCCGGCGCCATCTCTACGTTCCCAAGATGCCCCCCGTCCAACGGCCAATCTCGCGGATCCTCATCGCCAACCGCGGTGAGATCGCCATTCGCATTCTTCAAGCATGTACCGAACTCCCAAACCCTCCAGAAACTTTTGTTATCTATACGGAGTCAGACACCACGCATGTCAGTCTCGGGCGGCCAGATCATGCAGTCAAAGCTCCCTCGCCCGCATCTTATATGAATATTGATTTTATCATTGGCATCGTCAAGGACAATCAAATCGACGCCGTCCATCCCGGCTATGGATTTTTGAGTGAAAGTGCCGAATTCAGCCGGAGATTGTGGGAAGAGGCCAACTGTTTGGTGGTTGGTCCTGGCTGGGAAGTGCTCGATAGAACCGGCGACAAGTTGAAAGCCAAGGCTTTGGCCATGGAATGTGAAGTCCCCGTCCTGAAGGCCATGGACCGACCAACAGGAAACGCGAATGATGTGCGCACCTTCGCTACCCAAGTTGGTTATCCCTTGATGATCAAGGCGGTTGATGGAGGTGGTGGTCGAGGTATTCGCCTGGTCAAGAGTCAAAATGATCTTGACAATGCCGTTCAGAGATGCATTGCTGAATCACCAAGCAAGACTGTCTTTGCAGAGCAAGCTGCGGTCGATGGTTTCAAACATATCGAGGTTCAAATCATCGGCGATGGGAGAGGTGGCATCAAGCACCTTTGGGAACGAGACTGCAGTGTTCAAAGAAGATTCCAAAAGATCGTCGAAATTGCCCCTGCCCCTGTACAGCGACGGAAGGTCATTGCTCAAGTCATCGACTCTGCTGTCAGAATGGCAAGAAAGTTGAGATATCTCGGTCTGGGAACTTGGGAGTATCTTGTCAATGTCAAGTCAAGACAGTTCTTCTTCCTAGAGATCAACCCCAGATTGCAGGTCGAACATACCATTACCGAATCACTTACCGGCGTCGACATCGTTCGTGAGCAATTGCTATTTGCTCAAGGATTGCAAGACTCTGAAGACTTGAGGTTGGCCGAGTGGTGGGAAGCCGACAAAGCTCCTCCAGCAGCTTCAATCCAGCTGAGACTATGCGCCGAGGATCCAACATCTGGCTTCTCCTTGAGTATTGGCAAGGTCACAGATATCCACCTTCCTTCAGGCAATGGAGTTAGAGTGGATACCCATCTATCAAGAGGTGGCGTCGTGGGATCCGACTTCGACAATATGATGGCCAAGATCATTGTCACGGCCTCAACATTCTCAGCCGCGATAGCAAAGGCTAAACGAGCGCTGGCAGATACCAAGATCGTTGGGGTCAAGACTAACTTGAATCTTCTTCGAGCAATCGTCAATGACAAAGTCTTCGCCTCTGGCAACACAGACACCAGTTGGCTCGAGAAGAACCTTGAAAGTCTAGTCGAGTCTGGAGAGAAGATTGGACAGAGCGTCGACCAGCTCGACTCAAACTTACCGGCCCTCTCACTTGGTGGCAGCCAGACGGCTAATTCTGCCGGATCTGGCACTCTGTTCCGCAAGGGAGATGCCTGGACAGTTACACTCGAAGACAAAAATGTCAAGTCCGAGACGAAGCCTGCCCCTCATCATCTCAGCATCGAGCGTATCACACGGAATGAATTTCCAGAAGCCTTGGTCGCAGATGTCGCATACACAATACCAGGAGTGCAGCCTCGGTCATACAAGATGTCTTTAGCAAGCACGACGGCATCGGCAGATGCAACAGCTTCAACTCACAAGCGCGGGGATCCAAATAACAAGACGCATATCGTCCTACCAATCAGTGGCAAGTTAGTCGAAGTGCTGGTGGATGATGGCGACGAGGTGCAGGAAAATGAAGTGATTGCTTTTGTCAAACAAATGAAAATGGAGCTGGAGATTAGAAGTCCGAGAGCCGGCATCATCAAATGGGCAATCGAGCTGGAAAATGACGAAGGTGATGATGTCGCCGAAGGCGTTCTCTTGGCTGAGTTAGAATCAGATGAAGCTGGCAAGAAACCCGACATTAGATCAAGACTGTAAAGAGATAGATACGCTAGATGAAATGAAGACTTCTGATCAGAACAAAGGCACGCCGAACCAGCATCCAACGTCAATAAATACCTAGTAATAAACCTTCCCACTCTGTCTACTTTGACTCTTCAAGAAGAATAGGGATCTCATCTTCCACCAGAGACTCAAACAAGCCCTTTTCTTTCGGCTCCCATCCTAGTTCGCGCAACTTAGTGGCCCGACTTCGCGAGTTTGAAGCAACCACCCAGTCAGTCCAGTCGCCAAACAAATCCCCGTACTGTTCATGAGGAATTGTCTTGGTCTCAGGGGAGTCGATTTTTCCCGCCTGGTGAAGTGCCTTGCCAATGACCGCCACACCGTCTCCCCATGCAAACTCTTTGCCATTTTCGCAGAAGATATACGGAGATTTGGCGACCTCCTCATTGCTTGCTGTCTCCAGCCAATGCAGGAGCGTAATGTATGCTCTCGCCAGGTCAAAGACATGGATCTGAGACCAAATGGATGCACCCTTTCCCACGTGTCCGGCATACCCATTCTTGAGCGCGAATCGCGTCAACGAAGGCAATTGGATCGATAGACGCTTATATTTGGGGTTTGCTCCATAGATTAGAGGTGGAATCATAATCGCGATACGTGCATCTGGACCCAACTTCTTCTTCGCCTTGATGATTTCCAAATCGACATCTCTGTGCGGTGCAGTGTCCGGCAGAGCATCGATTTCCTCAGGCTTGTCATCGGAATAGATTTTCTCGCCGGGGTATTCACCCTTGGCGTCGTCGCCGATGAGGCTTGTTCCACTTGTGTGGATGAAGATGGTCTTTTGGCCTTTACTGGCACGTTGCTCGACTCCTGCAAGAACTGCCTCGACGGATGGTAAGTGATCCGCCGTGGCGGTATGGATGACGATATCGTTGGCGACTGTTTGTTGAATGAGGATGTCTCGGTCATCTAGACCGCCGAGAACAGTCTTTGCGCCGCTTTGTTCAAGTTCTCGCGCATAGCTTTCCCTGCGCACGAGAGTTGTCACCGTATAGTCTTCGGCGAGAAGTCGATCAAGGACTTCGCGGCCGATGAATCCTGGTCCGATCAGGAAGACGGACTTTCCTGTACTTGACATTGTGGATCGTGAGGTACTCGAGTGATGATGAGGGGAAACTTGATGAGGTTGGATTTGAGGATGGCGATGGAAATCGACTGACCTATTTATACTATTTCGCTGCGCTCAATTTTCAATGGAAATGAAACATTTGCAGTATTAGTAAAACAATCTAGACCACGCACGCCGTTAACACGATGTGGGCAACACAATTACGGTAGACTTACCGTAGAAAGGTATTGATTCATCAGTGCGGGGGAAAACGTGGCTGATCAATCATGCAATGTCACTATGACGCTTTCCCCAAGATGGTCTGCTTACCTGATTCTGGAAAACTCTCGTGTCGATTGTTTCCCCAAGGGGGAAAACAACCGCCAGAGAGAATCCTTTCGAATTATGTAACTTGCAGGGGTTGTGGAAAAAGATTTTGGGATCTACAGGGCAGTTTTTGAGGCCGAGCTCTTATAGGAGATGGGCAAAGACAAAGAAAATCCGAGATTTACTGATCGTGAATGATATGTTGCGTATCACTTGGTCATACACTCATTACTATGCACCATCCGCGACTCTCTCTTCCATCCTTGAAAGAGACATTGTAGGTGAGCATAGTTGATCTCCAGGTGACCCTTAAGAAATGCACGGAACGATCCATTCCATACGAATCTTGTCTCACACCGATATCTCATCGCACTGCTATCACCAAATGCCTCTAATCTTGCCCAACCCAACTGACATTCTGGTGTCCCGCGAAACCGGGCCTTCTTTTGTCGAAACACCGCCGGCTCTCAGCCCTGACCCTTCATTTCGAGGCCTAATATCTATACTTGTGCCCCTTGGGATACTTGCCCTTGCGATTTAGAATGATATACTGGAGGTTAGCCACCCCAGATGCCACCAGGGCAAATGTGATGAGGATCAAGATAGCCATCCAACCCTTGGGATAGTACGGCCTGTCCTCTTGCCGGAATAGCTGAGCACCGATGATACCAGCCAGATTGGCTCCCATGATATGTATGGCCATGGTGACGGATCTCTCGCCTTCTGTGACGCAATTCATTGCCAGCCACGACCCATGGACAGCATCTGCAAACCTCAAATGTCAGCCATCGGATGAAGGGATTTTAAGGTTAACCTCAGACTTACGCCAACATGTCGAGAACATCATGCCGACGGTTAGCACCGCGAATCTGGTAACTCCATTTGGATTGTAAATCAGAAGTCGGTTTGCCAGCTATCAAAAGCTATATGTCAGCAACTTTGCGTCTCTACGAGAGAAGAAAATCAGCCGCGATGATTTTGACATACCGTGAACGCCCAATAGAGCAACAAGCCAAGGAATACGAGTCGTCCTGGAATCTTGAACTTGTCCCTGAAGATGCCGAGCATTAGCGTTGCTGTCCATGGAGATACCGTCAAATTGATAGGAGAGACTAACGAAAGATAACCCCATAGTAATGTCCCAAATACAAGCAGCCATATGCCGATAGAAATCATGGCATTGGCATCCAATGGGCTGTATCCCATTCCAATGACCAGCGTTGGCAAGTATGAGCCAAGGCCCTGTGTGGGTGCAATGCCTCCAATTGTGGTAATAACATGGGGAATCAGGCGCCAATTGGTGAACTGTGGCATTAAATGCTTTAGTGATTACCTTGTAGCCGGCTTGGGTTCAATGCTCACCACTTTTCGTAGATCTGCCTTTGGTACATGTCTACCTCCTTTCCTGGCCTTTGAAGGGTCGTCGAGAATCAGGCGCTGACGGAGGATGTATCTTTCACGTTCGTTGAAATATTGATAGCCGAACAAGTTTACAGGGTTGGCATTGTCTCGAGGGAATAGGAGGATGAACAGAATGCCCCCTCCAATAGCCATCACACCCTCGATCTGAGTAAGGTAGTTATCAGCAATCCTCTCTCCTGATACGAAATTCCGCAGCCTGATCTGGTCGCGGCTAGACTTACCAGAAAGATCCACTGCCAACCAGCAAGGCCTGACCTTTGGTTGAGGTGTCGAATGCTGATATCGTGAGCCATCATCTGAGAGACACCATCCGTGGATCGTGACTTACATTCCGTATGCCATGAGTCCACTACATGCTGATGCAACCATATTGCCCAAAAAGTAGGCAGAAAACCTTCTGCCAAGCTCCTGGGTCTTATAGTACCGAGTCATGGTGAATAGCCCACCGGGGATGAATCCGGATTCACAAATGCTATTCAAAGTGTTAGAAAATTGTGCACAGGTGCTATAACAAAGGGTGTTCAGACTAACCCTAGCAGCAGTCTGGTTGTGAGATAGGCACCGAGGCCCTTCTGAAAGCTTTGAAATGTACCCACCAGTCCCCTTTTATCGACACTCGGTTAGTATGGCTCGATTTATTGTATAGGTTGAAGCCTTCTCGGCATCTTACCAGGCGACGATCTGAGGACCCAGCCAACTCACTGGACCCAACCTGTACAACATCATATTACTTGGGATCTGCAAATCTAAGTTAGAATGAACTCCGAAATGTGATTCCAGTAGTGTTCTAGGGGAGCCATACCTCGAACACCACAATACCGGCCGAGAGTAGCTGCTGGCCAATATTGAATTGATTCTGAGTGATACCAACATCTTGGAAAAAGTTGTTGGTGAGCGCGCTCCCTCTAAGAGAGTCGAACCCATGTCAGAAGAATTGACGAATGCAAAGAAGGCGGGTTTCTCACATGTTGCCGCGATTCAATTGAAGAGTGAAGAATGTCAAGATCAATAGGGGCATGACGATAAAGTCGATTCTGCGAATATCTTTAGAAAATAAATTCAAACGCCATCATTTTGCTGTCGTCAGTTCTTACTTTCGTACTAATTTCTTTTCCTCTTGCTCTGTCCAGTCACGTTCCGTGGCTCCGTCAATGTCCAGGGGTGTCTCGGTGGCTTGGACACCCTTATCACCCAAGGCGTCTTTCTCCAATATGATTTCTGCCATTGTAACTTAGGTGATCGTCGACAGCGCCGTTTCGACAGAGTGGTTCACGAGTCGGAGTTGCTATTCATGGGACTCGGGTTTGCCTTATATGGAGCCACATCAATCGATTGCCTATCACGGGCTCCACGGTCCTTCTTTTTCCCATCTTTTTTTTTTTCGTTTACCCATGACCCCACAACGAGGAATAGATTCAGATTTCGATAAAGATAGCTGACAGCACAATGCTCGAGAAAATGGTGTTATCGCTGCTAAAGTGACGAATCCGCTAAACCGAAAAGAATAGATCGGTCTGGGTCCCTCAACATTGTCTTGGTCTGCCCAGGGGTTCAATGAGAAATCATCTAGAAGGATGGACATCTCTGAGGGCTTAGCAGAGCGAATTACAGTGCTCGTACTCAGTCGTGGCAACGAACCGTCCCCTCTTTTCGCTTGGCTAGGATGCAGACAGAAAGCTAAGTGAGAGCGTGGTCAGACCGGGGTGCACTGCATGAGTGCGGAAAATGAGTGTGGAAACAGCAGTGAGAAGTCCTAACCGCGTTGAAAGCATAAAGAGGACATAAAAAAAGACAAGGCCCCGTAACAAGCCGGTGGACGATATCGATATCGTATTTGACAAACCACATGGCGTACCAAATGCATGGTGTCCTTCATACGGTAACGCCAGTTACAGGTAATGACTCCACTCGGTAATAAGCGGGGCGAGCTCCACTTTTCGGACGTTCATTCACTTGCTCGTATAGGAAAGATACTCGAGAAGGAACTAGCTCATCGTAATTGTACAGGATCCAGCTTATGGAGACTGGATCGATACATAAGCAAGCCACATCCAGCTATCAGCTGCTCGCCTCAAGAGCTTGTTCCCATGAAATAAGGTACAGAGCGACAACGAGGAAAGTGCCGTGAACATGCATTCAACCTGGTTGCTCACAGCTGCTCTGCTTGTCAGAGCAGTCGCAGGATGGGGACTCGATAAGCAGCACTTTATTTCTCCAGACAGCGGTGAAAAATCATCGCGGCCTCCAAATATCATCTTGGTTCTCACAGACGATCAAGACCTGCATATGAATTCTCTTGATTACCTCCCTCTGATCAAGCAGCACTTGCGGGAAAAGGGAACTGAGTATAAACGACATTTCTGCACCACTGCAATTTGCTGTCCTTCGAGGGTGTCATTGCTCACAGGAAAACTCGCACATAACACTAATGTCACGGATGTTTTCCCACCATATGGTTCGTTATATTCATTTGAAATTTATGACCAAGGAGACTGTTAAGCTGACGAAACTGCTAGGTGGATATCCAAAATTCGTATCCCAAGGATTTCAAACTGCATACTTGCCGGTCTGGCTTCAACAGGCTGGCTACGACACTTATTACGTGGGCAAATTGTTCAATGCGCACGATGTGACCAACTACAATAAGCCTTTCCCTGCTGGCTGGACACAGTCGGACTTCCTGCTTGATCCTTTCACTTATCGCTATTACAATGCTACCTTTCAGCGAAACCAGGATCCCCCGGTTAGCTACGAAGGCCAGCATAGCGTTGATGTGATTGCAGGCAAAGCAAACGGGTTCTTAGAAGAGGCTGCAAAGGGCGAAAAGCCATTCTTTCTGGGCATCGCACCACCCGCTCCTCACACCAACGTCCAATTCAACATTGAAGATGTCCCAAAAGATGGCATCATCATTCCTCCAGATCCAGATGACCTTGCAAAGCTGGTGACCTTTCAACCGCCTCTGCCTGCCCATCGTCATGAACACCTATTTAAAGGCGTCAAGCTACCTCGCACTCCTAACTTCAACCCCAAAACTCCGTCGGGTGCCAACTGGATCGCCGAACGGCCACAAATTCCTGAGGAGGATATCCCGCTGTATGACCACTTTTACCGCCAAAGACTGCGCACCCTTCAATCCGTCGACGAGCTGGTGGACGGCATCTTCGACCGACTCGAACGACTGGGTCTTCTTGATAATACCTATGTCTTCTATACAACCGACAACGGTTACCACTTAGGCCAACATCGGCTTCCCCCAGGAAAAGAGTGTGGTTTTGAAGAAGACATCAATATCCCTCTCATTGTTCGCGGCCCCAATGTTCCTCATGGGGAAACTCAAGCTGTTACAACTCACACGGACCTTGTGCCAACCTTTCTGAAGCTTGCTGGGGCCTCTCTACCTGATGGTCTGGATGGAACTGCCATTCCACTCACTAAGCCAGAATTCAAAGAGGCAGAAACAACGCGCAACGAGCATGTCACCGTCGAGTACTGGGGAATGGCGACTTTCGAAGGTGGCGGCAAGCAAGATGTGGGACACATGGAGTTCAACAATACCTACAAGGCAGTCCGCGTCGTGAGCGATGAGTATAACCTTTACTACTCCGTATGGTGCAATGGCGAGAACGAGCTTTATGATCTCAAGGTAAGAAATATAACAAGCCCTTCTTCAGACCAACCATAATGCTGATTCTAATGCTGCGCAGACGGATCCTTACCAAGTGAAAAATCTTCTAGCACCTACTGCAGAGAAGGCTACACATTTCAAAGTGCCGTTTGAACAGCTTGTTTCCAGGCTGGACGCACTGATTCTTGTCCTCAAATCGTGCAAGGGTCGCGTTTGCGTCAAACCATGGGAGTCGCTCCATCCACAAGGCAATGTGCAGAGCCTGCCAGATGCCCTGTCAGCACGGTTTGATGATTTCTACACAGCACAGACACGTGTGCATTTCAATCGGTGCGAGCTTGGGTACTTGATCGAGTCAGAAGGCCCCCAATTCGAGAAGGATGGACTGGTCTATGGAAATGGAATCCGATCGAGCGAATGGTGGTAGAACTCACGAGATCCACCTTTTTTCTTCCCCCTTTAGGAACGGTTAGAGCAAGTAGAAAAGTCCTGAGAAAATGTCAGATGACGGTGCAAAGATGTAAAATATGGTGAATGTCGACTTGGGCGAAAAAACGTTCGCTTATCCCCACTAAAATCAAGAGCAAGCCCAAACTTGAAGTTCTGGGTTCTCCCACGCATTAATTCCAGACCACAGTCAAAAGGACATTCCCATGTATAGTTTTTGTACACACGTTATGCACATTTGCTGGTTGTGCCCGTTTGTGGTTTGCCAAGGTATCTTGAAGTATTGCCGACGATGTCGTTCTTTTCGCTCAAATCACGCAATTCATCGTCGACGACCCCGTAACTCCGCATTCGCATCTCCCTCCAGTCTACTCCGTATAGTCAAAGCATTTGGCGGCATCTGCATAACCATAGATCTTTGAGATAAGAAAATTTTTTCATGTGGACATGAATTAGCTGTATTTTTCAAGATGTCTGTGTTGAGGTACCTTAGCGGCTCTGCGGGTCGTAATTGCCAATCACTGGTATCTCGACCTGATATGACACTGGTTCGTCTAAAGGCGAGATGGACCCGAGTACCGGTTCGAAGCTCGTCATTGACACTAAAATGTCGTCTTCATCTAGGCCAGGGAGCAGGACGCTACGGGCCTTTTGCACAATTGCATAGTGGAATCGCAGTCCTCGTGGATGTTAACCTAATATCCGGTTCCGTGCATGGAAATCTGCATCCTAGTTTGGGGCCTCTCGACACCGGTAGCCTTGCAAGACTGCGGTGGTCCTTTCTAGAGATGGTGGTTTTGTGAGACTATCGTTACTACTCGACAATCGAGACGGCGTGACTTCGTTGCAATCAGCAGCAACAATGGAATCCACCGCCTCAAACCACAATATCCCATCCAGTGATGACCAGCCATCAGAGTCTATTGGACTCTTGGGCAAGAAATCAGACATTTTGGTCACCACAAAGACTATAGATCATTCGAAGTCGACAACGAGTTCAGAGTCATCGTCATCATGCTCATCGTTATCCTCAGAAAGTTCCTCACACTCAGTGAGAGTGTATGGAACTCAACATGAAAGAGCCGAGGAAGACGATGTGGAGGAGGCTATTCCGCCGAAGGAAACACCAGCAAATAGGAAAGGCATGCTACGTACCATTATGGTGCTGACAATCGGTATTGCATTCACTTTTGATCTCTGCTGAGAGGAAGGTTCTCATTGATAGAGTGTCTGACTGACGACCGATCCATGTCTCCAGGTGTTTTCATATTCCACGCAGATACTTCCCTTGTGATGGCGACTCACCCAACCATTGCATCGGAGTTCGATGCACTAGACTCCTCAAGTTGGTTGTTCACAGCTTTTGCTCTTGCAGGCGCTGCGACACAGAATACGGTATGCAGTTCCAAGTTCGATACTTCTACAAAACAAATCATATAACCGGAAGCCTGGAATCGTTTACTGAAGTTCCTAGGTGAGCAAATTGGGCGACATTTTCGGGCACAAGCGTACGATCTTGACCTGCTATCTGGTATTTGCCATCGGTTGGTAAGTGGAAATTCGGATTCCATTCTCCATTCGTATTAAAAGCAGGGCTAACATACGGTGCCTATAGTTTAGTGGTGTAAGTGCACTGAAAACCCAATCTGCCTCCGAGTTGTTAGTGTTGCCCCATGTTGCCATTCTGACAGTCACAGTGGCCTTGGTCAATCAATGCCACAGGTTATCCTAGGCAGGATTATATCTGGCAGCGCAGGAGCCGGAATGACTGTGCTGGTTTCCATCATTATCACAGATCTCGTACCTATTCGAGAAGTAGCCAGCTGGCGAGCGTTTGTGAACATTCTAAGCACACTGGGACGGAGCATTGGAGCACCTCTTGGTGGTTGGCTAGCCGATAAAGTTGGCTGGAGATTCTCCTTTATTGGCCAGGCTCCGCTCATGCTTCTGGCCATGCTCTGTGTTGGACTGACAGTTCCGTCTAATGTGTCGACCAAGGACGATGAAGAGCAACAGAAATCATCGATCTCAGAAAAGCTAGGTCGGATTGACTTCCTGGGAGCTCTTTTTTTGGGACTTTTGATCCTTTCCTTGCTACTTCCACTCGAGATTGGGGGAATCATCATCCCATGGAGCCACCCCGCCATTCCTACGTTGGTTGTCAGTGCCATGATATTCTTCGGGATATTTATTCTGATTGAGCAAAGTTGGGCTAAGGATCCTGTTCTTCCGCTCGAGATATTCTACAACAAGGGCGTGGTGTTATCTATTGGCATTATGGCTCTGCAAGTTGCTGCTCAATCTGGTGTAAGTTGGCTCCGCCGGTTCTCCGAAGTTTCTTTTGAATCAGCGACTCAAGGCTGACTTCCATGGACATTAGCTCATGTTCTCTGTGCCTCTGTATTTTCAAGTCACTGAACGGGTATCAAACACGGAAGCCGGTGCTCATCTTTTCCCCGCTGTCTTCGGCAACACTATCGCTGGAATACTCTCAGGGGTAGCGATACAAAGGTATGATCTATTGTGCCTCTGCTTAATTTACCTACGTCCTTAGGCACAGGCTGTGTTGAGTAAGCAATGCTTATTGATATCACAAATTATAGGAGCGGAAAGTATAAGACCATTATGATCATTGGTACTCTTTTGGCAGGATCATGCTATATCCTTGTTTCACTTCGGTGGAATGGAAATACTGGCTGGCCTGAGTCTCTCTACATTATTCCCGGGTGAGTGAATCTCTGCAGAAAGGCATCAGATCCCACATACTGACATGTAAATCAGGGGGTTTGGCACAGGACTGGTGCAAAGTGCCGCTTTTATTTCACTGCAAGCGAGTGTCGCTAAGGAGACCATGGCATCAGCGATATCTGCACTCTACCTCTTCACTGGCTTGGGCGGCATCCTTGGACTTGCCTTATTGAACTTTATCCTGCAAGCCGTCTTGCGAGCTGGCTTCGAAGCTCGGCTTGTTGCCCTGGGTGTCGATGCTGCAAAACGCAAAGAGGTTCGTGATTGCTTTGCCACATATTCTGGAAGTCGTCCAGGAAACTGAAACTTACAGATCATCGACAAAGCCACTGCGAATGTCGACTACATCGATCAATTGCCAGCCCGGCTTGCACAAGCACTTGTTGGATCTTATGTCCATGCGCTCAAGTGGACGTATGGTGAGTTCTTTGTTACCGCGTTTGGTGTAATGTGAGAAGTATGAATGGAGACTGACCTATTATATAGGAGCATCACTTCTTTTTGTCACCATTGGACTGATATTTGCACTTCTTGTGAAGCAACGCAAGCTTCAGTGACGAACGGCAGGGGTATTTTGGAATATCAACCAGATGTTAAGAGTGAGATATCCATCAAGTAGAAGGAGTACCAAAGCATCGCTACTGTTAGAGTGGGCAATCAACGCCCATTAGGCACGCTACTTAGGCCGAGGCGGGCCCTCGGGCTTGAAGCATATCTGGTGACACTTGACCAGCCTCTAAGTTTTAGGCTACACTTCGTAAGTCAGTATTTCATCACCCTGCTCTGGCCCTGACGCATGCACGTGATTGTGTGTGGTTACGAGTCATGAGTAGAAAAGCAGCTGCAATCACAAACTTATTAGGTTAGAACGCAGCGCCACTAGCAGTTGCGAGTACGAACACCGCAGTCGCACAAGATCACATGACTTTGTCATCGCCTGGCCATAAAAGGCAGGCAGGCTGGGTCCACGTGATCAAATTCCTCAGCGTTTGTGGCGAATGTGTTTCCACGTGAGTGGCGAGTAACTTCTGCCCTGCAATGCCATCAGTGTCGAATCCTGGAAAAAGGTTGGGACTTCCAGGTTTCAGCCTACCTACATTTCATGAGACATGACTATGGTTGGTGTGGTAGGCCAATGTACCTATCTAGCGACTCCTCAGGCTACATACTCGTACGCGTAGAGGCCAATAATTGGGTGCCTGGCGTGCCTGGCCACCTGGATAACCAGTTCCGGGGGCCACAGGGCCTACTTTTATTAGATTTGGTGGCTGCGGCGGAACTATCCTTCCCACGTACGTCACCCGGAGACATTCAACAAGATTTCTCGACATTGGCGCAGCTTGTCTATCATCACTCCAGCCACGTATCATTCTTGTTGCCATTGCGTGTACTGTGGCTGCCCTTTCCCTCTAATCCTTGATTGTCAGAGATGCCGTTGTCAATCATGTTATACCTACCTTAAGTCATTCATCATGGCTCTCTGACACCAAATTTCAGTCGCTCCGAAAACCTGAACCAAACCCCAAACCACATCTCCAACTCACCGCTCCTCACACACAGACTCCCACAATCATGTCGAGATTCCGCAAATGGGTTCTCTCCTCCCCACCGGCAGAATGGGCACTGAATCAGCTCCGGGAGCTACTCATTGGTGCCCTTCGTCAGGGCCCGGTTCCCAAGCATGTCGCGTTCGTTATGGATGGAAATAGGCGGTTTGCCAAAGACCACAGAATTGAAACAATCGAAGGCCATAACCTGGGGTTTGAGGCTTTGGCAAAGGTAGGCTCTGTTGCAATGCTGCATATGTTGAACTTGGTCTGATTGTTTAATAATAGATCCTCGAGGTCTGCTATAAATCAGGTGTGACACATGTTACCATCTACGCCTTCAGCATTGAGAATTTCAAGAGATCAAAGTATGAGGTCGATGGGCTTATGGAAATGGCCAAGATCAAGCTGAAGCAGCTTGTTCAGCATGGCGACTTGCTCGATCGATACGGTGCTCGTGTCCGAATCCTTGGCCAGCGAGAACTCATCAAACCTGACGTCCTCGAAGCCGTTGACCGCGCCGTTGAAATGACATCTCGTAATGGCAACTGCGTGCTGAACATTTGCTTCCCGTATACAAGCAGGGAGGAAATCACATCTGCAGTCCGAGACACTGTTGTCGAATACAGTCGGCCGATTCCGCAGCCAGGATCGGACAAGAGCCATCGAAGTCCTTTTAAGGAAGAGCGGATAGCAAATACGATCCGGTCGCAGCATCTCTCGGATCACAAGCGGGTGGAAACTGCACCAAGCCTGCCTATATATGCTTCAAGCACAAACCTCCAGTCTCCAAACTCAAGCACGACCTCTCTTTCGTCAAACTCACAGCCTCAGTCTGATCAGGAAAACGACGCTTCGAGCGTTTCCACATCCACAACACTCCACCAAGACGATTGTTCCCCACCAACTGGTCTGAATCCTTTATCCAAGGCCACTGCCTCCAACAAAGAAGCTCAATTTCTGAATCCTGAGAACATCACAGCCGATACACTCACCTCTCACATGTATACAGGGCCGGACCCACCAGTGGATTTACTGGTACGGACAAGTGGAGTCAGCCGACTATCAGATTTCCTGCTCTGGCAGTGTCACGAATCGACGCAGATTGTATTCCTCGATGTCCTGTGGCCCGACTTTGACCTGTGGAGTTTCCTGCCCGTGCTATGGGAGTGGCAGTGGAGAACGACCAAGGAGGGAACAAGGAGTGAGGATGAAAATAGCCCAAAGACACTGCATCGAGTACAAAACCCGACAACCAAGGTTGCAGTGGCTTAGAACCATACAACGGTTGACGATCTGAGCCGGGAAAAGAGCCCTGTATGGTGTCCAAGTATATAGCATCAACACACGATGCTATAGCGTGTGCATGATACCCACCACATAACTGTCACATTTACCATCGGCTCGCATGTTCTCCAGGCTGTCAGTGTTGCGCTGGCTGATCTCCTTTCTACAGTTGTTGATATGTCTTAGCTGCCACTGGACAAGACCCTCGATGATGCTAAGACTGTCCGGGCTAGAAGCCAAGTAGGATGGGCATAGCATAGTCCGATCATGTACGATGAGAGTCGAAAGATGTACAAGGTCTTGATAGACCGGTCTAGCCTCTCAGGGGCAGTACGAGCACAGGCTTGGAAACCTCGTCGGACAATCACTTCTTGACGGAAACCTTATCCAAACTCAGGTGATGATGAGACGGTCACCTGACCTGATCACGGGTGAGGAAAGGGACATACGGAGTACATGTTCACAGCCACAGGATGGTATTAATCTCCAATCACACAACGTGGCTTCTGTTGATTGTCTAGCCTTGAAGCGTATGGAAGAGCTCGTGCAATTTTCGGTATGGCTTTCTCAGTGAAGCCTTCGACGGCATTTGCGAGTAGATGAGCAATCGATCGGTTGGGAGCAAGGTCTAGTACCTGAGTCAAAGTGAGTCAAATTACTGAGATAGGTCCATGCACCGCACTTCGGACGGCTTCCCCAGCCTTCGAGGGGAAGTCCCGCTGCCGCGGAGATGTCAGTTTTAGTAGACCCTCACAATGTGTACCGGTGTAACCGATAGCCAGGGATCAAAATGCGGAGAAGACCCCAGAATACAGCGATACAATGCAGCGATGTAGTACGGGTGTGTCATGAAATGCAGCGTTAAAGGAAGGAGGATGGTAGTGGAAGGGACAAGGCATTTTTATGACTAAAGCGACGTTTTGTCTGGGCAGAGTTGGAGACAACGTGACCTGGCGTGCCGTGCCTGAGGAAGTGAGGACCAGAAAAGGAGATTGCCGCTTATTCAACGCCTGAAACTTCCAATGAAGCCCTGGATGATGCCTATAGATGAGGTCAAGGGCAGGTGCGATGGCGACACAAGTAGGGCGAAAGTCGCAAGTTTTCAACCACTAGGAAAACTTTGCAGGGGCGCGTGCAGACCTTTTGCGGTAGTGCCAAGGTGTCCCTCCAGGCGTGGAATTTCCATCAAGTAATCTTGTGTCAACATTGACACAGAGTTTTGCATCGTTCGCCCACTTTCCTCGACTCATCAACTCTCCGCCTATGGCGGTTGCTGCCACTGTCTCTGCCATTACCACTGGTAAAGATGCCAACAGACATCATCAACGATCAAGGTCGGAAATTCGGGTCCTTGTTTGTACAGGGGCTGCATGGACAATGATTCGGCCGGTGGCGGCTTCCAGAGCCATGGATAAAGAGAGCTCCCAAAACTACTGCCTAAATCTCAAGGTAGGCTTTGTCACGAGGTGAGGTGATTATGAGCTCCGTAGGTGCTAGTACGCTATGACACAGCCTAGAAGTCTCTACCAGGTGGTGGACATTGTCAGCCGGATTCATGTGACTCCGAAAGCGCAGACCAAGCGCAGACCGGAGGGCAAACCTAGCGCCGAGCAAAAAAAGATCAGAAGACGCACAAAGACAGCCTTTGACGTGATCCCCTTTGGGCAGTGTTGCCGCCTCCCGCTTGAAAATCTGGGGAAAAATAACATCATCTGGAGCCTGCCTGAGGTCAAGCGTGAGTTTTCAGTGGCTTTGCTCGGCCTGCAGTGGTTCCCCTGGCTTGTCCCTCGCCACGTTCAAACTCTGATGAATGAGAGCGCGGCAACCTGCGGAGTTCTCAAAACAATGTGTCACCACCGCAAAGTCTGCCATTTTCATTACCCCCATGAAACCTCTATTCATCTATACCAACCCTGCCCACCCTGTCCTTTCCCCTTGCACAGTGGATGCATCTCCGAGCCTTCATTTTCTTTCCTGACAGACCCTCAGACCTTCATAAGACCCTCATCAGCAAAAATGCACACATCTTCGCCACAGATAACGCCATCTACACCCAAGTGCCTGCGCTCACTTTCTACCCCGTCGCAGGATTTTGATACTTCAACAGCGACGCCACCTCTACACACAGTTCGGCAAAGCCTCACCTTACAGCCTCGCCCACACCTACTTCTCCCACCTGAAGATATGAACTCGACACGCAAGTTCTCGTATGCTTCGGTCAAGGAAGAGCCGGGTGATGGGCTCCCCCAATCCTTCGAGTCCTCCCTATCCTCCTCAGACCTCGAAGAAGTCGAGTGGATTGCATGGCCCTGCACACAATGGTGCAAAACAAAGGGTCTTTGCTCATACCACTACGGCGGCACACATGAAGATCACGTCTCTGCTCGCCTCTCCGGGTATCTCAAGAGTCAACCCCGCAAGTTACAGAAGATTCTCGATGAGCTCGAGAAGAGACGGTCCGCTCAGAAACTCTTCAACCTCCCCTTCGCCAAAGAAATCACCCGCGTTCAACCTCACCCAGCTAGCTTCAGCCTCGACATCTGGAGGGAGAAGGTCAGGGAGTCCATCGGACCATATGAGTCAGACCTTTCGAACGAGGTCGCCATTTTCGATGATTTCGACGAACTACCAGTGTACCCCATCCACCAAGACCAGCCCGTCTCATACTTGGAAAGCATGCCCCAAGAGATTCTCGACCTGATCTTCTCTTATGTCACAGTGGACCATACCGCTGATCCTTATGCTCGCCCTCATGTCGACCTGGCCTCGTGTGCTTTAGCATCATCGAGATTGCATGCCGCCGCTGTCCGCGTCATGTATCGACATGTTTCCATTCCTCAGTCCAAGGCTTTCTTCAAACTTATGAGGAGCATTGGCAACGACAAGGCACTTGGCGAGATGGTCCAGTGGCTTGACTTCTCTCACTACTCCAACATGGGTTTTGGTAGTGCCAGAAACGCTCGTAACCAGAAGCCTTACCTAACCCCTACTACCCTCAAAGCATGTCTCGACCTTGTCCCTAATCTCCAAGCATTCCTCGTCCACGAGCATATCGACGACGAACTCAACGCAGACATCATCTCCACCCTTCTCAAGATGCCTCTAATGTCTGCATTGGACTTCTGCGCTTGCTCCTGTCGCCCCTTCACACAGGCATTCACTCAGGTCTGTGAAAATATGGATTCAACCCCATTGCCAAGCCTCAAAGGCTTGTCTCTTCACGAATGCACCACCCTTCAACCGGTCGTCTTCGAGACTCTTCTCCCCCGCCTTGCCAGTCTCACTCATCTCGACGTTGCACATACTTTGATCAACGACAAGGCCCTCTTCTCGATTCCAGAAACTGCCAAGATCACCCACCTCAACCTGGAGCGATGCACAGGTCTGCAGGGGTCTGCAGTGGTCAAATTCATCACCACTCACCCCGCCATCAAAGACAGCATCGTCTATCTCAACCTTTCCGCTGATTCATCACGCCACAGACTTTTGAGCGAGGTCGATGTCAGCCGACTCTTGGCATCCCTCCCACCAACTGTACGCTCTTTAAACTTGGGAGGTGCCCGGGTCAATCAAACGCACATTCCCGCCTTGCGACGATTATCTCCCCATCTCGAAGAGCTCGGCCTTCGCGGCGCAGATCTCAGCCTCAGTTCCGACATTAAGCAGCTCTTCAAGTCCGAAGATGATGACTCCAACACCAGCTCGTCTCCAAGCAAACGTACCCCATACAGTTCTCTGCGTTACATTGACCTTACCAATATTAAGTCAGTCACGCAAATGTCTCTCTCCTATTCACCCTCTTTCTGCATCACCGACCAGGAGTCTCTTCCTCTAGAGGTCATCGAACTTAGCTCAGAGGTACTCCAGGAGGTCAAACGCCGCAACGCCCATATCAAAAGGCCCGAATGGGTGGTCAAGGAACTTGGACGGAGAGGTTGGTATGTCCGACAGCCATTGCAGGGTTCAACTATCGACGATGGCTCTCGACCTTGGAAGATGGGCGCCCGCTGGTGGGGAATGAGAAAAGTACCCATTGTTGAACAAGATGTGGGTGGAATGTATGGGTATTTCATGTTCAAAAGATCATAGGGGATCAAAGGAGCCTCCTTTCAGCTTGAAACGAGACCATGGATTGTCAACAGGCATGGGCCTTCAGGGTATCGGCTCAACAGCGTTTCATATGGATTGTTTTTCTTACGGTATCATGGCTGATCGCAACACACACACGGGTTCTGCGTTGGATTTATTGGATATTGCCAGGGTCAAAAGCATGTTGATTTCACTGCACTAGCATATTAGCGACATTGACGGTTGGGACAGCATGGAAAAAGGACTCATGTGGCATCTCACGACACGACACGACACGAACTCGACATTAGCATCAAGCATCAGCATCAGCATCAGCATCAGCATCAGCATCAGCATTCTAGCATTACTTCGATTTATAGCATCGGCGATAACGTTACAGCAGCATAACTGGTAACGTAGCAAACTCAAATTTGCACATTAATAAATAGCTTTAGTCTTGTCAAGCTCTTGTACAATAAAATCTCTCTGATCCGACATGAGTTTCTTCCTCAGTGCTACTAGTCTTACACTCGTGGCAGATCTCACTTATAATCATAATCCCATCCCGTGATCAATCAAACGACTGTCAACCCCACTCCGATCGCACCACAGGCAGGAGTTGAGCCAAGACTGTTGTTGTCTTTCGAAGCAAAACGGTAGGCGGTTTCCAAATGCTGGATGAATTGGTTGGTATCTTGTTGTACAGATGGAATGTGAATCTATCAACTCGTGGCCTTATAAGCTCGATCAATCGTCATCCCCTATCGCCTCTTCCAGGACCCCAAATGCCGTGGACTGCGGCAGTGAGAGGCCGTATGGCCCAAGTGACCACCTACAGTCTCGCGGTCGTGCGACACATCGTGGATGTCGCCGATTAGAGGGGTGGTACAGTGAGTGATCCGTCCTCTTGGAGATGGGGGACAAGCTCGTCTGTCACTAGACAGAATCCCTGATGTCAGGACCGGATGTGCGTGGGATCTCTGTCCCCAGAGACAAATTGATAGTTCGCTCGAGGGTAGCCAAATATCGAATACTCCCCCCGATATTGAGAGACTTCTTGTCCCAAATTAGGTGAAACCCTGTTTACTTCTTCCTCGGACCCGAGACTTTGGGGAATAATCTTGCCAAATGGTAGTTGATCGTGCTCTTGCCTGTTTTCGTTTGTTTCTGCAGGGGGTTGAATCCTCCGTTAGCTCATATGCACAGCACGTAAACACTGATCCATCACAACAAATCTGACCGGGGACTCGCTCGCAGAAATCACTAGACTATGATAAGAGGGCATTCCACATACCGGCGCGTCCATGCAATTCTTCAACGCAACTTCCAAATGAGCGCAATTCCCGCCGCCGTGTGCACTCGAAGCCCAGCAGTCTATTATACATTCCAACCGTCAGTTAATCCGGTCCGGTCAGTCTGGGCTCATTCAGTCACTCACTCAGCATGGCGCTCATGGCTCCCAGGCATGGCGTGGGTGCTTGTGTGTCAGGGTGTCGGATTCGGAGCTTGTCCACTGATTGTAATCGAATCGGCCTCAGCGCCGTCGAAGCGCCTTTAGGAGGCATTGTTAACCAGGCGCTTTTCAGTCACAGGCGAGGTCGAGTGGACGGTGGGGGGTCGGCAAGGTATAGTCGAAGTGATAGAGCTGTTTGGCAAAAGTCGTTGACGACTCGTCCGCAGCTTGCGATGGAACGTGATAATTTCGGGATCTTTTAGTCACGGGTACGCTGAAGATCCCAGGCCAGGCACGGTAGTATAGTTTCCTCCTCCTCTTCGCTCCACCGGCTCCGAAGCGAGTGTAGGTAGTGACTTCAAATGGCGGCGTTGAAGGTGTAATGAGCAGACCACCATCGACATTGAGTAGCACAGTGTAGGCTTGAAGCTGCAGTCGAAAAATTGGCCAAGATTTAGTACGGTGGAATGTAGCTCCAGCTATGTCTCTACGGTAGAGCATCTGTGACGAGTGAAGCGCAGAAACGTACATTTGAGTTCTGCACGTGACTTAGAACTCATGCGGGTTTTGCAACATTTATCACACCTTGGCGGTCTTGGTGTGCAGGCTGCGAGTCATGTACCCTGTAGACTTAAAAGCGGCACCTACCCTATACTGACACCGTTGGAGCCCAACAGCGCAACGCATGCTTCGGGCTACTCATCCTTCAGACAATGTGCAGACAAGGTAATGAAACAATCCTTCTGAGATCCAGTGACACAATCAACTGATTGATCGACACAATGCACCTAGGAAGAACATTGTTGACGAGAGAAAGAGAGCTCTATGGCGTATGCGCTGCACTTTGAGAATTTCGCATGAATGCTTTCTTTATTGTCTTCCGACAAAGGGACCGAAGAGAATATGTTTATATGTCGTTCAAGAGTCGATGGGATGCTTCGAACTCTCCAACTTCCTCGTTCACCACACAGCAACGCCCACTGTCAGAATCATCAACATTCGAAATCAAAATCCAACAGCGGGCGTGCGAGAACAACACTACTATCAGCACCAACTAGCTTGTCCCATCCGGCCAAGATATCAACATGTCAGGAGCAATTGAAGTTGTTATGCAGAAGGCCACCAGTCACAGCCCTGCGACGGTAGTCATGTCATCTGCAGACCACGGTTGCATTTCAAAATGCGGTGGAGGACGGCATTACATCCGTTTAGATGAGTCCAGTGCTCCTCATCTGTGCCGTCTGGCAACTCCTCGTGAGATGCGCCTCCTGCTTGCAGAAGAAGATGGGCATGAGCGAGCTACTCAGCGTGTTCGCACCATCCAGCCATCCGAGACCCGTCAGACTCGGGAGCGACCCCGTGTTGTAAATGCGCTGGAACGTATCTTTGCTCGAGAGCGTCCGGCTCGGCGATCAGGTGAGAGTTCCCGAAATGACCGTTACAACGATGAAACTTTCCGACAGCGAAATGAGCACCAACTCGTCCCTCGCGAGTCAAGCGACCTTAGACGTGGGGTGTCCACGAGACGTTCAGAAGGCCGCTCCGGATCGAACCATCGCGAACGTGACAATATTACTAGCCATCCTCGGCAATCGGCCACAGTTGGTGACGACCAAACTCTAATGCCTGTGCGTGCTCCGCGAGGAACCGGTCATAGACATCGTCGTTAAACGCTGTCCATGGAGAGTTGGAGGCATTGTTGTTGTAGCAATTTTGTGCGATGCAACTAGTCAGCAGTTGATGCATCGAGACAGGTAAGTACATGAGAGGTAGTTCAAGGTGAGTATCAGAAAAAGCCAAAAAGAAAAAGCATAGAGGAAGCAAATATACCGCTAATCATAATCCCCTATCCACCATTAATGTTTTCCCATAAGCCTCACCTTATGTATTTCATTCCTCTGACAAGAAAATACATAGATGGATTTGAGATACGAATATAATCAACATCGAGTTTTCTGGTATGAAAGGTCGGTGTACGCATAAGTCGTAGTAATCGTTCCATCGCTGCTTCGTTTAGATTTATTTCTAATCGTACCCGCCTAAGGGTAATCTAAGACGTGGATGAATACCTAGTACTTCGTTGTTAATGACAGGTATTGGCAAGGCTAGGCTCGGCAGGGGTTAATAATAAGTGGGAAGTCGTGGGGTACTGTGGGAGTGGGTGACATGATTTGATGGTCACGTGCCTAACACTTGCTTGAGTGCCACCTGCCGCTGATAACGGCTTTAAGTGAAACTGCGGAGAAGAGCTTCGTCGAAACATGTATCCAGAATGTGTAGATTTCAGATGGCCACTTGAGTAAGTTCCATCGCCATGTCATCTCTGCGTCTTTTTCCTTCGTCAGATCTACTAAGTACTAGATCTGTACTGTTTCAACCCCTGGCGAGATGAGCTCGCCGACCAGACGTGTCTGGACATGCGCTCGTTGCCTTCGGGCTCAAAAAGTGCGGGGAATTCCTGCCCCTGCGATCGTCCACGATAGCACCTTCATCCGCCGTTCATTCCGCGTCCTCTCGCCACTTCAAGACGAGAATCCAACACCTCCAAAAGCCGGGAAGACCGGAAATGCTTCCAATGACGAGGTTAAGGAGCAAGGGGCGATGTCCCGACGTCTGGCGGACATGGCGGAGGAGACAATGGACACGGGCAGCAAAAGTGACCAGAAACTTATGAAGGAGGTCTTCTCAGACGAATTGAAGAAACAACTTGAGGAGAGGATAGCCCAGACATCTTTTCCCGGACAGAACCAGCGAGCTGCCAGTCAAGTCAATATGCCAGTACGTTCGAAGAGACATCCCGTCCTTATTTGCCACCAGCGAAATTACTAACGCTCTCCGTCGCAGGACGCCGCCGGCAAGGGCACACGCGACATAGCTGGAGCAGAACCATGGACAGGCTCCGAGTCTCTACATGACGCAGCTTTAAGAATGCTCGATGACAGTCATAAAAAACTCCGGTCGCCCTACAGACCTCCGGCGCTCCCCCACAAGAATCTCCATCCAGGCCCAAAGAAGAACGTGTCGGCCGCCAACCGATTAGCGAATGCAAGAGACAAAACAAGCATATACGCCATCAGCCAGCAAAATGATATGGATGAGAAGGAGCGGGAGAAATGGCGCAAAGAATTAAAAGAACGATTCAGCCCAGGTGCTCGACCAATGCCCACATCTCTCCAAGGCCTGACAAGTCTTGCAAACGAACGGATCGAAGACGCCATCGCTAGAGGACAATTCAAAAACATTTCTCGTGGTAAAGGTATCAATGTGGAGCGAGACTACAATGCCAACAGCCCTTTTCTCGACACGACCGAGTATTTCATGAACAAGATCATCCAGAAACAAGAGATCGTACCACCTTGGATTGAGAAACAGCAAGAATTGGTTAAATTGGTGGCCACTTTTCGCAGTCGGTTACGGAACGACTGGCGAAGGCACGCGGCTCGCTGTATCGCCAGCTCCGGAGGGACAGTGCAAGACCAGGTTCGCCGAGCACAAGGATACGCATTGGCCGAAGAACTGGTGAATCCTCGAATACAAAAAAGGGAAACGTTGAGTTCCATATCGAGTGACGGGGTGCTGACCACGGTGACGGTCGAAGAGAGGCTCGCAGCAGGCTTGCCCATGGAGTCGCAGGAGTCGGAGCAGAAATCACCAGACCAGGTCGAGATCACCGTGACAGAGAAGTCTGCCACGGAGACCAGCAACGACAAAGAAGGTACGACCGAGATAAACGCCACTCCTACCACCACAACAGATCCCAGTACAATCATAGAACCCACAGACTCCACCAACTCACCCTTACACTCTCATTCATCCCCTCCCTCTCAATCACCAGCATCACCAGCAACACCCCGCGTCCTACCAATGCCCCACCCCTTCCGTGACCCTCACTGGGAAAAGACCGAATTAAAATACCACACCCTTGCAATCCAAGAGCTCAACAGTCTAACACGGAGCTACAACCTAATGGCGCCCAAGATCGCACAGAAACCCTACTACACATTAGCGCGTGAACTGAAGCGCTGTTTTGCCGACATTGCACCTTCATTGCCAGACGAGATACTCCAGCGCAGTCGCAAACCCGTGGTGAAGATCGCTGTCATGCCGCATCAGGAAGGAGGGGTTTTGGAACGGTTTGGGTCCACGGTTGGTGCCAAGGAGTGGAAAGGACATGAGGGCGTTATTCGTGAAGAGGATGGGACCAAGGGATATGGGTTTAAGGAGTTTTGGAGGGATTTGTTTGGGAATGCTAAGGCGGGGAAGAGGAGGGAGAATTTATCGTCATGATCAGTGAATGGTGAATGTATAATATACGCGTGTGTGTCTATGGTTCTTACGCTGGATACTAAGGAGATATAAAGCAGGCTGAATCCACTCATAAAACTGCTGCCTTGTGGCTCATCTTAAAATTGATCTAACTAGTAGTAAGGTATGTTACAGACCATTGAAGTTGTGAAAGTCCGTCAGCCCTGGTGTCGCTGAACCTATCCCCCTTAACCAGTGGATTTGATTTGATTTGATTTGATGGAACTCGAAATCAATCTCTAGATATGCCTAGACAACATCCCAATCTGCCATAGCCAAGTAGGCGAGGCGGTCGTCGTCCACCTTCCAGTCCACCGATGACTCGATGTCAATGTATTGAGGTTTATCCATGTCGCCAACCGTGCCGTAATTATTGTGTTCCTTGGGTCTTATCACTGCCCTGACGTATGGGTGGTCGTAACCAGATTCGTGGAGTCGTGCTACGCCATGGGCGGTTGCTAGAATTAGGAGGACGAGAATGCAGAGGAGGGCGAGAACGACAATGCCGAAAGTGGTGCCTCCCCCCGTAGTCCATCCGGAATATCTGTCGTTGACTGTATGGTTGTGGTATGGAGGTGAGCCCGCGGGTGAGGTGACTAATTGGATTGCGAGGTTTACGGCGTCCATATTGTTGGCTCGAAGACTAAAGGAGGCGGTATGGTGATTGGGAGAAAGGTCAGAATGGTTGAGGGAAAGTCGTAGGCATGAGGGGAATATGTAGGTCTGGTGGAAGGCAGCGAGGTAGATAAAATGGATATCGTGATCCACAACGCACTTGAGGAGGTCCTCAAGGAATAGATGGTTCGACCTATCAACCCGAACACGGACTTCCTTAAGTTACGGACCGGTCAAACTCTGTATACCCACTTAGCGTGTCCGCACATCATATGAACAGATGATAATCGTGATCTAGGTTTGCTTGAGCCGGGTATCAGGGATGTTTTTGTCGCTGCCACAAAAGGCTTGCCGCTAAGCCCTCAGGGAAGTTTGGGTCCGTTGTGTTTCTTCTGACCATTGACCCAGTGATCACATGGACTGACTGGTACGCCGCCGAAGGAGGACATGTCCGTCAGGAACATCCAAGGCATCGAAATTTGGGTTGGCTTTGAAAGCCGGACTATCGATGACTTCCTGGACAATCGACATATTACGTTCGATTATGATCCCTGGAACTTGGCCGTCTGGGGTATAGCGCGTGTCTCCCGGGTCAGTGGCCAGAACTCTAGCGAGATACTTCATCAAGCTCGTTAGAGCCCTCTGCCTATCTTCTTGGCTCAAATCTCGCGTCCTCTCGAGAGTTTTGGACATGATTGCGGGCATGTAATAGGGCAAGACGGCAGTCTCGTTAACATTGCCATCGATATTCAGACCTCGGACAAGCTGAGCCTTGACAGGGTCTTCAAGGGCTTGGAAGGCCTCGCTGAACAACTCGGCTTGATGTTTGTCTGTGGTACGTCCCATGGTGAGCAGACGGAGGAGCGCTCTATCTTCATCGGCACCAACGCTCAGCTTGCGGAAGCCAGCTCTTACGAGTAGATTGCCACGTTTTGTAAGGACCTTATCGTAGCCCTGACGTAGATTGGACTTGCCGTCGATGATGTCCAGAGAGACTTCGCGTACCATTTTAAAAGCTTGGTGAACGGGCTCGATGAAGTTTTTGGCACCTCTGCAATCGAGGTGACCAGCTGCAGCGGCAACGTCAAGAATCTGCTCCATAAACTTGAGCTCGAATGCGTGTAGATGGCCGCGCATCTCGTAGAGGCCCTCTAGGTTGAATGGAACACTTTCCGCCTGGGCCAATTGTCCCGCATTGAGCTCCGAACCAAGTTCGAGGCCTTTCAAGACTTCTTGTTTTTTCTCTTCGGTCAGGTATCGCAAGGCAGGGATCATATCGACATTGGCAGCCTCGAGTAAGATGGCATCATGATTTTGGTCCGGGATGGATCTATGAGTGAGCGACTCAAAGTCTGTGACAAGGTTGGGGTCTTTGCCCAAGTCATTGATCACCATGGACAAGATCAGGGCAAACATGTCTTCAGAGCAGGTCAGACCCTGAAAGAAGAGATCATGGAGCCACTGAAATGAAGACTGGGTCAACTTTGTATCAAGAGGCTGGCCTTGAGTGAATCGGTGGTAATCATTATTCAGGATCCAACGGAGGGCGAGAACGCCCACCAGGGTACGATTGATCTCGTCGTAATTGGTCCCATATAGAATCTGAGATGGGCTTGGATGGTCAGGAGTGCCGTTGGCGCGACGCTGCTCAGCAGTTCCTTCGACCGCGGTGGCATTTTTCAGGCGTTCCAGCTCAGGTTGAAACGCGGCATGGATCTGGTGGAGGATGGTAGCCTCGTCCAAAGTAAGGAAATTTCCTAGATTAATGGTGTCCTGGAGAATACACCTGGGTGGTGAGTTTGTCGTCATTGGGTACTGATGGTGGAAGATCATGCTGCGAGTAATGAGACGTTGTGTCGAAATGGGCATTTTTATAGCATGATCTTGGTACCGGCGTTTAACAATCTGACTCAACCGGCAATGGTGTCTATGAGTCCATAAAGACAGTCGATGGAGGGAGATTGTCAGTTTGAGTGTGTCACGCCGAAGATGGAGACGTGAAGGGAATGAATCACGACGTAGAATCATTAGCTGTTGTCGAAACAGTGGGATTGCGTGTCACTAGTGGGGGTTATGAAGAACTGCTGTCATAGAGATAAAGAATCGTCCAGTGGGATCTGAAGCGACGGTTGAAATTGAAGGTGGAAGTTGACCGATTATAGTCAGATGCTGAATGTCGACCTGGCGCTTTCAGCACCAGAATCAGGCTGACTCCATTGCCCGTCGCAAAAGCAAGGCGAGGCGTAGTCAAACATTGAGAGAAGCAACGGGGCAGGCGATAGGATGATCTGGCTTGTAGGTCGAATCTTGGTTGCATTAATGGGCAGTGGTTGTGCCTGGCACTGCCACAGTCCCTGACCGCCACAGCAATGATTGGCTGGAGAGGGACCTGCATGCGTCTAAACGCCTTGGACCCGGAACGACAATCAAGTTTCGACTCGTAATAGTTGTTTATTTTGTGCGGCCAATGTGATTTTTACATGACCATGAATTGATTTGGTCCTTTTGCCTTGTCTACAGGATGGTAAGAAAGTGGACGCGTGTGTGTGCTCGTATACTCGGGGCAAGCACGCGTCCATCGAGCCTGGTTGCACCTTCCTAAGAATGACGGTCCATGAGGGCAAGAGCAATGGTGACAGCAACAATGTGCAACAACGATCCTTCCTATTCCATCTTGCTCCGAAAAGCTGTCTGCCTGCCATGGCGATGGCTTCGGCGACCTCAATTCCACCCACCTTACCATGTCTGCTCTGGGTCTTTCTCTCCCACAGACACAGCCCTCATTAGTACCCTATCTTTCAGAACTTGGTGGAGATTGCTACGGGGAACTGTGTCTATAATGCGCCCTGCGTTAGGTTCACCTATGGGGAGCATCTCTAAAGAGAAGATGGAGCTTTGAAGAGACCATAACGGAAAAGACGAGGACAAAGGCCATCCCGTCAAACACCATCGTAGCGGGTGCGACTACCATGGGCCAGATCCATTCACCACCAGGGCAATGGTGATGAATTGATATGCCATCTCACATGTCACGCTACACTACATAGACGCACGTGCATGTGTGTTGTGATCTTCACAGCCTCCTTCGCGTACCCTGCCTGTGATGTTGGTTTCCTGTTCAGATCGAGTTGGAGATCACACACTCGCATCTCAAACCAAATTCTCGCGCTCGTCTTATCCCCAGACATACTACAACCAAAGTCCTCCTCCGAATTGACAGAATGTCGGACAACCGTGAGCATCATAACAACCAGACCCGCGCTAGCGCTGGGATGGGTTATGTTCTCAGAAGTCTACTCTTGCCGGCCGCGGTTCCTTCTGACAACAGCCCTTCTCAACCACAGCAGCCCTTCGTTGACTCTACTGGTTTTCTGCGATGTCCACTGCCAGTGCTTCCGCCAGAGGAAACTGACTTTCCGGTGCTTTCTACCACCTCCAAGCGAGATGGTCATGGTCGCATCATCTCTGAAAAGGCCAACACCTCATCCAACGTGTTCCATCGCCAGGAACCTCCTCCCCCTTGCTCTGAATCCCTGGTGGTAGAAAACGTGTGAGTTGATCTAGATCTCTGTTCTGGCAATCTGTCGCATCCTTAACTCTACTGACATCCACAGTTCTGACACCTCAGATCAGGAATCTGAGACCAACCCAACGAAGAAGCGCAAGTTCAGCAACCAGGCTATGGTCGACAAATATCGACGAGAGTATGTATCCTTTGACAACTTGAGCTACACGCAAATTGACTCGCTTACAGCATGGCAATCATTCGGCAGGAAATGGCGACGGATGAAGATGCGGATATGACCGAGCAGACCGAGGCAGTCAAGGAAACACCAATGGCGGAATCCGATACGGAGTCTGAGCCACATCGCGAACTCCCTCGCTCGTAGGCAGAGGCAGACGAGGCAGATCCGAGCAGGGTCTAGAAGAACGGGTCGAACCGCCAAACTGTCAGCTCTCATCACGAGGCGATGACAAGGATGAGGGAGATGGCGAGGACAACGAGGATAGCACCGATGATGACGATGATGGAGACGATGATGCAGAAGAAGAATAGACATGCCTCTGACTGAGGCATTAGCATTGGTCGCAGGGACTCATCAAAGCCAAAATGACTCATTTCGACCTCTCCACATTGGTGGACAGCAAGCTCTAGAGATGCTAGCTAATAATAAGACATCCTCTCAATCTCAGTGGTTGATTCCGGCGAAGGCTTTCTCCTTGATGCCCTAGAAGAGAGATTTATTCGGGCCACTCCGGGCATAGATCAAGCCCCGCGCCGATCCACTTAGCGCCCTTGTCCCCCGATGACAACCCTCGACCCTTGTTGGTCGCCCCCGTTGTTCTCCGCACGGAACTTTTGATGTCATAGTTGGGTAACAGGACGAAAGAGATCTTCATACGAAGTACGGAGTAGGTACCTACCTACCTACCTAAGTACCCATGCACCCATGAACCCATGCCACCTACCTAATCTACATTAGTTTCGACATCTCCAACATTCCCAGGTACGTCTTTTTCTCTTCTTGTCTACACACACTATGCTGGGCATAGGGAGAAGATGTCGGCAACACGCATTAGTGAACCAGGGTCAATTCAGACCAGGTCTGGAGCTGGCCACAATGGACTCTCTGACTCCTCACCCACTCTCCCAGAATCGACTCAGTCGATTCAGTTGGTAGGAGGCGACGATGAGTCTGGACTGGAGCGTATCGTGACTCCTTCAAACGCCCAACCAGCGATGCGACCGGTTTCGCGACGTCGACAGATTACCATCTTGCTGTGTGCCTTTTCGGACGTCTTCGTCACCATCGGCCTGAACCAGGCGTACGGTGTCTTCCTTCAACACTACCTCACCGATGGCAGCAGTCCTGTCGATCCTTTTCTGGCCCCTAGCGAAGTCTCCAACAAGGCCATGGTTGCCTTTGTGGGTACCGCAGGTGCTGGGCTGACCTGGGGAGGTTCCATTTTCGTCAATCCCCTCATGGCCAGGTCCAAAGATCCTCGATATGTCACCATAGCTGGTGCTATCCTGATTGGCTTGGGCTACATCCTTGCCAGTTTTTGTCACAAGGTAGGAATGGGGCGCTGCAATCCGATTGATTCGCACCTTTGAAACTGACTTGTCCATGGCAGATCTGGCAACTTCTTCTCACTCAAGGGATCATTTATGGTGTCGGGACCTGCCTACTCTACTTCCCCGTTGTGGCTGTGGCTCCAGAATATTTCGACGCTCATCGAGGCTCTGCCATGGGATTCATCCTGTCGGCCGCTGGATTGGGCGGGTTGACGTATGCACCCGTGACCAGGGTCCTTTTGCACAGGACGGGAGCAGCCTGGACGTTACGTATACTGGGAATCGTCAACCTCGGAATATCCATCCCAGTCGCTCTGGCCACACCACCCTCTCGTAGTCTATCCCGGCGAGCAACCTTGGTCGATATTAAAATAGCAAGGAAGGGAACATTTATACTACAGGCGTTGGCGGCAATGGCCCAAGCCGCTGGTAACTTTGTCCCGCTGACTTTCTTGCCTGAATACAGCACGAGGCTTGGGTATACTGCTGCTTTGTAAGGAGAACTCAAACCCGAATCCTCTGTCCCTGATTAATAACTTGATCATCAACAGTGGTGCGGCACTGCTTGCCATCAACAACGCCGTGAACTCGGCCAGCCGTCTGGGTATGGGCTTTGTCGCCGATATCGCAGGTCGGCAGAACACGTTAGTGCTTAGTGTGCTTGGAAGTGCCATCACTGTCGTTGCCTTTTGGCTGTCAAGTGCCCACGCCGATGACATGGCGCTATGGGTTACCTTTGTCGTGACATATGGCATCTTTGCTGGAGGTGAGTACGCAATGACTGGCAGTGACTGTAGGGGCTCTGCTTACATCAAATATAGGCTACAATTCGTTGTTCCCCGTGACTGTCATAGAGGTCTTTGGAACCCAGGCATACGCATCAGTCAATGGGTTCATCTACTTTATACGAGGATTGGGGGCTCTTTGGGGATCTCCAGTTGGTGGTGTCCTTGTAACAGAGGGATCCCAACCAACTGCCTATCTTCCCGTCATCTGGTATGACTTTGCCTTACTCATGTTGTCGAGTGTTTGTGTCATAGGAGTGAGGGCGTTGGATGCTGTAGATAAAGGACAGTTCAGACTCAAAGCCTAAGCGGATGTGGTTGTTGGACATAGGTTGCAATATAGGTGAGGTAGGTAGTCAAATCACACAGTCTTCTCCAGGCTTCAAGCATTGGGTATTCGGCAGCCGTTAAACCGCCCAGTTCAAGCCTGGAGAACACCGCCAAGTCCCCAATGTGCTTACCCCTGGAGGCACCCGAATGGAGGCCGAGGGGCTTGCCACTGAACCACATAACTAAAGACTTCGCCGTTGAGATCCCCGCAGTTGCCCCAGGCTGGCCACCTGCCTAACCGAATCAAGCGCCTGCCGCTCCAAGCAGCAGCTTCTCTCCGCATCTTCTCACACCACACCACATCTGCAAAAGGTACCAAGGCTGCCCTAACTCACATTTCACCTCTGCCCTGAACCACCAGTGGAAACTCCTCTTGCCAATCCGTCGTGTCGCGAAGCTACACTTGAGCACCTCTTCTCGCTAAACAGGGAAGGGTTGGCAGTGTGAATACAAAAGTACAACCTCGTCCCCCTCAGTCCTCTGCCCACCATGAACAAAACCACAAGCCTCCTCCCTTTCATACGCAGACCTCTCTCCCGTACCTTTGCCACAACTACACGAAAGGCTGCCGATCATGTAAGAATAGTTGAAGTTGGTCCGAGAGATGGCCTACAGAACGAAAAGACCGCCATTTCGTTAGAGACCAAGCTTGAACTCATCCGGAGACTGGCTGGGACAGGCGTGACACATCTGGAAGCTGGATCTTTCGTTCCAGCCAAATGGGTACCTCAGGTAAGATCTCGTACCCAGCCCTCACGAGATCCACAGACTGACCGTGATCGACCAAGATGGCCTCCACTTCAGATATTCTCGAGACACTGCTTGATTCTCCACCTCCTGCGCCTCATGGCATCGCCTATAACTACCTAGTTCCCAATATTCGAGGCCTAGACAACCTCGTTAAAATATTCCAGGCAAAGAATGCCCAAAATCCTACTGCAGAACCCACTCCTCCTCCCTCTCCTCAGCCTGGTCAATCACAACCCCCGACTCCCACGGCATCTGCCAACTCGACCGAGATCTCGCTCTTTGCCGCTGCCACCGAAGCCTTTTCACAGAAGAATACCAATTGCAGCGTTGCTGAGAGTCTAGAAAGATGCATACCCATCATGGACCTGGCAAAACAGCATAATATCCGGGTGCGAGGCTATGTCTCTGTTGCCCTGGGCTGTCCATACGAGGGTCCAGACACTGATCCTCACAAAGTCGCCGAAATTACGGCATCTTTGTTAGAAATGGGCTGCGATGAAGTCTCAGTCGCAGACACTACCGGTATGGGCACCGCCCCACGGACGAGAAAACTCCTCCAAACGCTCAAAGAAGCCGGCATTCTGGAAGAAGACATTGCCTTACACTTTCACGACACCTACGGCATGGCCCTCGTCAACACGGTTGTGGGACTTGAGCATGGTGTCCGCATATTCGATAGCTCGGTTGGTGGACTCGGTGGCTGTCCATATAGTCCTGGGGCTACGGGCAACGTCGCCACAGAAGACCTCGTCCACCTCCTGCATAGCTTAGGATGTGAGACCGGTGTAGATATTGTCAAAATGGCGGAGATTGGTCGCTGGATCACTGCCGAGCTTGGTCGTCCAAATGACTCCAGAGCCGGAAAAGCAACCCTGGCAAGGTCAAAAGCAAAATTGTAATGAAATACCATTTCACAGCCCTGTCTCAAGTCTGGATTATTGCTCAACCTCTGACCATTCTCGTCAATGTCCCCGTCTGATATAGCCTCTGGAGGATTGCTTCCTGTCCATGGGAACTCTGTGCCAGAGGTATTACTACTCACCTGTAGACAGATTGCCGCCAGGAAGGAGGAGCTGCGGTAAGTTGAACATGCACTGAGCCGCTAACCTTGAAGACAACGATGTGGGTGACTTGTCCAAGGCGGAGGTATCTCCGGTTTCACGCCTACGCGACCCATATATTTCCTTACTCCACAACAACATACACTGTGAAGACTACATATCACTTCATTCTGAATGGGGAAATTGCATGGAAGCCTTCCTAAGATGGACACATGATCTGTGTCTTTCAAATCTGATTCAGTTCGGTAGAATATCCCTTGGCGAGATCGATATCCCATCAAGTGGAGGCGTTGTGAGTCGTGTTTACTCGAGTCAAAGCATCACCCATATATCCACTTTTGATTCTGTCCCCAAGGTCCAACTATAAAGTCACCATTAATGCAGATGTCGTGGACGATCTATATGCTTCGATTTCAGAGGTTGCTACCACCAACACTTAGGTAACCATCTTTGAGAGAAGTCATGTGTCTTCCCGTTCCAACACCCTTTCTCGATTTTTGGCGTATCTCAAAGGCATCACTCAAGAGCATCCTCATGGCAGTGGCAGAACACAGCTATCCCATTAGGCTACGAATCGCCTTCATTGATGGTAAAACCCCTGTTAATATCGTCAGTAGTCATATCCTGTATCCATATAGAACTTCACATACCCATCAATAAACAGATTCTGTCCCACCACGAGACTCATACGAGGCGAGCACATAAGAACAACGACATCTCCAATTTCTTCATGAACAGCAGAACGTCCTTGCCTTGCCTCGAAGGTCTTCCACATAGCCATGCCACGTACGTCGGCCACATCTCCTTCCAGCACAGATTCTTCCACCATCTTGGTCACGAGAAACCCGGGAGATACAGCGTTGACTCGAATGCCATGACTTCTGGCTTCCAATGCCGCCTACCAAATAGTTAGTTTGAGAGGATATCGATCTATAGAACGGATGAATGGAATAGAGATAACGAACCGTCTTGGTAATTCCATAACACGCATGTTTTGAAGCCGTGTAAGGCCCCGTACCCGGCATGCTCTGTAGAGAATTGACGGACGCGCAATTGACGATGGCGCCACGCTGTGGTGGTCGACCTGTCTCTCTATAGTTTTCATCAGTGTTGATCCCGCATACTGTACACCTGACCCTAACCTTTGGGCGTGAAAGGTAGAAGAAGAGTAACGTACACTTCCAAAGAATCCTGCTTCATCATCTGAATAAGTTCATGTTTCGTGCAAAGCATGACACCCGTCGAATTGACTTCCAATGTCTTCCGCCACTTGTCGACGTCTAGATTGATGATGGAGTCTGGTGGTCCAACGATCCCTGCAAAGTTGGCCGCGTAGTCGATTCTCCCAAACTTCTCGACTGCTTTCTGAACTGCCTGCTTGACATCGGCTTCATTGGTCACGTCTGCTCTGATTGCGAGACACTATCATCGTTGTATGTTAGATGATGGAATCTTGTTTGAGCACGACTTGGATTACCTCCGCTCCGTGTGCTTCCACCTTGGCTTTTCCCTCGTTCATCGTCGCCTCATCATTGATATCAACAATCACTACTGCACGAGCACCTTCTTTAGCAAAGGATACTGCTACAGCATTGCCTAGGCCTCGGGCAGCTCCGGTGACGAATGCCACTCCGGGGGCATTGGGTCCTTGTCGTCTTCCCATACTTAAAAGTCTGAGAGATCTTGGAGAGTAGTATAGTAGTAACAAGAATAATAGACGTAGGTCGTCAGTACATTAGTCAATTTCAATCGTCGAGACACCCGACCATTATGATCTAGTATTCAACTCACTAAGCATTCACCCTTTACCAACCGTCTTCACAAACATGTGGAGACGGTATATGGAGATCCAGTCTATCCCATACCATGACAACCCGCATTCTGACTCGCAACACTCCGCTTTTCACGGCAAAGCGACCGATCTCCATTAGACCCACAACAAACCTGGGGAAGTCAGTACACTATGACTCGGTTATTTGCCCACCCCCAAATGTCCATTATGTCACTATTAATGACATGAGAAACACACGCGATGATTCCATCAACACAGAGGGGAGGCTTCCGTGTTCTCGGTTCTTGATTTGCTCGGCTCACGGCTCAAGAACATACTCCTCCCCAATTACTTGTACCGTACATCTCGCGAAGTTTGCCGATATGATTGATGTAGTGAAGGCCAAATCTAATCATCAACATTATATAAGCTAGTCCCCCGCGTTTCAGGGATTTGAAGCGTGAGGACGAAGACGGAGAAGACGATTTGTTTGCGCCTATACTCCGTCAGAATAGCATCATGCCTCATTCAACAGACGTTCCCGGCCATGAGCCCTTCCACATCGAGCAGCACTGGCATTCGAATCCAAATGATCTGCGGGTAATATGTGTCGGTGCTGGTGCTGCGGGACTGTTGGTGGCATATAAGATGAAGAAAATGTTTCCAAAGTACGAACTTCAGATTTATGATAAAAATCCTAGTGTTGCTGGGACTTGGTATGAGAATCGGTATCCCGGTTGTGCATGTGATGTGTAAGTGTCTTGGTCTGTTTATTGAGTTGAAAGTCCAGGTCTCATACTCATGTCACATGAACAACAACAGGCCTGCTCATGCGTATACATACACTTTTGAGCCCAACCCAAATTGGTCTTCATTTTACGCACAATCTGCCGAGATCAAGAAATATTTCGAAGATTTTGCAGACAAGTACGAGCTACGACCATGGATTCAATTGAATACTCGAGTTCTCAGTGCGACTTGGATTGAAGAGAAGGGGATCTGTAAGTTTGCCGTTCCAATGAGACCAGAATCCGAACTAACTCAAACTAGATGAGGTTGAAGTTGAGAAAGATGGCCAAAAGACCAAGGATTGGTGCCATGTATTGATCAACGGTACCGGATTTCTAAATTCATGGAAATGGCCCAAGATCCCTGGTCTACACGACTTCAAGGGCCAACTACTCCACAGCGCCAACTGGGATCCCAGTGTAGATTGGAAAGATAAGACCGTCGCTATTATTGGAACCGGCTCTTCAGCTATTCAGATGGTACCTCAAGTCCAAAAGACAGCTAAACACCTAACTTCCTTTATGCGCTCTGTGACCTGGATCTCGCCGCCTGTCGGCGGTGCCACACTGGAAGAGGAGAAGAACAAATCAGTCAAGAATCCATCAGGCGAACCGGTTCAACAAACCGAGCCTGCTGCCCAATACTATTACACCGAGGAGGAAAAACAACGATTCAAAGACGACCCAGAATACCATCTCCTGTACCGGAAAAAGCTCGAATCTGCAGTAAACAATCTATTCGACATGTTCATCTCAGGTTCAGAAGTCTCCAAGTCCGCAGAGGAGCAAATGCGTCTGGAAATGGAACGAAGAATAGGACCTGGTCATGACGAGTTGAAGAGTCGCCTTATTCCATCATGGCCACCGGGATGTCGTCGCATTACTCCAGGGGATGGCTACCTCGAGGCTCTAGTGAAACCCAACGTGACGACATGTCATGAAGAGATTGAAAAGGTGGTCGCTGAAGGACTTGTCGATGGATCGGGCAAGTTACACAAAGTGGACATTATCGCCTGTGCCACCGGCTTTAACCTGGCGTTTGCTCCACCATTCGAGGTCCGTGGTGTCAATGGTGTGACGATGGAAGACGAATTCAACCCAGCTCCGCAAGTTTACCTCGCAATGGCCGTTCCAAAGTTCCCAAATTACTTCGTCGTCAACGGAGTGAGAGGAAATTGGGCGGCTGGTACGGCTTTACCGTCGCACGAAGTCTGTGTTGAGTATATTCTTAAATGCGCCGCGAAGATTCAAACGGAAGGGATTCGTGCCTTGGAAGTTAAACAGGAGCCTGTGGATGAACTATACGAATATATCGATGAGTGGCATAAGGGTTCGGTATGGAATCAGAATTGCAAGAGTTGGTATAAGAACAATATTGTGGGAGGAAAATTGTGGATCTGGGGTGGATCGGTAAGCACTCTTCTCTCCACGCGAACATCCCTTTAAAGTCTCATAATTTACTGACTCATATAGGCTCTGCATTTCATGAAGACGATCCGAGAAGTCAAGTGGGAACATTATGACCATAGATATCGCAAGGGAAATATGTGGGCATATCTCGGAAATGGTCGAGTCAAGGCAGAAACGCTGCGTGAAGTAGACAAATTGGCGCCATATATGCGGAACGCGGATGTGCCTTGGGAGATCGAGTAGTTGGCGAAGCTTTTTTTAAGATGAGGATTGTTCTAGATAACAGATATGAGCAATGAAATAAGGCTGCTTTGATGACTTGAGAAGTATCTTGTATTCTCTGACCCCGCTGGGTGGTGTATTGCTGAAGCGCTCCGAGGAGAACTTCAAGCCCTTCATGAGTTTGCCTCGAAATAATCGTATGGTCGATCAAAATGCTCGTCTATCACAATATGACCAGGCTTGAGGTTCCCTTTATTCATAAATCTCACCCACAAGTCCAAGAACTTCCCGCCAATGCCCCGAATGACTTTTCCAACCTCATCACTGTCTCCAGAGACCATGGCCGCTCCTTTCCAGTTGTCCCACTCTCCTAGAATCGACGAAAGCTCGATACAGTGACAAGAACCCAACGAACTTGTTTCTGGATGATATTGAAAGGAGTAGGTAGTTGATTTGCCACCAGCAGCAAGGACCTGGTTGTGAAAAGCTTGCGAAGGCCATTGGAAATAGCTTTTGGTGATATACCAGGTGCCCAGTGCCTCCAAGTAATCGCCAACAACGGGAAGTTGGTACCACTGCCTCTGTGGACCCATCATTTTTGCGAAGGGTCGCCCATCGTGTGATGTCCATCCTATGAGAATGGGTATCTCTTTCACGCGTCGGGCCACGTTCTGATCGAATTCATTTTCCTTTGGTAGAGGGGAATGACCGAGAGCCGGAGCAAATAGCATGACTTGAGATCGTACCGGATCCATCAACAGCTTTTTCTGGACATCGAGTAGCGCGGAAACAGACATCTTGCGTGGATCTTCCGGAAATAGTGAGTGCGCTTTGGCCGATAGTGCATCCACTGTCGGTACCCTCTCTTTTATTTCACGCAATGGAGGACTCATGAGAATGGCTCGGTGGAACAAAGTTTCTTCCGTTTCAGCACCAAGTAAACATATAATGGAATCGGAGCCTGCCGACTGTCCCACCAGGGTGACATTGCTCGGATCACCCCCAAAACTTGATATGTTGTCCTGAATCCATCGTAACGAGACTTGTTGGTCCAAAAGTCCAAGATGTGCAGGGGCGATCCCGGGGATCATCAGAAACCCAAAGACACCAATTCTGTAGGAAACATTGACGCATACTATACCACGTCTCGCAAGATCCAAAGGTTGATAGCAATCGAGGTCGCCTCCTCCCGATATGAACGCTCCTCCATGAAACCAAACCATCACAGCTGCATTCTCAGCATCCACTGGAGCCGTGACCGTCACGTGTAAACAGTCCTCATCATGTTTTCGACCATTTGTCACTGGGCCCATGACAGCCTCTAGTCTGGATGGGAGTTGAGGGCATAGTGAAGCCGGCTGAGTGCAATCCTTGGCTGTTGTCCATTTCGCAGGGTATTGGGGTGGTTGGAAGCGTTCCGCCACAGCATAAGGAACCCCACGTGCTCGGATAATGTCCTTGTCCTTGAGGGCGAGAACTTTGCCGACAGGCAGTTCGATGGGAACGACCTCAGGCTGGGACATGGATGGAAAAGAGTTCTGGGTTGCCCAGGTATTAGGGAGTTTGAAATGCTATCTCAAACTGATATTGAAATACCATGGTCAGCCACCACCAGGTGCCGAGACAACGATATAGCTTGTACGTTCTGGCCAACTGATATCGCTCCCGGTGGGGTACGGTAGGCAACTAATCATTGATAAGTGATTGTGTTATTACCGCCAATTGTCCGCAAGGATCATATATCGGCGATATGCTTCTATCCGAGATTCTGCGGCTACTTTCCCCCGCAATCACTAATCTCGGCTTAATCAAGTCAGCCACGTCAGCTTATTACGCTCAACTGCCTTCTGCTCCCGTGAGGCTAGGCTGGCCAGTTCTAACAGGCGTAATAGCCAAGGAGTAGATTTGGCAGATTTCTACGGTATCACCTTCTTCAGCCTTAGCCTAGAACGCCTCCCCAAACACTTCGACGTCCTGGCATTCTGGCTCAAGGCAATGGAAAAGAGAAGGGTTATATCTCGCTTCAGTCAGATGCATTAAAACTATCGCATGAATATGAAAACATATCGACCCGAAGCGCTCTGTTTCAAGCCCCTCCCTGTTGATCCAAGCAAGAAGGAATGGTCAAGAACCACTCGTGCCACTTCATGCATAACATCCCATAATGCTCACATCTTATGACTCGGCATACTTTGCAGGGATGAGAAGTCATAAGCCGTACTCTGAGTCTTGACCCCAGCGTTGAAACCAGAAACCTGGAATACTTTGCTCTTCTCAGTCAAGTTGGGAAGATCATGGCATTCCAAGCAAGCATAGCGACTCAAAAGAACTGCTGTATGTGTCCGTGCCTCAACTTCAGCTTGATGCTCCTGAATAGCTTGTTCGAGGGGCTTTCCATTCTCTCGCCACTGTAAAAGCTGATAGACAAGACCGGCAGCATCGTAGATGCCGTGATTTGCCGCTTCACCACGATCTATATCCAATTAGTAACTGATTTCAAAGGACAACGATGGGGATATACTTACACATTGTCATAGTATGAGCAGCATCACCCAACAGTGTCACCCTACCTCCATGGGAAGGCCAGTGTTGGGTTGGCCAATCTTCCAGCTTGATCTCAAGTGAAGGAGTGTCTTCAGGAATGCTCAGGATTGCTTGTTTGAGAGTTGGAAACATGCCCGAGTCGCTAATGGCTGCCTCCTTCGCCTTCCTGATTTGCTCGGCCTGGGTCTTAGGCGTCGGCCCATTCTGTTCAATTAGCCAGCTCATGTTGAATTGACCCTCATAGTAGGGTTTGGCGGTGGATGCGCTGCCATTCGTCTCGGGAGTGGACAGCATCGAAAAGAACACAAAGTAGCCGGACCCCGGATGACATCCTTGCCAGAGCACTGGGTGGATATCTCGGAAAGGCTGCATCATGTCTGGAGATAGAGACAGAGTAAATCCCATGAAGCCCACAGGAAGAGGAATCAGTCGCGAGTTCTCTTCTCCCAAGAGCATTCGCCGGGTTCGACTGTTCTTTCCATCCACCGCCAGTAGCAGTGATCCCTCTACTTGAGATCCATCAACGAAATGAACAAGTACGCCATTGGCAGTAGTCTCGAAGCTTTTGAACTGCTTGCCCCATTGAACATCGATATCAGTACTAAGAAGCTGTCGAAACTTCTTGCGATTCAGTCGGTAGTGTGTCGATGATGGAAGAGACGTTTTTTCAAGTCCAGTCTCAAGATCCAGAAATCTATATCGGTCATGTTCTAAGCACATGTCAGATACATATTTGTGACAGGAGTTATCTCTAGAGACTCCTCACCTTTACCACCAGCCACAGGATCTACCTGAATGCTTTGAATCTTGGCGAAGAGCTCAGGTGGTAGACAGGCTTGTAGGGAAGGCAACGCCCAGTGCATGGTGATGCCCCATCCTGCAGGTCTGTCATCGATGCTCCTATCTCTGTCGAAGATCTCGAATTTGAATCCAGCCTTTTTGAGACCTTGGGCCAATGTAAGCCCAACGAGTCCGGCACCAATCACAATGATTGGTTTATTCTCAACCGCCATAGCCAATACGTGAGAAAGGTCGTTGCTATCGTTGGAATTCAAGGCAGTAGGTTTCTACTATGTTTTGAATTAGCCATACGTATCTTTATTGCCAGTCACCTGTTCGGATAAGTCTGGGCGTCATCCGCGTTCCTGGGATAAGCGCTATCCGCCTTACCATGGCAGCCATTCGGCGAACTCACATGTCGCCGACCAAGGAGTCCACATCCGCTATCGTGTCAACTTGTTCGAGACCTCATCGATATACTTTCATCTTTAAAGCACAACAGGACTGCGGACGCAGGCTTGTCATCAGCCCTAGTCCAAGTAACACGACGACTATCGATAACAAATCAACCCCTTAACACTCTATTCAACACTACCCACACGAGTCCAGGATCGTCTAGTCCAGACCACGTCAACTTTCACATCAACCATGGTTGAGCAAACGATGCTGTTAACCCAACGAATAAATGGTGTTGAAATCGCCTACGACGAATCAGGCTCCGCTGATGGACCAGCTGTGGTACTTCTATCTGGGTGGGCGCACGATTTGCGCCTATACGACGAAATGCTCCCATTACTGGCAGAAAACCATCGAGTAGTCAGAGTTTGCTACCGCGGACATGGCCCAAGTCGCGACGCAATCGATGATTTTGGGGTTGAAGAACAAGTCTCTGACACCTTGGCCCTCTTAGAATCTCTTCACGTCGACCAATTCTATCTTATATCCCACTCTCATGGAGGCTGGCCTGCTCTGGAAATCGTTGATCGCCTTGGACCACAGAGGGTCCTCTGTCTTCTGATGATTGACCAGATCATGACAGCACCGCCACCAGAGTTTGCCTCTGGACTAAAGGCGATGCAGGGAGTAAATACCTGGCGGACAGCTCGCAAGGCACTCTTTGATGATTGGCTCGCCGGGAGCAAGAACAAAGCGGTGCATGACCATTTCAAGTTCTGCATGTCCAGTTATGGACACTTCATGTGGTCGTTGTCTTGTCGCGTTATCGAAGGTGCGTACAAGGCTCATGGATCGCCAATGGGTCGGATGAAGAAACTTTCAAATCCTACTCCTATTCGCCATGTGTTCTCTCACCCTTTAAACAAGCCGGAGTATCGGAAGCTGCACGAAGATTTTGCATCGGAGAACAGTTGGTTTTCATTCACAGACTTGAAGGGAGAGACACATTTTCCGGACCTTGAGATACCCGACACCGTTGTAGGCCAGCTAGAAGACTTGATTGCCCAAAGTGCATCTTAGATAATTTGCATACAATATTTTGTGTTTCGGTTGCAACACCGAGACAACGATCTGCTCGCTTCTAGCCTGTGCGCATCTAGGTGCCTTGCCGCAGTTTCTGTCTAGCGGCGCCCCGAGACCACATTTCGTCAATAAGTGACATCTCTATCAAAGTGTTTGGAGGATTCATTTCGCGGGGGAAGAGGAGCGGATGGGTGGCTTGCTTGAGTCCTGTGCTTATGGTGATTGCTTATCGTAAGGCTTTCTCCAGCAATTGATCCGTCTCAATAGTGAGGCTCGGTAGCGACGACAGTGCAAATTAAGAGACATGGTCCACGACTGGCGACGTCCTGTACAATTGAGTGAATATGGTGGTTGAACGCTGTGGGTCTCGAACCACGCTCGCTATTGGCTATTTTGAGCATAACGCCGAAGAATTTTTGCAAGTCGGCGACATGACTGTTGTTCATGAAGCCGAACCTCTTTCACAGAGATGCGGTTATCAGCCTTCGGATCGTGTTGTGGAGGCTACTTCTTATCAAGATGCTTGTAAGCGTATCTCATCCAGTGGTTTAGTCTGTTGCAAGACCAGAGCAGAGGTCATGCAGATCTACAAAAGTCAGCGTGACCCAGCGGAGTGTTGACAAGTTCATCACACCACGAGCCTTTGCCAAAATGGCAGATCACCAGACGGTAAACGAGAAAACCACTATGTCTGACGTCGAGAAGAACATGGAGAAGCCAGACTCTGAGATCGGGGGAAAGGGGGAGGAGGTGGCGATCATAGAGGACTTTATCACAGGGAACAAGGTGAAGTCACTTCTCACCAAGCTGGCCTCTGGCGGAGTCGAGATTCGAGGCTTGGAGCCTGTTCCTCCAGAAGCCAGGACTCACACGAAGTACTACAACATAATGACGCTCTTTGGAGGTTCCTTCATCTCTATTTTGCCGTGAGTGCTTGAGGTGTGCTGGTGACTTTGATTTATTGCTGACTGTCGGACGCAGGCTAAGCATTGGCACCACGCCTACACTGGTCTTCGGACTCTCTTTGAACCATGCGATAATAATGATTATCACGATGCAGCTGTTGTTTATCCTTCCTACACTCTACATCTTGACTTTGGCGCCACTTCTAGGCATGAGACAGTCTGTGCAGTATCGCTATGTATTCGGGTAGGTCAAAGCCGTCAAACGCTGGAACGTGGCTAACACACGACCCAGGAAATACCCCAATGCTCTTGTGTGTGTCATAATTATCATTGAGATTGGAATTTTCGGCATCCTGGCTGCAGTCGCAGGAGGGGAATGCCTTGCCGCAATCCGGCCTGGCACGCTCCCAGTCGAAGCTGGCATCTCTATCATCATGGTCGTCGCCATATTCATCGGTTTCTTCGGGTACAGATGCCTCCACATTGTTTGCCAATACATCTGGATTCCAAACTCGATTGCTCTCTTCATCCTCGTCGGCTGTGGTGCGTCAGGCTTGCACAACCGAGTACCTACGACTTCGAGCGGAGCAGGGCCATACCTCTCAACAGTCGCGATCTGCGCCTCCAACATGGCGACTTGGGGTACTATCATCGGAGACTACGCCTGTTACATGCCACCACGCGCTCCCAGGGCTCGCTTAGCCTTGTACTGCTTTACCGGTCTATACATCCCTTTCACCCTCATGATGATTTTTGGAGCTGCCATTGGGGCTTCGATACCAGCCAACGAAACATGGCTATTGGCTTATCAGCAAGGTAGCTTGGGCGGGGCCCTTGGTGAGATCCTGACTTCACGGGTTGGCAACTTTGGAAGATTTGTCCTGTTCATCCTGGGATTCTCGATTGTGACGACTTCGGCACGAGATATGTACAGCATATCCTTGTTCGCTGTCGGAGTTGTTCCTTGGCTTCGCAGAATGCCGCGCATCATTTTGGTTTTGATTGTTGCAGGGGCCATGATCGGACTTGGTATCGCTGCCTCGAGAGCCTTCCTAGCTGCCCTCACCACCCTGGTCAGTATCGCCGGCTACATCACTGGGCCCGCAGTCAGTGTATTCTTGACTGAGTGGTTCGTCTTCCGTAAGGCGGATCCAGCAAGCATTGACCCCAAGATTTGGAACAGTCACGCCTTGTTGCCATCGGGCATTCCGGCCGTCATCGCAACTGTGGCGCCTTGGTCACTCATCATTACTTCAATGTCCACGGCCTGGTATGTTGGACCAATTGCAAGGCACACAGGAGATCTTGCGTACCCGCTTGGCGCGGTCACATCAATCCTGTTGTATCTTCCCACTCGGTGGCTCGAGATCAAATACAGAGGTCGCTTGTAGAGGTAGCCCGATGGTGATTGGGCCTTTTGTATAATGTAATTGGGATGAAGGACGCCGGCAATGGCCTTATACTATTTAGTAGCACATAGTTGAGTACGTTCGATATGATGACCTCTCTGAATACTGTCTAGATATTGTTCGCATCGGTCTCCACAACAAGAACTACTATGTATTCATAAGCATCCAGGAAGGCATCACAGGTGCAGTGAAAATACTCTGTTCTCTATCCGGGGCCCGTCAACTGAAATGAACAGTTACACTTCAAGGCCCCAGCAACCTCACATGTGCATCGGTGACTCGTGCACGCCAGTATCGAGCTGCACACCTGAAGCGTCTGGGGAATACTCAAAGACATTGACATCCACTGGCCAGTCATCAGGACCTAATCCTGCATCTTCAAATAAATTCATCATGGGAAACATCAAAGGCATGTCGGAACTCATCGGCTGAGGACTCTCAGCATACCTTGTTGTACTGTTATAATCGAAACGCGGCTGTGGTGAGACGTGCTCCAGTGCAGACGGTCCTTGATTATTCCCGGAATCGAAATCCGATAAACCCCATCGCTCCACTTGCGGCGAAGCTGCTGTTCGTATTGATTGTTGCTGTTGGTGATGTTCAGCATGAGACACATGCTGTGTAGCTCGGACTTCAATTGTCTCCGAGCATTGTGTCGCTGTTGATGAATACGCATTTCCTAGTGAAGGAGAAATCGACTGCTTGAGCAAGACATCCAACAGATGTCTCGTCCACATAGCCATAGGCCAGATCTTTTCGAATTCTGCAAGGATATGCATGGCCAGGCGGGCTCGATTTTCCGCGACTATCCCAGTATGGCTGTCGACCTTGCGTATATGCACGATGTTGACCAAAATGGACACAAATATCGCTGGAAGGGTCATGAACGGGGCACGGTACAATGTTCCAGATGCAAGAAGATCTTCCAGGATGCGGTTGATCTTGGTTGCAGCGATAAACGTGAGATTATGGTCCAAAGTGGCGGACAGCATGCGGTGGAATACAATGCGATAGTCAGAATGATACAGGTGAATCAGCGCTGGCCAGTATCCATTTTTGAAACTGATGTTCGTAGGTAGAGAGCGGAAATCAGGCTCTAACTCGTTTTCGAAATCAACAAGCTGCTGGTAACTTTTTTGCTCGACCATTGGATCGTGTACCGGAGAGAATTTAGCAGCGAGACATCTGCTCACATGTGACGCCAGGTTGGCAGAATGGACGAGGTATGATCTGCTCTGAGTCGTCAAGTCGAGCACATCAGCAGGATAATCTGGAAAATCAGCCTCGTTTAGCAAATCAATATCGCAATAGTCCTGATGTATATGAGGCGGTCGGCCATAGACAGCTGCATGGTGTACGTCGTTGATCTTGCCAGTAATGGTTAGTCAAGCTCGGTCGGTTTCTCGTTTTGAATCATCCACTTACGTAGAGAACCCACCAAGTCCGCCTCCATAAGCTCCGTTGAAGGGGTGGAAGAATTGCATAGGATTTGCTAACATTGAAATTAGCATGTTGCATGAGAAGAGTTCTTAAACCCACTTTCTATGCATGCCTAGAGCTTGTGCAAGGCCGGCAGCGAGACCCAGCCAGTGCCATGTATCCTTTTGTTCCATTGGGCCACCCCACCAATTTGCGAGCAATATCGTCGCTTGCACAGTGGCGATACTGTCTGATTCGAAGTCTGCGTCGTAAAGGGCCTTCGCGCGCCGATAAAACATCAGGCAAGCTAGATACCTTGAAGACGCCCCAAGATCTCCTAGGGTGTCTTCAGGACAATGGAATGACGCCAGCATATATATTGCATTCAGCACCAAGGGTGATAAACGCCCGGATGCATGCAATGATGCAAAATCTGCTCGATTAAACAATGGGAATACCGGGTAGGAGTATTCCAAGAAGGTGGAGAACAATTGGTCGGATATTTCTTTGCGAGGAAAATCGAACGCACCAACACTCTTCAAATGCTGCTCATCACGGGATCGTAAGCTCTTCATGGTCAGTTGAGTTGCTGATCCCAGCTTCTTGACCATGTAGTTCTGCAGGTTGTCTCCCCATGCTGAATACTGCTTGTCGATGTTCTTGAATGGATCGCCGACTTCATCAATGACGTACTTCATGTTGCCAGAATCGCCCATGTAGACGATCTTGCCCGTAGAATTGCCAGAATACGTGGAGAGCGCAAAGTCTGGGAGAGAGGGGCTGACACATCGTTGCCTCTGCTCCGAAGAGCTGGTTTCTGGACCCGAAATTCGTGCACTATCCACCGGCGTCGAGTCGAGACTTGGGCCTCGTGCCTTGGAGGTTGTTTGTTGTGCATCAGATTGCCGGCTTGGGCCTGCCCGCTTGTGCCTAATGTTGTGAGGGTTATCACCTCTGCGTCTCCACAGCGAAAGGTGGACGGAAAACATACTTTCCTCTTCTCGACACGATGAGTTCGCACCTTGTCCCGGCTCGCCGGCAGTTGGAGCACGGATTGCTCGCAAGAGAGCGGTCGCATTTCACACGACGAGCATTACAGCCTTTGCAGGCTACCCGTACACGATGGCTGGCCTCGGCATCCGGCATCGCTATTGAAAAAGCTGTAGGGCTATGACTGCGTTTGGTAGTTTATGTAGATGAGACAAAGCGGGTCACCCATCGCCCTCTAGCGAAAGACGACACGGAGATGTTGAGCCGTTATGATTCATGGCAGACTCGATGATTCGAAGAAATGAGACATAAAGCAGCTTGCCTGAAGAGATAAGAGAAGGGCTGTGAGGGGCTGTCAGAGGAAGCTAGCGCCTGGGCCACACGACCAACAATTCGGCCGAGACGCCCATTTAATTGCAGCTCTGGGGAAGGCCTAACGCGGGTACAAGGACCCTCGGGCCCAATGCATCAATTGGAAATACGCATAGGCCTATATAATATGATTGCCTAGCTCCGCGCCAGGCTATCGTTGATTCGTTGCAAATCCTGACAGATGAACAAGCATCGCCCAAATGCCATAGACCTCTTTGAAAAGACCCGTGGATAATTCATTCATACATATAGGTAAATGAGTTCAAAATGGGACCTAGCAATTTGCTGCTGCTATATCATACTCTAAAACATTTGAAATCTGTGTATCTCAATTCCCAATACGGATAGATGTTGAAGAGAAGTATCTATGTATGAGTATATCCTCGTACGCTCGTACTGTCTCTCGCTTTCTAACCCGCCAATTCCACATTCAACACATTCACGCTCATCGAATGTAATGTGTGGATAGACAGCAACAGGAGTATCTCTTTCGAAAGGCAGGGGCCTGACGCCAATCACGATATAATATAGGCAGTTAGAAGTCTTTACTTTTGTAGATCTTAGGGTGACAGGGATGTACTAGGCAAGATTTGTGTATCGATTCGGAGGTAGAATGGAGATGGAGGTCTTTAACGCCGGAACAGAACAACTCACTCGTACGAGTGGACTCGGAGTACATGGAGAAGTCAGTGCCAAGGCGCTGACTGCCATCGAAGGTACCAGTGATCAACAGCGTTCACTCACACATAGGCTTTTGTTATAAAAAGCGAGAGTTCTGGCAGTGACCTGGCCTCAAGGGTGATGTTATACAAGTACTGCAACTGGCTAAGACTTGCCATTGATAATTGACCTACCAACAGCTTCGATCGACATGTCTTCTTATCTCGTAACCGGCGGTGGCCGTGGTTTAGGGCTGGAACTCGTCACTCAACTGGCCAAACATCCTGATACCTCCGTCGTCTTTGCAGCCACGAGGTCGGAACCATCGGAAGCTCTCCAGAGCTTGGTGACATCATCAAAAGGTCGAGTCGTCCATCTCAATCTGCCCGTCACAAACAAAGCTGGAGTTCAAGCCGGAGTGAAAGAACTAAAGGGGAAACTCGGAGGGAAGGGCCTGGATGTTTTGATCAACAACGCAGGCGTGATGCCATTCTCACTGAATGGCATTGCGGCTATGGACAATCTGCGGGAAGCATTGGAGGTCAATGTAGAAGCCGTACACAATACGACGGCGGCGTTGTTACCACTGTTGCAACTCGGCACAAGGAAAACGGTCTTGAACATGTGAGTACAAGGACCACGCCCGGAACTCTTCTGAATACCCATTGCCTCCACCGCGTTGAGCTCTTCGCTGCTGATCCCGTTCTTCGAGCAGATCTACCACGCTTGGTTCCATAGGATATAGTGAGAATTTCCGAGCAGCTCCAGTTGCGGCGTACAAAATCTCCAAGGCGGCTTTGAGCATGTTGACTAAACAGTACGCCTTCGAATATGAGAAGGATGGATTTACATTCTTTGTCGTTTCGCCAGGGGTACGCCCACTCCTATCCTCGAGCCCTCTCTGTCGCACGAAGCTAACATTCAGTTTTTGTTCACATCAAGTGGCTTCGAACAGACATGGGTTCGCAGGACGCGGACTTGGATGTCAGTGTTGGCGCAGCCGAAGTCATCAGGATCTTGATGGAGAGTAACCAGACGACCAACGGAAAATTCTTGAACATTCATGTTCCAGGCTGGGAGAATGCTGAAGGGCCTAATAAATATGATGGGGCTGAGGTTGTGTGGTAACGACATCACCCAAAGGACCAGGGCAATCGGAGAAGATGGTGGAAGAGGGAGTGAGAGTTTCAAGCCTGTGTAGAAATCTTCTACTCTCTTCCAGACGCCACAGTCTGTCTTATGAAACCATAAAGAATGGCTCTGAAACACATGGCAGTCACTGGGACGAGATCAATGGTCAGGTTTCCAGGTCCGTTAGGCTTTACATATGAAGAACTAGAAAAGTTTTATCGATATGGAGACGGCGGAAATGAGGATGCGGATTTCTAGGACTCCTTGGAAGGCCTCGTACACTGAGACAGATGGACTTCAAATGAAAACTACGACTAGGCACTCCAACTGTTCGCACAACTAAGAGAGCAAGGATTGCATGACTTGACTTGGGAAGAGGAAGAGCGGCGTCAATGGGAGCAACAGACTCGCTGGGCTTCACGTTCTAGGCACTCACTTAATGTTCAGTGCCGATACACTTCTATACATGGGAGGTATAGGGGACGAGCCTTGTCACGTGATTGCAAGTGAACCTCGCGTTTTATGATTATACGGCGGATCACAAATGTTTGTTCTTGTTGCCAGATATTCCTCAGTCTGTAGAGATCATCCACGGCCTATCGCAGGATACTTGATATATTCCTGCAAACGCAAACCTCAACAGTTGTTCTCCAGATACAAGACTAAAGGCATCGAATCACATCATAAAATGGCTTCTTCCGAGGATGCGCTCGAAACCTACACACATCTCCCTCTTCACATCGACCCTCAGACCAAACAGGTCACAGCCCTCTCATCGGACAAAGAATTGCAAGATGCTCTTGCAAGTCTAAACAGTCTACACACAACATTCAAATCTCTCGATACTCCGAACAATGTCCCACCTCCGCCGATGCCAGTCAATCCCAAAAGAACAGCACAGATCCATAAACTGCGAGACTCGGCCGCTGCCTCGTCGAAGAAGGGCAATCACGCCGATGCCGTCCGTCTCCTTGGGGTTGCCATTGACATGGCAGCCTCTCGACCAGGCTGGGAACCAATGGGACTGGTCAAGGAAGAGCTGGCTCTGATGTACCTGTCTCGAGGTGCAGCGCATGTCGGGATTCAGAACTGGCCTGAGGGCCTCAACGATGCCGAGTGCAGCATAGAAGCCAAGAGCGGCCCCAGCCAGGGACCAAATGGTGAACGCATGCCTGGAAACCCAAAGGCTTGGATTGTTGGTGGGAAATGTCTGATGGAGATGGGACGGTGGACCGATGCTGTGGACTGGCTGGAGCGTGCTCTAGAAAAAGAAGGCAGCCAAGGTGACGATTGTCGTCAACTGGTTCAAATGTTGATGGAAGCAAGAAAACGAGTTGGTGGGAAAGCCTAAAAGGAGTCGCATATATGCTTCCAATCACTCCAACCAGGGTCACACTTTTGATCCGCCCTTCTTGATCTCCTGACCAAAAGGACTGAAAGGGTACACCGAACGGTGAACACGTCTACGAGAGCGCAGGTGGCAGTCCGTCGTCGTGCCGCACACTATCGAACCAAACGAACAGAGCCCTCATGAGAGCGCCAACAGCCGAGGAACACACATTCGTGGGAGTTTATCGTCAGAGACAGAGCGTGCCCGGCTTCCTGGTTGAAAAGTACTGCTCCTCCCTCGCACGGAGGAGGTGGACTTGCTGCTCGCGTGTTGGTGACATGCTCCCATAACAATTGTTGATATGGCGATACCTTGGTGCAGTCCTCATCTCTGAGAGGCACTCTACACTGTATAGGCAGGCATGTGGCTGCCTCGGTGGTCACTGGTTGGGCAGCAGAAAGGACTGGGTCTGTTCTACGATGGAGATCCACATATTGCGGACATGTTTGTTGGTGGTCCTCGTGTGTCCTGCTATGGCTCTGGATAGCTAATGTAACACCCACGACAGGCAACATGGCCGCCAAGTCAGTGCAGTAGTTAAGTTATAGGTATGAGAATGAGAACAACCAAAATGTTCCTTTAATCCATGTCGCCATCGGCGTTGCTACTCAGAATGTGAATGTAGGAGAGCAAAATCTGGGGTGCTCGTGAACCGCGACCCACCTGCCGAGCCAATCCTGACTAGTTTCCAACACGATGAAGCCAAGTCCATCGTGGTACCACAACTTGCATACACACCGTACATAAATCAACAGTACTATGTGCCTATCTCGTATCAAAAGAGGCTTTACACGATGAAGATGACTTGCGCGTGACGCGTTCAACTTAACTGTACGGGGAGGAAGGAACGCTGGTCAAACATGGAAGGCACGCGGACGGATATTATCAACCCACAGTCGCGACAGCAAATACACGACACCCCTTGACACAGGCAGATCCTCCAAGCTCTGACATTCTTCGATGCACAAGTACTAGTCTAGAATTCTCCGCGGCATCTTTGAAGCAATGTATCGCCCAGTTCTCGATGGTCAGCTGGTCAAGCCAAACAGTGCTTCGACCTCGACCCGCCAGAACAACGACAGCGACAATTCAGACAATACCGTGCCGGGGCTGCAACAAGTCGAAATCGCTCGCAAGCGCTATCTTCAGGCCATTGAAGCAAATGAGGAAGCCAGGCGTCAGTACGCAGAGGTTGCAGCACGGGCGCAAATATTTGGCCATGAGGATTCCACTCCCGCTAGAGGGGACCGGGAAGCACGGCTGTCCCTGCTCATTGCACGACGCCAATTATTACGGCTACAGGAACGACATAGTAGCTTGGTGTGTTTAACAGAAGATTTGGATGCTTTCAAGCATTCTCGAAGTGTGTCGACTTTGGATATTTCGGGGTCCACAAATGCAACCACGCATCAACCCGAGGATCTTACTGCTCAGATTCAAGAGGCAACCGATTATGTCAAACAGTTGGTGACGGAACTGGAGTTTGCAGTCCTTCGAGCACGACATCAAGCCAAGTGGCAGAGGCAAGCACTGGATTCCTTGAAGCAGACCCAGGATTCATCGACTGCTTTACCAAGTGAAGAACAACGTCTGTCAGCATTGCAGCAAACTCGAAGTCAACTGACAACTTGGGTGGAGGAGAATTTGGACAAATGTCAACATGGAAATGATGAAGATCGAGGTTATGTCGTGGAAGAATCTAACGGTGACGAGCCAATATCATGGGAGCAGGTCATCGACCACGAGTACGAAAATTACCTGGAAGCAAGAAGACAAGTGGTTTCTCTCGAACAAAAGCTTCGGTCTGAGCTTCCACGGGCGCCCAAGAGTCTTGGACTTGATCAGTCACAGCCTCTGGCGGCAGGGCAGAACGGTGCAAGAAATGATCAGGCAGATCTCGTGGCCATTCTGAACCTGATTGAGAAAACAATATTGCCGCTCCGACAACAAGAAAGCAGAGCCAATGCCCACAAAAATCTGTCAGACGAGCAACAATCAAGTCTGGATGTCAGGTTGGCCCAGATGGTCGATAGAGTCAGTGACGAGAGCCAACTACTACAAGCTTTCCCGATGCTGGCGCACTCAGGGCGTCTCAAGCATGCCGCGACGGTGTTTGGCAAAATGGAAGCTGAGCATCAAGATGATATCTCGAGTCGTCTTCAACCCTGGCTTTTTGCCGCCGAGGCGGCTGATATCGCGTCAACAGCCACTCTCGACACGCATATGAAGCAAGGCAATGAGGCTATGAATTCTATCTCACGGAGTTTGAACGAACTAAGGCTACTACACGAGGCCGACGGGTGAATATATGCCGGGAATTACTGCTTTTTGTTCTGGGCGTAGAAAAAATTGGCCCCGACCACAGTCAAATCATTCTGGTCTGCCCAATCCCTCACCCCGTGTCGGACCTTGCCATATCCCCAGTGCTGTCGGTCTGCTGGGGCAGTCAAAGAGGACGAATCGCCTTGAAGCAAGACAAAGACATATCGATGAGGTCCTGTCTTGGGAGGAGGGCCTGGTGGCAAGTACTCCTCGAGTTCGCCCGACTTTTTCCCCAGGGTTTCCTGGGAGTCGAGTACGCCAAAATTTGGAGATGGGTCAATGAGTGGCAATGACAGGTTGGTGACAATCCAATGGCACATCTCCGACCACTTGGGATCCTCTCTCGACTTTGCATCTGGATCAGTAAGGATGAGGGTGAATGTGGCATTATTGGTTTCCACGGCGGGTGACGCCGCCGTGCTCAGAGGTTGGAAGGTGAAGACTGGGCGGTGTGAGACGAATGGAACAGGGATGTCGTTTCCCAGGCGGACGGATTCATGATGCTTGGGGTAGGTGATATCGATATAGTAATCTGGGGTGAAGTCGTCGAGAACATCTCCTATGATTTGGCTATCCTTGAGTGTATCACGAATGGCGTCTCGGAAGGTGTAGTCATTTTCAACAATCATCTGGTGGCCCAGGTCTCTCAGTGGTAATGCCGAGGAGACTGTAGCTATCACCAGCCAAGTCAACAATCTGTTCGAGAGAAACTTCATGATTGCGGGTATATTGATGTTCAGACTGGGACCATGGTGGGCAATGAAAGCTTCCTCAATCCGACGGGGTGAGGACTACAACTTGCTGGTTAGAACATGTCGTAATAAACCCCGCAAAGTCGCGCAATTGATCAGTTGGCCTGGCTCGTTTAGGATGAATCAGGTTGGTGAATACATGGCCCTCCGCCCGTTGGGTGCGAAGACGTCAGAGCAGTTTGATGGAAGCCTGGGAGGGGCGAATCATGAGAAAGTCAATCGGAACATATGTCTGACGAATAATTGGAGGACACAAAGGGCAAGTCAGGGGGTCCACGGGTGCATTGGGTTCTTGTCAGACTTGAATTATTCGCTCTGCTTTAGCAAGGTGGCTTCTCTCTCCAAATCCAATCATGAGGCATTCAGCCACAGGCGCCCGATTGTGGCCGATGCTGATGCCGATGCCTACAGGGAGCTTCTCAGGTGGTTTTAGGTAACCCCTCAGGCACCTCGACCCCCATCATCTCCCCCGGGCTCTACAACCACCCAGTCACAGCGACTGCAACTGCTACTGCGCGACTCCAGACTCGGCACTGTCCATTTTTGATGCGCAACCCGCGTCGCCATCTTGTCTCGTGCGGCAGCTGCGACCAACAAGTTTCCAATATCCTGCTGCTCCTGCCTCTAAAGATCTCCACAGTAAACATGTGCCTGCGCTCTTGATTGCTGCCCTCCATCTCCATCTCATTCTCTATCTTCATCACCATTACCATCTTGTCTCTATTCACCAGCTACTTCTCCTTTGTACAGTCTATAATTGGTCGATACATCCCACCCGACACGACACGAACGACACGCACAAACCCTCCATCGTGTCTTTCATCCTTCCCTCACCCACCTTGAGGTCACCACTCTCCCAAACCTACCTGCCAACTTTTCTTCCTCTCCCCATCCTCTCCCTCTTTTGACACGTCCCCTGCCAATTCGGCCACGGTCGTCGACAATGGCCACCCTCGGCGACGATCTCCTCCGCACCGTCAACAAACTCCAGGATCTTGTCTTCAACACAATCGGCAATGATTCTCTCGATTTGCCGCAGATTGTTGTTGTTGGCTCCCAATCCTCGGGAAAATCCTCCGTTCTCGAAAACATTGTCGGCAGAGACTTTCTCCCCCGAGGTAGTGGTATCGTTACACGACGACCGTTGATCCTGCAGCTCATCAATATTCCTCCCGACGATGAGGATGTCAATGGCGAAAGCGAGTATCTTGCACCCCACACCCCTGCCAGTGTCGCGTCACACGGCGAATGGGCCGAATTTCATCATATTCCCGGGCGCAAATTCACAGATTTCAACCAGGTCAGGGCTGAAATTGAAAACGAGACGGCGAGAATTGCGGGCAACAACAAAGGCATCAACAGGCAGCCCATCAACCTGAAGATATATTCTCCTCACGTCCTCAACCTGACCCTGGTCGATTTGCCAGGTTTAACAAAGGTCCCCATCGGAGACCAACCCGCAGATATCGAGAAGCAAACTCGCACCTTGATTTCCGAATACATTGCCAAACCTAACAGCATCATCCTCGCCGTCTCTCCAGCCAATGTCGACATTGTCAATTCCGAAGCTCTCAAGCTCGCCCGCCATGTCGATCCCATGGGAAGACGGACAATTGGTGTTCTCACAAAACTGGACCTGATGGACCATGGTACCAATGCTATGGATATTCTCTCCGGCCGCGTTTACCCCCTCAAGCTCGGATTCATCGGTGTCGTCAATCGATCACAACAAGACATTCAGACCCAGAAGCCCATGTCAGAGTCCTTGCGGTCCGAAGCAGAATTCTTCAGACATCACCCTGCATACCGGAACATGGCTACAAGATGTGGAACGCAGTATCTGGCAAAGACCCTCAATACCACCCTGATGGGTCACATTCGCGACCGACTACCAGACATCAAAGCTCGTTTGAACACTCTCATGGGCCAGACACAACAAGAGTTGGCCAGCTACGGCAGCAAACAGTTCAGCGGCAAGGAGCATCGAGGTTCCTTGATTTTACAACTCATGACCCGTTTTGCAACCTCGTTCATCTCCTCCATCGACGGCACATCATCTGAAATCTCAACAAAGGAGCTGTGTGGTGGTGCCAGAATCTATTACATTTTCAACTCGGTCTTTGGCAACTCCCTTGAGACCATCGACCCCACGACCAATCTCTCCGTCCTCGACATTCGAACTGCCATCCGGAACTCGACAGGGCCCAGGCCCAGCCTTTTCGTGCCTGAGCTGGCCTTCGACCTCCTGGTCAAGCCTCAAATCAAGCTCCTCGAAATTCCCAGCCAACGGTGCGTGGAACTGGTTTATGAGGAGCTCATCAAGATTTGCCACACGTGCGGTTCAACCGAATTATCGAGATTCCCAAGATTGCAGGGCAAGCTGATTGAAGTGGTGTCGGATCTCCTGCGAGAACGACTGGGGCCCAGCTCAACCTACGTCGAATCCCTCATCTCCATCCAGCGAGCCTACATCAACACTAACCATCCCAACTTCCTCGGAGCTGCCGCCGCCATGTCCTCGGTCATTGCGAGCAAGAACGAAAAAGACAAGAAGGCTGCCCAGGCAGAGGAGCGAAGGAAAAGAGAGAAACAACGACAGAGGCAGCTTGGCGCGAATGGGGTTGCTACCCCTGACGATGAAGAGGCCGAGAACGAAGACAAGCCAACATCTTTGCCCGTGCGAAAACACCCCGCACTCAGTCGAAGCATGTCACCTGCCGTCGCTCGAGACCGGGAAAATGGCAGCATCTCAAGCGTAACTGGAGCTCCTGGGGCCAAAGATTCTTTCTTAAATTACTTCTTCGGTAAGGACGGCAGTATCCAGTCCGCCAATCTCCCCTCAGCCACAGCGACCAATGGACCAGGGGCGCGACATGTCAGTCACAGTGCCGAGCCCAGTTTCTCTCAGAGCATCCGCAGACCAGAGACTCGAGGAAGCTTCACAGATCGATCCCCGGCTTATCCACCAGCTGTGGTCGATGATTATGGAACCGCTCCCTCGGAGTATGGCGGCGAGTCCAACTCATTATTCGTAAGTGAATACCCCATGTGGGAGATTTCCAGCTCTAACAGCAATTCACAGCCTGAACATCCGGCGGAGCCGGCATTGACAGACCGAGAAGCCCTCGAGACCGAGTTGATCCGGCGTTTGATCAGCAGTTATTTCAACATTGTGCGCGAAACAATTGCCGACCAGGTTCCCAAGGCCATTATGCATCTATTGGTCAATCACTCGCGGGACGAGGTCCAGAACCGACTGGTCAGTGAGCTGTACAAGGAGGAACTGTTTGCGGACCTTCTGTACGAAGACGACGGTATCAAGAAGGAACGAGAAAAGTGCGAGAAACTGCTGGCCACATACAAAGAGGCGGCCAAGATTGTCGGCGAGGTCCTGTAAGATGGCGTGTTTGAAGACTAGGGATGTACCACATGTAGAGTTTGGTTGACAGCTATAACCAAAAGGCGGCGCTGGTACAGGAGTTCACAACGAAACGAGGACTGAATGAACCGTGGAATGGCACCGCAAGGCTGGCAAGGCCGGCTCACTATTGACGGAGCGTTGGATCTCTCAAATCATGTTTTATCATATCAGACATTGCGACTACCTTTGCCCTAACCAGAGGGGCCACACCGATAGGGGTAGGTGCTTCTCAAAGGAGTCTCGACTCATCATATCCATCTTGTCACATTAACATCATCAATCAACCCATATCTCTCTAAACTCTTCCTTTTCCCAATCATCTTGTTGAATCAGTCCATCCATTCATTCATGGACGTATGAATATAGTACACACCATGATTTTTCATCTTGAATGTCCAAAGTCGATAGAATGTCTTCGCCGTAGATCTCGTTGTCAAATTCATCCATTCAACTCATTACTCGTGCTAATATTACAGGTCGCTGTCTGTAGCATTGGCCTGATACTTTTGTTAGGGAGGGACGGTTGAAGGTGCTGGCTTTGGATCTGAGGATGGAGCTTCTGACGACGAGGAGGACTCCGGAAGAGGAATAACAGTGACGATGACGGGTAGGTCTGTAATCGGTGAAGAAATATCGCCTTCTATCGATGTGGTCGACGCCAGCTGCGACGGACATGTGACAGTGGTTGTTTGAGTGGGAGAATCAGTAGAAGAGGTAGTAGTCGGAGCGATCGGAACTGGAACAGGTTCGAATGCTGGTGCGTAGGTGTTGATGGCGGTTGTGGGAGGCAGAGTGAGGATTCCATCCGGCAGGCTGCCCCTGGAAGGGTCTGATGTCGTCACTGGTAATTCAACACTCGACGTCGTTGATATTGAATCAACTGTTACGCTAGTCGCAGTGCTGTCGTCGCTGCTTAATGGGATGATAGTTATTATGGGTATCGGTCCCAGGGAATAAAATGGGATTGCCGATGTCGAGGTGTCTGAGTCATTGTCGGTGGAGTCATGATGGTCATGCCGCCGTAATCGTGGTGTGGTTCTGAATATCGCGGTTGCTGAGTCTGCCAATGCAACTGCGGCGACCGTGTCGGTTTGAACATTGAGTCCAAACACAGTAAAAAGTCCTTCTAGGCTAGTGCCGAGTGGCATAGTCGACACACATGTGATGGTCAGTGTACTGAAGACGACAGCGAGATTATGGATGGTTGGCATTGTGATGGGCGTCGTGTTCAGCAACAGGTAGAGTTGTCCCGCCTGACACGCGGCGAAAGAGTGAGTAGGAGGCTCAAGGTAGCTGTATCGAAAGGAAAACATGAACGAAGGCAGGATGCGCAGGAAGAAGCGCCGCAGGGAACAACAGGGCAAACTTCTAACAGAGGGGCAATGAAGTCATGGTCGCGCAAAAATCAAAAAGTCCAAACCTGGTCTGAATTGCCTACACCCTGGCGCCAACACGAACAAGGGACACGCCGTCGACCAAAATCGATCATGACCCCTTGGAGATCCCTGTCCAAGCCATCACCCACGCCACGATGGACGTCATCCAAAGGAAGCGCTGTGATGGTGTGCATTGCCGGGAAGTAGGTCTGCGTAGACGGGTTGATGGCGCCAGCTCGGCTGGTCGTCAGGCCACTGGCATGCTGGCGGCAATACAAGCATCCCACAACACAAGGTGCTTACCGGTTGGATTGGATGTCGAGAACAAAACTGGCATTGATGATTGAATGGGAATCGCCAGATTCTTGAAGAGGGAGAACAAATCCAAGTCTGAAACGTTGGATGAAACGCGGTAGAAGGGGAAAAGGGGTGGGGAAAGAGCGACAGCCAATCAGAGTCCATCAATGCATCAGCGCAACAGGACTCATGAGGAAAGAACGAATCATGGTAGATGGGCTGCAGTGACTCCTTTCCCTTGCAGTGGACCAGCGATATACGGAGAATGTTCTGTACGTGCGTGCATACCAACGACACCTTAGGCAAATATACATATACTTGTACATATCGTCGTTGAAATCATCTGTGGTCGTTGTCTGTCAGAAGTGGCAACGACAGTCAGAAAGTGGCTGTCATTGTCATATCTCGATGTTGAGTCTGGATTCTCTGTGTTCAAGATCACTGACAAAGGTCAAGGCTCTCTCCCTCAGTAATATCCCCTGTCCCCTCCTCCATACTCCTGATGCGTTCCTGGAAATGCTCCGACTGGCTGCCTAGGGTCGCTATCTTCATCTTCCGAAGTCCCGACATCACCCAGTTCAGTCTCGTCAGGAGGCGCTCTCATGGAAGCCAGTTCGTCCTCTTCGAGCAGGTGTGGTTTCCATCTTTCATCAATCGGCATGTTCATTCCGCTTGGGAGCATGGCCAACAAAGGCTTCCATTCGGGCACCAGTTGAACATTGATCGTGTCGTTTTCTTTGCTCATCTTTTGGTGGAGGAATTCAACGATCCGCACCTCTTCAAGCTTACCGCCATCCATTCCCCAATGTCCACTTCCTTTCTCAATCCGCTTGTCCTCCCTCCTCTCATTCCATGACGCTTTGAGCTTGCCAAGTCCAGATGGTTTCGAGCCGTCCTTGCCCACATCCACCCCAAGCTCATTCAAGGCTGCTCTCAGCCACGCGATGCCTCTCCCTGTGCTTCCTGATAGATCTTCATCAATGGCTTGAAATCTACAAGCCTTTGCACGGGCGGCTCTCTTTACACCGTCGCAGTATTCAATGAAATCCTTGGAGACTTTCGATCCTTCAATTTTCAATGAGGCACTCGCCGCGGTGGCATGTTCTGCGGCGCCAATACATAACCTGGTGAGGACTTGAGCCCGGACTTTGGGTATCTCTGGGGCTTTGATCATCCACTCTCTATCGTCTTTGTTCCGAGATTGTATGAGCAATGCTGGGTATGGGTCATCCTTGAGAACACAGAGAAGATTGAATTCGGCGTGCGCCAGACGCTGCAGCGCACTTTGCACTGATGGAGAAACATCAACAGCATTGGGTGGGAATGTTGGTGGGCCATCACTGGAGGAATTTGCTCGTTGGATGAGGTAGAAGTGAATGGAATACGCCATTTTAAGGCATTTGGTGGCATTCTGTATCAGTGCCGTCCGCTGTTCTGGACTGGGGCTTGATGATGCAAACAACCCGAGAAGTGATTGTCGAGCCACGAGAGTCTGTATCGAGGCAAGGGTATGATGGACAAAATAGATTTCATAGTCCAAACCTTTTCCTTTGACTCGCTCCAATTCCCGTCCTGGGATATGGTTCGAAGTCAAAGTGGGCCTCCACTCAATCTCGACTTCCTTGACCAAGGCTATGTCGACATCTTCCCCTGCTACGGGTTTCCCACTTAGTGCAAAGTCGAGGGATAAGAGATATCTGAGATAGTTCTGAGTCGTCGAGGCAAGACTGACAAGGTTGGCCGCTTGATCAGCCGGGTGAAGTCTCTTGTGATCTTTCAACGCTGAGCGCAGAATTGCTCTCTGAGATGTGGCTGAAGAGGGGAACGATGGATGGGTAGCTGAAGTCAGATGAGATTGGAAAGAGATGTTGGATGTGGTGGATAGGACGAATGGGAACGGCATTATGGAGGGCAAATTACTACAGGCAACATGACAATACCACAGATTCGATCAACCTCAACATGAATAGAGAGTTTGTCTTGGAATCTTTGACCAGGTTCAACTTGAGAGTTGACGATGCCGAGCTCATGGACGAATCTTAATTCCATGTCACGTGAACGTCATGTGACGTCGTGAAACCACACGTGACTTTCTCTGAGTGACATTTGGGCTCTCAATTCTAGATCCAGACAACACGGAGCTCTATCTTTTATTTCAGCCTTTAGGCCACAATGCCACACAATATATCCTACCAGAGGACGCCTACAATTTAAGCCGACAAGCCCCCGGAATAAGGCTACGTCCTTACCCACCGGAAGCAGATTCTATATCCAGAACACTAACCCGATGGGCCATGAGCCAGCTGGACTTTGCAACGAGCACTAACTTCAAGCACGCCATCGACACAAACACCGTGTACGCGCCGACCTCACCTGGTGTTTCTTCTGTGTGAAATGTCGGTGTCTCACCCGTGACAGCATTTCATCAGTCCGAATCCCATGCTATTACAATGGACTTAATTCCCACTTCAGGTCAAGATATTCCGGAACTTACGACACATCGGGACCCCATTGAGCTTCCCATGTCTACGGAGTATGTCCGAGGTGGGGAACCTTGTGAGATGACTTTGACTGGCACGAGTAAGGGAGTGCCTGGGAGGTTGTTCCGCGATGTGGGGAGCGGGACATGTGGTGGGTGGGACTTGCCGCTTACATAACGAATCAACCTCTCCTCACAACATGGAGGGTACCTGAGAAAATCGCAGATCGGTAACCATTGCCCACGGACAGTGCCCTGTGGGTAGAGTGGTAGGACTCTCATTTGTAGATGAAGGCTCAGCTCGCACAAAATGTGCTTGGGGCTGTTTGTGGATGGTAAGTCCCTGAACGCATAAACCAGCAGGCCTCGATGGAAAGGTAAGGTACAACTCGGAAATTCCGGGGCCACCGACAAACAACAAAGACGCTCCACATCTACGCAATGCTCCGACGTCGTCCAAGCAAGGGCACCAGTCACCGCCAACTGCCGAGCAGGTTAGTTGTGTGCGAATACTCTGGCCCCTGACGCATGGGTCCATCCGTTTCCAGTGGATGAGAATCGGGTGGCCGGATATGGTAGAGGATCTTACCTGTTTGGATCGACTCCTCAATATGCATGAGACACGAGCCCTGTATCGCAAATTACCCCTCCTCAGCAGCATTTCCTTACGTCTTTTCCGATCCAGGAGCGGGTTTTTTTCTTGGATTGCTGATCTTTAGGATTGAGGAGGGGTTGGGTTAGATAAAAGAGGCCGGGTCCTTCCTCTGTGGTTTCTTTGGATTCTATTTCCACATAAACTCTCTCCTCGACTCCAGCCCAACAACACCTACCATCCCATCCATCACCGATTCATATATATCAACAAGAACAAAAAGACACAAAAAGCAATTCAAAATGTCCTACTCTCTTCACCCCAACCTCGACAACGGCTTCAGCAAGGGCGACCCCAACTTCGTCGGCGGCAAACTCCACTGCCTGTGCTCTAGCAACCCAGTTGAGGTTACACTAGACTCTAATGTCCTTCACAATCACGCCTGTGGATGCAGCCTGTGCTGGAAGCCCAAGGGCGCCTTGTTCTCCATCGTCGCCGTTGTTCCCAAGGAGAAGTTGTCGGTGACCGCCAACGGCAGCAAGTTGCAGATTGTCAACCCTGCGGCGACCATCCAGCGATACGCATGCAAGGACTGTGGAGCACATCTGTACGGACGCATTGAGAAGGATCACGCATTCAAGGGTCTCGACTTTGTGCACGTTGAGTTGAGCGACGACAAGGGCTGGCAAGAGCCCCAATTTGCGGGCTTCGTGCCTTCTTTGGCTGAGCAGGGATTTCCCGAGAGCAAACTCGACGAGGTGCGCAACAAGTTGAAGAGCGTTGGTCTCGAGTCATACGATGCCCTCAGCCCTCCTCTGATGCAGGCTCTGGCCGACTTTGCTGCACAGAACAAGCTGTGAGTGGTAGATGATTGATGAGTCCATCTATCAGGGGGGGCTGCGTGGGAGGAAGCATACAGGAGAAATACATTGTAGGAAGTGAAGTATATTGCTAGCTTTCTACCACAATTTACAGAAAAAGTAGGCCTTTAACAAATGCACAACTCGATCTTTTTGTTCAAATCACATGTGGGAATTGTAGGGGGTGTGGTGAGTTGCCATATTTCGCTGTGCTTACTGTAAGAAGAAAACCACAGCGAAGGACTGTGTTCGAGGGGACATGACGGCCCGAGTATCATGTGATATGTTGTCAAAAATGCTCACACGGGAAAAATATGAGAAGAGAGGCCAGGTACTCAATGTTGACAGTACAGTAGTCGTGAACAGAAAGCCCGTACCTATCCATGGATGGTATACATGCCTACGATCCGGTGGAAAGATGAATCAGGAAACGTGTTGATCGACAAAACTGGGGCTGGTCAAGTTTACGCATTCACATTGGTGCAGTATTTCTTAGCACCAAGGAGGATTGAGTGGTACGACGACCAGCGTAAACACCGAGAAGAACTTGGATGTTGGTCTACCATTATTGCAAGTGTATTAATAACTAACGGACTTATGATGAGGTTCGGTCCGACGTTGTCTCCGTGGTCTGTTGAATTGTACTATTTACGCAAGAGTAGGAAGTATTTCGTTACGCTTGGAGGTGAAGCACTGGGAGCATTGAACGTCCGCTCAGCCCCACCAAAGTTCTCCTTCTGAATTATTATTAGAGAGACCGTGTTTATCCGAAGCAATCCACATGTTGATGGTGATGAGGATGTGACATGATAGACTTCCAAAAACCTCGCGATCAATTGCCAGCCACGGACAACACCAGCGAGGCCAACGTCTGACCCTGACACTAAGGGAGAAGTTCTGCCCAGCCATTCATAATCCCTGTTCGAACAACGACATAATGAGGGGTTGCTGGGCTTCTCCTCGACAAGAGCCATGGCAGACAATGTCATCTTCGGCCGTGCATTGCTACTGGCTACTCAGTGCCTATCGTTGAAACCAGAGGCCAGAAGATCTCGCGGTAAAGTCGGGAATAATATCTGGTCAATCATGTCTTTTTGTATGAATTCCCCACACTCCATTCAGGCCGGATCCCTACTACAAAGGTATGTACAGTGAGTGCAATTGGATGCTTGATCTGGGTGTTTGAGCTGCATCTTGTTGGATTGCTCCCCGCAATCTGTCTAGTACAAAACATCGCCGCCCTTTCCAGTGGTGTTTCCAGGTCGGCTGTCGGAGCCTGCTGTGCCCTTGGCCTGTTGAGCAGTAGGATAGTTGGTGTAAATCTCAGGGCCACCGGCTGGACCGTCGACGCCTGGCATGTAGTTTTGCTGTTGGCCTCGGTATCCCTTTTCTCGGTTTTCTTTTAATAATTGAAGGTATCGTTCTGAGCGTTCGGCGACCAGGTTAGTACTGACTCGCAGATATGTGGAAGAGTCTGGACCAAAACTGGCCGTGCATACCTCTGTATTTTCCGCACTTTTCCAAGTGATTGACTCCTTCGCGGGCGTAGCATTTACCTGCAAGAAGGTTTGTTAGCCCTGTATTCTCCGAGGTATCCATCATCTTCATTTCAAGGGAGACGTGTGCAAACTCGAGGGAGACTCTTGACGTCCAGCACCGGATGACTGTAACCATTTCTCTTCCATATACTTCCTCGAGCACCCCTCTCCTCCCATGAAACCAATTGTAGTCAAAACGTACCCATTTCTTCTCCCACTAATCTCCTCATCATCACCGTGACCCATTGTTCTCTGATGATGGCATCTCTGGCATCGACCACGGCCTGGTGGTCGGCAAAGTCAACACCTTGGAATGTAGGTGGAACCTTGGGCTTCTTCGCAAGAAAGGCTTCGGACTCGGGAGTAGGCATATTGGTGAATGAAGAAGGGAGGAATGCGCAAAACCTCGGTCTGTTGGTCGTGACGGTTTCGGGTTGAGTGATTGGTGATTAGGCGCAGACTGCTCTTCTCGCAGCTTTTATATCACCCAACGCCCACGCGTCTAGACAGTCGTCAACAGGCAGCTGGTTTCTTCCCGTTTGACGTGAAGGATGAGGGCTGGTTGAGAGTAAGTTGTCGATGTCTCGAATGCGTTCCTGACATTGAAACGTCTGTGATTTGCTACGGTCCAGCCAGAGCTCCGGACGCCAAGACTGCAGTTGCACCTTTGTTGCCTACTACTCCGCCGGGGAACTGCGGCGCAGCAGAAGGAATGTTGCCCCGAAGACATGTTGTCAGGGTGTTATCGAATCTAATCTGATGGTATCGATAAGATAAGATTGAATAGGAATAGTTTCATTGTAAGAACCATCTCATTATTGTTCATTCCGTCAGTGGCACTTACTATCTGCCTTACCAAATATATTTACCAATTGTGTCAGTTGCGCAGTCTTCATTGATTCCAATTATGCATGTTTGGCTTTTCACTATGGTCACAATAAAGACTCCAGATTCCATGTTTTCTCGCTCTATATCTTTTCATTATTGTTTATGTTCGCTACCGAATACGGTCGATTCTAACCGATCCTCTGCCTCAAGTGTCAAATCCACCAAATGACAACACAGTCCTCGACACCCTCTCTGCCCTCGGTGAAGCGACCTCATCAAGATCCACCACCTTCACGGCAGGAATTGGACCGACCGGTGTTCGCGATTTTGGAGAGATGGGTGTCCCAAACCAGGACAGTCGATTGGTCTTTGGGCTTGAGAAGAGAGTCGAACCATCAATCGAGTCACTTGACTTCCAACCCACCATTCCTCTCATAAAATTACCGACCGCTGCTGAACTCGCAGGACTCGAAATTGTGCTAAAACTGGCTTCGGACTCGACAGTACTGCTACGACGGGGGGTTTCTGGCGCGGCAACGGTAACTTTGACCGCTGGTGAGTCCGCCGACATGTCTGAGACCGCAGCATTCGTCGAAGACCGTGATCGCGACAAGAGCGATGGCGATGTACTTCCACCGGTGGCACGGAATCTTCTACCTTGCCAACCGCTGACGTTGGAGCCCATGCTTGAGATCCGCGAATTCAGTCGATCGTTCATGTCCTGTTGCGTCCGCTGCCAGAATGCTTGTAGACGAGTCTCTCGGTCTTCAATGCATACATTACACTGTCTCTCCAGGCTGATGGTATGCATAGGGTGGATCAGCTTCTCGTGACATTCGGAGTCAAGAACAGAGTCTATAGCCGTGCCTTGTTCTTCTTGGTCCACGGGTGGTGACTCGATCACCAAGTTATTGGACATCCCGTTTGACAGGATTTCGTCCTCTTCTGGATGAGGTATATTCCGTCTAGCATATTCGACATGCACCGCTGTCTCTATAGATGAAGGAGGCGATGCGGATGTATTGCTCTGTCGGCTGGCACAGCGTCCTCTAATCAGGATTCTCTTGGAACAAGGTGAGTTATGGACAGGGAACTCCGACATTGCAACATGGCCGCATGTCATGAAGACATAAGCTGTGTAATAACACATGACTGTGAGTGGAGTTTTTGTTTGTCGCTATTCCAAGATGCGCTGAGTGATATTTTGTGATTGCAATCTATGCAGAGTCTTTAATCAATCCGAGACTGCGCAGAAGCATGTCAGCCACTATAGGAAAGATGACACATGATGTTGATATTTTGTATTCAAAGTTGAAAGCAGCCGGCGAATCAGTCTGCTTTGTCGTGAGTCGTCAATGAACAGTGAGCATATCTTTGTTTCTCACCAACGAAGAACAAACACCTGCATTGTCTTTGTTGGATTCTAGCTGACCAACGACTGCAAACGATGTCCAGATACGACTCGAGATATGCCATGGAGGAGTTTAACATCAACGTCTTGCCAAAATGATTCATGTCAGCCTCACTCCTCCTAAGGAGGCCGATGGCTATCTACGGTAGTGAAGACGGAACATGCAGAAAATTACCGAAGAATGTTTGAAAAAAGTACACTGGGTATCTGTCTTTCTGTATGTGTATAGCTCCGCTGAGTTGATCATCTGTTGCCCTGCTTCCTAGAAATACATCGCAAACTCAACGACCCGCTCACCCATCCCTATGTAACCTACAGACTCAGTCCTCAGCAGCAAGAACAACGCCCGGACGAGCCTGATCATCTTGCCCCAAAGCCTGAGCAATATCCGCTTTCTTGCCGGTCCAATCCTCGTTCTCCTGTTCTTCTTCAAGCTCCTTTCCCGTCTTCTCACCCATCTTATGCAACTCTTGCGCATGTTCTTCAGTCTTGCTACCCAGATTCTCCGTCAACGAGTCCGCATCCTGATGCCCACCGCCACCACCACGACGGACCGCCTGAACGACCTCACCCTCGCCGGGAGCGCGCATCTGTTCGCCTTCAAGATTGCTATCTCCGGTCGAGTAGCCCTGTCGGTCGGATTCAGGGATTGATTTTTCCTTGAGTGGGCCCGTGTCGCCAGCGCCCAATGCCGACGGCTGGGCTGCTTCCCCGTGAGATGATGGGACATCGTGCGTTGATCGGTGGTCGATGGTTCGTGACGACGTTGCACTTGTGTCTTGTGATTTGATCTCTTCTGCGGATGTCTTGCTTGCTGGGTTGTTGGCTTGGTTTAGTCCCGTTTGCTGCCCTGGCTGGGATGGGCCTGAAGGGTCGAGGGCTGACATGATGGCAATGATGTGGAGGTGAGGGAAGAGGTTTACTTGATTGTAACGGCAGCTCTCGATGGGGAGGCTGTTTGGGAGAAAGTGAATTAAGGACGAACTGGGGAAGTTAGAAATTTCCGAGTGCGGTAGATAGATAGATCTTGGTTTTGACAGGGCGGCAGGTGCAACGGAAGTCTCTAACGGTGTCGTCTGATACAGCTAGGGCAGGAGTATTGGGAATAGAGGTGAGTATCTCGGGTGCTCAAAGTTATTGACCTAGTAGTGTATAAGAAAGATTGGGATGGTTAGTGAAGGGTGGTGTCAGACTTTTTAGAAGCACTGCTATATTGCTATGTCATTGCATGGTGTCATCTTGAGAAGGCACCCCGAATGATAACGCGACAGTCTCTGCAGGGCCTCTGCAGGGCCATTGCGGTGGTGGTCAACCATTCGGTAGATGGGAAATTGGCTACAATGACATCACTGAGGTTGGAAGGTTGAGATCGACAATCAATAATGATGATGACGTGTGGAGGAGTTTGGAGAGTCATAGGGCTATCACGTGACTTACACAGGCATCAAAGACTGCACGTGACATGGCATCCACCCCTTTCGACAAGGCTGAGTCATCGAGATAGGATAGACACAATCTATACTACTACTACTACTTCAACAGGCTGCTCTAGGTCAAAAAAGAGATGAGTTTGGTTGTGTCAATTGTGATACACGCATGTCGACACTTTCACTATGCCTGTCATGTGATCATTGAGATGCTAACACAGTTTCCGCCTTTCGTAACAGTTTGACTCCGTCTTGTCCTCAACTTCACGGATGATATATTGACTGTAGAAGTTGTGAGTCAAGATGCAGACTGTGAAAGACAGACAAACGAAGTGTGCACATGTCCAAGTTCAGAGTCCATCCCATTCAGAATCAAAACGGTGAATTTCATTCCTTCGTTTGTGAGATTTCTAGATGTCTCACGTTTCCCCTTCCGCTGCACGACATGATTGCAGTTCTGTTTTCAGATCTTGACTCTTTTTTCTCTATCCGCGTCTCGAACATTTCTTTTTCCAACCCCGCCTTTCTTCTTCTTTTCTGCCTGTTCTTGATTCTACATCAACGGATGATGTCCCTTTTTGAGCGATTCACCATTGAAGCAGTATTGAACATGTTGGCGGCATCGGTAGCCAAGTTACCGCCCCCCCTTGAGTAAGTCCTCCACCAGCGTCGCAGACTAGACTCGTCGCTAACAAAAAAAGTCGGGAGCGTATATTCAGCGTCTTATCTGCGGAGGCTGTAGTGCAGAATGAGCACCACAAACTGCAAAAGGCCGTTGATACAATCAAGGACCACAAGTTCATGATTTATGGTCGTCAATTCAAGCTCCGAGAGACTGTCATCCCAGATGCCGTGAGTGATCTTGAAACAGCCAGAGTAGATATGTGCCAATCTGATCTTAGATCCTTGCCACCGCTTCCGCCACCCCCCCTGTGCCTCAAGGCATCTGCAAGCTGCCTGCCGAGCTACAAGACATGATCTGGGCTTCACTCGAGGTCCCAGACCGTGCCATACTCGCAATGACGTCCAAGAGCCATGCAGAAGCATACAACAGTCTCAAAAAGGCCTTGATTACCCGTCGAGGCGACACTGTTCCAACTATGCACAGACTTCCCCGTCCCACGAAAATCACCAAAGTTCATCGGCTCAAAGTCCTGGTTCGGTTGAGGAGTTGGATGCCGATCAACTATCGGCTGTGCTACTCTTGTGTCACGTTTCTAGACCTTGTCCAGTCATCCAGATCCAACGGTGACTGGGGAGGCGATCAGCAGCTGGTCAGCTCTGGGCTTGCAACAGAGGCGGCCATGATGAGAGGCCCCCATTGCCCTCTCTGCGTGAAACGCCGTCGCATTCGGCTCGCCAAGGATCGCAGAAGCTACAAAGCCTACACCTCGGCAATCAACAAGATTTCTCTGAGGAGTTGAGAGATGGGGTTCGTTGTTCACACGCTTTGATGATATGCCTTCGGATGCTAATAATTGAACGTCTAGAAGGCAGAAATAGCCAAACTCACACAAGTGGAGAACGGTATCTTGATTCTGGGCGCACCGTCAGTAAGGACGATGGCTGTCGGGTCGACTGGGACGATATCAGGGGATGACTTCAAGGCACAGCATGCAGCGCACAATGGCCTTAGCTTTCCGGAGGTTGACTCTTGATGCGAGGATCGGTGTCATCGAGCCTGTCGGAAAAAGGGCGATAAGGCGCGGCTATTGCGTGTGGCTGTGGTTTGGCTGATCCAGGGTGTGGCTCTTGACCAAAACCTGGGTAGTGCTGCTGGACTTGATGGAGGCGATCTAGTGGCTCCCCCACAATATGATACTTCTTCCACTCGATAGGAGGCGTTCTTGCTATGTTCTGCGGAGTCGGAAACCTGCCAAACTTGGAGGTGCTATCCGCCTGACTTTGACCTGGTGATTCGAAACTGTCCGAACCAACGCCTGGATTGGATGGCCGATTTAATTTGCCTTGCTCGAGGTCAAGGACAAATTGATCTGGGTCTTGGAGCGCAGCAGCTTTCATTCTATCGAGATCTCGCATGTCCTTGAGAGCCTGCTGACGTTGAATTTGAAGAATGGAGAGGGCGGCTCGCAGAGCAATGGCATCGGGGTTGTCATCAAGACTGAGCGGTAATGCTTCAAGGTCGGCTTCATCCACCCATTGAGGCGGGGGCGAGGCTGCACCAGTCGCACTATTGGCAGCCGCACTTGAATGGGACAAGGTGGGTGTGACAGGAGAATACGAAGGTCTCTCTGGACTCCCTGTAGACTCGTGTGCTAGCGTGGCGAGACGGTGTGCTGCAGGATCTGTAGAATCATGTGCCCCAGTGGCCTGGTTGATGTGGTCTTCGGGCATCACCAACTTGAGCGGTGCAGATGGGGACGTATCAGGACCACTGGTGTCCCTGGGACCGGAATCGCTTGGCGTGGTCATTGGAGTGAGGGATGTGACAAGGAGCTGCTGAAAGAGCCCGAGTATTGCGAGCCGGAGGTTGGTGAACCAGGTTTGGATGATGCAAAAGGAGATGTTCTAGGCACCGAGCAGTGGGGATGGTCAACGGGCAAGGAAACGGTTCAACCTTTGGGCGTGGTGGCTGGCGACTGATTGGCGAGCCGGGGAAGAGGTCAAGAGAATGGGGCCGAGGGGCTGAATCCAGCGCGAAAGAGTCTCTCAAGATGCGTGGCAAGTGATAGCGGGGTGCGTGGCAAGGATGCAGGGTGCTGGATACCCAGAGTTTGAAGAAATTCGGATGTCTTCGATATTCTGAACCATCTAGACGGAGAAACAAAGCCGCCGTGAGACAATACGTGAGTGCGCACGATGTTTGATGTCGAAGTTTGTTATGTTGATTGATGTGTGAACAAGAAAGTGGATGATGAGTCAAAGCTTGGAGCGACGAGTTTACTACTTGTGGCGCTGGAAGGCGCAGATGCAGCCTCTAACCTGGGCAAGAAACTCAGGTGTTGCTTGGAGTGTTAATCTGAAGTGCCACCAGTGCTTACATGGGTTAGAGACCTGCGGAAGTGCCCCCCGGGGACCAAGCGGCCCCTCGGCCTGACTCTAGTTATGATTTGGGCGCCAAGGCACCTGGAATGAGCGACCAATACCCGCCGGAGATAGCCTCCCGCCATTTCGATTTGTCTCTCCTCAGTAACGCCATATGGAGCGTATGACTCTACTTTGAAAGATGTCTGTCAGATGTACTTGGGCAGCACTCAACAAGTGTATCCTGTGATAGCCAAGATATCATATCAATATCACCATAATCCATCAACATGGTAGGCAGTTATCCCTCCGTAGCCTGGTCGGATTCGCCAGGCAGCTTGAGATGCTTTTTGCCACGTGCCAGCCCGTAGACGACGTGGGCTCATTCTGCCCTGTGCGTGTCCCATGAAACTCCACCCAAAGCCCGAAAAGAAAAAAGGGCTGACCTTACATAGGGCTTCAGGGCCTGAGGCAGCCTGCATGCAATATCAATTTCAGCCCCCCTGCATTTGTACTCGGGGGAGGCCAGGATCCCCAGACAAGCACTTTAACAAGGAGGAGAACTTCAATCGCGACAATGTCTCATTCTGGACGCCCTCTCCGGGGGTCTCAAAGGATTTTCGTGAGAAATGTATCAGATTATACTCCCTTGAGCTACAGTCGAACCCATCAAAAGGGCTCCACGTGGATGCAAGTCTGGTTTGGAGGTGGAGAGTTGGGCTTAAGGAAAGGGACGACGATGTGCCTGCCAGGAACCTACCTGTCCTGTCAAGAGAGGGGGCATGGGAACATCCGAGCAAGGACGCTGACAAGCCACCGAACACTTTCAGCTTAAGATTACCGAGTGATTCGGCTCTCGGGGTGCGGATGCGATGGGGTAGCCCCCCGATCTGATCGAGATCTTAATTAGCGCGGCGATTGAGTAGTCTGTAAGCGTAAGCGTAAGCGTCGGGCACGAGAGCACTACCAATGCTACCACTGTATACTGGCAAGACTTCTACTCCGTACAGTGTATGTAACGAGTGAACATGTTACAGGTCTCCAGGATCATGGATCAAAGGATGCGCTTGACGCTTGACGTGTCGCAGCTCACATGGCAATGTGTCTCAGGGACAATCCCTGTGGCCCGTGCAGTTGAATTGAGACAACAACGCGCTGGATGGGAATGTGGGGAAGAAGAAGGGTGCGACCTACTAGACTCCGTACATACTCGTCCTCCGTATGCATTATGTACAGGATTTTAACAGAGTCGCGTGGCGTTCTTTCCTGCTCCCTGTCAAGACTGCAGGCTGCAGCCTGGGCACCAGCGCCTGCCACTTTTCACACGAATGACTGGCAGTTGCTCAACACGCAAGTTGGAAGGTTGGAAGGTGGGAAGTCTCAACTCCCAGAGCTCTTTTTGACTCTTTTTGCTTTCACTTTCTGCTCCCCTCTTTGTTTCGAATCAGGGCTCCTACATGGACGAATAGACTCATGCTGATCTCCGAGATTAAAAGCCTGCCACGTTGAATGCAAACTTACTTCAGCTTTTGCTCTGAGGCGTTTAAACTCCCTGCCGCAGTTGCCCATTGATGCTGTCATTTACGTGTACTGCCACCAATCCGAACCTCCACTTGCGTCAGCCACTCACTCCATGTTCCTTGTGTCCAAGACTTTCACAGTGGAGAATCATCTTCGCACCTCTCGCCTTGCCTCGAATGCCATCTTTTTTTCTCTCCGTCTTGGTCCCGAGCATTCAACGTCGGCTTCTCGTCATCCACGTTAATTCTCATTCCTGCTGCGGCCAGCACTGCCAGATCTGCCCTCGTGCCCACGTGCCCTCCAGTACCCCCCTTGTTTCTGCTACCCATTCATCCATGTGGAGCTTTACCTTTGCTTAATGACAGCCAGCACGTTCCTCTTCCAGCCATGTGCATCCCATCCCCCCTGCTGCCTCTCTCTACTCTATCCCTCACTAACCAATCCCACCCTCACCTCGACCTCATCCCCCGGCTGTTCGCCATTTCCAGCAACATGCGTAGGCTGGCGTACAGTAGTAGACTTCGGTAAGAGCCGCCGCAACGCCCACCAAAATATGAGATGTGTTGCCACTGGTACGTCAAATCTTTGACGCGTGATCTACGATCTTAATCCACCCAACGCCCTATGGCCCTGCCAATATGAACCCACTCCCCAACTGCCCACGCCAAAATCATGCCTAATATGAATTCTCCTTGACGGCGTCTTCTCTAAGGTTCTTCGTTCCATCCTCCAGCGTTTTCGACACCCATCTCTACTCGAGCTTCACATCTTCCACTTCAACCAGGATCACTATGACTTAGGAACTTCAGTGGCCACCGACCACAGCATCCCATTGCCACTTGGCTCACATTGTTGCTCCGACGGTGCATTTCGTCGTTTTCGAACTCGGCCAGTCTCACACTCAGTTCGGTGGCCATCATGTTGAAATAAACCATCGATGCTATAGTTTCGTCGAACTATTAGCTGCCGACGTAGCCATGCAACCGGCACCCGTTGGCCGTCGCAAGGACGGCGCTTCTGCTGCAGTTCCCAATTTGAAGAATCGCCAGTCCTTTCACTCACAAGAAAGCGTACCTCTCGGAGAGCTCAGCAATGTAAGCAAGTCAAACTCACGGTCCAAATCCACCACTCGTGACACAGACCAGAGTGAAGAGCGGGAGAATCTCGTTTCGCCCCAACAGCCGAGTGAAAAACCCCGCATGACCATCAAGGAACTACGGCAGGCTGCCCAAGAAGCTGCTCAAAGGAAGTCTACTCAGGTTGAGCACGGGGGCAACTCAATTAACAATGCACCTCTGGCCAAAAAGAAACCCTCTTTGTTTGGGGGCCTTTTTCAGGTCAGAGAACCCACACAGGTGGCCTTGAACCAAGTCGCCGCTCAAATGATTGCGCAACATGGTTCTACCAATCCGGCCAAAGTCCCCCATGTGAGGATGGAAAAGATGCCCGATTATGTGCCCAAAGTCAACAGCAAATGGGATGGCCTACCTGAAAGCATCAAGCAGAGAGACAAAAGGGACAAGGATGGTTCCAAAATGAAGAAGATGGATTCTTCATTGTTCACAGGACTAGGAGGTGCCAGAGCTACTTACGACAGGCGGAACTCCAGCTCATCTGGCTCCTTTGGAAGTCGTGGAAGATCTACACTTTCGAATAGAGAGGCACCCAACACTCAATTCTACGCCCCTTCCATCAATTCCTCCGGGGACCTTGCCATGCAAATGCCTGGCCAAGCCCGCAAACGTGCCGGCTCCATGAAATCTCAGAGCTCCTCCTCCAAGAGTAATCCCGAGAGCTCTGCTGGGCAGGCAACCGACGCATCTATCGAGGAGATGCCCGAAATACCAGCGTATCTGCGCGAGTTCATTGGATCTCATTCAAATCAAAACACTAGCAGCCAAGACTGCCCTCCTAATAAGGCAGTCTCTGGGCCTTCATCCTCGACCAGGCGGAGGGCGATTCCGGACGTCAAGTCCCCGCCGACCATTGATATGGTCCCTGACTATTCCATGTCACCTATTCCCTCCCCTCGCGATAACTTACCTCTGACTCCGTCCACACAACAGACCGAAGAGGACCCTATCCTAGTGACCAACGACTCGTTACACGATCAAGTCTTGCTCCAACCTTCCCAGCATTCCAAATCCCCACGCTCCAAACCTGTACAGAAGCCCCTTCGGAGCCTCGACCGGGCCTTCTTGGCCGACGAGGCGCAGGAGTTGGTCCTCCCTCAGGACGGTGTCACCCAGACCCGATGCTCAGATCTCCCATTACGCAATTGGGACGAGGATCTACCGTTGAGGCCGGGTCATTCATCTTCATCGGCCAATTCCCGTAAACTGCGAGACCTTGAGAAGAGGCCAAACAGTTCCCGAGCACGCATAGGTCTACGAGCAAGTCTGTTGGTCGACACTGACGATGATGACAGACCTTGGACTGCACAAGAGCACCAAACGACCTCTGCAAAAGGCGCAAAGCCTTCAGCGACTTCATTAGTACCCCATCGTCCGAAGAAGTCAAAAGGATTTGGGCTTTTCGGCAAGGAAAGGCCCGCCGGTTGATCATTTACGCCCTTGAACACTAGCAATCTTGCAAACGAACCTGGATATGCCCAGTATAGCGACGAGGAAATCTGCGATACCCAACTGATTCTGGAAGTACATATTTCGCGGCAACGACTCTTGGTTGGCATATGAAAGCGGTGATTTAGCGAACTGATTTGAGCGATTGAGCATAGTTTGAACTCGGCATGATAGTCCAGATGACTTGAATGGACTTGTACATATCTATCGAATTGCATTGAACGCTATGTTGAATTGTGCCCATTACATCTCGTTTCACGTGATCCTTATGATGCTATTCCACATCTTGTATGAATTCCCACATAGCTGCATGACTTCTTGTGCCACCCTCTTCCGGGACTAATTGAGTTTTGTCATGTCGATGTTCCGGCCAGAATCGTTTCAAGTGGGAATACCTCAAGTCCCAGAAAGTGGTGTGACTGAACCAAAAACATAAGTTTTCATCGATTGTATCATCAGACGTTGGTTGCGGCGACCCACATTTTTATTTCTTCTCCACAGCATAAATTGATACTTTTATTTATTGTCCATGTTACAAGAAATCCTTCACCTACAGTAGTTCGAACCTCGCTGTCCCGACCGGCGGTTCTACTTCAATCTGTACGGCTGATTGTAAAGGACTAAACCACAAGCCTCATCACCATGAAGAGGCCGTTAGAACATGCACAGGTTCCTGCAGCCAAAAAGCGGTCGACCTTGGACATCGACACAAAGTCAGCATTCCGCAACGACTTATTCGAACCCAACACCCAGAAGTCGTTCCGCTCCTACTACGAACAATCCGGTCCCTATCCTCATGCCGTTGTCCCCTCTTTGATCCAAGAAGACCTCCTCCGCGCCGTGCGCAACGAGATCACGACTCACATCCACTTTACTTTGAAAGAGACGGACATCTATCGAATCCACCAGTCTGGCGACCTAGCCAACTTGTCCAACCTCGACGCAGAAGCATTGAAACATCTACCGAGCCTGGTCAGACTTCGAGATGCACTGTATAGTTCGGAGTTCCGACACTGGGTGTCTCATGTCACAGGCGCAGGAAAAGTCTCCGGGAGCAAGACCGATATGGCGGTCAATGTCTACACTCCAGGGAGTTACCTGCTCTGTCATGACGACGTCATTGGCAGTCGAAGAGTCAGTTATATCTTATACTTGACAGATCCAGACCATCCATGGCAACCGGAATGGGGTGGAGGATTGCGATTGTTTCCTACGGAGCCGAAACGGAACAAGGCTGGCGAGGACATCAAAGTCCCTCTTGCAGAGCATAGTCTCAACATCCCACCTTCTTTTGGACAATTGAGTTTCTTCGCCGTACGACCAGGCGAGAGCTATCACGACGTCGAAGAGGTATACCACCCCAGCGAGCCTGAAGTCGATGGCGGCAGGATCCGCATGGCCATCAGTGGGTGGTTCCATATCCCTCAAGAAGGCGAAGACGGGTTCGAAGAAGGAATCGAACAGGCACAAGCACAGAGATCCAGTCTCGCACAACTGAAAGGCGCTGCAAACGAGTTCGATGAACCACAGTTGACATTCCGACATTTCGACGAACCTCGCAATGTCATGGACAGCAAGGCCGCAAAACTCGAGGTTGACCCCGGCGATGACCTCGACACAGAAGATGATCTTCTCACTGAACAAGACCTCACTTTCCTCCTTCACTACATCTCACCGAGTTTCCTAACTCCAGATATGATCAGCGACTTTCAGTCCTTTTTTGAAGAATCCTCCAGCTTGGAACTCGAACAATTCTTCAACGCCAAATTCGCCGCCGAACTCAAGGACTATATCTCCTCAGTTGAACAGGACAGCTCACAATCAGACGACACAGCCGTGGAGCAGGTATCTGCTCACCCATCCAAATGGGCAGTCGCTCGCCCACCCCATAAACATCGATATGCCTATCTTCAAGGCTCGGAAGCCTTACATCAAGACAAAACCCCCATTTCACGCATTCTAACCGATCTGCTGCACTCGCACGCATTCAAGAAATGGCTCGCTCTCGTGACCGGCATCAGAGCCAAGAGTCTAGTCCGTCAGAACGCCATTGCAAGGAGATTCCGTCGTGGTAAGGACTACGCACTCGCGAATCCATATCAGGGCGATCAGCCACAACTGGAATTCACCATCTCCATGACTCCAAGTGAGGGATGGGAGGCGAAGAACGAAGATGAAGATGAGGATGAGGATGAAGGCGGAGATATCAATCATCAAGAAGACCATGTCACAACTGCAGCTATTGGTGCGCACGAGCGTTTGGCCAGTAACGGTGGATCTAAAGGCCACATTAATGGCGATGTCGAAGATAAATCCACGGGGAAAGGGAAAGGCAAAGCCCTCGAAACCCCAAAAGTCAAAGTTGATCAACCATCACATATCGAATTCGGAGGTGAAGAGGCATATATGGCAGGTGACGACGACGACGACAACGAAGATGACAATGATGACCAGGATAATGATAGAGAGAACACATCATCATCCAAACCATTACCAAGTGTTGGCAAAAGATCCGACCCGGCGGTGTATCGATCTTCGAATGGCGGTCAAGGTGGCGATGATGATGATGGTGGTATTCTCTTTGCTAATTCACCGGCATGGAATAAATTCTCGGTCGTGCTCAGAGATAAAGGTACTTTGAGGTTTGTGAAATATGTTAGTCGTGCCGCGGCGGGGGATAGGTGGGATGTTAAGGGCGAAGTGGAGTTGGCGGAGGATGCTTTTGATGGGGATGGAGAAGAGGACGAGGATGGGCCTGAGGATGACGATGAGGAGGATGGGGAGGACGACGGGGATGAGGATGATGAAGCGGAATAGTGTGGTCCCAGAGATGAGATAGATGTGGATGATGATAAGCAGGACTATCCTAGGATATTCTTGTCAAGTGAATGGACGACTAACAGCGAGATACGCTTGCCACAAATGGATGAACATGGTTTGGAAAGAAGTGTGGATTGTTCTTTTGGACCATTGCAAAAACTATGGTCTTCTTCTATCAATGCGTCATAGCTATGTGATACCCAGTGCTCTGGGCATCATTGCAGATCAAAGGGAAGTCTCCCGTTCCCCCATATCCCTCATGACATGTCTTCCTGGTCAGCGAGGTCCGGCATGAACTTCTCGAATCTTGGATAACCTAGTCTGGTAACGTCTATCGAGATGTCCAAGTCATGGGCGTTGCACGTCTCGTCTCGTCTCGTCTTGTGGGAATCATGGTATCGAGTGGACTTCATAGTCAGGTATCCGAGAAATCCCTCGTCTGCATCATCAATCATTCTATCCCAAACGCCTGCAGTGCTGCGAGATGGGCGAACCAGTATGTCTTGCAATTTTGAAGTTCAGATGCACACATCTCCCTGGAGAAATCCCTCTCGAGGAATTTTCCTCAATCAATCGGTGTGCCAATCACAACAGGCCATTCATCAAAATATGACGCAGAAATGACTCGGCAGTAGCAGATTGAGACTCTACACCTGTCCCATAGAGACCATCTTTTTCCGCAGATGGTTCTTGTATTCTCCGATTGAGCCATCCCATCGGCGCACCGTCTTGTTTTCGCAGACCATAATGTCCTTTGCAATTTTGTCGAGAAGTCTGTTTCTGCGTTAGCTAGTGCTCGGATGTTGTTAGGTAGGGAGGAACATACCGGAAATCGTGGGAAACAACGACCACACCGCCGGAGAAGGCATTGATGGCATCAGCCAGCGAATCAATGGTGGGAATATCAAGACCGTTGGTGGGTTCATCGAGTAGCAGCATGTTGGGGCTTTCAATAGCAAGAAGAGCAAATACAACACGAGATCGTTGCCCTTCAGATAGTGTGCCCATCAGAGCCGTCTGTGCTTCACCAGACAGTCCATATCGGCCAAGTTGTTGTCTCCAGTATTGATAATCCTGAGAAGTGGAAGCGTACTTGTCCCGAACAAAGTCCAAGGCAGACTTTGTCAAGTCCAGCTGATCAGCAGAATGCTGCGAATAGAGGCCGAGTTTCAAATGTGTGTGCCGACTGACACTTCCACTGGTGGGACTGAGTTTGCCCGTCATGATACGTAGCAATGTAGATTTGCCCACACCGTTGGGTCCGACGAGCGCGGTTCGACTGTCCATGTCAACACCAAAATCGAGGTTCTCGTAAAGGTTGTCTTCCTTCTTTCCAGAGTAGCTGAAAGTGACATCATCGAACGACAGGACTGGAGGCGGCAGTTTCTCGACATCGGCAAATCTGAAAGTGAAGACACGGTCTTGATGAACGGGCTGAATGAAACCATCTGCCTCCATTTTGTCGAGAATCTTCTGTCTGGACTTGGCTTGTCTGACCAAGTTGGCATATGTACCGGCGGAAGCGATAAACTTTTTGATGTGTGCAATTTCTTCTTGTTGCTTGACGTATGCCTTTTGTTGGTTGACTTCTTGCTCAGTTCGGGTCTTGATATAGGAATCGTAGTTACCACCATAATACATCAATTGTCGTTGGCGCATATCGATCATGGTAGTGCACACTCCGTTCAAGAAATCCATGGAATGGGAAACAAGAATCAAGGTCTTGTCCCATTTCTTGAGGTATTCTTCCAGCCACACGCAGGCTTCGAGATCCAAATGGGCAGTTGGGTCATCGAGGAGTAGCAGAGAAGGCTTGACGAACAGAGCACGGCCAAGAGCCACACGCATTCTCCACCCACCAGACATGTCCTTGGTCTTTTTGTGGATGGTCTTTTTGTTGAAGCCCAAACCGGTTAGAATGAGTGAGGCTCGGACTTCGAAAGTATTGGGATCCATTGCTTCGGAGCGCTAAATTGTGTTAGAGTCACGTTTGTTTTTGAACATCTGATGCACGACTTACCTCGTATACATCCATAAGGGCAGGGCTCTCAGGGCCCTCTCTCTCCAGGATTTCCTCTGCGAGGTCATCAAGTCGTTTGACTTCTTTCTCAGCTTCCTTGACAACCCATTCCAAAGCACCTTGGTCCGTGGGAGGAGCACCCTCATTGAGGAGGTAGATATCCAAATGGTCGGGGAAGGGAAATTCTCGTTTTTCGATGGCTTTGAGCAGCGTCGATTTGCCGCAGCCGTTCTCTCCCAAGAGACCATATCGTCTGCCGGCATTGACCTCGAGGGTCGAGTCCGAGATCAAGACCCTACCGTGAAACACAAGAGATGCGGAAATGATTTTGACGTCCCGGCTAGACTCAACGGAAGCCAATACACCGGTGGTGACTCGATCAGATAGACCGTGCTTGTCCAGTTGATCAGTTAGTTGTTTGACCTTGTCCATTTTATCGACGGATGTGGCGGGGGCGTCATCTTCATCCTCTTCACCGTTGACGGAAGAAGCCTTGGAGCCGGCGGTGGAGGGGTTTTTGGAGCCAGCCTTGGAAGAAACTCTGGAGGCAACGGTCTTCTTGTCTCCCTTTTCGGCCTTTTTGGCCAAACGGGCAGCCTTGGAGGATGACACAACCATATTGACTGTTGTTTTAGGAAGGCAAGGATGAAGGATAGAGGAAGGCGAGAGGAGGCAGTGGTGGCGGCGGTGTTGTCTTATCAACAATAGCCAGCCGCAGGCAGGAGGGGTGGTTCAAGGGCCAATTGAGGGGTATAGAGTCCGAGAGATTGACGACCAGACTGTCGATGAGACAGAGTAACAAGTCGACAAGAATAACAGTGGAAAATTGAAACAAGTCAAGATGGAGTCCTGTCTTTATGAAAGACCCAGGGATAAACAGGCAGTGGTGGGGAGGGAACACTGGCAGACAAAAAGGTATGTCTGAAAATTTGGGTGTTGGACTCAATCTTTTTGCGGGCCCAGGGTTTGGGCGGCGAAGTGTTACGATAGGCTTAGAATTGGAGAGTCAGGCAATGGACGCTGTGCATAGGCAGCAAGTGGCAGCGGGTGGGCACTCACCACGTCACTATGCCAAGTCCACGAACACAGAGGCAGAGGGGTCAACCAGTCAGTCAAGGCCACTTATGAGGAGTCCCTAACTTAAGAGGCAAACACAAAGAGGTCCGTACCACCTACGAGCCTCAACGCAAACGGCTGGGGAAGTTTCACTTAGTTTTCACATGCTCATCCGTATATCATGTGACTTCTGCGAAGCATAAAGTCCTCTAGCTCATCATGACACTATTGCTTTTTGGTCCAGGTACCGATGTCTGCTATCTCGACACTTGTAAGGGCCCATTGGACCTGATATGAGCTCCAACATTGGGACTAGTCCAATAATTCCCGCTTAGATTTGCTGTTGTACCCAGAGCTTGCACCTTAGGTTGACTGTCCGCATACACCATTCATCATCGTCGCTAATCTATTGGTGGATCGGCCTTCTTGCTGCAGCTGCTCCTGCCATTCTACTTGCTAAACTCACTGCCACTGCTCTACTTCTCAGCCATCATCACCAAATAATTCCTTCTGCCTCCCGCTGCGCTCCCCCAGCACCTCTACACTCTCCTCCACCTCTCTCTCCTCCACATCCTCCATAGGCCATCATCATGGCCGACACCGACTTCCGTGCACCTTCAATCAAGCCGAGACTAAAGTACAACACCATCGGGGGTATCAACGGTCCTCTAGTCATCCTCGACAATGTTAGTTCCGCATCGAGATAAAGCTTCACTCCCCGGTGACTGACACGCATTCCCCACCAGGTCAAATTCCCTCGATATAACGAAATCGTCAGTTTAACCCTCCCAGATGGCTCCGAGAGATCAGGCCAGGTGCTTGAAGCAAGAGGTATGTTACTCCTCGCCCCTGCGCCACACCAGTTCAATGCATTACCCCCAAGTTCCCCGCTGATATACGTTGCGTATAGGGAACAGAGCTGTCGTACAGGTGTTCGAAGGAACCCCGGGTATCGATGTCAAGAAGGTCCTTCCTCCTTAACCCGCCGATCTACATAGAAGCTCACAAACTACAGACCAAAGTCGAGTTCACCGGCCACAGTCTGAAACTAGGTGTATCCGAAGACATGCTTGGCCGTATCTTTGATGGATCAGGAAGAGCTATAGACAAGGGCCCCAAGGTGCTGGCTGAAGACTACTTGGACATCAATGGTTCTCCCATCAACCCTTACTCAAGAGTACACCCCCTCTACTCTCCTGCGCCCCACGAATACTAACCGGGATAAAGGTTTACCCCGAAGAAATGATCTCGACTGGTATTTCCGCCATCGACGCCATGAACTCGGTCGCTCGAGGTCAAAAGATCCCCATCTTCTCTGCTGCCGGTCTTCCCCATAACGAGATTGCTGCTCAGATTTGTCGACAAGCAGGCTTGGTCAAGAAACCCACAAAAGGTGTTCACGATGGCCACGAGGAGAACTTCAGCATTGTCTTTGCCGCTATGGGTGTCAACATGGAAACTGCTCGCTTCTTCACACGAGATTTTGAAGAGAACGGTTCCATGGAACGGGTCACTCTCTTCCTCAACCTGGCCAACGATCCTACGATTGAACGTATCATCACTCCTCGTCTCGCTTTGACCACGGCCGAATACTATGCCTACCAGCTCGAGAAACACGTCCTGGTCATTCTCACTGATCTTTCTGCCTACTGCGACGCTTTGCGAGAGGTGTCTGCCGCCCGAGAAGAAGTGCCTGGTCGACGTGGTTACCCTGGTTATATGTACACTGATTTGTCCACCATTTACGAACGAGCCGGTCGTGTTGAAGGTCGAAACGGGTCCATCACTCAGATTCCCATCCTGACCATGCCCAACGATGACATTACGCATCCCATTCCCGATTTGACTGGTTACATTACCGAAGGCCAGATTTTCGTGGACCGACAACTCGACAACAAGGGTATTTACCCGCCCATCAATGTCTTGCCATCATTGTCGCGTCTCATGAAATCTGCCATTGGAGAAGGTCTCACGAGAAAGGATCACGGTGATGTCTCAAACCAATTGTATGCCAAGTATGCCATTGGTCGAGATGCTGCTGCAATGAAGGCTGTCGTGGGTGAGGAAGCATTGAGCTCTGAAGACAAACTTTCGCTCGAGTTCTTGGAAAGGTTTGAGAAGCAGTTCATCTCGCAAGGTCCATACGACAAGCGCACCATTTTCGACAGTTTGGACATTGGCTGGAACTTGCTGCGCATTTTCCCCAAGGAGCTACTCAACCGAATCAACCCCAAGTTGCTGGATGAGTTCTACGCTCGCAAAGGACACCAAAAGAAGGAGCCCAAGGGCAACAAGGACACGAGGGACAATGCAGAGGGTGAGAGGCAGGTTAACGGCGAACCAAACCTCTTGGATGATTAGAATCGGGCGTCAAGGTCAATGCCCCGAGTGGCGTGGCGAGGAGTCGTGGTTTGAGTCAATAGTGCTATAATGGCCGTACACCAGCAACCGACCGCCGCAGCAGTGGCATGATGTGTGGTCGCAACAGTTTGTACGTGCACTGAATCATTCCTAGACTATTTGTACTGTTTGATCTGCAAGTTTCATCGTTTTTGGTAAAGAAGATGGTGGGTGGCATGCCCATCCCTTAGGAGCGTGTTTTGCCAGGATGGACGTCTATTCTATAGAAATGTATGCACATACACACAAATATACCTTACCTCAGTAGTCTCCAGATAGTGGAGGCTGAGGTTCTTCTACTGACACCTTATATTACGAAATGCCTAGTATACGTTGTACATACATATCCGAGGTCCCGTCATCTCCTGTTATACAAATACATTGAGGATGCACCACGCCACCCTCTTGCCTTCCAGCTATGTAGCTAGCTAGCTCTCTCTTTCCAATCTTTTAAAACTTCCACACCAAAGCCAACAAGTAACATCTCCCCCCTCCCTCTCTCTCTCCCTCTCCCCCCTTATCTGCGATCAAACCCCACGCCCCTCTCCGCGTCTCCTCCTTGAATCAAAATCTCATCATCGGTCGAACTGCGATTCGTATAACTATGATCCACCATTCGATTCTTGGTTTCAAATCCAATTGCAATCTCTGCTCTCGTGTCGTCGGATTCTAGGGTATTGCGACGGTTATGTTTTGATAGGGTCAAGGATGAGGTTCGTCGAGGATTCGAGTGGGTATGTGAAGGATTGTTGTTTTGTCGTCGTGATGGAAACAGCCCGGACTCGAATCTTAACCGTCGGAATATGGCTTTACATGCTGCGAAGCTCGTTACTACATAGATGATGAAATTCCAGAATCCTTGTAAGGGGAGAACTATGCTTGATGCGAGGTCGAAGCCGAAGATGTTGGCGTCGGGCTTTATGAGTGCGTGGACGCGGTTGATGGTGGATGGGACCCTGGAGATCATAAGATGATGGTTAGGTCGGTGTCTAGCATGAGGTAAGGTAGGGCAGGCAGAGGGGAAAGAAGGTGAGGGACTGGCAAGAAGGTAAGGTATAATGGTCGAATAGATCACGTACCATGTACAGAGAAGGGCAAAAAAGAAGAGTAGAGATGTCTTGCAATAGCTTAATGTCGCCTTATTGGCATCGAGAGTCCGAATAGGAGGTCGCGCTGCTGCCACGGTAGTCTGAATTCCCCGGAACGATGGCTGGGACGGCGTGATGACAGAGTGTCGCTCTCGTATTGCATCAGGTACCTCTGTCTCTTCGATGTGTGTGCTCCGTGGAGAGTTCGGGCCTTGTGATTTTGAATAGTAGTCTGACGTATCGTGCAACTGACTGGTGACGGTGACCTCACAACGGATCTCCGACCCTTGTGGCGGTGGTGGTGCAGGTGGTGTGAATTCCTTCATTGCAAAGTCGCGTGACGTGCTTTCGTTGATGGAAATGAGTTTCTTGCGCCACTTCAAGATGACGACCCCGACTCGTATATAGATAACTATCGTTGTCAAGATGACGATCCATACGGGGCCGTAGAATGCGGCGATCCGGAGAACGCTCCATTTGGGTGAAATCCAGCACCAGAGCTTTAAGACATTTGTTAGCGTGGAAATATCTTTGGAGAGTTTTGGGTATAGATAGACAAGGACTTGGACTTACCACTGCATCCCCATAGATCTTGCCTCTGCTTGGTGTGCTCACAAAAAGAAATGTTAGAGCTGGTATCAATGGAACACCATAACATGCACCAAAATATGTCCATTCTAGCCTTCTCAACTGGCTCGAGTCATAATGGCGAAAGAAGGATAGATAGACATTACAGGCCATAGCAAAAGTCCAAAGTGCGTCAGCTGGCATGAACCTATTGCAAGATCAACAGTCAGCGTCTTGGGCAAGAGAAAGGGATAGAGGAATTGTTGTGTGACTCACCATTGGATGAGAAATGACTGAGCCTGGCATAATGGAGAAGTCGAACCCATATGGATGGCGGACCTCGAGATGAGAGTCCCGACATTGGCCAATAGATTGCCCCATGTTGCGAAGAAAACGAGTCGATTGATAGGTTTCCTGAAGTTGCTATCCAAGATAAACGTGGTAACTATAAAGGCAGTGCCGAGGAGAGAGAAGGTCGAGGCTACCCTCTCGACGATTTCGAGTGTTCGTCCTTGGGATTCCGAGATTGGCATGATGAGAACAAAACGAGGGGAGAACAAATGCCAGATTCGTAACGAGCATTCCGCGTAGAGAATCAGAATCAGAATCAGAATTTAACGCCGAAGAACTGGGGTATGGGTAAGGGGTAAGAAGATGTTATATTTTTCAATTTGTGGGTGAGGCCACATGGGTTTGGAGGGGCAGAGGAGGCATCAAGATGCTCCGTACACACCAAACGAATTTTTATCGATGGAAACGAATTAATTTACCACCATCTGTTCATAAGGGACAAGGGAGGCATCATGGTGAACAATGCCAAGGGCTGGTTGCATTTCCCCAGGAGGCTCCATAAGATTTCCCCGTAACCTGGAACTAGAGTGCGGGTTGGTAAGTAAGTGACTAGGCCGCGTTTGCAGTGAAGTGTGAGCGCAGTTGATTAGCTTGCATTGTCTCAGTGACAGACCAAGCTTTCCTCTTGAAGCACATGGCAAGATGATATGAAGCGTGGAACAAGAGAGGGAACTGTGGAGGCGGGTATGCGGATTCTTCGCTAGGACTCGCTTGATCCGGGACCTTTGCTTCTTCAATGGGAAATATCTGCATACAAGGGGCCAGCGGCCTGGTGGTCAATCATATCAAAGCATGAACGATAGATAGCTTCGTATAGCGTGAACCAGAAGTGCAACTTGTCCTGCATGAGCGATTGGATGTATTGTAGAATCGACCAGACAGGGATCGCCACATGCAGAGACCAATGGTGGTGTGGACCCGGGGCAATGGGAAAGGCGATTCCGTCATATCAAGAACTCGTTAGTGTAATGAGGATGCTTCTCATGGTGTGACGTTTTCCATGTGCGTCTGTCCGCGGTACCTGCCTTGTGTATTTGAGGACTTGACGTTTGAAAACCTCGCCTGTATAGCCTGAGTCTATTGAAGACACGGAAACGCTCCGAGGCATGCTAACAACTAGTGAGTCCTTGGCCGCGTTGACCTTCCGAGGGGCCGGAAGGTGTGGCCGTAAAGCGAGGGCTGATTGCAGGGTCAAACGGACAAGGGTGTGCGTCTGACTGTTGTTGAGTCGCATCTATGAGTCGCATGGCTGTTCGAAAGTGTCATGATGATGATTCTGGTTTGGCTCGCCGCCCGTCGGCCGTCGATCATCAGTCTGTGACATGCTGTTGATTGACAGCGGCCAGAACCAGATGATGATCATTGACGGCGGAGGGTAATAATGGGTATGACAGCTGCCACATGCCGGGATAGGTCAGAAGACACAAACCAGAGAGTGTGACATTTTTCGAGAAACATGAACGACATCAGGCTGATAGTAGAGTTGAAGAAAGAGGGAGAGGCCGACCACGCCTAACAGGAATGCCAAGATTCGAGCCTACGATGCCAAAGCAGGCCGCTTTTAATATGGGGCCCAGTCTAAACTGAAGATCTGCCATAATTACGAGACTGAAGGGCATGACCAAGTCGTTGCATCCCCAACAACCTTCCAATGTTGGTGAATATCAAAAGCACAATGGACAAGCGGTCAATGCATGTGTCCATTGCACTGATACAATACATAAATCAAGACTTTATTCTGCAAGCATTGCGGTGTAGACATACGCTTCGAATTAGAGAAGCAGCTCGAAGCCTGACCCAATAATGACAGGTCGACTTCTTACTATGAAGTACACATATACTAACTTAGGGGTTGGGTGAGCCAGTGGTGAACACAGGGCGGCGTCACCCTAATCCCAGACCAGGGCGAGTTGCCTGCAGGTTTGTTGCTGTAACCTCCCATGGCTGGAAAGAGCGACTAGGTTCGAAGGTGCAATGGAAGGTGCTTATACTGTACATGATTACAGAGGCAATTGCGACCGGAAAAGGTCCCAAAAAGGACTTCAGATGATTTAGTTCTTTGATACCTACCTGGGAGGCTGATTTGCGTCCTCCCCTGAAGGGCGGGCCGTCCCCATCGTGAGACACAATGCTATTGGACATGATGGTTGCCATCTCGTGTTACCACCCCAGGATAGTAAGGTGGGATGCAGAACCCCGTTGGAGAAGCGTGGTCTGGCGCACTCGTGAGTTGCAACTTGTACGGAGTAGTCGTAACTTACTCCGTACAGGACGAACTCATGGCTCGTCCGGCACGAAACGAGATTCGCTTAGATCAGGGACGATGTCTCGATAGACGCATTCCAGACTCGAGAGTCATCCTGTCAGACGGACGAGTGGAGCTCGCTAGCCCCGGTACCTGTATCTAGTTCTTCCGGAGTAATGGGGTCTAACCCGCAAAGATAATCTCTGCTTTGCGGAGTGCAGCTATCCAAGAGCCAAGCGTACCAGCGTGCCAGCATACAGAGTACATCGCAATGACAGCCCCCGACAGCAAGGCCCACAAATCTACCTGAAGCTTGCGGTAGGGAAGCCTGTGTGCGGTAGACTAGGCCGTTAGTCGGTTACGTTAAGCGATAGTACAGTGGGCATACTCCGTACTTCGCCCACAGTCCTCTAGGCCTGTATCTTTGGGGTAACGAGGAGAATTTGCTCGCGCCAATTCTCGTCGTGAGACATCATCTCCCACGTGTTCACATGAGAAGGTAAAAGATCTCATCGAGTTTGACCCATAATGTCCTCAAGACTACCTTCGCCAATGTTGTAGCCAAGTAGATGCCAGACATTGTCCCATAATGCGAGAGAATAGAGATCCACTGCCATGTGTGGATTGCAATGTGGATCTCCATACATTTCGAGGCTTCTTTTCTATTCCCTGCAAAGTCAAATGAGACCACCAAGACAGGTGTCAAGCCTTTGATCATGGCCCCTTGCTGCAAACATGTCTCTCAGGGGTTGATAAACGGGGCAGCCGGTGCTGCAAACCGGTGGGACTCGCAAGTACCGCTCTGGACGTAGGGGATAACCATTCGCGAACATGGAACAAAAGTTTTTAGCCGAGGAACAAACGACCGTGAAATCGGGTCGCAGACCCGCCCGCCGTTGGTCTTAGAGGGGTCAGTGTCGTTGTGGAAGCCGAGGTCGAACAGACGAAAGGTGACCAAGCCCTACGACAAATTCGTGTGGGCCTTGCTCGTGTTTGACGTATGAGACTGACAAATGTCCAGGGCATGGCGGCACATCCTGGAAATTGAAATCAGCGCCTTCAATCTTGGCTGGCAGATAGGCTATCCAGCCTACCACGCTCCATGCCATTTAGCTGGTCTTGTTGGTGGAGTATTTTGGCATCTTTTCGTAAGCATTGGGACTGGGCTTCCTCTTGCCAGTACTCTTTCCCTTTCCCTTGCCACCGGAGTCTCCAGCATGATCGCAGTCATCTCCATGTCCATGACCGTGATTGTGGCCAGCTTTTCTTCCTCTTCTATTGCCGCTCATTCTGGCGCCGCCGTCGTCAGGGCTGTCGCTTCCACCAGCGTCACTGTCATCGCTTGAGTCGCTGGAACTGTCGTCCTCACTTGAGCTCTCTCCAAACTCCCTCGTCTTGTGGTATATGCAGCACACCTTGCTGGATTTGCGTCCGAGACCCTCATTGTCGATAACGTCTTCGGCCCATGTGATTTGACGTCGCGGGCTTCGAGTAGATGCGTCGTGTGCACCGCGGAGACGGAGGACGAGGCGGTCGGGTGAGGGTGAATGGGATGAGGAAACGTCAGAGGATGTAATTGTCTGGGTGGCGGACCCAGCTGCGAGTCGTTGTCCACGCATAGGGCTTCTTGTGCTTCCAGTCGTCCCTGAACCGTTCTGAGGACTGAAAGGGGTGCGCGACTGAGATGATGGGGTAGGAGAGGATCTTGATGAGGCCATGGCTGTAATGTGTGTTGATTTAGGTGGGGGTTTAGGCTAGTCTTCTTTCTCCTTCGTGTGACTATGACTTGGCCTGCGTCTTTGTGGTGGCGAGGAGGTTCGACAATTTCAAAGCCTTAAATAGAAAGGCGAGGAACACTGGAAGGGTACTAGAACTTGACCGAATCCCAGCTTTGAGGTTACTGGGGTTGATAACAGTTGTCAGATCACACCCATGCAGGTGCAGGGTAGTGGCACGTGTGTGGCGTGTAGTCGGCTGAGGTGGTGGGATCTGATCGTCGTCGGTAAAGGTCGGGTGGACGTTTGGAAAGAACTTGGAATGACGGTGAGAGTGAGATTGTCGACCAAGGGCCACGAGACGAAAAGACGAAAAGGTGTAGGGCTGTCCAAGAGAGGTCAAGTGACGTTGATGATGGGTGGTAATGGAGATGGTTGGAGATGGTGGACGTGGTGGACGTGGTGGAGGGGACCATGTTTGCTGCAGCCAGCCGCATTAAGAAGGTCAGGCGCAACCATGCCCTTTAACGACTCGACGGGCGCTGCTGGACGATCCGCCTCCACCTCCATCCTTACCTGTCATGATTGATTTATGGCCAGACATGATGAATGCTGATACAATTCTCTCCTGTCTTGAACCTTTGCTGTATTCTAAACCTTTCTCACGTCTTACTGCATATGCATGCTTGAGAGGTCTGGTCAGGAGATGACCTGCGTCGTCATCTCCTGTTCTGACCAGCACCCCAGCAAGTTTCTACCTAGACATCCACCACTTGCCCCAATGCTCAGTCCTGGCCCAATTGCACTTTTATGGTATCTTGACAAGGCCGAAGAAATAGGAAACACGTCATACAATGTAATCTCTCGTCTGCTCGCATCCGAGCCCATGGGCGGCGTCCCCTCTCCCGTGCTCCGTCCTGCCCCGGCTGGGCCCGTCCCGGTCACATCACATCTGTTTACACCTTGTAAAACAGCCATCCGTCTTCATACTCGTCTTGTGGACTGGGCTGCTCCATAGCATAGTGTGCGACAGACGGTTCCTCCGGCTGTTCTCCCGAAGGCTTCACGAACTCGGTTCGTAGTTCTTCTTCTAGTCACAGCTCATCATCTTGATCTAATTCAGATGGCTTGATGAGGCCTCCGACCTTCATCGCCCTCTCGCGCTCAGCGTCTGCCATGTTCTTCTTCTCCTGTTCTCTCTCTTCTGCGTAGAGTTCGGCGTTGTCATCCGCAAACTCTTTTAGTGAGATCAAAAAGTCTCGGAGGTGTGTCTTGAACTTGGTAGCATCCTCATTCAGCGCAAACAAGCCATTAACAAAATGCTGAATTTGGACCTCCTTGAGATTGGAAAAGGCATTCTGTAGGAGTCGTGCAGTGAAGTCGCTGACGTACTGCTTATTCGAAGTTCCAGGTGCTGCTTGATCTGGCTGATACAGCGGCTGAGAGATCTTGTTCTGCTCCACTAATTGAAACATGCGTGCCAACAGCATACACTGCGACTTGAACCCTGCCTTGTGGTCAGAGTCTGTAAGAACGAAAAACACGTCCTGGAGGATGGAGATGTAGAATTGTTGGAAGAAGATTCCTGCTGTCTGAGGCTCGGTCTCCGCCATGTTGTTGATGAGCTCAAGACACATGGAGAGACCGGTGTTTTCGACTTCGCGGTTGTCGTGTTTGCTGGCCCACATGCAAGAGTCAATGACAAACTTGAACTGTCGTCCATCTAGTTTCAGGAGAGCGGGGAAGCAGAAGAGGTTGATCGCTTGCAGCAACTTGAAAAATTCGACTCGGAACTCTGGGTATTCGTGGAAATCCTTGTTGATCATTTCAAGGGTACATTCAAAGATGCTGTCCATAATTGGCGAGACCTTGTCATCCATGAGATTCTGCAATCTGTTAGCAAATGTTTCCTTCCTTGCATCACTGCCTCTGACCATGTGCCGAGATCGCTTGGGGCTCCAACGTACATGTAGCTTGTGGATAATTGTAGTGGTGACACTCAACACCTCGGCATCTCTCGCATCTGGCACATTGCGTTGGTAATCCAGGAGAATGGCGTCCAATAAGGGTGGCACCATGCTGTCATTGACCATTTGCAGATCATCGGCCTTTTGAACATAGATGTCGACCAACTTCAAAATCTCCTTCTTGATGGTACGCAGGCCTCGAACTTTAGGCGTCTTTGTGGCGACATTACCTGGGATATTGTTAGCATGAGAAAATATGGTAGCGAGTGGGTCCTTACCGCCTGATGCCACCGAGTCAGAAATCAATTGACTCGAAGCCCGGTACATGTTAAGCATGTCGTGGTAGATCCGGCCGATCTGAGAATAGAAGTAACTTCCAATAGACGAGCAGGCTGCGACGTTGGTCTTCATGATGTTTCCCACAACCTTGATCGTATCGGCGTCTTGTAAAATCGAAGGATCGGCATTTGCTTGCTGGATCACTGAATCCCAAGCCTGGTTGGGAAGACTCATCAGATTGTCAATCAGACGATCTTGCACGCTCTTTTGGCCCTGGGCACTAATCATGTAGCCACAAGCTTCGTAGAAAGTATGGATCTGCTGGGGGGTCAAGTCGCAGGTGATCTTGCGCATGTTGCGAACAATTTCGTCAATGAATGGCTCTGTCTCACCAGGTTGAAGAGCGACAAAGTGACGCTTGCACTTGTTTGCGATCTTGATGAATGTGTCGCACGCCATATCTTGCACGCCCTCGTGGGTCTCGTGCATGAACTCGAACAGCTTATTGACGACTGTCTTCAGAAACTTCCAATGAGCCTTGAGAAATCGAGGATATTGTCCCACGATATACATGATGTTACTGGCCACGACTGCCTTGTTGTCCTTGCCGCGCTTCATTTCGGTCAGACCGAGGAGATCCTTGATTACCGTGACCAAGAAGCGCTTCTCGGTTTCTTCGTTCATGGCACCAGATATCGAGCCGATCGCCCAGCATAGGGTGTTGCAATTGTTCCAGGACCATTCTGAGCCATCCACCTGTCTCTGCAGCTTGTCTGACATGATATTCTCGGTATCGACGACGTCCAAGTGGGTGAGATAGACCAGGCATTCACGAGTGGTTTTGTACAGCTGAATGGTATCACTCTCCTTGACGAATTCACGTACAATCTCTCCTTCGTCATTCTCGACGATGAGCACTTCTTCAGGACGCACCATCTTCTCGACCATCACGGAGCGAAGGCTGGACAAGACTTGAGCATATTTGTGCTTACGGAGGGGATAATTCGCCAATGTGCTGGGGTGTGGAGCACCGCCGTTGGACAGTGTGCTTCCACCCATGGCCACAAGTGGGTTGATCTCATTGATGGGAAGTTGCTGCATCTCCTCGTACAGCTCCTGGACCAACTTTGTCCAATATTCGAGGCAGATCTTGAAGATCTCTCGGTCGTCAATCAGACTGATCTTGATCAAGTAGAAGTGGCCATGCAGGAGGTAGTCGGTATTTGGCAGTCGTTCAATGGTCTGGAGATGGACAGAGAAGTAGTTGCAAAGGAAGATGGCGAGGTTGAGAATGTACTCCTGCTCTCTCGGCCCAGCCCTGGCATACGCATCGCGGAAATCGGTTTCGAGAGGGAGTGTACGCGCAACGACGGTCAATGTTTCGGTAAACATCTGGACGAGCTTGTCGTCGTACTGGTATTGTTGGCCAAGTTGCAGGCCTCCAATCTCGGTCAAGCACTTGAGGGTGATGTTTCGGAACTGATCGACTTCGAGGAAGCGCGAGACGAGGGTATCGATGAGTTTGGTCTCGAAGATGAAGCCCAAGGGGATCCAATTGAGGAAACGGAGGAGGGTTTCCAGAGTGGCCTTGACGAGAGAAATGGAATTGGCGGTGGTGAGGACTTCATTGCAGAGTTGGAAGATGGAGGAGAACTCGGCGCACATGGTGGTCTTGAGGTTCTTAGCCTTTGTCGAAGTCATTTGGTCCTGGGAGAAATCAAAGACCTCTTCGGACAATAAACGCAGGATGCTCATGTTGTTTTCACAGACGGACAAGCCGGTGTGGCAGGCGGAGATGATCTCATTGATGAAGGTGGGCCAGTTGTGTGGCCATTCTTGCTTGAGGATGGTGACAAGAGTTAGATCGAGTTTGTTGATGAAGAGCTTGTTGGCCTTGAGAGACTCTTCGGTTTCTGAGGAGGACAGGATCTGGTTGACCACGAAGTTTCGGATACCCAAGCATTGTTCGCGTGGGAGAACCTTCCAACGAGTGTTGACGACATCGTCAAGCACCTGCAGACCGAGATATTTTGTGGGAAGATATGTAGCCTCTTGCAAAATCTTATCGACCATCAACCAGGCATCTGGATTGGATTTGAACTCGTTGAGCTTTTGCTGAGCCTGTTTCTGTAGGTCGCCTTTGCCTTCTTGAAAGGCCTTGACGGTGGCGTCAAGCTCAGCGACCGAGACGGACATGGCTAGAGGATCGGGGAGAGGAAGCGCTCGGCGAGCGTGTCAGAGCACGGGTTGTGTGCCAGTAATGGTGGAAAATGGCTGAATGGCTTGAGGTTGCTGTAGGTAGAGCAGAAGTGCGAAGGTCTGATGATGCGGCGAGGCGGCGAGGCGATTTCAGTGGTGCGGAGTGGCCTGATAAAGGAAGAAGAGGTGGTCAAGGACAGGGTTTGGCAGATGAAAGACGATGAGGAACGAAGCAGGTGGTGGCAGCGCGTAGACAGATGAATGATGTATTGTGCAGGTTGTGAGACTGCGACGGTATTATTAGTAAATCAATCTGTGATGTTGAGTGCAGTTTGTAGTCCGCATTCACCGCGTAAGGCAGCGTCACGAGGGGCTGGCAGTCTGGCCGGTTTGGCAGTGTGTTTAGTCTGGTTAGGTTCGGTGGTACTCCGTACTTGTTACTGGTGAGTGTAAGGTAGGCAGCATGCCAGGGTAATTGGCCAGTCACACTCTTCACTTGGTGGGGTTTAGTGGTTCAGAACTTGGAGGCAAACTGCGTGGCCAATAGCGTGGCAAATCCAGGCCGAGGAGGCTATCGTCGGGTACCCGAGCTACGGTGCTAAGGACCTTTAATTATGAGACTTATTAGGTAGATAGGTAGGTGCCTATAGGTATCGAACAGCCAACCGCCAATTACGCATATCCAGGGTGCACGGGCTACGGTCAGGCACCTATACACAGGCAGTAAGTACTCCGTAGTGCTTTGTGCTTAGCACCTGGCATTATGCCTGCCTCAATGCCATTTACCCCTCTTTCGTGTATACTCCGTACACGCAAATGATACAGCACAATGGTCCCAGTACAGCCACAGAACACATCATTTCTAAATCACCCATTCACCGTCCACGTCCACGTCCACGTTCACTGTCCCTTGGCCCTCGACAGCAAATGTTGAATAGTGACCACTGACTGGTACAAACTGACCACATTATGTAAGAGGCATACATTTGCAAATGGTACCTCGGTTCTGGAGCTCCAAGTCACACACTTACGATTATCGGTGATCTGTGTTGCAATTACGACGTCCAGCCATGTCTGATATAGCTATGTAGACCTTACCTACTCATGAGATAGCCTGGCTATTCAAGACCGTCATCCCTGTCTACCAGCATTGAGAGGAGTGACCAATAAATGATGCGTTGCCTGCTGAGCCGCACAATGACGCAGCTGTCTTGTTCTTTCCTCTTTTGAAGCATGACTCGCGAGGCTGCATGACATGGCTGGCACGAATGGTCGAGTATGTCGATGGCCATCGAATGCACTGCTACATGAACCATGCCCTGATCAGTCAACTCTAAGTGATATTGCACAGAAGAAATGAGTAGCAAGAATATGATTTGTTTGGTATCATAATCAAAGCCCAAGGCTACCGTGAATAAAACAGTCTAAAGAACATGGAAATTTTCCCTTTGGGTTTCGTCACCAGATTATTTGGTTCCAACACCGGTGGTGTGTTCAGAAGCTTTCAGGTCACGCTCTTCACTGTCTTTGCGATACTTTTGATAGGCCGCTGCCATCTCCTCCTTGGATTGCATTCCGTTCTTCTCCGTTATCAGGTCCTTCAGCCATTTGTTCTCCATCTCTAATTGGTTGACCCGCGCCTCGAGTTTGGCGCTCTTCTCTTGAGCTTCTCGGACGGTCGATTCCAATGCTTGCTCTCTCTGCTTCTTCTTGATTCGAAATCGGGCGCTGGCTGCAGTGTTTCGACGCCGCTTATCCTCTTCTGCAGCTATTCGTGACCGCTCTTCAGTGTTCAGATTGAGGTTGTCAGTTGACTCGGCTTTGGGACGAGCTGGATGCCCGCCGCCTGTGGTGGAGGTTGGTGAGGAACGGTTCTCCATGTTCCCATAGCCGGGAGTCGGGGCGGGCTGGATGGGAGTATTGTAGGAACCGAAGAACTGGGTTGACTCGGCTGCTGTTGTTGGGATTGTTTGCGGGTGGAAGCCTTGAATGGGCTCGGATCCACTAAGGAGATCTTCGTACTTGACGCTGGTGTTGTTCTTGGACTCGTTCAGATCGAAGTTGAACTGGGCATCATCGGCCAAAGGGGGAATATCAAAGTGGGTGAAGTCAGTGTTGGTGAACATGGCAAGATCGTCGATTTCCTCGGTTTGGAATTGATCTGGGTCGTAAGGAGAGGGCAACGAATTGAGGTTGTTCAGGTACTCGGAGAAGTTGGGCCCGGTTCGGCCTCGATAACTTGACATTGTATGCTGAACGAGAGAGTTTGTGGCCTATATTCCTCACTCACGATGAGGAAGACGTGGGAAGACTGGAAATCGGTGTGGTGTCGGTGAGGATGTGGTGAGAGGATCAGTTTGAATTGCTACTCAATGCACTCTCGCAATCCGTGCGAGTTTGTCAGGTGGGGGGTAAAAGAGCGATCAGGTGTGCGACATGAGTGACTCCAGACCCGACATTCAGACTGAAAGAGTGAGTATGTCTGTTGGCGCTGGTGGAGGAATAGTTGGGCGACAGTCGCAGTCGCAGGCGCAGTTTGTAGATGGAGTGATTTTAGCAGAGGAAGAGGAAAGAGGAGGGGAAGAGGGAAAATAGTAGTGGTGAGGAAGGCGAGTGGACAGACCTCAGCTGCACCCTGTCGGGTAGGCTTGGGGTGGGTTGGCCTGGTGGTGCAATTAGCGAAGACGAAGCGTGGGAGAGAGACGGGCACGGCGGGGCTGCACCGGAACCTACAGCCTGTACAATGCAATGTGCTCGTACAATTATTATGAGGTGTGAGGGTAATATCCCGTGCCCTTGCGCCCTTGTGCCTCCCAACCCTCGGTGTTCGGTGTGGCGGCGGCGCCAAGAACTCGGGAATAATAGTCGTTTGTGGGAGGAACTGCTGCGGGTTTTTGCCGCACGAGTCATCACTTTGCCCTTTAGGCCTAGAAAGTGTGGCCCGTGGGCGGTGGGTTGTACATCAACTGCCCCCCACTACCAACCACAAACAGGCCAAATTCCCGGACATGAGTGCCCCTCAGATTGAGTTGTTTGGCTGTCTCTCGCCCGGAGCAACTCAACAAAGCCGCGGTGCTTTCTCCGAACGCTTACCGATCCCACACACTTTACACAATTCATTCAAAGACTAATCATTTTCCATCAAAGGGATACAATTACCCCCTGGATAATAATATTTCTCTTCTACATAAAAGCATCACAGGTTACATTACGCGAGTTCTTTACGCGTTAGCTGGTCAATGACTCAACCTTCTGTACCTCGATATCCCCTAAGTCATGCGACTCATCATCATCATCATCCATAATAGTTCATCACATTCAAATGTCTGTCTCCGGGCGAGCGCACAGAGTCGACAATTTGACCAAATGACGCGAACAAAAGGTTTGATGATCGAATTAGGAGAAACATCCCACCAGTGATAGGCATTTATGGCAATTTTGGTGTCGTTTCGTGACGATTCGACTGGTTACCCACTGTCGAGGGTTCCCATAGACTGTCTACTGGCTGTTACTGGCTACAAGTTGTCCAAGGACCCAAGGGGCCTCCCGATTGTGGGTCCAGACGGTTCTGTGGCCGTAGTTTTATAGGGCGCTTTCGAAGGGCATCCCGCCGTGGATTTCTAAGCACATCGAGAACCTAATCACATAGTACAACGTCTCTGACACTCAAAGTCTGGAGCATCGCTTGAGCGTTGGACAACAACGCCGAGGGGCTGTTTTGGGTGCACCGGCTTTTAAGTACAACTTCACTTAGCTTTTAGTCATGTCTCTCCATGCTCAAGTCTGGAGGGTTAGGGTCTGCTCAACTGAGCAGCGTCCTTCTTTGTCCAGGCGTGGCATGTCCGCAGGGACACGAGGAAGTGGTGCCCTTTTTGACAGAACTCGTCAGGAAAGGAAACGTCTTCAAAGAGGTCATGCAACTAGCGTGGGCATGCGTGCATGATGGGCATCGTGATAAACTCATGACCTCGCTTGTTCATATTCAGAGTGGCTGTCTCGCCATCGCACAATACCTTGATACTATGCGCAGGGCCGGAGCCCCAATGCCCCAGGCTTGACTGGTTCGTCCTGCGAGGCTGTCGAATCCACTGCCCAAAGTGTCACTTGGTATTTATATTTCGTCTTCCTTCAACTCGACCTGACAACGTTTAGGACGTGTCTTTCTCAATTCAGCAACCTGCTTAATCCCAGGACAACTTTCGCCTACTCCACCATTCCAAGATGGTAGTGCCGAAATCCAGGCCCATTCTCGTAAAGAACCCCCATCGTGGTCTCTAGACGGATCGCGTCATGAATCCATGATCTGATTGGTTTACCGGCATCACGTTGATCCTCCCTCTGTCTCCACAAGTTGCTTTGCAGCACACCTTCCCAGAGACATCCCTTTTCCGGATGGTTGAGCGTCTGGAGATCTCGAGAAGCATGTGCTGTTCACGTAGTTGACGGGCAGGTTGTTGCAATCGCCCACCCCACACTGTCAAAGAACCACGGCGAAGCACAAAGTGTCGTGTACGGTCTACTAACCTTCTAGTATAGAGTGATACCGACACGTTCTCCTTGTGCACCACGTCGAGGGACCATCAATATTTCACCTCTCAATTTGATACATAAACACACACAAGCTCCAGGCAATGGTTGTAGAGAGCAGTCCAGCTTGATATGGCTTAGGAGATCGAATTCACATTTCGAAGCAGGTATTTGCCAAGCCTCGCTTAACCTTCCTAATTCAGTATGGCATCTTGTTTGTTTACAATGACGCTTCGAGCAGACCAGCAGGCTCGACTTCAACTTCTAATACACAGTGTTCTTTCATTTTGGCAGTCATGGCCTCAAAGGCCCTTTACAAACTGTCGCGAGATGCGATCGTGGATCTTGCTATTCAATGGACCACCTCAACCAACCCGTACCTTGCCGGGAACCGAGGGTTCGACGAAGCCGAAGAAGAAGACTACCTGCATGCGCCGGCCGAAGACATTGGAGCGTTGAACGACTTTTGGAAAAATTTGAAAACAGATCCAGACGAGCTCAGCAAGAGAGATGTTATTGATCGAATTGTTGATGGGGACTGGAGACGAGGCTTGACTTTACAACAATATGCCATGATTGATATGGCGCACCTCGAGGCAAACGATACCGCATTGAGGTGGAGTGCACTCAAATTAGTGCCACTTGAGTCAGAAGACAAACAAATCGCACAAGACGAAGGGGACCGGGGCAGAAAGAGACGGAAGCTGAGCCATGATACTTCTGAGGCTGATTACCCACACATTTCCGCTCCTACCTTCCTCGCCTCACTACGCAGCGAGATCTCTCCACTCGTCAAGGCACACTATCATCTACACCGACTACCAGCACCAGATGACATGTCTATCATCCGATTGTTTATTAGCACAGGAACAGCTTTCACTCCGCGGGGGGCGCGAGTACCCCGAAGAGCAAGGCATGCTACAGACAGCGGAAGAGTTATGTATATCGCACTTCCAGGAGGGTGTCCCTACATCTACGTGTCGGTTTCTGGATCCAAAAGCTCTCCTAGACAGTCAAAAGGTATGCATGACAGTTCAGGTAGCCTGTCAGCCAAGTTAGACCTTGTGGCAACCAAAAGAATTATCCTCGAAGCGATCCCCAAAGCATTGTCACGTGCGCAGCAAAGATGGGCTTTGGAACCAACTAAATTGACAACCAAATCTCTTCGCACGATCAGAAACTTGAAAGGGAATGGAAGACCAGGCACGGGCGGAGGGGCATACAGTGTTTATCATCTGGATGCACAAGTCCAAGCAGAAAAAACCACCAGCCAAGTCCTACCACCGAAATCTCGAATTGAAGCAAAGTCTGAGGACGTGGAAATCCGATTCGGACCCGAAAACAACTCTCAGCATTGTGCATTGGATCATTTTCATGTCACAATTCAAGATGCCCAAAAGAAATCAGTGGAGCAAGATTCAAGGCCAGCGCAAGACGAATCAGCACAAGTTAATCTGAATTTCTCTGGCAGCGATGTCTTTCATGGATTGCGCCAGATGGCGATGATGGGCTCTAGCTATATGAACCTTTCAAAGGTTCCATGTTGGATGACGGGCGAGATGGGCGTGAGCAGTTTCAAGGTCTAGACATTTGGAGCGGGCTTGTGTTCGTGGAATGAGTGCTATGACGAGACGAATGTGATGACCTTGATACCCGATCTTGAATCTCCTGGGCAATGGTTGGAGTCTACCTGTGGAGGCTGATGAGAGGAAGGTACCAACCTAGATAGATATCTACTTAGGTACCGTACTTGCATGTACATACGGATGCACTTGCAGTCGATCAGCATTGCTAATCATCATAATTCCATGGAAAGAGCGATCTACATCCTTGACAAGTACCGAGGGAAGGAGTGCTATCGACCCCGAATGGAAGGTGCTCTCATTGTCACTCCTCATTCGACTTCAAGAAACAACGTGACCACCAGGCACCCTCGGACTTGGTAGATGAGATGGACATGATAAACAACCGAGTGTGGTCAGGGACCTCTGGGACACCAGGGACATCAGGGACATCTCACATCGGTGCATGAAATACCGTTGATGTGCTGACTCGTGGCAACAAGCCACTCCTGATCTCGACGTCATGTTCCACCACTCCATCTCAGCCAAGGCTTCGCCTCCCCTCTTACCGCGCTCAAGAGTCTCAAGAACCTCATCCCTCACGGTTTCTTGCTCCAATTAAGCACCTGCTAGACCCCGCCAAGTTTGCTTCTCCGCACCTCCTCATAACATACCCTGGCCTATCCTATTCCTAGTCACTTACTCTATGCAGAATTGTATGAGTTGAGGTGCCGAATACCCACAAACCTGACAATGATCGACATGCTTTCGTCGTCATGTCGTGGGTTTCGTCATATCAAGATAAAACCCCGAAACGAAATTGTCCCATCTTGAAATGGAGTAAAACGCCCCTCTTGATACTGTGCTTCGCAGTTTCCTAAGCAATCCTACCTCTTGTTATAGGCTTTGCGAGGTACCTAAAAGTAAAGAACGATACTGTGCGAATAGACGTCCTGATGGCAGCTCGTGACGACTCATCCACAACCTCCACGCGAGTCGAGCAACCCTCGCCTGAAAAACAAGGAGAAACCTTTCAGGAGAACGCTCAGAATGCAGAAACCGTCGAGGATATAGATCCCGCTCTTAGCAAACGCTTGGATCGTAAATTTGACAGACACATAATCTTCTGGCTCTTTGGCATCTGGTGAGTGCCCTCCCCCCCCCCTCCACTGTTCTTCTCTATCGCATCTATCCTATACTAGTCGAGTAAAGCTAATTCGCGGCTTGACAAGGCTATTTGCCTTCATTGACCGGTCCAACATTGGCAATGCCAGAATTGATGGCCTTGTAGAAGATCTCAACCTGTATGGGACAAGATTCAATATTGCTTTAGTCGTCTTCTACGTCCCCTACATCCTCGTTGACGTCCCTTCGAATTGGGTCGTCAAATATTTCAAAGCTGGCAATTACCTTCCAGCTTTGATCATTCTTTGGGGTTTGTCCTCGCCTTTCTATCCACCAGTTCTCTTGTCATACGCATGTTTCAGCTCCTCGTCTAACCTTCATACTCCTAGGTCTCGTCTCAACGTTCCTTGGGTTCACAAAATCTTATGGCGGGCTCATCGCCGCCCGATTCTTCTTAGGCTTGTTTGAAGGTGGCTTGCTAGGCGGCATGATTGTCTATCTCGCCATGTTCTACGAAAGACACCAAATGCTGTTTCGAATTGGCCTCTTCTATTGCGCAGCGCCGCTCAGTGGCGCCTTTGGTGGCCTACTCGCGTCCGGTCTGGCCCAGATCAAGCATGGTGGCTACAACCGATGGCCATGGATCTTCTTCATTGAAGGTGCAATCACAGTGTGTTTTGGACTGCTTGCTCTGTGCTTCATGCCCCATACACCGGCCCAGTGTAAATTTCTCACCGACGACGAGCGCCTTCTTGCCGTAAAGCGAATGAGACTTGATGCGAGCGGTGCAGCCACGGAACAAGATGTTGATCATGAGAAATTCGACTGGCATTGGGTTCGCATGGCATTTCTTAGCCCAAATACATGGTTTTGCTCGCTGGCCTGGTTTTTCCTTCTGATACCCTTATATGTAACCCTACATCATTCCCCCATTACGATTCGTGACTGACCAGTCCTTAGAGCTTTTCGCTATTTTTGCCCACCATCATCAGTGCTCTGGGATATTCAAGTACAAAAGCTCAACTGTTCACGGTACCGCCTAACATGGCCGCTTTTTTCCTGGTCCTTATAACTGCTGGTCTCTCCGACAAGCTCAAAGTCCGAGGCCCCTTCATGATTCTGGGCTGCGTGTTGGCAATCGTGGGATACGTCATGCTTCTCGCCGCTGAGCGCCCATCTGTGCGTTATGGTGGGACGTTTTTCGTCGCCTGCGGCGTGTTCCCGTGTTCACCAATGTGTGTCTCCTTCCTGTCCCCCACAAACATCCACTTACTACATTGTCAGGGTCATGGGTTGGCTTTCTAACAATACAGCCCCTCATTTCGTGAGAGCCACGGCTACAGGCTTCGAGATTGCATTTGCGTGAGTCCGATAAACCTATATTTTCGCTCTAGGCTGAACCACAACAGCAATTGTGCAGCTTTCATAGCTACCTTCACCTACTTGTCAAAAGATGCGTGAGTACAACATAGTCTTTCTTAATTCTTTTCTGACTCGGTTACCTCAGCCCAGATTATGTTTTAGGACATAGCATCAACATCGGCGCCCTTGTCTTATGTATTCTGACTGTTGCGAGTGGTATAACTTATTGCCACTGGGAAAATGTCAAGAGAGCGAAGGGTGACCGGGATTATCGTCTGACAGAAGGCAAGGAGAGCATGCTAGGCCATCGCCATCCTCGCTTCCGTTACACACTTTAAGGTCCACCTATTGTCACCGAGCCCTGTGTAACCAATTGGTTTGCACCTAAACAACGCCCTTCGAAAAGATTGTTTGAAATTGTATTCTTAACATCGGCAGAAATGCACCTCGACCATGGTGTCCTCCTTACAAGGACCTGCCAGAAGTCATCTCAGGTATTGGCAGATCATCACGTCTTTCAGGCTCCACCACAAGCATCCCTGCGCAGAACATTCAGATGTTGTACCACCGACCAGGTTCCAAACTATTGATCAAAACATTCTGCAAAGTTTGGTTGTGTGTGAGTGACCGCGAGCATAGACCTGATGGATGTCACCCTCTGCGAGCAATGATTTCTTCGGGTTGCTTTGGAGTAGATCCCTGCACCACTCACGTTTTACCTTTGACTTGTAATGTTTAATAGGACGGCATTGGGGAGATCATCTAGAGCGTGGGGCCTTCTTCACAGTTCACCGACCTAGATAACGACGCCAAAGGACGGATAGAAGCATCCCTGCGGTGGCCTGGTTGTCGTTCACTCAATATGTTCATAACTTGACTGGCTTGGTTGTGTTGTACTCTACCACATACCGGGCGTGCAGGAACGTCGGATTGAGACACCCTGTTTGTATTGTACTCCCCCTGGAGACAACACATTCGAGTCTACTATATACCGACTTTTGGTCGTGGCCACGAGGATGCAACGTGATCTGTAGGTACCAGAAATGGTGTGTTGAATGTCATTCTTAGCTTCCAGGTTGTCCGACGATGGCTCACTGCCCTGGTCGCCAAAGCAAGGCACACTTAGGACTACGAAGATGCTGTGTAGTGATGCTGTACATCTGGACTACATCTGACCACCAAGCTCAGAAGTTGCCCCGGAGCGACACAGCGTCAGGAACAATGATGTGTTCGCCTCGAGACTCTGTTCGTGGAAGGTGAACAAGTCTCCAGCAATACAATGCATGAACATGTTTTTGGCGCTTTGTATATATAACCTCGAACCTCGCCAGCATGCCATGAAAATCGCTTATTGACCAAAGCCTAGAGGTCGGTCGATCTCCCAAAAGGACCAAAAGAGCGCATATACAGACGTCCTTGGCCAGCATGCATGCCTCACTTGGCCAGTCATGGCTCTTTGCCATATGCTCAACAAGGCAAGTATAGTTTCCCAATATTTACAAGTTTTGTCAGAGGGTGTCAATTTTATAATTGAAATCTAGAGCTCGACATGACGTGTTTGCAGCAACTTGGCTAACAGCAATCTAGCATACTCGCATCTGCCAATCCACTTCAGATTCGAGGCGACTCGGTGACAACTACGAGAGGCTACGATGGTGGTGGAGGATATGGTGGTGATGGATACGGGGGTGGAGGGTACGGGGGTGAGCAGAGCAGTTGTCAAGGCAGTATCATCACAGTGACCGAGAGAATCACCACCGATCCTACATTTGGACCTACTGCCTCGACCGTCACTGTGCCAGGTCCAACTGTCACGAGCATAGGCTCGTTCGGAACAGTGACATTACCCACAACAGTGGTTTCCACGATCACAGTTCCTGGATGGACTTCTACAAGCATATTGACATCCACTGTGGTTCTCACACGCACCGTTGCTGGAGCCACTACGATGGTCACGAGTGCAGATAAAAGTGCGAGTCAAGTAGATGCGACATCGACGGTGGTCGGCACTGGCTCGACTTGTGTTTCGGTGATCACATCAACAGTCCAAGGAAGAACGAACACAGTCACTGTTCCTGGACCACCAGGACCGACGTCAGTTTCGACAATTACGATCGAGAAAACATCTACGTTGGTTTCTACAACACTTGTTTGGACTACGGCCACGGTAACCGGTACATCTGTCTTGGTCAAGACTGAGTCTAGCTGCACGGCTACAAGCACTGCCACTGTTACGACCACATCAACGACGCTGGCGATACTCAGGAGTACAGTCACAGTGACATCAGTTCGGACAACAGGTGTACCATCCACTACATTGACTGTCGTCTCAACAGCTGTGAGGACAATAAATATCCCTGAGACTACACAGACTGTGTCTCGTACGCTGACCCCAACGGTAAAGGCGACAACGACACTCGTCAGCAGCATACTAGGGAGCACCGGAACAAGGACGGTAACTTCAACATCAGTGTGGACAAGCACGTTACCAAGGGTCACTGAAACAGTGTATCAAACCAATGTGTCGACAGTAACCAAGACAGTGCCAGCCACTACTGAGATGAGTGTCTCCACCGTGATTCAAACATCGACTGTGTCGAGCACTATCATTACCAGCACATTTATCGTGACGCAAACATCCCAACAGCCTGCTGTATCGACTCAAACGATCACCCAGACACTAGCCACCGGTTGTACGTCCTGGACTTCAAGTTTGGCGACTTCATCGACCGGATCGACATTTTCAACAGCGATTACAACCTCAACAATCACCGTGACAACAACAGTGACGGTCCCTGATACCTCGCCACCTGGATGGCGGGATTGGCGAGGCAAGCCAACTCCAGTCTAGGGAGACAGGCGATTTTCTAGTCATAGTTGTTATGTTCTGGTGGTGCTTGATGAGCGAACTGGCTAAAATTCATCGAGCTTGGGATATTGATAGTGATGAAGATGAAAAGGAATTTACAGAAATATTAATACAAAGACCATCACGTGAAACTAAAAACATGATATTTCATCATTCAACAGTCGGTGTGCTGGGATTGCGCTGATTCTTGGATTCGTTGGCTTATCTCGTATAGCCAAAAGAGCCTCATAATCATCGCCACGCGTCTTTCAGGTCAGATACCTAAGATATGTTGATTCAACTCCAAGAAACCTTGGCCGCAGGTTCCGACGTTTCTATTCGGCCCTTCTCAGGCCAATCGCTGATAAATGAGTGCCTCCACCCTCCATGTCACTTGGAGTCGACCCGCTTTCATGGAGTCTTCGTCTTGGAAGATGAGCTTCTCTATGGAAAGACGTAAAGACTAAAGATGTATGGAGAAATTGTGGATTGAGGCGCTGATATCTACGGGGTTGCGTGTCTGATTGATTACCCGTTGGTGGATTTCTTCTTCTGAGTCTCGCTTCTTCCATCTCTCGGCCTTTTCTTATTTGAGCCTCGAAAGGCGATGATCTCACTGGCTATCAACATGTTCATACCTGCGGGGCGCTTCTTACCGAATTCTGAAGATTATCCGCCTGATAATGTCGCTCCACCTTATTGTTGATCATACATAAGATGGTCCGTCTGGTCGCGTTACATTTCCTTCTGGCTGGGGCCACTTGGTTCGTTACTTGCGACGCCCGCAGCATTACATGGCTGCTCGTCCCCTTCAACTCAAAGCCCCAGGCAGCCTCGCAGGCACTTTGGCCGAGTACGAAGCCCCCAACCAGTCCTCCGACACCTCTAATGCGCCAGTCGACTCCGAACCTACCCAACCCGAGATCCCCGAACGACCAGGATCAAAGTCACTCTATGAATTTACTCTTCCTTCATTGCATTTTCTACGCTGGCGACCGCTATACCACGTCCAAGCCCCGACAGGGTGGATGAATGATCCCTGTGGCCCTGGGTACGATGCGACAACTGGACTATATCACCTCTTCTTTCAGTGGAATCCTCGACGGAATCTTCACGGCTCCGTTGCTTGGGGCTCCATCCATTGGGATCATGCATTCTCCAGGGATATGATCAATTGGACCATATCAGGTATCAGCGCTCTCACACCTGAGGCGTGGTATGATAAAGAGGGCTGCTTCACCGGTTGTCTTGTGCCCACAAGTCCTGACGGCCAGCCAGGTCAGTTAACAATTCTCTACACCGGCGTCGGTCGCCTGCCGTTACATTATACCCTGCCATATACTCGAGGGACAGAGACATTGGCCCTTGCAGAGTCGTCAGATGGTGGCTTGACCTGGTCTAAGACGAAGGCGAATCCTATTCTGCCAGAGCCACCTGTTGGAATTGATGTGACGGGTTGGAGAGATCCCTATGTGTCGAGATGGCCTGCTATGGATCGATTATTGGACATTGACCCATCAGAAGATATAATGTACGGCATGATCTCGGGCGGTGTTCGACACCGCACCCCGACTGCATTTCTCTACGCTGTCAATCCATCCAATTTGACTCAGTGGAGATATATAAACGCAATCGTCGATGTTGGTCTGAATCACAACATCTCAAGATGGTCAGGTGATATGGGCATCAACTGGGAATGTGCCTGCTTCATGACATTGAGTGACCATGACAACGAATCTAGCAGAGAATTCATCGTTGTTGGAGGAGAAGGCACAGACACTTCTCACCCTGAGTCAACATTTGCTGCTTATCCTCAAGAAAGTACCAAATTCCCTCGAACAGAGCGTTCTCTGCAGTGGATGTCGGGGACATTAACCACCAATATGAATGACCAAGGCCAAAAGGTGCCCAAGATGGAGTACACTTTTGGGGGCAAATTCGACCATGGGCTCCTCTACGCCGTCAACATCTTTCGTGATCCGGCGACATCCAAACAGATAGCATGGGGTTGGATCACCGAGGAAGACTTACCACAGAAATTGGTTGACCGTCAAAATTGGAGCGGCTTACTGTCATTACCTCGCGAATTAAGCTTGATCACGTTGAAAGGTGTCACCAAGGCACTTAATTCAAAACTGAAAGAAATCACTTCCCTGGAGGTCACACCGGAGTCAGAGGATACATTTATTATCCGGACCCTAGGCGTTGCACCCGCATCGTGTCTCCAGGCACTACGAAGGGACACTCGGCAAGTAGCGATCGAGGGATCACCGACCTTGACACCGGTAGGAGACTGCTTCATGGGGGTTCAGACTTGCCGCTTCGAGCTGTCCGCTCTTCTCCAGGTTTCAGACGCTTGTACCCGCATCGGATTGAGCATATTTCATAATGAAGACCACGACATTACGTCCTCAACCTCCATATATCTTGTTCCGGAAACGGAAACACTCCAGATTGAACGACCAGATTCTACCAAAATCGACCCCAATATACTTACCTTTGCCGAGTCAGCTCCTTTTACCCTATTCTCATTCAAAAGGGGCGGTTACCAGGAAAGAGAACTGCTGGAATTAAGAGTGTTTTTCGATGAATCGGTGGTCGAGGTGTTTGCAAACTCGAGATGTACCTTCTCGACAAGAGTATACCCTGCATCGAAACGATGCTGGGGACTGAAATTTTGGGCCGAGGATGAGAGTAGACAAAGTACACTCGTGCATGCGCAGGCATGGGATGGGCTTAGAGCTGATATGAAAGTCGCATAACTAGAGATACAAAGTCCTTAGCCACTCGATCATATATCACAATTGTCTAATGAGTCTATCGGCATCACCATCGGGCCAATGATTGCTGTTATGATAGAAACAATGGCTGGAATTATACATATAAGCCATGACGTCATAAGCTCTTCACTCTTTCCTCCATAGTAAAATTCCAGACGCCAAGTCTTGAGCCCGCGCTAACCCCTTCTGGCAACATCCCACCTGCATCTTTTTTTCTAGACCATCTCACAAGTCGAGGACGCAGTGTAGACTATGTCCCTTCTACCCTTCAGATTCAAAGCTGGAGACTCGGGGACTACAGTCAAGATGGCCCCGACGCAGACTTCTGTCCACCATCATAGGAACACCACCAAAGTCGATCATAAACCATTCAAATCTCGATTTGCCTCCAAGAGTGCTTTGAAGGATCGCGCCAAAGGTATCACCAACTCCAGCCCAGCCCATGCCGGGACTGAATACTGACTGTATAACAGGCAAGGTCGAGAGTTCCAGACCGGAAAAAGGCAAAAGAGGAACACCCCATCAACAAGTCATGTCCAAATTGGCCCGACGAAACCAAGCCAAACAACTGCGTATGCACCATAGAGAGAAACGCAATCATGAGGAGAACATCTTTCAGGGTGCCGACGGTGCCGCCAAACATATCGCTGTTGTCCCTCTGTCGAGCCAGGTCGATGTATATTCCGCCATCGGAGACCTGAATGAGAGTGTCGATATTTCCAGACCAGAGTCCGCCACGGGGACCGTCCCCGCCAGAGTCGATCGATTTCGTCGCAACTTGCTCTATCTTCCTGCCCGATTCGACCTCCTCAATGCCCTTGATATTTGCAAATTAGCCGACTGGGTCATCTTTGTCCTCGACGCAGACCAGACTTTTGGACAAGAGGAGGACTCGTTTTTAAGAGCCATTGAAGGACAAGGCATCACCAATGTTACCGCTGTGGTCAAAGACTTAGACTCGAAGGTCCCTGCCGCGAAACGGTCCCGCCACTTGACTGATTTGAAAATCTCGATTGGCCATTACTTCCCCAGCCTGGATAGACTTTCAAATCTCGACAATAAGTCAGACTGCTCAAACTTGGTGCGGAGTTTGTGTACTGCCTCAACCAGGGGCATTCGCTGGCGAGATGATCGGAGTTGGATGTTGATTGAGAATGTGGAGTGGGCTGCCAACACTGAAGGAGGCTCGACGAGCAATGTGACGGTGTCCGGTACCATTCGAGGAAAAGGTTTGAATGCTGATCGTCTGGTCCATATACCAGGATGGGGTGATTTCCAGATTGAATGCATTAAAGAATCACCCGCCCAAGGTCACAAGCGCAAAGCAGATGAGATGGATGCCGACATACCTGTCAAGACATGGTCACCATCAGCAGAGCAGGACGATCTCGCCGAGCTCGCCCCAGAACAGGTGGACATGCAAGATATTGCGAGCACTGCAGCAACCAACGACCACAAGGGTGTGCTCCTCGACGATCACCATTATTTCTCCGATGACAACTCCCATATCCCAGCACGACCCAAGAAACTTCCCGAAGGCACCTCCAATTACCAAGCGGCCTGGTATCTAGATGATGTGTCAGATTCAGACTCGGAGTTCATGGATGATGATGTTGACCGTGATATGGATATGGAGGCTGAAAAGTTAGGTCCTGAGGATGGATTTGTTCTGAATGAAGGAGATGGGATGACTGAGGGTGGTCTTTCAGAATATCCAGAGTCAGAGATGCACGTGGATGCCGACGATGAAGAAGAGGCACGACAATTGGAGGAACATCGAGCCAGCCGAAAACAAGAAGCCGAAGAAGATCTTGAATTCCCTGATGAGATTGAGCTGCATCCAGAGGTCGCTGCTCGAGAACGCCTTGCCAAATATCGTGGTCTAAAGAGTCTCAGAACCAGCGAATGGAATCATGCCGAGGATTTACCATATCAACCGTTGGACTACAATCGTCTCCTTCAGATTGCCGACTACAAAAAGTCGTACACTGCGGCCGTTCGAGAATCTTTCGGTGGTGGTGTTGTGGCTGGGACCAAGGTTGAGATCGAGCTTCGAAACGTCCCTACGTCCCTCCAGACAACAACTCCATCTTCATTATTCTCCCTCCTTCGTCACGAACACAAGCACGCAGTCATCAATCTCAACTTGACCCTCCATTCTCTCGTTGAAGGCCCACTCAAGTCTAAGGACGAACTCGTTGTGCAAATTGGCCATCGGAGACTACTGATCAACCCTATTCTATCTGCCTCTGGACAGACGCCTAACGATGTACACAAATTCGACCGCTTCCTACATCCAGGTGGCACCTCCATTGCCACTTTCACTGGGCCTCTCACATGGGGATCTGTACCGGTGCTCGTGTTCCGTCGCGGTTCCTCTGCCACTGACGATCAGCAAGACCCACCACAGCTCATTGACAGCACTACACCGAGCACCAGCAACCCCTCAACCTCTCCTCTGGAATTTATTGGAACTGCAACCACCATCCCACCGTCACACACGCGCGTCATCGCCAAACGAGTCATTCTTACTGGCGCACCATTCAAGATTCACAAGAAGCTCGTGACAGTGCGATACATGTTCTTCAGTCGAGAAGACGTGCTCTGGTTCGCCGCTCTTCCATTGTGGACCAAACGTGGTCGCCAGGGGTTCATCAAGGAGCCTTTGGGTACGCACGGATACTTCAAGGCCACATTTGACGGAAAGATCAACCCGATGGACGCCATTGGTGTCAGTCTGTATAAACGGGTCTGGCCTCGACCGGCAACAGTTTATGAATGATGAAATAAAATTTCATGTAATGAGCAGCATGACACAATGAAATGAAAATGAGGGAGATGGAGACTTTCTAGATACTCCGAATTATAGGCGTCGAGATTTATGTTCATTTAACCATCTTTATGGATCGAGACTTGTAGTACAATCCATTACGATCCGTGAATCCTCCTCATCTAGATGTAGCTGACTTATCTTCCCATCCATCCCTCCATCTCTATCCCATTTCATCACATTTCATCCCTCTCTATCCCTATTCCCCTCCCCCCCTTTCCAACCTCTCAATATCCTCCTTCACCGCAGTAATCCCCCCCTCTACATCTCTATACCTCATCCCCAACGCCCTCATAATCTTCCCTCCCGGATCCACAGCCTCATATTCATCGCACACTCTCTTCAACTCGTCCACCTTCTCATCCAACCCCTCCTTCTCCATCCTCAACTCTCTCAACCTCGCACCCGCCCACTCATTCATCTTCGCCCCTTCCACCACATATCTCTGCCTCGCCTCAAGTAACATAACCTGAACCTTTAAATCCATCGTCTGAGCCACAGCGACGAAGAAAGCCGCTCGAGCAAGACTATGCCGTGTTTCGATGCCGTGTTTACTTTTTTCGAGTCGGGTAAGTAGGGTTTGCAGGGCGTGGAGTTGAGAGGTTTGGAGTTTGAGATTAACTTCGTGGAGCCTGGTGAGGGAGGTGGGGAGGGAGGTGGTGTGGAGGTGGTTGAGGTGCTGGAGTTGGAGGGTTAGGTGGGTGGAGAGATTAGAGGGTGGTGTTTGCGGAGAGTTTGTGGTGGGTAGACCGGTTGTGGTTATGGAGAGTTTGTCGCTGCCAGTGTCATGACCATGACCATCACCGTTGCCATTGCCAACGGTGGTGGCGAGAGATGCGAGTTGAGCGAGTTGAGCGAGTCGCTTTTCTGTAGTGATGAGATATTGGCCTACGGCCGAGGAAATTGTGTCCAAGTTTGCTATGAATCGGTCACGGTCTTCTTGGGGTAGGAGAGTTTCGTCGTCTTGTTCGAGAGATGTCGAGACGAGGAGAAGAATGTCTTTGATTTCCGGGGATAATGTTGCTGAGTCTGTCCATGAGGTACCGCGGGTATGGTGTTCTTCTCGTGACAGACTTTCTTCCCTTGATGGTCCGTCGGTAGAATATGCGGCTTGACTCAGTGAAAACGACAAAATCTCGCGCCTTGCTTGTCGGATACGGAGATCTTCGATTTGTTGGTCGATGTCCTTCCTCTGCTCCTTTTTTCGCTTCTTTTCCGTTGGACCATTCCAATCCTGGGGAGCGTCGTCTTCTCCGCCTTCTTCTTCGCCGTCTTGGTCTTCTTCTTCATCTTCCTCATGATTATCGTCCGTCTTGGAACGATTTAAATGACTCACCGCATCTCCACCAGAGACAATATTGTCCGGCGCTAGACGCGGAACCCATCGTCTTTTTTCATTGAGACTCTTTTGCGACGCGTCCACGTCAAGAATCTCGGTCGTCAGGTGCTTCCATAATTTTGCAAACTGTGGATTTTGCTCTAATATCTGTGGTGATATTGGCGGAACCATGGTCTCAAAAAACTATGATGATGCGGACACCATGTTTCAATTCGCGACTAGTATTTGCTGAAGAAGGTGACTGCTTGCTTGTTGGGTCTGCGTACGTACTGACCCGCTTATGTGAATTTCAAGCATCAAGAACTTTGACTTTCCGTCTATGGAAGCAGTCTTGATGAGGTCGAGGTCGTAGGTTGGTTCTGGAAGCTGATTGGAGAGCCGAGCGGACATATATCGTGTTTGAATTTCTCGTTCTGTCTGATTTTGACAGACGACTTGAAGTCACGACAGGCGGAACGGCCTTTACTGGGCATTACTAGAGGTGTCCACGATGTCCACTACTAAATCCTGAGGCTCTCGCTCTAGACGTTTCTTTGACATCATGGTCATTACACCTACATTACTTCTAAAGTCAACAACAAGCAGACGGCTCCTAACTACAAAAGATGTCCATCCGCCTTCGGTCTTCGAGTAGGAGACTCTTATTCTTCTATACGCCTCTTTAAAATCACAGTTATTACAGCTACATTACATTGCCCCTCAAAGGTTATGACTGAACCCTTTGATCAACGACAACGATCCCTTATTATCTTCATCAAATTCATTCCTTATTACTTTCACCAAGTCTATTACTTATCAAACCCCCCAACAAAAACATCCAAGGTACGTCCGAGCAAGAGCCAAGTTTGTAGCCGCATTCATTTGCATGGATGCCATACGGTTTTGATGTGATACTTCATGTCTGTTTCAATTCATACCGTGTGTCAGGGCATGCTCGCATTCTTCTCTCAGCTTTCTCATGCATAACTTCAGATTTAAATCCTACAGCTCCATCAATGCCTCTCTCGCTCTCTCTCTCTCTCTCTCTCTCTGAAGCTATCCGAGACCCGGTCCCGGGAATTGATATGCAACTGCTCTGTTGCGGGTATTCGTGCCAATCGACGGCAGTGTCCATTGCAACGCTATCAACGCAAAATAGCCCTTGTCTCACAAGCCATCAAGTCCAATATGCACCAATCTACTCTTCTTCACTCTCCTCCGACCCATCGTCATCGTCGCTGCTGTCGTTACCTTCGATGGACTGCATTGCGTTTGGCGACACAGCTCCACCATACGCGCCAAGCTTGCCTCTCAACTCTTCGATTTGAGCTTCTTGCTCATGCTTGTTCATTGGCTTGCTCTTCTTGGTTTTGGTCACAGCAGGCGCGTTGTACACATCCTGTTGCTCTGGCCGAATCTCGACTGGTGGTGGACCAGCATATTTCTTGACAAAGTTGAGCAGTCTGAGAAGCGCATGAGTCGGAACCTCCTCAATGTCCAACTCAATCTCATTCTGGTCGCTGTTGGCCAAGGACGGCACGCTGGACTGGATGATCTTCAAGGCCTCTTGCATCTGCTTTTCCGGGAGCATGGCAATGCCATTCGAAATATATTGTTTCTCGGCAAAAGTCACAGCACGGTCCTTATCCGCCTTGGACTTGCTGGGCTTCTTCTTGTCCTTCTTGTCCTTTGCAGAAGACACAGCGCCAGGGCCTTGTTTCTCCTTCTTGCCGGCTTTCGCTTTCGGCTTCTTGGTCGATGGAGATTTGGATTTCTTGGGTTTCTTCTGGGTCAGACCTGCCATCTGCTTTGACATTTCCTCCATTTGCTTTTGCAGTAGCGCAATCTGCTGTTGTCGCGCCGCCTCTTCCTCGTCCGAGTCGTCTGCTGCCTCCTCCTCGGATTCTTCTTCGGCATTTTCATCGTCCTCGGCTTCGCTCTGAGGCTCCGAAGGAGGCTCGCGACTAGCAAGCCACTCATCTTTGGCGGCCCACTTCTGATTGAACAGAGCTTCCAGCTGATGTCCAGATTGGTTGACGAGATCACCCTCGGGATTGAATTTGAAACAATTCTTGAAGATGAGCCGGACATCTTCTTCAAAGTCTTTGGCCTTTTCATACACATTCTGATCTAGGTTGGTTTTGACCGTGCCAAGATCCATAGGTTTGCGGATGATCTGGAAGTACGTTGGGATATTCAAGGCCACAGGATCGACTGGATGAGTGAAATATTGATTGATGGTCCAATGTCGTGGATGCGAGATCTCCTTGAGGACTTCTTCACAGAATTTGAGTTGCAGCTCATACTTCTTCTTCTTTGGTCGCCCACTACCAAATTCTTGATTTCGCTTGGTGGGCACAATGGCTCTCTTGGGACGGCCATCCGCCAAACTTGAATCACGGCGAATCAGTGGGATACCATCAGGACCGGGAGCAAAAGACGGTGTTGCTGGCGCGGCAGCCTTGGGCGAGGGATTGGCAACCACCGGGCGTTGCACCGCCGTTGAAACCGACGGGCGACGTGGAGGTGCCTGTCTGGTGGGCTCCTGCTTGCGAGCCGCCTTCTTCTCCTTGGAAGGGTCCTCAATGCTGGCTTTGGGGAGATTCGCCATCTGCCCATTGAACGAAGACTGCATCTTCTTGGCTTGTTGCGAAACACCATGCTCAGGGCCATTGAAAGCGAAGCAATTGCTGACAATCAACTCAAAGTCACTCACGAATGCGGACACCGAGGTGTACTTGTTCTGCTTCAGTCGCTGGTCGATCGTGCTCAGGTCCATTGGGTGTTTGATGATATCGGGGTAGTTTGGAATGTTCAAGTGGACATAGTCCACGGGCAGTCTGAATGCAGACGAGGCGTTGCTTTTCTTCAAGTTCGAAATAACTTTCTTCATGTGGGCGAGTCGCGCAGTTGTCACCGAGTCGTCGCCGTCAACTGGAGTACCAACGCTGCTTGAGACACCATTGGGAGCTGGGGAATTCTGGCTGACGGGGGCGGGAACATCAGGCACCTTGAACGTCGCCTCTTCAGTCTTTTGGTCTGGTTCGTCTGTCTTGATGCGTTTCGCAGCGCGATCTTGCTCCTCTCCGTCATCTTCTCGTTCGCGAGCTTGTTTGACTACTGCAGGGGGGGCCTCAGTCATGATTTGATCCTCCAGTTGGATGTTTGGGAGTGTCATGACAGCAGGAGTTGGTGCAGGTGCGGCCGGTTCCTCGGGCTGGGGAGGCGCAACCTCGGCAGAGACGACTGGCTCCGGAGTAGGTGATACTGCTGCAACTGGGGTCGGTTGTTCGGATGTCAACGGAGCAGATACCACAGTTGGCTCTTCGACTGGCTTCTCGCTGGGCGATGTCGCTGGTTCAGGCCTAGGGGCAGGTGGTGGGGACTGCGCAGGAGGAGAGGGCAAACCCGTGGCAGTTAATGGTTCCGCAGGGGTAATGGTCACAGGTTCAAGTGGACTTGCTTCGGACGAAACAAGGTGCTCGACCGTCTCGAGTTTGGCAGGCGCGATTGGATCATCAGCGGCATTATCAAGCTTGTGTTTTTCAGCCTCAACAGCCGCCACTGCGTCCGCGGAAAGAGCGTCTGAATGAGGCTCTGTTCGTAGGTCGGAGATCGGTGGTTGAATAGGGTCAGCAACGGGCTTGGCAAGCTCCATTGTTGCCTGCGTGGATTCGATTGGAGTGGTTAAGGTTTGTGACTCGGCGGGTATCGAGGAGGGGATACCAGAGTCAGTGGGGTGGTCTTCTTGAGCCAATATTATTGTTGTTGCTGTGGGTGGTGGTGGGAGTGGCACGGTAGGTTCATCGGGAATTGTGGAGGAAGGAAGAGAATCGGGGATGGTGGTAGATATACTGGTCTCTGTTGGCTGGGCGTGTTCACTGATACCATTCACTGCCGGTGTCGTCACTTCTGGAGGTAGCGCTGGTATTGTGTCAGTAACTGCTTCCGGTGCCGTCTGTGGTAACTCGGGCTGCGGTGAAGGTTCTGCCACAAAGGGTTTGGGGGGAAGTGAATTGAGAGTTGCCTCAGAATTTGAAACTGATGCGGCGAGATTTTCGGTAAGATGAGATTCTGGAGGTTGATTTGATGTGGATTCGAACTGTTTAGGCAGTCTGGAAAACGTCAGATCATGTGACAGAAAGATCGGCGGTAGTTCAACAAACCCATTAGACTCCAACTGCATCTCAACGTCCATGATGCCAAAATGAGAGTGATGGCAGATCGGACCAGCCGAAAATCAGAAAAGAGGCAGGATTAATTATTAAGTGTACTGTTATACAAAGTACGAGGTGGCGTTGCAAGGCGATGGAAGTGGAGAGAAGCCAATGAGATCTTCGAGGGTCGATCGCGTGCGCGAAGTCGGCAGGGTGAGTATAGCTGACACAATGAAGTGGCAACCGGGACGAGAAACTCTGTATCTCTCAGATCGACCAGCCTGATGATGACCAGTACACTGGGAGAGTGGGAGTTTTATTTGGCGGAGATAAAAACCCGGCGCCGAAGGGTCATGTGACTGTGGTAAGTGCCAAGAAGTTGGTGAGAGAATGATGAATAGGCTGCGGTGCTGCGATGTGACAAACCAGTGAAGGCGTGTGTTGGAACAGGCAGCAGTGACAGGTTGGTGGCGACCGTTGAAGATTGAATTGCGAACCAGAATAATGGAAATGCAAAACGGTCGGGTGGCGCGGGATAGAAGTAAAAAACGCGATTGGAGATGGCGTTTGTTGTTTTGGAGTTGGAGAAAAAGAGTAGAGGAAGAAACAAAGACGACCAACTGAGCGCGTCAAATTGATTCTGGGATGCGCGAGGATAAATAAGACGGTGAACAAATCAGATCGTGGCTTGGCGGGAAATGGTAAGACCGTGACGCGAATTGTTTAGTGGTGAGGAAGGTGCAGGTGCAGGTGCAGGTGCAGGGTAGATGCTAGGTAAAGGAACGATGGCAGGAGCAACCAGACCAGTGCAGGGAGGCACGCGATTGTGAGGCAGGTGCGGTCGTGAGTGGTGGTAAGGGCAGGTAGGGAAGGTTAGGCGACAAATCGCTCGCAGGCAGGTGCACCACACTTTGAGGAGTAGCGAATTCGAGGGGCGCGAAATGTTTCTCTTAAGTAGCCTCGGTCTTTGCGACGAGGCACCGACCCGTATCCCTGCGGCTTGCGGACCCTCAGTCCCTCCACCAGAAGGCTTTTCCACCAATGGTTCCATTTGTCCTTCGATAATCCCTGCTCTCCCATTTCCGTGCGTGGACCTTGGACCATTTGATTGATTCTTCAGGATCCACCATGACTCAATAAGGCAAGGCAAGGCCAAGGAAGATTCAAACTCTACGTGTGCGAAATGCATCTGTGCGCCACTTGTAGCAGCCCTGCCACCTCGAATCCTCCGCCCGCCTGGGTCTGGTTGTCGCATTGGAAAGCTTTTTAGACTCCATCCTACTAGTTGAATGCTACTTGAACATAAGAAAATAGTGGGCTTGCCTCGACATTTTTGACTACTTGGTCGATCTCTACATCTACTCCGTACAAATCGATCTTTTTGCATTCTTCAACAAACATGATATGCTTGGTCTATTTGTCTTCTCTACGCTGGTCGCATCAATAGTCAAACGCGGATACGAGTTTCGTCAAACGGTGAAAGATAGGCCATGAGTCCTGATTTAGATCCAAGTACCACAATCCAGGCGCCACTCGTTCTGCGGAAATGTGGCACGTGACACATACTACAACTCCAAAAATTGGATTGCATCACATGACCACAATCAGACTCCAGAACCACTCCGTAGACAGAGTTAACTAGCTGCAAGGCTAGATTTTACATCTAACAAGTCCCAACCTCACTCTCACCTTAAACTCCGATGTACAACTGCATGCACCTGCGAAACAAACTTGCTTGACTCTCAGCCGCTGATAGCCCTTGAATTATTTGCGGTTTTCAAGCTTGGATCGTTATCGCAGCCTGATGCGCCAGGCAATTTCCGGCGTCTTCCGAGCTTATCTGATTAATCAGTTCACGCTCCTTTTCCGTATGAGAATCGTGTTCTCTTGAAGAAAGACCTTTTGGGTTTCAACTCATGATATTCAATACTGGTTGGTTCTTCAATGAGTAGGGTGCTCTGCTCCTCCCTGAAGCCATGTTCCAAGGCAAAGCTCTCACCAAATAATGAACCTCAAGGACGGAGCATCCGCCCCCTCTTTACCTCCCTGACCTCCTCAGACCAGGTGTCCATATTTGTTGACCCTACGCAACTAACACATAGAAGCTATTCTGGTCCTGAACCGTGGAAATGCTGCTTTCCGGAAACTGATTTATCCCTTTTGGGTCCAAAGTCAATGTTGCGCACCATCTCTGAAGGATCCGTAAGATACCCTTAATGTATCGTGCCATTTTGCGAAAAAAGAAACATGGTCGACGTTTCAGTATTTAAAAGAAGTCCTGGGAGGATATGAATTGGCCTCAACGAGAGTATGTTTCCAATCACGGGCAGAATGAACATCCATTGGCCCTGAACGCTCAACGGGCTCCAAGAAATTCTTGGTTCATCAAAAACACTGAAAGACTCGAAAGTGTCACAAGGCATGTACTGCCGAGTCTGTCCTTCTGAACCAGTTGACATCTCTGTATTGCGTTCGTTGCATCTACGGAAATTTGTCGAGTCCATACTCGAATTGGGGCGCCAAATCACCTCACTCAATTGCAGACAAAGGATGTGGCTACCAGCTTAAAGTTGAGTAGTTCCAGCAGACGGGCGAGCAAGTAGACCATTCGAAGGCAGTTCAATGAAAAGATCATGAGAGTTGCGATCAAAGAATGAGCAAACCAGGGTGCATTCAGGGCTATGACTTGCTCTCCACAGCACTGCCTGACGATGTCTGTCTCTAAGATGAGAAATAATCTGGTTATCTTTATCCAAGTGCGTAGATCTTTATTTGAGAACAAGGCTATGAGGAGTGCGAGAAGAGGTGTTTCAAGTTTGGACAAGATGAATAGATCACCGTCGTCGTCCTCTGATGCCTCAGGTAGACTGGCAAGATTATTCCTCCTAATAAAGCTAGGCTATGACCATGTTTGGAGAAACTATTGCCGATTTCAAATGACAGGTCCATAGCCGCAAGCTAACCGGAACGGATCTTAGTCTGCCCGTCTAAGTGGTATCGCTTCTCCGCTCCTACTTTTTTTCTGCTTTACAATTGCGTCGACATTCAAAGTCGAAATTTCAAAAGGTGCAGTTTGAAGCAAATTTATTCTGCTCCCCATAACAATCCTTGACGACACCGCGATGCCATAGTCGTGGTTCACTGTCAATCTATCTCTCTTCTTTTCTGCCACCCTTCACCATTCAGGTTATCGCTGCAATGGGTCCCAAGCACTCCTCCACCGCCGTCCCCAAAATTTCCTCTGCGGCTTCGCCCTCAGTTTCCTCTGCGACAACCTCTTCCCAAAAGTCGTCCATACTAAAATCCGCTTTTGCTCCATCCCAGTTTCAACTTCACTTGTTTGCGTCCGTCATCCAGAGTTTTGATTCACAACAACTGCGGATACATGATACATCCTCTGGACGCCTACGTTGTCAGCATGACACCAAGCCAGGAGCGAGGATCACAAGTCTCGACTGGGGCTACTACGGACCGGACTTCCACGACCAAAGACAAGGGTCCGACAAGAGGAAACGTAAGCGAGACAACGCTGCCTCCGAGTCTGCGGTAGTTGCCTACGCCACCAGTACTTCAGAGATCTATTTCTTCTCACCTGCAGAGGCTAAAGTCGTGGGTACCCTTGTTCACGGACATGACAGAGGGGTACGCGACTTCAAGTTCACTCCTGGCGAGTACAAACAAGGTTGGAGCATAGGCGAAGACAGTGTCCTTGTGCAATGGGACCTGGTCAAGGGCCAACCTATCAGGTATGCTGTCCATTCTATATTCCAAGATTGAGTTGAGACTGACCACCCTTCTTCCAGATCCATTAATCTTCCCGATCCTGCCATTTCAATTCTTGCTGTTCCATCGACACAGTCTCCTGAAATTCTGTGTGCATCATCCTCCCCGTTCGCAATCCATCTCACCGCATCCGAAAACATTCAGATCGACCGATTCGATGCATTCAAAAACCCCATTCACACCCTTTTCCGTTCTGGTTTAAGCGACTCGGAAGCATCGCCATACTTTCTAGCAGCAGACAACGAAAAGTTCCTGAACATTTACGACATTACGCAGAAATCTTTGGTGAAGACACTGGTAGCGGGAAGTGGGGTCGTTGAGGCACATTTTTCCGATGCTCCTGTCTCTTCCTATGGCCAGGGCCAGATGGTGGCGGCTATCACGAAAGCTGGTGTCGTCGAGCTGTTTTCGGATCCATTTGCTCCAACCACCACGGCAATTGGTGAATCTAGGTCTAGCCGACAAAACCTCACCAAGAAAGCTTCCGCGTCTGTCCGGCTTATAAGTGCCGACACGAAATCAACGGGAGTTACAATAACTGCGGCATCTCTCCAAGGCCCAGATCTGGTGATTGTTTCAGCAGTAAGCGGAGTGGACTTGTGTTTCCAAAAGGTTAGATGGCAAGACGAAGGCAATGGTGAACTTCTATTCGATGGCGTCAAGGAAGTGGTCCGGACCAAGTCGGCATCTACCTTGAACACAGCCACCCTCAATGGCGTCAAGGACATGGGCAAAGCACATGTCGACGACTCAAAAACCATTGTGGTCAATGGTGGAGCAGCCCCCGAGTCCGATGCAGTCGAGATCCTCAGCAGCGACAGTGAGGCAGAAGATTCCGCTGATGAGGACAATGAGAACATCGAAAATGTCGATCCCAACTCGAATGAAGAAGATCCTGAAGCTGGCTCAGACGAGGAGATGGAAGAAGCAAATGACAATACGGCTAATCAAGACCAAGACCTAGCCATGGTCGATGCTGCTCCTGAAGTTTTGGAGCCCTCGTTCGGAGAGATGCTCTCTTCAAAACACCCTGAAACAATTACCATCATTGATGCTTTCGGAACCGACGCATCCGCACTGGCAGTCAAACCCGGTCTTCCCAGGATCCCCTCGGGCATGTCTCTCGGTACTGTTCTCACGCAATCACTTCGAACCAACGACAACAACCTTCTGGAAGCCTGTCTACACACTCTCGACATCAACATTGTCAAGAACACCATTCAACGTCTCGACAGCTCTCTTGCCGGAATCCTGCTTTCTAAACTCGCCGAACGACTCTCCAGCCGTCCTGGTCGATACGGACATCTCATCACATGGGTTCAATGGACGTGCATTGCTCACGGCGGAGCCATTGCCGCCCAACCAGATGTGAATGCCAAAGTCCGCACTCTCTACAATGTCCTCACGCAACGAACCCAAACACTCGACAGTCTTCTCCTTCTCAAGGGTAAACTCGACATGCTGGACGCGCAACTCGCATTCCGCAAACAACTTGCTGCCCAGCGACCAGCTACACGTGACGACCAAGACGAACCAGGCGTCATCTACATCGAAGGCAAAGACACCTGGGACAGTTCTGACAGCGAAGACCTCGACGAAGACATTTCCCGCCCATTGAAGAAACGCGTTCAAGGCCGTGGCAGCGCCAAAGCAACTCGCCGCGCTCTAGAGGATCTAATCGACGATGATGACGAAGAGTCCGACGACGAAGATCCTTCACCTCTTCTCAACGGAAACGTCGACTCTGACGACGACGACTCTGACGACGACGAGTCCGAAGACGATGATGAGGACGATCTCGCCGTTAACGGTGGGAAACGCTCACTCATTGATAATGAAGCAGAAGTTTCTGGTGCTGAAGACTCAGATCCCGACGACCAAGGCGACAGTCTGGGTGAGGACTCTTCATCCAAAGATGGATCTTCCTCCGATGACGATGACGATGACGTTGACGAAGAGGAAGAAGAATCTGACTCGGAAATGGACGATTTCATCAACGATGGCGAGATTTCATTTGCAGAAGATGAAGACGACGTCCATATTTCCGGCGATGACGACGACGAAGAGGGAGTAGATGTCGGTCGATCGCCTGAGCCGAAAGCCTCTGTATCAAAACAGAAGAAAAGCTCCAAGAAGACGAGCAGCATGCGAAAGTGAGAGATGGAAAACCGACTCGCTTTGGAGGAGCGGACGAGGGTGAGGCTGTCGACTGGACGAGGTTATGTTCGAGTGAATTATTGATTGCATAGACTGGTGGTGTACGACATGTTCTACGGAGATATGGTTAAGACCTATGTATGGTCGATCGGCTATGCGCGATGCAGAGGCAAGAATGGTTCCCCCTTTCTAGAGGGAGGCGTCTCGACCAAGACCGACCGTGTGCCTACTGCGTTGCAGATATTTGATGAGGGGTACGATCTTCCAGCGAGGGAAGACATGACAGGCTTCGAAAAAGCCCTGTCCTGTATGCAATGCTACCACATACAGCGCGTTTGTTCGATAATGATATCCGATTCAGAGACTATCAAAAAATTAGGCCAAGGGCGTCCCAGCCTTGAATAGAAGCCAAATGCTCCCCTGCGTGCACGATCTTGTGGGTTCTCGTAGTGATAGATTCGTCACGTCCCTCCGTCGAGTTAACAATATGACCAGGATGGACCGAGACGGCTCCATCTTTATCGAATAACTTCTTCTCCAAACCCTACCTCATCCACACCAACAGCTTCACACCACCCTTCCAGGACACGGCTGCCACCAAGAACACCCTCTCGATTCCCCAGCCCACGGCCGGTACCCCTGCTCTTACCTGCCCACACCTCAAAGAACTTCACCGTCTGGTCACAGCAGGCAATAATCAGGCTTCCTTCCTCTTCTGTCCGGCTCGCCCATGTCTCACCTTCGCCTCGGAGATTTTTACGATAGGCATCACGTGGCCGGGACCAGGAACCTGCCCGCTTCCACGTTGTAGATCGACGTGCAACTCTGAATTCCCGTGAACCGTCACCAGACCCATCAGGGCTAGGGGCAGAACTTCGCCGTAATCGAGTGTCAATACTCGCAGCCGCCTGTGCGTATCTTCGGCTTTGCTCCAATTCTCGTACTCGCACAGCCTCCTAAGCGGCAAAGCCATCCTCCCCAGGGTCTTGTCTTCTCGTAGGAACCGCATCGTTGGGCCCGCCAGGATACGGAATGGCCCACAAGGCACGCCCAATCTCGCCATTCTGTTTTCTGTCCCAAGGAATGCTCATAATACAATCACAACTGGGCCAGCTGAAGACTGCGATCCGAATATCGTGCTCTGGTTGTGAGTATCCAAAAGTCGCGACAATTTCTCGCCTTGTCGTGCTCCAGACTAGACTTGTGACCTGAGAGAATACATTGATCAGAGCCAAGGTGGCACCGGATTCTGCATGAAAGAAATGAATTTGACGGTCATTGCTTCCACCCCCTGTTGCCACGAGTGTAGGCTGCCAGGGCGCGAAGGCAATTGCTTTGACCGCGGCCGCATGGTAGAAAGAATACATATGGACATCGGACATGGCTATGATACCAGAGCCGTTGGGATCATGGTGCAGAGGGGAACTATTCGTGGCAGGTAAGTTGTCTGCTCGCACATTGACTTGCGAGGCAGCGAAGATCGGCGCCGGTCGACTTCGCAATGGAGTAGGCGGCGGGCTGGGCAGCCCAATCATTTGGATGGGTTCGAAACTTCGCCCTCTGGAATTCGACTCGTCGGGTAAAGATCTTGGAGATCTACGGTCTGGTGACGCTTCAGGAGTCATCACTGTTCCGACCATCCCATGAATTCCATCCTCGCCCTGTTTTAGTCCACTAGTTACTGCGACTTGGCGGTCAGATTGAGAACTTGAGGTCTCAAGGACAAAGTCAGCATCAAACAAAAGAGCGCGGTTATCGTTGCCGCCGGACATGAAATATCGGCCATCTGGAGACCAGGCTAGACCGCAGATGTTTTGGCTGTGCGCATCTATCTTTGCGAGTAAAGTCAGAGATCCACGAGCAAAGTTTGGCCATTCGAGAGAATAGTAGTGGATTGTGCCAGTGTCGTCTCCGACAAGGAGGTCCTCGCTCAAAGCCATATGCGAGGAGCGGGCTGACTGCCTCCTCGTTGGACTTGGTTTGAAGGCGACGCAAGTTGCTGGCGAGAGATGCGGAGCTTCAAAACGAGGACGCGATTCTAGTAGGCTCCAGAGGGTAACAGTTCCGCTGTTCCGTGCTACGGCAAGGATAGCTTTGCCTCCTTCTTCGGATGAGAATGCAAGGGACGTTACGAAATTTGTGGCTCTCACAGGCGGAATTGGAGGATAGCGCACGCCATATTTCTCTGTCCAAAGATAGACCTTTTGGGTCAAAGCGACAGCCAGAGTATGGCAGGTCCGACTATACGCAAGAATGGAGCAGTAGTAGTCGTCCTTGAGGTTCGGGGCATCCAACACGCGAAAAGGAATGGTTGGCACACCCTTCTCGCGCCGATTAGCTGGGACGAGAGGTTTGGGCGAGGCTAGAGCTAGGTCTAAGTCAGGAGATCTTCAGCGGAGAGTGAGAAGCTTACAATGTGGATCGAATTGCCTCTTCCACGCAGTGTCTGTCCATACAAAGGGGCTGTGGGCGGACAGGACAATATCTCTGGCCTTGTGATCTTTATCGTGAAATTGAAGCAGAATACGGGTTGCTGGGTCGATATTAAGAGCCAGAGCCAAGCGTCGCTCGTGATCGTTGACCTTGTCTTCTCGTGTCGGCCGGTCCAAGAAGTTTGCAGCGTGCAGTGGAGCAGTTGAGCCGCTCACAAGCAGCTCGGCCGATGCAGAAGTGATCCCTTGGAGTTGGCCAGGTTGTGCAGAAAGCCTTCCGCCCACCGTCCAGAAGCCACCACTGGGTTGACGTAGGTCTTGCGAAGCATTGTTTGCATCAACATGGGCCGGCGTAGTATCATTTCTATGGATAAATGAAGGAGTATAACGCGGGGGCCGGAGATCATATACATTCTGAGCGCGTCTCTGTCTGACCAGATCTCGCGACCTTGTACCGCTGATGGACCGAAATGGACTGAGAGTGGTGTCACGCTGTCTGTGGTACTGCTCACGGTGCGGGAGGAGGACTGGCGGATGGCTGGTCTGATAAGATGACCTCTTCTCAACATAGATCGGCCTCTGAGGGATGAAGCGATCAGGTGATGCAAACGAAGCTCGAGCACGGGCAATGTTGCTGGTTCGAATGCATTTTCTCTGCTAGAGCTTGCCAGTGGTTGGGGTACTCGGCTGAGCAGAGTGGACTTCTGGGACAGATTGCGACGTTGTGGGATTCTGCCGAATGTCGGCTACTTCGATAGGCCTCGTGGTTGAAGTCCTAAATTCCTGGAGGTCGGGAGAGGGCTGATATCGAGCCATGAAAGAGGGATCATGAAGGTGACTCTCTGGGAATGCCGAGAGGGACATTGAAGGAGGTCAAGTCCGTGAAGAAGACCGCAGTGCGATATGTAGACCACCGAATGAAAAGTGGTAGGCGGTATGGTTCATGCCCAAAGATAGCCCATCAAAGACCAAATGTATTCTGCTTCAAAATTCATGCTCGGTTTGTGCAGAGGCAGAGCCCAGCAGAGACGTGGAAGAGATCTTGGTGCAGTCCTAAGAAGAATTCACTGGTACACAGAGGGCACAGAAAGGGAGAGAGATAGCGTGCTGTGCGGATGTAGGTACCTATGAAGAATGTTAGCTGCAGGGCATCCCTTGCATGAAGAAATAGTAGTGTTAAGCATTGGGTGCATAGTGTGATGGCAGATGGAGGACATGAGATGGAGGGGCGATGACGAGCCAGAAGATGCGGTAGTGGAGTGGAAGAGTGCCTTCCGCATTTGGCCGCTGGGCCAGGCAACATCAACCACATCGCTCTTGCCACATTCTTGTACTTTCTCGACCTCAACACGTGTCCCATTTTGAGGGCAACGACCTGCGGCTCACTACTCGTACCCTTCCAATTGATGACAGTCTATGGCCAGTGTAAGCAGATGATGATATTATCCCACAAAAAGCGATCTTATTGATGAGGTGATTCTAGCATGGCGTGCCGCGGACGGCGGTGCGGGAGGAGCGGACCACTGAAAATCGGGAGAAAGAGCTCCGAGAAATCCAACAGTATCAAGGCCTTGTCGAAGAAGTCAATGAGAAGGTGAGATGAATTTGATGGGTAGCACGAGCTAACGAGCTAACGGAATGGGATAGGTCGCGGCGAAGGACTTTAGCCCCGAGTTGCTTCAAAAGACGGCAGAGCTGTTGAAGAGAAATCCAGAATACTACACAGTATGGAACCATCGACGGCGGATCTTTGTCCAAGAATTCTCCGATTTGGACAAGGCAGTCCAAAACGGTGACAAGTCGCCGGAAAATCGCATCAGCGAAACGTTGGATATCATTCAGATGGATTTGCAATTTTTGTTTCCGCTTCTCCTCAAATTTCCCAAGTGCTACTGGATCTGGAATCATCGGCTCTGGCTGTTGGAGCAGTCAAGCCTTCTGCTCCCATGTACGCAATCGCGGAAGATCTGGGAGGAGGAATTGGGGTTGGTGGGCAAGATGCTGAGTCGGGATAGTCGCAATTTTCATGGTTGGGGGTATAGACGGTTGGTGGTACAAAACCTGGAAAGTCAGACACTCCAGGGCCAGAGCATGGCACGACCAGAGTTCAATTACACCAAGAAGATGATTGGAGCAAACCTGTCGAATTTTTCTGCATGGCATAATCGGAGCCAGCTCATCACGAGGATCCTAGCCGAAGAAGATGCTACGGATGAAGAACGGAAGCAAATGCTCGATGAAGGTAATGACGAGAACGATATTTGGTGCGATTCGTCGACTAACATGAACAGAGCTGGAATTAATTCACAAGGCACTTTGCGACCCATATGATCAATCGCTATGGTTCTACCATCAAAACTTGATGTGCACCTTCGATGGGGACCGGGCACCAAACAGCATGGCACCACAGTTGACAGATGAGCAGCGAAGAGACTACCTGAAAGGAGAGCAAGAATATATCGAGGAGATCTTGGAAGATGCGGATGATTGCAAATGGGCATATTTGGCACTCATTGATATCGCTTTGATGGCGAAAAAGCTAAAGAAGAATCCAGACGGAGACGAAGATGAAAATGATAGCAGCCAGGTTCTAGAGTGGCTCCAAGCGGTGAAAAAGTTGGATCCGCTGAGAGCAGGTCGATGGGATGACCTGGAACGAAACCTGGTCCAGAACAGAGGATAGGGGGCTTTAAGCCTGGTTAGAATATGGCCGATCAGATATAATTTACGGCGAGCGTGTGGCCAGATTGAGGTCAATTGTTACTCAAGAAGTTGAAGGCGCAAATGCACTGATAATCAAAGGCCTTTAGAATACAGGGTGAAAGCAGGGTCATCCAAGCATGATGGCATCGTACGTAGAACTTGACTCTCGAGGCGCCGTTGACGATCAACGTCTGCCAAGAGCATGAGCCACGTTGCCTTCATGGTTCAAATCCAAGTCGGCACGCTCGGTTGATTCTTGATGAGATTTGTTGGTAAAAGAGCCCGAGGGGCCCCTCGGCCCCCTCGGCCCCTCTAAGTAGTGGCTTGTTCTCGTAGGCGAGGTCTTAGGACGTGCGCCTGGAGAGGAACCCCCAGTGTACTCCGTAAATCCTGTCTTGTCCCTATTCCAGTAGCAACTGTCGTATAATTGGTGCCCACTCGGTTCAGGACTGTCAACTTGTCAAGTAGCGGCTCCTTGAAAGTGACAGTGTCCGCACAAGTGACAATAAACAGTCAGTGACCCTTTTAGGAGGTTATTTCATAGAAGTCGAGTGTCATGCGACCCATTTAGGAACTACATATTGGACAGGGAGGAACTGGAGGGTGAGAAAGTGAGAGAGAAGAGGGAGAGTGGTAATTAAAGAACCATGGCAGCCAAAATGAGTTCGACGCGAACAGACGCGTCACACTTGTCGAGACGCGCCACACACGCAGAGTGCCTACCGCACTTACCCTGACACCCTTTGTTGGTACTTCTTTCTATTCTTGTAGAGTCTGTCCAACTTTTCTCTCTTCCATTGCTGCAATGTTGCAGTACTGCAGATTCATTCGGTTCTTGGAGATGAAACCACATTGCATCACACGTGTGCGCTCTGTAAATAGAAACAGTTACATGGTAGACAGGGATTCCTGAAAAGGCACTGATCGAGTCCCCAAGTGCACCGCCGCCACAAAGGGTCCAGTCTCAAGTCTCGGACCTTTCCCCATGTGCCAGGTTTCGCATCAGTTCCTAGGGTGCCAGTCTATGCCTAAATACCTTAGTTAAGGACTTAGTCAAGTGCTTGGCCAATTACCCAGAACCCAATCCCCATCAGGCCCTGTACTTTTCGCTGTAGAGAGTATCCAGGGTGCGAGTAGGGAAGATACTGGAAGGACTTGCGAGCAGCCCGTGGGCCTGTTACCCCTAAAGCTAACGCCTAAAAATGCCGATCCAGAGAACTAGCAATCCGTCACAGGCTCAGCGGCTCATACTTCATCTTTCAAAAAAGTGCCTTGCTGTTTGCCCATTATTAGACTTTCTCAACACCAACATACGTTGACCCTCCACCGTGTGCTCTTTGTCCTCACCATCCTCCGTCCTTGTTCGAAACGACATGTTCTCAAGTCTCTGTCCGACCATCTACCATCCAAATCTCGCTATATCCTTCACCTCATCAACCCTTCCAACTCAGTGACTCAGCACCTCACACTCGTTTTCTCCCTTTCCCCGGCGCATTGGTCCGGTTGGACGCTGGCTGCCAGTGCCTCCCTCACCTGCAGTTACCGCATTTGATCAGATTTCAATCCAATCTGCAACTGCGTCGTCCTCGATCCCCAACCGCCCCATCACCAGATTATTCCTCACCAATTGTCACACGACTCTCTCTCAGTCCTTCGCTCGACTCCCTTCCCTCCTCTCCTTAGAGTTTGCTGAACCATGGTGGTAATTCCCTGAAGAAGTACCTCTTGAAAATGGAAAACAATCAGCCGAATCCAGAAAATCCCGAAAAAGAGGATGTATGGCCATCCCCCTTCTTAACCGCCTCTACAGAGTGACTGATCAATTCTAGAAATTTGAGGATGCTAATGAAGACACCAATACCCGCTCGACCTCTCGCAGAAACTCCGCCGCCGCCGATTCCCCCAATGTCTCTTCTGCCCCCGACTCTGAAACTGGACCGAGAGATAGCGCAGGCTCCATAGACAAGGTTGCTTCGCAGCCGGTAGCAGACCAAGGAGAAGTCGACAGTGACAAGCCGCAGGAACCTCCTGAGGACCAACAGCCGCCTACAAAAACTGGCGAGCCTGTCGAGTCAATCGAGCCACCTGTAGCTGCTGATGCCCCTACGGCGTCCCAGCCTGTTGATCAGCCAAAACCACCTCCACGGCCGTCCAGATTTCAAGGCTTTTCTGCCTCTCTGCCTTCTGTTCCTTGGGCCGCGCCCCCTGCCCCTCCCAAAAAAGGAGATGCAAGAGCAATTTCTCCTCAGCCGCCACCGGCACAACCGAATCCCCCGACAGGTTTTGGTCGCAAAGTTACCACTCCCTTTGGATGGCTGAGTCGAGCGACGGCCTCTCAAAAGGATCTGAAGTCTCCCCCCATCCCCTCAAGGCAAGGCATCGACGCTCGCCGCAACACTGCTGCCTCCACCTCCACCCTCGGAAGCAACCCCGACCTCCCCACCCGAATCGCAGAGGATGGCCAAGAGAATTCAAATGGACACAAGCACTCTTCAAGGGGATTATTACGAGAACAATTCAAGTTGCTGAGACTGCGTGAGGAAGCCGGTGTTACCAATTTGGACGACCTTGACAAGCCAGAGGCAGGGGCAATAGCAGGGTTGGTGGGAAAATCAAGCAGTCTGGGTGCTGGTCTTGCAAGTCCTGCTAGCATTGGGCCAAATGAGCATACCATCTCCAGCCCCATCTTGTCTCCCACATCTCCCTTGACCGACTCCGTTCCTGTCAACCCAAATCTTGCCCCTGGCACCGTTTCTGGTGTTTCGGCCGCTCCCGCCGACCTGACCACTCCGATCGATTGGGATTTTTGGCAGCAGGTCGTCAATGAGGGTCCCCAGGCGGTCGCTCGAACAAGCCCCGAAGAATTCACCCAGGCTATCAGCGGCGGTATTCCACAAACCATCCGCCCTGTCATCTGGCAAGTTCTTGCAGGAAGCAAGAACGACGACCTGGAAGCAGTCTACTGGGATCTCCGATCACAAACAACCTCCCAAGAGGCAAAGGACGCCATACCAAAATCGCCCCTCTTGAACGGCCACAGCACTCCCACGACTCCTCATCCCACTATTAATGGGGTTGGCAAAGAAAAGGATTCGGTTGCATCATCGAGATCGTCTATACGATCTGACCATTCTAATCCTGCCACTAGCGCCAACCTCCCAGTCGCATCCCCTTCCCCATCCGCTGAGTCTCCTGACCCTGTAAAAGACGCAAAGCTACAGACCGAACTGGCCGCCCTCCGAGCGAAAAAGGCCAAAGACGATGCCGTGGCTCTCGCCAAGCTCGAGAAAGTCATCAAACGCGATATGGGTTCAAGAACGAGCTACTCCAAATACGCAGCCGCGTCTGGTCTTCAGGATGCTTTGTTCAATGTCTGTCGTGCCTATGCCCTCTACGACGACGCGGTGGGCTACCCCCAAGGCCTCAACTTCATTATCATGCCCATTCTCTTCACTATGCCTGAAGAGGAGACGTTCTGTTTATTGGTGCGCCTGATGAACAAATACCAACTGCGCGATCTTTTCGTCCAAGACATGCCCGGGCTGCACCTACACCTCTATCAATTCGAGAGACTCCTGGAAGACTTGGAGCCCGCGCTCTACTGCCATCTTAACCGAAGAGGGGTCACACCAAAATTGTATGCTACCCAGTGGTTCCTCACCCTCTTCGCTTATCGCTTTCCTCTGCAGCTGGTCATGCGTGTCTATGACTTGATCTTGTGCGAAGGCCTCGAAGGAGCCATCCTCAAGTTCGGAATGGCTGTTATCCAACGAAATGTCTCGACCCTGCTCACAATGAACGACATGCAAGCCTTGACCAACTTTTTGAAGGAGAAACTTTTCGACGTATATATTGACTCGGCACCATCCTCAAAGTCTATCCTTGAATCGGGCTTCTTTGGCAGTTCCGGTGGTTCGGATAACGAGGTATATCGAGCCGACCTCCTTGTTCAGGATGCATGTGCGGTCAATCTGACACCAGAGATGCTCGCTCGCTACCGAGAAGAATTTGAAACCACCACCAAGGCCGAAAAGGCCAGGGAAACCGAACTAGAGAATTTGAGGACAGACTGCGCTACCAAAGCTGCTCAAATTCGCTCGTTAGAAAAGCGAGCCGAGAAGTCAGACGCCGAACACATTGAACTCGCCAATGAGCTTGTGCGGCTCAAGGTGGAAAACACAGAGTATCAAGATCGAAATGAAAGTCTGTCAGGACAAGTCGAGGAGCTCCGGAAAGTGGCCGAAAGTGAAGCAGCCAATGTCGAGGAGAGAATGCGAGCCACGACGGAGCAAGTCATGCAAAGGAACATTGAAGTCCAGAACGAGAATCGTCACATGGAAGAGCAAATGGCCGAGATGGAGCGTGAACTAGTCGAGTACAAGATGAAGTATGCAGAGGTGAGTTTGTTCAACCTGGTCAATTTCTTGACCGTAGAGCTAACGGATATACAGCTCAACAGCGAGTATGACTCTCTGAAGCTGAGATGGAACGATCTCAAACGAGCACTCGAATGAACCATTTGCTTCTGATCCATGGGCCTCTCTCTCATGATGAATCCAGGCGGATACCTTCGAGTCTGGAACGCTGTATGAGAGCGCCTTGTCTCTCAACATGCAGGATTCGGGTGACTTGTCACCTTCCTATGTACAACACTAGCAACGACTTCGATAACGTCAACCAAGGCGACTGGCACTGTGGCGATGCGACCCACCACACAAACGACACATATAGCATAGCGCTGGCGGGCGGGAATTGGGCAGATGGGTCAAGAACCACGATGTTGTTGTCCGGAGTTTGAAGGATCTCGATGTCACGCTTCGATGACATTTATAGATTGGAGGAGCGACACGGTACGTCTGTCCTACCGGGTCTCCGAAATTGGTGAATGGCGCGAATGAGTCGGCCACCAGCTGAATGAAGCAATGGCCACTTTGTTGTTGCGAGCAAGACCTTGGGATTTTGGCAGTGTAGGTTAAAGGATGACACGATGGATACTGATTGAAGGCAGCTTCGCAAGTGTTAGGGCAGCTCGCTATCGATACGTATGGTTATGGGTGAATGAACCAAACAAATAGATTACGACCTTTCCATCAAAGATTCTTCTCTTCACTATAAGCGTGAACGTGTCTAACAGCGCCATCATGTAGTGGAAGGTTGGATGGATGATGTTTTAAGTAGTACCTCCTGATTGATGTCCTGTAGATTTAGTCTCCCGTCTGCATAAATATAGATGGAATTGCCATATATTTATCCAAACAAGCCAGCCCGCAAGACAGACAGATAGACGATCGCTATTAGTATAGATGGCTCTACATCCGTGCCACCTGTACGTATAGATAGCTCTCTCTTTCTCTCTCTAGATCGTCATCCATACACACCACTATCTATAGCTTGACTCTCCCGGCCTTGAGATCCTCCCACTCCTTTTCATTGTACTCGACGTATTTCTTAGCATTTGGAGGCAACCAATACATACGGTCTTCTGGACTAGCCTTTCGAATCTTCTCGAGGTCGGCACCCTGGGCTCTCAGGGGACCTTTTTGTAGTTTCATGGTTCCTGTGTATTCGAGCTGAGGCACCACACGGATGAAGATGGGTACGGCGTACCGAGGTAGATTCGAGATGGCATGTTCCGCCAGGCGTTGCCAGTCAATCTTGTCGGCTGACAGACCCTGCACGGGGACAATGGCGGCGCAGCCAGCACGTCCGTCGGCATGAGGTACCGTTACGCCGTAGACGTTGGCTTCGGCGATCTGATCAAACTCGCCCATCACGTCGCTCACCTCGTTGGTCGACACGTTCTCACTGCGCCACCGGAAGGTGTCGCCCAGTCGATCCACAAAGTAGACCCGTCCGTCTGCGTCTTGCCGCATCATGTCTCCAGATCGGAACCACATGTCACCTTTTTTGAATACATCGCGTAGGAATCGCTTCTGACCGGCCTCTGGGTTCTTGTAGTATCCCCGGAACACTGCATCGACATTGTTCGGGTCCAGAATTCGGTGCAACACCTCGCCAGGTTCGTCGGTCTTGCATTCGATGGCGAACCCGTTCGAGTCTCGTATAATCTCTTGCGAATCAATGTCTATGCGCACTCGTTTTTCGTTGTCGCTGTTTAGCCAATGCCAGTAGGCCCCACGCAGGGCAATGGCACTGCGACCAAATTCTCCACGGTTCTCATTGAAGCTTGACCCCAGCCCATCGGTCGCGGCGTACAACTCGTTGATGGTCTCGATGCCGAAACGTTGGCGGAATGTCTCCCATACGTCAGGTCTCATCCCGTTACCCCAGGCTTGCCGTACGTTGTGGTTCTTGTCATCTGGGGAAGGCGGCGCGTTGATGAGGTACCGGCAAAGCTCCCCAACATACTGAAGGATATCGGCTTTGGATGCGCGAACTTCAGGCCAGAAGGTCTTATGGGAGAATTTGCGAGAAAGAACGACGGTGCTACCACTGAAGGCTGAGGGAGTCACACAAAGTCCGTGTGCGGCTCCATGATACAGGGGTAGAGCTGTATACATCCGGTTGCCCGGCTTGAGGCGGAGATACTTTGAAACGCCCCAGGCGGTGACAAGTTCGCGGGCACGGCCCATCACCACTCCCTTGGGCATACCGGTGGTACCACTAGTATAGATCAAACTGCATATATCATCGGGCATGATGCCTGCGTGTCGAGACGCCGGAACAGGTGTGGTATCGGTCAGTTTGGCGAAGAAGGCTTCGTCGTAGTAGATGGTCTTGACATTGCTTTCTGAGATGGCAGCCTCGCATGGCTGGACTAATGGCTGAGTTGCAATGTCGGCAAGGAGATATCGGCAATCACAGAGCTTGACACTGTGGGTCAAAGGGCCAGCAGTCAGATTACAGTTGATGAAGGCCGGGCATGCGTTGATCGCCTCAAGGCCGAACCACAGTAGCATGAACTCTGGAGAGTTGGTGCCATCGACGGCGACAATTTCCTTGGGCTGAACGTCGAGATCCTTCATCAACCAATTGGCGGTTCGATGGATGTCGTCGAAGAACTGCTTATAGGTCCAGGAGCGATTCTCGAAGATGAGGAATAAATTGTCGGCATTGGAGCCCTCGGCATGATCCTTGAACACGTGGTACATGAGGGGTTTCCCTTCCTTCCATCTCTGCGCAACAAACTCCAAGGCTTTTGGCCCTTTGGGCAACGAGGCACCTACTAGGTCATGGCGGATATGGAATTTGGCATCCAAGTAGGCGGCAGCGGCTAGCCCACCTGCGACTGCTGCTGCGGTGACTGGAGTTTTTGTATTAGTCACTGCCAGGTGATGGGAGGCTTGAGACGGGGTCATGTATACTTACGAGCCATTGACGAGAGTTGGCTATAAAGAAGTGAGGGACATGTACAGAATGGAAAACAAAGAAACAATCCACATTGAAGACGTCCATAAGATTGAGAACCGAACTTCACCAAAGTCCGATCGTCCTTGCTCAGCCGAGGTCTTTAGACCCTGACGTCGGTTCGGCTCTGACTTGAGATGAGGAGTTGCAAGAGGACCGTGAAGGTGGGATGTAACTGGCTGCTCGAGCCTCCTTGGCCGGGGTCTCCAAAGCTAACCTTTTGGCCTCATGGTTGACAATAGAGTTGGCGGGTCTCACGGAGCAGTGGCTGTTAGGATCTTGTGCCGGGAACTTGGCATTGAGGCTTCCCCACGTTTTGAGACACTCGAGGGTGCCATACTTTGGTGGAGGTTTGCCGCTTATAATTACACAAGTGACGAGAAAGAGTAGAAGAAGAACGTACCACAGGATGTGGGCGTTTTCGTACCTGCTCCCCGGAGTCCCCTCGCTTGGCTTCTCTCCTCCGCACCTTCCTCCAACACAGGTGTCAAAATACAGCATTTCATTGGTTGTCTAATCAATCAAATCGAGGCAGGAGTGGGGCATCGAAACCAACTGACTCGATTCAACTCGGACCTTCCCACACCCAGTCTTACAGCCTATTCGCGGGTAGGTAGGTACCCAAGGTAGGTACTCTGAAACTATATGTACTGTACTGTACCTATCCATACAATACCCCCCCTACGCATAGAGATTAGGTACCTACATACCTAACCTCGTTATAGAGATAGGTATCAAGGCATGCGTATCACTCAATGCTATCTATTGTCGGTCGGCACCTCGGCTCCTAATCCAAGATCGCCCAAATTACACCAGTGACTACTATTGGACTACATAAATACACATTAGTTGGCAGACACAGTAGCATTCTTGTTCAGCTACTGGCATTGCTTCATTGCTTCATTGTTTTATTGTCTGTAATGACTCAGCACTGCTTCCAGGTCGATACCCTGATTCATGAAAGCCCCAAATTCAAGCCCAATTCAAGCCAAATTCATTCTTGTCGTAATGTCCAGCTCTGTTGCTCCCCATCATTGTACTCATCACATATCCAGATCCCAAGGCCAATGCTTGTGGCAGCTTCCTGCTCCGGCGCCTCCAAGGATTGCTATACTCAAGTCATTTCCCTCTCCCTTGCAAAACACAAATCCAAGGCAAGCTGTCCATTCAGCTGCTGCCTGCTCGCGGCCCGATTCTCCATCGTACTCCATCATCGCTGGCGTTGCATCAAAGCTCTTTTTTTGTATATTTTCGTGTCAGTCAAGACCAGCCTCTTAACACCCTCTTCACATTCTCCCGACCTTGGCGTGCGTGCATACAATGTCCGGTGTGGTATTGACTGTTACCATGACAAAGAAGCACGAAGAAGTCGTGAGCTCACAGCTAGTAACTCTGTGTAGCTCAACGCCACTAGCGTCCTTGTTGCCATGCCGGACCTGCACCTGGGTATTGGCCTGGTGCTTGCTGTTGGTCAGTACCAGGATTGTGGCTATTGAATGCTCCCTGATACTGGTAGCCTTGGCCACCGCTTGGAGGCGGCATGTATCCCACGTTAGGGTACCAGACTCCGTTATACATATACGGGCCCGTGCCAGGTTGGACACCGTTATACAGAGTTGGAGCCATGTCAGGTTGGACTCCATTATACATATTCCGATTCATGCCAGGTTGAAATCCTCTGCGAATGTTTGATTCCATGGCTCGAGGCATCGTTGGTGGGAGATTGTTTGGCATATTTGGGCCAACAATCGGAGGTAAAACATTGGCCATGTTTGGTTCGACGATCAGGGGCAAACCGTTGTACATGTACTGCCCTTCGTTGGTGTAGATGCCATTGTTAGGACCCTGAGCCATCGGAAACATAGGTGGGTGGCCTTCCTGTGCCATTCCATGGACAGGGTACCTTACCTCGCCTTGCTGACCTTGGTGCGCCATGTTTGGTTCGATTCCTGCATAGCTTGGATAGTACATGGGAGGAGGAAGGGTACCCTGGTGCATAGCTTGCCGATGTCCAACCCCCATGTTTGTCTGCAAGGGTTGATACATGGCTTGCACGATGCTCAATTGTGACCTCATGATGTCGTTGTGCTTTTTCTGTTTTTTCGGCGACAGTGTTTGCTCCTTTGGCTTATTGACATGATTTTCATCTGCTTTAGAAGGGGGCTTCTGCCAGTCAGGTACGAATGGTTTCTTCCACTCGCCCACCTCGCTCATCAAGCCTGTTCCGACCAACTCTTTACCTTTTTCTTCAAATGTTGGGTCGGTATTCAGGAGAATGTTGTGACTATTGTAGTAGTCCGGTGTAAGCCCCTTGGAAAAGGGAGGGTGTACTTCGTCGAAGGGGTTTGCCTTGATCACTGGTCTGTCGAGGGAGTGAACCTCTGGGGCGGCCTCTGTTGCATTCTCTGTGGCGGTCCCCTGGTCGGTCGCCTGGTCGGTCTCTTGGGTGGCCTCTGGGTTCACTGGTTCACGCGGAGGGGGAAGGAAATGACCCGATTGGGCACGGGCAGTGTGAGAGTGCCGATTGTCTTTGTTCCATTGATACTCCTCCATCTTAGGCCATTCCGCAGTCCCTCCTTCTCCGTGCCAGACTGTCTGTTGCATCAAGACTGGGCTCATTCCGTCACTGAACACTTTTCCACCAAAAGCGGGTCTGACCATTCGCAGTCCTGGAGGAATTGACTCCCATGCCTTCATCTGATCTTTTAATTGTTCCGCGTCCTGTAAGAGCTGTGTCTCTCGCATCGCCATAATGTCCTTTTTATGTTTGATGTATTCACTAGCGTTTCGTGGAAAGATCTCTGACGGTCCAAAGGTGGGTTTGGCGATCGGTCGAAGCTGTTCCGGGGCGAAATGCCGCATTCGCTGCTTAGCCCGCTCGTATTCTTCCTTCTGTAGCACGGCCGGACTCTTCCAAGTGATTGACGCGGTGTGAGAAGGGCCTGGTGCCAGTATGAGAGCCTGTGAACCTCGTGGACCTTGCGGAGCCTGAGGAGGACTGGCCCGTGCAGCGTTGGGCTTGGGCGATTGGGATGAAGATTGGTTCGACGATGAGTGTGATTCAATAGAGATCATGTTCTGGTGATTATGCTCTCTACCACGACCACCACGACAGGGACGAGGGTTCGAAGCTGATTCTGTGTCAGCACTCTCAGTGTGTTCAGGGTGCATAGCAGCGTCGGTGGGCAGACTGTCAGAGATCGATTGGCGCAGTCTGGTGCAAAATGCTAGATCTGCTGAGGATTATCGCCGGAGATGGGGTCAAGGAAGCTAAGGAGGAGCAACAATATTAGTAAAATGAGGTTGGAGAGTAGGAGAGTGTTGTTAGAAGACTGTTTAGCAATCAGAGACTCAGAGAGGCAATAAGAAACAGCGAAGATGACGCGTTTTTGTAGTTGCCAGAGGCAGAAAGTAGGTCAGGGCAGTTCAACTTCACGATCGTCTATCACTGTGATCACACTCACGTGAGTTACGTTAATATCTGTCTGCTGTGACAAGAGGCTGGTGCTGGAGTGAACATGTGAGGCCTAGGTGATGCCGCTTCTCTCCTTCTAAGTCCTCTTTGACTTGAAGATAATGGCAGGACTAAGATCAAACAAAGATGTCGAGGCACATTCATGTCACCATGTAGTGTTGAATGAGGCCTTGTCTGGTCCCTTTGTTGTAATAGAATGACTCGACTGAACGATGTCTGGGCGAACAAGATACAGGTCTGTAAGATGGGCTCTCCAGGTTTCGATAATGGATATCACTTGGCTCAATAGCTTCAGAAAACGGAACCTAGATTCAAGAGTTGCCCCAGAGGAGAAAATGATGACTAGGGTGGGGTTAATTGCAAGCAGACAGATCAGATTCATCATCCCTCGTCATCGCCGGTTGAGCGCGAGCATGTTTCAGTCCTCGACTCATAGAGGTGAAGCATATGCAGGACTCGAAAGCGTTGACATTCGGCTTTAACCATTGGACACGGCGATGAAGCTATCTGAATCAGGACTCTCGATCCAGCTGATTGGCCGACGAATCAAACGAACAGGATCAAAGAAGTCTCGTAGTCGAGGCATGAGTGAATGGAATGAACTTCACCGGTTTCTCGCCCTCGCGCTCACAGAATAGATGTAGTGTCAATTGGAAACGGTCTAAAGACGATGGCCATGCTCAGTGATTCCAGTAAAGATCCACTGCCCGGCATGTGGGCGTGACTCGATAGAGAGAGAAAAGTGTGCTTAAGAGGCTTCTATATCAGCCGCACATGAAGTGTCGTAATTAACGTCTTGTCTTGCCTTTAGTAGGCCTCGACGACATGTCCTGTTTGTTTCGGATCTTCGACTCTGGCTTGCCAGCATGTCCTTCTGGAAATGCTTAGAAAGGTCAAGAAATTTGACAGACTATCGCAAAAATAACCGGAGAAAACATTAACAGTAGTAGGTCTTTGATAGCGATCAAAGGAGCGCCATGGTGCGTCTTCTATAGGGAGAGAAGGCATCATTTGGGCTTACCTCAATCAGAATACAACGTGGCCGGGAGATCCATACGCGGGGCAATTTGAATTACTCATCCTTCCAATGTGAAGATCTGCCTTAGTGCCGAGCATCTTGATTCCTGGTCTTGTGAACTCAGATCTTGGTCAACTTGGCCTCGACTACTGTGCTGCATGCAGCGTCGAAAAGGGTTCTCCATGGTTCCTATCAATCCCACCATCAATAGAGTGATAGAATTCAGAATTCCTCTAAAGCTACTGTGTGATGAATGATGTTGCACTTGGTCAATGACAAATAATTTAGCTCCTGGTCGACATTTTTCAGAAGAAGTCTCGAGTTTGTGTAGACATGTCGTTGAGCCTTGGCACGTGATTTCGTGTTCCTCGCCTGAAGTTCCACTTTTCCGCAAGCGGCGCAGCCTAACCCGTCGCGAGATCGGTCGAGATCGTCTCTATTCTGACATCTTTTGTTGACTCTTTGGCTCGAAGTATGCACCAATTCTAGCACGATCATGCCGTCCATAGACTTATTCCTGGACGGACGGGATCCGGGGATTGATTCAATAGGCTCCAATCCACTCCCTTATACCTTACAGACACCTTCCGGCCTGGCCATCGTCGAGATCCAAGGAACCATCCACACTCCGATGTCGACTGCGCAAACTGACACACTATCATCCCAGGCTACCTCAAACACACCTATTGGCCGTCTTGAATTCCCTTTCTACGAGAACGGCGACCAAAGCGAAGGGAAATGGATGAAAAGAGTCTATCTATACGTGGGAAAACATCAACGCCTGACTGGCGAAGTCAAGAAACTCCCCAAGCCTCTGGGAGTTCTCCGAAAAAGACCGGTTAACGCGGTTACTAGTAGTAGCCAAGTTGCGGACGAGTCAAGTGGAGATCTGGACTTGGTTGATGTGATCAAGTACAAGCTCCTATTCAGCGGCAGGCCAGAACCAGTGGGCGAATGATAGACACAATCCTGTGTATACCCATGTATGAATATTCAAACAACTCGGCACAACGTCAGATCTCCAGCCGTATTCATGGAGACTCTTATCCCAGGAAAGGGAGGGCCAACGCATGAAAGCTCAGGAGAGTTCCCATTCTCAATCACAGTGGTTACAGCGGTGGCTCTACAATCTTAACACGGTCGACATAACCATGGCCAGGGAACCATCCAAACATTGCGGCTGACGACTGTGGAAGATACTGGCTTCTTTACCTCGTCTCGGATGTCATAAATACATGGCTCCATTCTATCTGATCGAAGCGGGCTGAAAAACTATGGACAAAGCACCCAAAACCCATACGAACAACTATACTAACAGGCCGTTACTCTGGTTGGCGAGACTATGACGACATTTTCTTATCCATTGAGCGCTATCCAGATTGTCGATCCCTGGTTTGATGACAATCAAAGGCCCATTTTCTCCGGTTGAGGTCATACTCGCCTAAATGGCGAACCGCTGCAGCCGCTCCAATGCTCTGCGCAATAGGGATGGATTATGGGGCACAAAATGTAAACCTGGTTCCAAAGAACCCAGGACTGTAGGTGTGGAAGGCTCCGTGGTATCCTGAACTCCACCTACCCCAGTGTCATCCCCAACATCTGGGAGTGGAACATTGGTGGGAATGCTCTGGTCGGTTGATGGAAGTTCAGTCGATGCTGGAGGTTCAATCGCTGAGCTCGGGACGACATCTGTGCCATTCAATGGAGGTAGTGCAGCAGTAGTGCTGTTGGTGGTCGGGTCAAGGGATGGCTGTGCATTGGTCGAGTTGGTACTCTCATTACTTTGGGTGGAGTTTGATGGAGGAGATGGGTCAAACTCGATGGGCAGGAAACCAGAGTTTTTGGGATCACTGAGGACCTTGTCGGAGCTTTGTCGCTTGGCTTTCTCGGCGAAGTGACTATGTTCTGGTGTGCGTTTGTCCAGCAACGCTGGTACAGGTTGACTTGGAATCTTGATATCATTTGATGTCGAAGAAGTGCCCCCAATTAGCTGTCCGCTTTCTCCAGATGGGATGACCCATGGATAAACACTTGTCGGCGCTCCAACGAGTAACAAGGCGGCAACAAAGGATCTCGAGTCGAGTCGCATTCTTATAACGTTCGTGTCAACGGAATGCTTGAAGGGGTGAGTGATAATCAAAGCGGCTACGCCGCACAAAGGATAAGGGTAGAATAATAGCTTCAAAAGGGCTTATAGTACAGAGTTGAACGAGAGTCTGGAAAATGAATCAGTCTATTAGCTATTGCGGGAAGGATGGTAATGAAGTAGTTCTAAGGTCTCTTCCTCTCTGTGGCCTTGACCGCACGTCTGAAACATGAGGAGAGAGCGCGGGTCAGTATAATGTCCAGCTCTTCTTTGTGGCACCACATGTAGAAGGACTAAGCCATTGACCGGCCTCTATGGCCAAATTATCATCAGAATGTCGCATGCTCAAACAGAGATGGTTGGCAGGGGATTGAGTGCCGGAAGGCAATTTGATAGCGTGGCTTTAGGCGCTTACTGACGGCCAGTCGGTCGAGACAGACACATAAATTTGGTGCGGGGTTTCAGAATCTGCCTCGTTTCTTGTGTTTGAGTGGATGAGAGAGACTGAAGAAGGCCAACCAATACTTGCAACCGGAATTGGCCACCGATCAACCGGTCGAGCCTATTATCCAAAACACGACGATAGTTAGGCTACACCCGTTAAAAACGTATTCATCAATGGGCGGTTCCATGGAGACTTATCACGTGAAGTAAAAGGCGAGGCCCGCTTTTATTTTTGGTAGAGATATGGAAAGGCTGAGCTAGACCCAAACAAGATGGTTCGTGCCAAGGTTTCTCCGCAGTGAAATTCAAATTTGGAGTACGAGTAGAAAGAACCAAAAAATCATTCTCCATTGTTCAGTTTGGGCAAGGGAGATCTATGGCCGTGTCTAGGCTTCTTCACACTTTCTAGAAGCCTGTGTGCATGGTCAATTGATGAACCAGTTCCATCTCACCCAAATTCACAATCCAACATGGAGAAACTTGTCGAAAATGGCGACGGTCAATTGACCATCCAAAACTTATCCCCGCCTGCAAAGCGAGCACCGACTGGAATCCTGACCAAACAACAGAAGGAGGAACAGAAACATCTGGCTGAGGCCCGCAAAAAGTACGGAAGAGGTCGTCCGGTGCGGATCAACGAGGTGAAAGACAAGAAGCTGCGTGCCAACCTCAAACGCATTGAGAACAAATACCGCTCCGCCGTCTTACATGCTAAAGATGCGGAAATTCTGTATGAGAACACCGAGGGTTTCTTGCAGCCAGAGACGGAGCTTGAAAAGACATACAAAGTTCGACAAGACGATATCCTGAGCGCAGTCGGTGTTCAGCAGGCCAAAAAGTCAATCGAATTCAAATTAGATTTGGGCCCCTACACAGCCAACTATACCCGCAATGGACGAAGTCTGCTCCTGGCGGGACAGAAAGGACACATTGCCACATGTGACTGGCGAGACGGCAAGCCAGGTTGTGAACTACATTTGAACGAGACAGTAAGAGATGCGAAATGGCTCCACAACGACCAATACTTTGCAGTGGCGCAGAAGAAACACACTTATATCTACGATCATGCTGGTGTCGAGATCCATTGTCTCCGAAAATACGTCGAGACGACACACCTAGAGTTTCTGCCATATCATTTCCTCTTGGCTGGCGTGGAGAACAGCGGGTTCCTGCGGTACACAGACACCTCGACGGGACAGATTGTGTCCGAATACTCGACGCGCAAGGGAGCACCGACCGCGATGAGCCAAAACCAATACAATGCCATCTTACACGTGGGACACCAAAACGGTACAGTGTCACTATGGTCGCCCAACTCAACGACTCCACTGGTCAAAATCCAAGCCAACGCTGGCCCTGTGCGCTCCATCGGAATCGACCGTTCAGGACACTACATGTTATGCGGCGGACAAGATCTACGACTTAAACTCTGGGACATCCGCGCCATGAAAGAAATCCACTCCTACACCACACGACAACCAGCATCCAGCATCTCCATCTCCGACCGAGGCCTAGCCGCCATCGGCACCGGCACCAGTGTGACAATCTGGAAAGACCTCTTCACGAGCTCAAGCAACCGCGAACCCTCAAAAGTCCAATCCCCCTACCTCAGCTGGGGCAACGACGGCCTTCGAATGGAACGTGTCGAATTCTGTCCTTACGACGACATCCTCGGCATTTCACACGCACAGGGGTTCAGTAGCATCATTGTCCCCGGCGCAGGCGAACCTAATTACGATGCTTTGGAAGCCAATCCCTACGAAACCACCAAACAACGCCAGGAAACTGAAGTGCAATCACTCCTCACTAAACTCCAACCGGAGACTATTGCATTGGATCCTCATTTCATTGGTAATTTGGATGTTCGGAGCGCCGAGCAGCGTGCGCGTCAGAAGGATCTGGATGCCCCGCCGCTGGATCCGTTGGCCAAGTTGAAGGATAAGAATCGTATGAGAGGGAAGAATAGTGCGTTGAGAAGACATTTGAGGAAGAAGGGAGGAAAGAATATTATTGATGAGAAGAGGTTGAGGTTGGAGGAGATGAAGAAGGAGAGGTCAGATAGGGATAGGTTGAGGTTGGAGAGGGAGAAGGCGGATTTTGGCCCTGCGTTGGCGAGATTTGCAAAGAGAGGGGTTTGAGTATAGAATAAAGCGAGTGTCTGGTGTTTGGGTGCGCTATTAGAGGAAGACCAGACTAGACTAGACTTGACGCTGCGTTGCGTCCATCGTGTATGATAATATACCTGATGTGAATAAGTGTGCTTGAACTGCGCTTGAGTCTCCGCATTTCTTTAGATTGGTCGCATTTGTGCTATCTAGAGCGACGTCTTGCCCCGCAGGTCTATAAGAAGTATACAGAAGTATACTATAGAGGTGTGTTGTCATGAACTTTTATATAACCCAACTCAATCATGAGGCACATGAGAATACCGACTGACAGTAGGCGACTCACCACTTCCCCTAACCGCACCTTTACTCCATCTCCTCCTACTCTCGATATATCCATCTGTACTCTTCCACGCACTCAACACCATATCCACCGTCTCTTTAACACCCACACCATGCTTTATCACTCCTCTCACCACCGGTCCCCCCTCTCTAATCTTCCTCGCCTCCCTCTCCATCAAATCCACATCCGCACCGACCGCTTCACTCAAATCACATTTATTAATAACCAATAAATCACTGCCTGTAATCCCCGGCCCTCCTTTTCTCGGCACCTTATCCCCTCCCGCCACATCAATGACATAGATGATAAAATCCGCCAATTCCCGCGAATAGTTGGCCGCCAGATTATCCCCTCCACTCTCAATCAAAAGAATATCAGTCTGAAATTTCGCATGCAGGCCCTGTAACGCCAATAAATTGGCCGAGATATCTTCTCGCACGGCGGCATGAGGACATCCACCGGTTTCAATGGCGACGATTCGTTCAGGTGCTAAGGCGCCGTGTTTTGTGAGGAATTCTGCGTCTTCGCGTGTGAAGATGTCGTTGGTCACGGCGGCAATGTTGTATTCTTTTCGAAGGGCGAGGCAGAGTTCAAGCATAAGTGCGGTTTTGCCTGATCCTACGGGCCCACCGATTCCGACGGTGAAGGCTCGGTCGGCGAAGTCGCGTCCGTCAACAATGGGCATTTCTCGTTCGAGGTACGAGCCAGGGCCATTGTAGATTTCGTGCGTGTGCCCGTGAGGGGGCAGTTGGGTTGAGTGGTCATGGGAATGGTCGTGCGAGTGTGCGGCCCCGCCGTCGTGAGAGTGTGTTGCCATGGCTGATGGGTGAGGGAGGGAGGGAGAGAAGGTAGCTGGGTGGGAAGGAAGGGAAGGAGAGAGAGAAGTGAGGTTTGGGCTTGGTAAAGGTGAGGTTGGGTATTCGATCTGTCCAAGTTCTTATGTTCTTATCGGAGTAATGGACGGACGAGGGGATGTGATGTGGGATTCGGAATAAAACCCAATTTGTGGTTGATGTTGGTGGGCAAGTAATTGTTTGGGATTAGAAATGTACTTCGGTCAGAAAGCTCTAACAAAGACTCCCTGGAGTAAGTTTCAAACCAAGAGCTGATGCTGAATGTACTAGGTACCAGGTATGGTGAATAAAGTATCAAGTTGAAGGGCATTGAAGATAACAAATTATGCGTAGCTTGTCATTACAAGTTCAATGAGGGGCAACAGCGCAGACTGCCAGCGTTGTTCTTATGTCAATAAAATAATAATAATTGCTTGAGGGCTTGCCCCGCACAGAGTCCAAGGATGGACAAGGATGGGGGGCCGCCTATCGAGGATATTGATGTTGTATATACATGTAGAAATCCTTGGGCTTCGAGTGAGTCAATCACCTAAATATATCGAGGTACCGTTGAGAGCAGCTATAGGTTACGAAGCTACAGAACGGTCTCCGCAGCCTTAATTGAATCGGAGTTCCAGCTTCCATACTTGTGGTCTCACCATCTCGAATCGTAAAAATATATACACCACCGATCTCAACCACCAACTTAGGTACCTACTTAGGTACTGTACCTGTACCACTTGATCTACCCACATCTCATACATCAACAATACTTCAAAGTCAATTTCAACATGACACTCGTCCATATTGTCTTATTTAAACTCAAATCGTCTCTTTCTCAGGACGAAAAGAAAGCGGTAAGTGCATATACTCTCCCCACCCTTTCCTGTCAGAGGAATATACACTATTGTGTGACATACACTGACAACACTACCGCCCCTGTCCCAGGTCTGCGACGACATGCTCAACCTCAAGGATACATGCATCCATCCAACCAGCAATAAGACATATATTTTGTCGGCTTCAGGTGGGGTGGACAATAGTCCTGAAGGTGCACAGGTGAGTCATATCAAGTTGTTCAATCCGACTAATGGCTATCACATCTAACTCCGCGGCTGTGTTTCACATACAGGGCGGTTTTACTCATGGTTTTGTCGTCGAGTTTGCCTCGAAAGAAGATCGCGATTATTATGTCTCGCAAGACCCGATACATCAGGCCTTTGGTCAAAAGAACGGTTCCAAATGGGACGATGTGAGAGTGATTGATTATGAAAAGGGTATCTTTTAAATATAATCTGCGGTCTGTTCTGCCCGTCTTTCATGACACGCTAAACGACTCTCCACATCCACATTGTTCTGTAATGTTGGGATTCTTGAAGACGAATCGTGCGCTCAGTTTATCTTCCATCCAGTCCATCTCGCTGCCAATGATGCTGAATAATGCCTTGCTGTCAATCAGGACTTTGACTCCATCCTTTTCCACCACTTCGTCGAATGCCCCCGCCTTGTCCACATATTCAAGATGATATGCAAGTCCAGAGCAACCTCGGTTCTTGACTCCCACGCGAATCATCTTGGGCTCTGGTTGATCGAGTAATTCTTTCAGATGCAAGATTGCCGTGGGTGTAATTGACATGGCTGCCTTTCTAGCCCGTAATTTGCTCCGTCGAGGCTTGGTTGGCTTGGGTTCGGTCGCTTCGGTGGCTTTGACCTCGGGCGCCTCTACCGGCTTAGACTTCTGCGCTTCGCGCTCTGGTACTTGTATGCTTGCGGCCTCCTGAAGATTGTGGTTCTGCTTCCCTAGTTGTTCAAACGGGTGGGGAGTTGGATGTGGCTCCTCCGACTGGGATTTTGGCCCAGCAATAGAAGTGTCCGGGACATCGGTGTTTCGGGGTGGGAGAGGGAAGCCGGCGGGCAGGCTGTGAGGTTGATACGAGGGGACGGTGTATAGTTCTCTCTTGGAAGACTGTCGGACAAGTCTACTCGATGAGAAAGTGCGAAAGGCGTGAGAGCAAGACCGGGCAATAGAGGCTGATGCGAGTGCTCGGAAGAAGGTGGCGGATGACGTTGTAACGGGAAGAATGTATGCACCGGACATGATTGCTGGTGTTTAGAGGGAAATGATTGTTAGGGGATGATCATGGAGTCGTTCTTCAATGGCCAGAAGGAGTAAAATGAGACGACTGAGTAACACAGGTTGAAAGTGAGAGACTGCGTAAAGGTTGAAGGTTGAATTGAATGACTGTGAGGATGTTGAGTGTTTTTGGCAAGGAAGGAACCAAGGCCAAGATTGAGGTCATTCGCTCCTGCTCTGCCATCTCGCTCCGAGTTTTGTCAGCCGGATTCCGGGAAGGCGCTCGGCCAACTGTTCACGGGGCAGGAACCGGGTGCGATTGGTGCCTGAGTCGCTTAGTCCAGGCTTCCCTCCAATCAGCATTAATGCAATTAAAATGCCCCTTCCAACACTTGGTTGCCGCCATCTTCCCCTTTGTCGTTGGTTGTGAATGTGATTCCATTCTCTATGCATGTCACTCATATCTTGCTTTGAACAAGATTGCTGTCTTAATGCCGACTGTGATGCCTTAACATGGCACATGATTCTGTCTGGAAACCGCACAAGTCTGCCCTCTTCCCAGAGTCCCAACTCTTACGTACTTTGCCCTCATAACAGCGTCCAGTGGTCCAATGACTGACCCAACGCCAAGAAGCTCACATACCCGCACGCCCTGCTCTTCATCCTCCACTCCATCTCTTCTCTAGGTGTAATCTGGCCCCAGAATGCTTCTTGACTATCTTATGCCATCACATTGAAAGTCCTATGTGACCAACACGCTATTCTCTTTAATTGATTTCCTCCCCTTGAAAGGACATATGATGTTTTCTGATTTGGGCACGATACCTTTATCCCGCACACTCCTTCCCCAATGGATTCTCCCTTGACCCAACAATTACGCCCAGACTCCTTCGAACCCAAGATTGTTCAATTATATCTTCATCTCTTCAATGTCCTTGCGAATGATGATGTCCTCGACTCAGTGCCATCTGAGGGCTTTTGGAGGGAATTCTTCCTGCTCAAACCTGACAGGCAGAGGCTCTATCAAATCCTTGAACCAATGACAGCCTTCGATCTCCTCCATATGCAGGTATGCTCAGCCTTGCGCTTCTATCCCCTGACCCCTGACCTCTCACCTGACTCCTTCGCCACATTAGACTCAGATGCAAGTCTTTTTCAAACGAGCAATCGTCGAAGCTACGTCAGGCATCAGTCCCCGGGATGAGAATGCTCTTGAGGTGGGTTGTCTCCCAAGATGTGTCTGGCTCCGTTTTGACTAGCCAAGAACCTCACCGCATTCCTTTGTGCCGTGTTCGATAAGAAATATCCTAATCCCAACACCGATGTCATCGATGTCCTGGCCGGCTTGGATACAATCGACAAATCAATGTCCGATCTTGTCCACAGCCTCGAATCAATGATCCGTCTGGCCAGTAACCCGGTACTTCGCACCAAGGCTGTCGACACCGTCCTAGCGTTGGTCGCAGGTGGTTTCCACACGAGCCTCGTCTCGTATTTCATGCACAGGGATCTATTTTCCGCCTTGATGAAGGTGCGCTACAAAGTCTCCATTCCTATTTCCTCCTTCTGACTTCCATCCAGTATGTGCATGATGTTCATTCACAATCGCCCGGTGCTACATCCAAAGCATTTGTCGTCGTCGGAGTCTTGTCAAGTTACAACAAATTCGAATCTCAGAATGTCTATCAGAATCGTCTGGAGGATTTTGTCAACGAGGACACGATCCGGATCCTGGTACAGCAATTTGCCAAAATTTCCCTCAGTTCTCGCGATCGATATATCGAGGCTCAGGACGACTATCCTCCGCCGTGGAATCTTAACTCGACCTTGACCATGGTTGGGCTTCGAAGTCTATCCGGCGATGCCAACAAGCCTCCTCCATTGACAGAGGAGGAAGTCAAGGTTTTATTTTCATCCTTACCAGACTACGATGCTTCTTCTATTTTGTCTTTGTACTCATTTGTCCATGCCAACAAGTTGTTCGCTGCAAACCTCTTCAACTCACCCCTCGACAAAGACAAGCTGGCCCCGTTTTCGACTTTCCTTTCCTCCACCTCATACATCTCGCATCATGCGTACCGAGGCCAACGGCAGTCGACCTATGCCGTGCTCAGTCTGTTATCCCTGAGAATCATGGTCGAAGACACCATATTGGCGAAAAAGATGTCCTCGACGGACTCGAAGATGACGGTGCGGTTATGTCGACAAAGGGCTCCTCACTTACCATTAGTCACCTCACCGCGGATTCCAGCAACGGGGATCCTTGACCTGTGCACCGACATACTCAGTCACAATCTTCGCAAGAAGCTCGACGTCCAGTTGTATGGTCTGGCGCTTGGTATCATCCTCCGAGTAATCACCCATCTTGAGCAATACAAGATCCGATTACAACACCACTGGGCGTACATCTGGGGCTCGCTCATTTCATTGATGCGATTTCTGACACAATACGCCAGTGATTTGAAATATCTGCGATACATTCACCGAGACTTGTGTAGTGTGCTGGCTAATCTGGCAGCCTTTTGTCTCAGCAAGGGCGACGGCTTTCTCCCTGATCCAGCAAGCTTTGACGATTTGTTCTACAAGTTAATTGAGGCCAACGAGGTTTTGATCAAGTTCAAACAAGCATATTGCGATTCCAGCTCACCATCAGATCAGCTCAATGGATCAGTCGAGGCCTTGCTCAGTGTGTCAACACACTACCACAATCTTCTCCAAGCTCAGCATGGAAAAAAGACCCATCAGTCTCCAGCTGCAATACAGAAAGTAATCAAGGAAGGCTATGAGACGCTTAATCTCGAGTCTGACCAAAGATTTGGTGAATGGGAACGATGGCGAGAGAGCAACTGGAAAGCCGAACTCAAGAAGATGATGCGAGTGGCTGTAGAGGATGCGAGGCTGCTGGCACTCCAATGATAATAATAGTTGTTTAGATGTATGATGTGAGATGATGAAATGTGAGATGTCTTTGTCAGCTTGGATGCCCACGCACGGGCCCCGTCACGTGGAATGTCTGACTAGCGCCGGACATTGTTTCTCGTGCGTGGAAATTGACTATCTCGGCGCCCATCAAGAAACACCCTTTCTTGTACCACCCTTGATGCCCAGAAGCGACCCCCTCGCCATTCGCGCGAAATCTCGGGCCGTTGACAGTGTCCGATGCGATGCATGTACGAAATTATTAACATGACCAAAAGCAGTTGTTGATACTGGCAGATCAGGCATTGACATGGAGATCAGGACGACATTTGGGTAGGCATATAGTCCAGTCGTTGCTATGTATGTAAATCACTGCTTGCCTGATATCTGACGTCCTGAGGCATCCACGCCATTTGCCTTTGCATGTTGATATCGATTTCAGGCACGGCTTTGAATGGAGCTTCACCGCCTCCAGATACCAAGGATGTGGTGAGCCACCACTGGGCTGGGCACGACAATCTTGACGAAAGGATGGTGGACGAGTAGTGACGAGGGATTCCCTCAACAAATTGGCAGTATGGAATTCATTCTCAAATGCAAGTTGTACAATTAATATTCCGACTGGCGAAAGGGTCTCACACAGTACGATCAACGGAGGTACGATCCAATACAGTTGTTGAACACCGAGACGGAATGACCCTACGAATCTATTAATGTCCCTTGACTAGGTTCAAGATCTGGCTAGGCCTGCATTATGTGTGCATGGAGTTTTGAAAAGCATCATTTTGAAGGCTGCAAGCTCGGAGGCCGTTGTCATTATTATGAGTGATGCTTTCATCATTGTTATGATTATTTACTGTACATACTCTACGTCCTGCAGAAAGCCATGGATTCACTCATGGATCATGAACTGGCCCAAGAACTGTCTGGTGCACGATCCACCTACCACGAGATTTACTGGGGCACAGACATGCGAGATGTAGACAGTGCATGCTTTGTTTCTTCGAGTCAAAATCCCCTGTAGACAAAAGGGTGCCCCTGACTGCTGCTGTTGCTGCTCGAGGGGCCCCTCGGCCTGAGATACTCGCCCAACATCCCACAGAATGGGGCACTGGGGCGCATGTCTTGGCTGTCCGCCACGCCCTTCGGCCGAATTCGAGGAGTTTATAGGCGTCCTCTCCTCTGTACAGCCTCCAACAGTCAGGCCCCTGAACCCGAAACACACCTGGAGAATGGAGTGCTGACAGCATCATTGAGACACAAAGAGGCCTGAAGAATTTGGCGACCAGATGCTGATGATATCGAGAATCAGAATGGCATACTTGTGATCTCGTGACTAGGCGAGCATATGGTTGTGGGATGCATATTGTATATTTACAGGATCCATCGGTGATGGATTTCTACTACTGTAGGGTTAAGCGATAACTCCGTCTTTGTACATCGACAACCTTGGTACAAGATAACATTCATTGAGATAACTTGTTGACGACACAATCATCTGAAAACACCATTTAGGCATTCTGTCTGTAAGCAAAATGGATCTCAGGCTCTCTACCATTTACAAGGCGACCGATAGATGCATCTGCATCTGCAGCTGCAGATGTACGATATGTGTGTGTGGTTTGTTACACAATTCGACCCTCCTGTGTGGACGGACCCTGACAAGGTGGCACGGTGGCATGGTGGCTACGGCCTGCGGCCAGCCTCCACTGGGGAAAGCCCTTGCACTAGCCTGCGGCTGATGATCCCCTAAATAGCATCGGCACAACGAAAAGTGTCCTCTTGGGGGCGGTTTTAGTGCGAGGACTGGAGGACCAACCCAGGGTGCAAGGACCAGGACCCGCGGTCCCTGGCTTTTGACTCCGTTGGTGCTGGTGTTTGTGTGGATGCGTGGTTGTGGATGTGGATTTGGGTGTGGGTGCGGCTGCTGGTACTGCTGGCAGCGTGTCTCTGTGATCAACACCTTCCCCTCCAACAACAAAAAAACAGTTGTCTCCTATCCTGTCTCATATTATTTTATCCTATCGTATTCCTCCAGTTTCTCCCTTACATCTCACCTCCATTCAAATTGTATATACTCCCCTTCTCATCCCATCTACCATCCCATCTTCTCCTCGCCTTTCATAACTCATTTCCACCCACCACTTTTAACATCTTACCCTTACCGCTCCCCCCAAAGCACTCACCGCCACCATGTCTGCCAAAGTTGCCAACGGTACTGAGGCAAGCCCTAGCTACCTCCTCACTGGCAAGGTCGCCCTCGTCACCGGCTCAGGTAAGTCGTTATCATCTTTTTTTCCCTGCCGACAAATACTCCCCTCGTCCATGCTCTCCAACTCCACCGCTCCTTTACCCCTGAAACCAAATCCTCAACCCGGTCACGACCTCAACCCCTCAAAGCATCACAACTGACCATGATTTTCTTGTACAGGCCGTGGTATGGGACGCGAGACTGCCCTCGAACTTGCCCGCCGTGGAGCTGACGTCTGTGTCAACTATGCCAACTCCTCAAAAGCTGCTGATGAGCTCGTTGCTGAGATCAAGGCTCTCGGACGTGACGCTATTGCCGTTCAGGGCAACGTCAGCGACGTCTCGCAGATTGTGAACCTCTTTGCCGAGGCCAAGAAACATTTTGGAAAGTTGGACATTGTCGTGTCCAACTCAGGTGTCGTCTCATTCGGCCATCTCAAGGATGTGACCGAGGAAGAGTTTGATCGTGTTTTCAACATCAACACCAGAGGTCAATTCTTCGTGGCTCGTGAAGCCTACAAGAACCTCGAGGTTGGCGGCCGCATCATCCTCATGGGCTCCATCACCGGCCAGGCCAAGGGCGTTCCCAAACACACCGTCTACTCCGGCTCCAAGGGCACAATCGAGACCTTTGTTCGCTGCATGGCCATCGACTGCGGTGACAAGAAGATCACCGTCAACGCTGTTGCCCCCGGTGGCATCAAGACTGACATGTACCACGCCGTGTGCAAGGAGTATATCCCCAACGGCGAGAACCTCAACGACGAGCAAGTCGACGAGTATGCTGCCACCTGGTCTCCCATGAACCGTGTCGGTATGCCCATTGATGTTGCCCGTGTCACTGCTTTCCTGGCTTCCCAGGACGGTGAATGGGTCAACGGAAAGGTCATTGGCATTGACGGTGCTGCCTGCGTAAGTTTCTCATCCCAGCAGACTGAGATCACGAGACTAATTCGACTTTTTGTAATAGATGTAAAAAAGTGTCTTCCTCACCTTCCTGAACGGAGATCATATTCTCTCATCGCCATAACCACCACCACCATCTTGCATTTGGACGACCCTGCTGGATTGAGTAACAGAGAGGGAAAATAGCATGGATGGTTGGGATATGTGGACATGTCTGATGTTGAAAGATGGACGCCACAGTTGGGGGAAATATTATTCAACGAGGACCTGTGGCTCGTAGATCGTGACCGGGGGAGGAAGTAGGGAGCAGGAAGAGCATCTTGTTCTCCCTTCTGTTCCGCGTCATTTGGATCTCGCCATGTGGGGTTAGTCGATTTGATAGAATTTGTTCTTTTTGTGATTGTTTTCCCCAGCAAAAAGATATTCTGATTTGGGAGAAGAGAGCTTATATTTTCATGTAATCAAACCTGTTGGTCCTGATCTTGTTTCTCAATATTGAAGTCTTGTTGTTTTCTTATCGACCCCGTCACAACATTCGACCTGCGCCCACTTGGGTTGACTGGAATGTGCTGATTGTGTGCACATGAGGCCCCTCGGCCCCCCCTCCATTGCTCGTAGACCCTTGTCACGATCCGCTGTATGTCCGAAACACATCAGTCGTGATCAAGGGAGCATTATGGTATGTGTATAATAAACAAGTAAGATGGACGACCAATCAAGTTATCTACTTTGAAGGTTTGAAATAATAAATTATCAAGTGCCGGATTTATCAGGATGTCTATAAGGGGTATCAATCGGAATTCAAATCCGCATGGTAGGAGTAGGCGTGCAAAGTCATCTCCTTGTATGGTAAGTACTTGATCCTCGACTTAATAATCCTTCTCTGGTACGAGGAAAGCATAGCGTGAATGGCGTGAAGTGGCTACTAGCGCGTGACAGCGGGTGACATCAACGCATGATGGTGATCATGACCATGGTTCGCCTTACTTATCCGCCAGCCCCTCTGGCTAATCGAACTAATCGATCATCCAATGCATATGGATCTCCTTGGACGCCAAACACAACGTCATCCTCGAGATATACCAATACTCCACGATTCCTCGCCTCAGCATCCTGTAATCGGTACAACATCCGGCCAAAAGTATCGGATTTATGGCTCGAGTGTAACAATAGATTATTCTCGCTGCACCAATCTTCCACGATGGTCTTGAATGAAATTTCGTCTTCAATTGTCGAAGTCTGTTTCGCAGCAGCCGAGTCTGATTTGAATGTCGATGAAGAATATGTCTGTGAAGCAAGCTTGGATCTCTTGTCGCCTTGACTGCTCTTGGAGCCCAGGAGCGGTTTCCACATTGGCCAGCTGTCGCTGTCGACTTTGGATTTGACTAGGGATTGGAGTTCGGGGAATCGCTCGAGGTCGAGTTCGGATGAAGAGAGGAGGGTCCACCAGTCAAAAAGCCATTCGTGTAGAGGGGGCGCTTTTGTCGATTTAGACCGTGATGAGTTTGAGGTGGTGAGTGAGGTGGATTCAACGGCTCGGGGAAATCTTTTGACGCCCTCGATGAGTCGTGGGAGGATGGCCTCGTGAAGAAGTTTGTACAGAAGCCATGATGGTGCGATTGGTGAGGGTGGGAGTTCGGGTGATGATTCTGAACTTGGGGAGGCTGATGTCCATGCTGTGATGAAACTGACGGCTGGGTCGGGATCGTAGATGTTCCAGCTTTTGGTGAGTGTGGCACGAACAAGTGGATACCAATGTAGGAGAAGCAGGGACTCGAAATAAGTTGTTCGCTTGCGGTGTTTGACGTTGATGGACTTGTCGACTTCTAAAAGTGGAGATATCGATCTAAGCGATGCGATGAGGTGGGTTGGATCCCCCAAAGGATCCCATTCCGCCATTTCACGACGAAATGGAGTTTCGAGACACGAGGCTGTGAGTTCAGGTAGGGAAAGGTCCTGGATGTAAGAGGCATATTTTGACTGAATCGCCTGTAGTCGGGTTATGCAAGAGCTCCAATCGCGGGATTCCAACGAATCATCGACTGTCACTCGTTCGAAGGCCGAGGCAATCTCGTTGTAACGTTGAATTTCTTGGTCATGTAGTGTCAAGGCCGCTCCAAGTTGTGTATCTTCTGTCTCGAGCCGAGCCTCGAGCTCTTTTGTCGAGTCCCAGGCATCGGCAAATGCTTGCAGCTGGAGTTTGATTCGCGCGGTGGCTTTGGCAGCTTCCAGGTTGGGACCAGGAGACGCCTCGCGCGTGGGAGTGGAAAAGCCAGACAAGGAAGTCAGAGTCTTGGTTTCTGCGCCAGTTGCATCAACGATGATCTGCCTCATGGTCTCGGGTATATGAAGACCACGAGACTCGATGGCTGTGACAGCATACTTTGCTTTCGGAGGGGCTTTGATGCGTGGAGTACTTGCACCGGGGGTCGACGTTCTGGAGGCTGGCTTTCCTTCTTTTCGATCGCTTTTCTTTCTCGGCTCTTCGGCAGAGCCTCCTTGACCTAGACCAGCTCTGCTCGAGAGTACTTTTGCCTGGATAGGGGCAGTGATTCCTTGACCAGTCTTTCCCAGACCCTGGCCCTCACTGTATCCCATCTTGGCCATCATGCGAGCAGCGAACGAGTTCTTCTGGATCTTGCCCCCAGCACCAAAAGCAGATGGGCCCTGACCACTAGGCTTTTCTGGTTGGGATTGAGCAGACATGTCGTAGGATTCGTTGGTGGCATCGGCTTCAGCATCTTGGTCATACTCCCCAATGTTAAAGGAGTTTCGAAAGCCAGACATGCCAAGTCCAGCCTGACGACCCAGACCGGATCCCAGACCCATAGAGGGTCTCTCATCGTCTATGTCGTCCTCGTCCTCATCTTCCTGATCCTCCTCTTCTTGAGCGGAGGATTTGACAAAGGCGGGGGCACGATTACGAAGAATCTTTGTGGTTTTTCTTCGTTTAGCGGGTCGATCGTCTTCGGAGTCGTCTTCATCATAGTCGCGGAGGTCGAGAGGCTGGTCGTCATCTGATGAGTCACTCATCGTCACCAGTGGGAATTGTGAGAAGGATGCGACGTGGTGGTGACTTTAGAGGGGGAGGGGATATGAATTTTTTGGCGTCGGAGATGACAATGCGCAGGCAGAATCTGGGGAAAATAGATGCTAACCAGAACAGGCAGATCAACAGCGAGGGTGGAAGGAGCGAGTCCGGAAAAGGAAGAAATATTGATCCGAACTATGACGAAATCAACGCTGACGTAAAATTGGAGGTTGTTGCTCGGGGAAGTTACGGCGGTTCAATTGCACCCTGGACCTTCCACTGATATCTAGAGCTGCCCCCCAAGCACCAAATTGATACCTCATATCAACAGCCTATATCCTCGTCCTCCTTCAATCTCCCTGTCAACTTCTTTAACCCAAGCAAGCAATTTTGAATCCTCTTTTTCCTCATCGACGTCCGCAATGGCCTCTCTCCTCAGATCCGCCGCTCGTCCATCCACCCTCCGAGCTACTGCCTTTGCTTCCAACCCCCTCCGGTCCGTCACAAGCGCGGATAGAACCTTCGTCCGAACAAAGGTTACCCTTCCAGACTTGGCTTGTATGTTAGAACCATGTCCATCTATGCTCAAAGCTGATGCATGAATGCCACAGATGATTATGGCGCCCTGGAACCTGCCATCAGTGGCAAGATTATGGAGCTACACCATAGCAAGCACCATCAAACATATGTGAACTCATACAACGATGCTACCGAGCAGTTTGCGGCTGCTGAGGCTAGCAACGACGTCCAGACTAAGATTACCCTCACCCCGGCCCTCGTCTTTCATGGTGGTGGCCATATCAACCATTCCTTGTTCTGGGAGAATTTGGCACCAAAGAACCAGGGAGGTGGTGAACCTCCATCGGGAGAGCTGGCCCAAAAAATTGACTCGACCTGGGGAAGCCTGGAAGAATTTAAGAAGGCGTTTAATAAATCTCTTGCAGGCATTCAAGGCTCAGGCTGGGCCTGGTTGGTCCAGCACCGTCCGACTGGAGTTATCTCGATTCAGACTCGTCCAAACCAGGACCCTGTCGTGGGAGAAAATAAGCCACTCTTGGGGGTTGATGCGTGGGAACATGCTGTAAGATTCTGTGGTTAATACGTTATACAAGTGGACTCCCTCACTAACACAGTCCTAGTACTATCTTCAATACCAGAACCGAAAAGCCGAGTATTTCAATGCCATCTGGGATGTTATCAACTGGAAGGCAGCCGAGAAGAGATTGTCCGGAAATTGAGATGCATGTAACATCAGAAATGTCCATTTAATCATCATATCAGAGAGCCAGAGGTAGCTTCTATACTGTATCCTGGTTGACATGTTCAGGTCTTGTTTACTGTGGACTCCCCTCGTTCAACTTTCAGACCTTGTGCCAACGATGTAACCAAGTTCTCGTCCACTGCATCTTCTGTATATGACAAGACTTGCGGATACTTCTGCCATTCCAACCAGTCCAGAATCCTGGCCTCTCGATTACTGTGCGATTGCAAGAGGCCCAAACTGAGATCAAGGTCGTCCAAGCCATGCTTGTAGTAGAACACGGATGCTGCACACCTGGAACAGAAATAACGATCCACCGACTCTGATGTCTTATAGTGAGTCACCTTGGAAGAGTCGGATAGATAACTCTGTAAGTCCGTAGCGGGAGTCATGATCAACCGTCGAGGCACCGTAATCCAACTCAAGATCTCAAACCCCGTCGCTGTTCGACAGGATGTACAAGTGTCGAAAAACGAAGGGAATTTTCCCGTGCCTTCATTGTAATCTGGTTCTGGCCGGGTAATATCAAAGTCGACATTCCCACAATGACACCGAACCTGGAGTTTTGTTTCGGCCGTTGACATCGACATTGACGATGGCTTACCACCAGAAGTCGCACTCCCAGAGTCCAGCATGGCTTTGACCTCATCATCCATGACCATGTCTGAATCTCTCCCACGCCGAAATCGATTCATACCGCTCAACTTACCCGCATTGATCCAACCAACAGCACCTCCATCGTCCTGCACATCCTCCACCCAAAGCTGTACTCTATCCAATTTCCCTGTAAGATCTGTCTTTGCATTGTCTCCTTCCACCGCTCCTACAACTCCATCCTTACCATCAGAGGAAATGCACAAACATCCAGTTGCAGCCTCCCATTCCAAAACCTCTCCCTTCCCCTCCCCATCGACTCCACTGGCGCTGGATCGTTCATACTCGACGTTTCCCAGACTTGCACCGCATACACGACATGACACACGAGTAATATTCGGTGAAGATTGATATCTAATCACCTTGGCTGTGCCATCATCACCGTCACCACCACCACTATGGCTATGCTGGAACTCCCCAGGCACATCCGCAGGAATCACCGCAAAAGTCGCAAACATCTGCCCCGTGACATGGCGGCAGGAATGACAGTGACAGAGAGCCGATTTCAGCGGTAGACTTGCCGTTGGAATCGTGGCGTTTATACGATTGGTTTGGCAGTGGCAGGAGATTGTGACGGTGGTGATATTGGTGGTTGACGATGGCGGTTTCGACATATTGATTGATGGATGAATGTATGGATGGTCGACGCCACGGGGGCTGAGTCGACGTCGGTGTTAGTCAGTCTCTCGTCGTTTGAGGTTGGGTTTCTCCTTGTAGATTTGGGTTTCTCTTGAGGAAAGTATAGGTGTTACATATGGATGCATATGATTTTGCGCTCAGACTTGAAATACGATCAATCCTGTCACATGTGAAACAGCAAGTAGGTTCAGTCACAAAGAGGCTGTGCTGCTCTTGCAGACTTGCAGGCGTATCCGTGCATTGATTGAAACTGAATCTTCCTACCAAAAAACAATTCTGTCATGACCTCTGATGCTATTCTGCTTGATGCCTATGACGGACCCTGATCGACATCCTGCTCCCATGTGATACGAGGGTCTGGATCAAGGGCGTGTTTTTGACATGCGGGGTTTGAGCTTGAGGCTGATGGATATCTACATCCGCCAGGCCTCCATTCACATTCGTGTCATCCTCTACAAGTGTTTGACGCGAATCATGTGGCCCCTTAACAATACTATATGCTACTAGGTACCTTAGTAGTGAGCCTGTCATGAGCGGGTAATGATTGGTTGTTCATTCATTTCAAGCCTTGAGCGCCATCATTCCGCTAGCGAGTTTCAACGTCATGAACGCCCCTACGTCTCTACGGCTCTGCTACTCTACGGGCTAAACCAGATAGTTGCCTCCCAAATAGCCGACCTGAGAATGCCGTACTCGCGAATCCCGCATGTAACCACTTGCTTCCTGCACGATGCATAGAGAAAGCGACACCACCCCATACCAGGACCAATCAAGATATATCTCTGGCGGGCATTAGCGACGAGGGGCATGGATTCAAGCATGGACGGTCATTAGGCGTAAATAAAGGGTAGAACTGACAGGGTTAGCAATTGATAGGCTATCGATAGCTCTGTTCAATGTCTCACGAAATAGAGATGAGATGTATTGAATTCAAGTGTTTTACGCGGTTCTATCCAACCTCAATGCGATGGCACTCGTCAATTTAAATAAATACCTGTCAACCATGTGTGTTGAAGTGCTTCAGCAGCTGCTGGTCGATCTCGTGGGTCAGGCTTCAGTAACATTCGAATGAAGTCCTCATCTTCAGGATCCAATACACTTGCCAATGCATCCGGCCATCGGTTGGGGTAGAATTCTCTCGAGTTGTACAGCTCTTGGAGCTCTGCTTGGGATTCAGCAGGCAAAATGTCGACGAATTGGTCTGGAAATGGGCCGAAACACTGCATCTGGCATTGGAGGACTTTGCGGTTGACCATCTTGTCATCTCGACTGTGTGGTTTCGGTGCAAAAAGGTGGTCGCCAACGAGGAAATACAAGGCCTGGGTGATTGTTAGTAAAATAGGTTTCTTATGATGAATAGTTGACTCACAGTTGCACCCAGAGCCCAAATGTCCAGTGAAGTTGTAGGAGGTGCTTGTAGAATGACTTCAGGGGCTCTGTAGACTGCTGTACCAGTTACAAAGCGTTGTGGACCCCGAGAGGCATCTTGAATAATCGAGTCGCCCAGATCGCAAAGTTTGATGTCTTTGAAACGAGATGAACCTTCTGCGCCACGATTGGCCAGGATGTTGTCTGGTTTGATGTCTGAAAGATTAGATCTACGCCAAACAGTGTTTTGGGACGAATTAGGAGATAAATTTACCACTATGAATTCGACCAAACCCGTGTAGAAGTGAGAGTCCATGCAACGAGGCTTTGATGGCCTGCTTCAAGTCGGTCTTGTCGAGTTGGCAATGACGTGAAGCTGAAAATAAACTTGTATCTAGGTGTTCCAGGACCATTGTGGGAGGGGATTCAGTGGTGTCAATCAATTGGCGGACATACGGACTTCCCTGACAGAGTCGAAGTGCCTCGATCTCATTTTGAAGTTGACCTGGGAGGGCTTGCTTGATGACAACCGGCTGTCTGCTTTGCATAGCACTTTAGGGCGTCAGTATCACCGTAACAGACTGAGATAGGGGAAAAGGACTTACAAAGCAGGCCACACATGTTGGTTGTTCTTGCTGAATAGGCCGCAAATTTGATAGACAGCTTTCTTTCCCTGTAGCAAAGAACCAGAGCCAAGCTTGGAGGTTCTGTTTGCCATTGATAGTTGCTTGGTATCTCAAGTCCCACTACATTGGTTGCACAAGAAGATCGGCTTGATGCTATCGAAGGTGTGACTGTTTCGACCAAAAACAACCAGACACTGAAATTTGAACATGTCGTTTCATCTGGAGTGCGATGGACAGGAAAAGATGGGGAGACCGATGAAGGGTGAGGCAAGATTCAGAGACATCGCGAACAGATGTGTTTGCGCCGTTGGAACATGGTGGTTTGAACCATTCAGTGTGCCGAGAAGTGAGGAGCACGCCGCACGCTCACTCACACTTGCAGCATGAACTCGACAAAGCATTTCACGATACGTCACGGGAAGTTGGTTGTTGTGTACAACGATGATCGCCGGGAAAGTCAGGCTCATGATGCATCCTTACCTAGAGGCGACCTTGTCAAAGGACATCGATGGAACTGAGGCCTGGTTCCCGCCCTTCGTAACCAACCGCAATAACATGCGAGCCTGAATAAACTTGTATGGGTAATAACGGTCCACGTCAAGATACCTCTGCACCCATTCTGGACGGAGGTGTACCAACGAAGGTAGGGTATCGGTGACGACTGAGGCCCAACAGTATGACTTTCGTGGAACGGTATAGCCGGAAATGATAGATCAAAGGCGATTGAGAGGCTGAACAGCTGGAGTGAGGGAGCCAGGCATCTCAAGACCTACATGTAGACATACTCGACTGAGGTAATGCAAGGGTCTTGTGCCCGGAGTGGTTTACTCGAGCCACGAAATCTGAGACTGAAAACATCATCGCGAATTGGCCATGACGATTGTCGATTAGCGATTAGATTAGCGAGGATGAGAGTATCACAATGTTTCCATGTTGTGAGGACACGCAATGAGCGGTTTGGAACTTGGAATCGCGATACACTGAAGAAGGCTGATCGCTTGGCAGCCCCTGGCGTGTGTCCGTATACTGAAGGCTGTCTCCAAGCACACTCACTTCTCACTTCAGGACCCAGAGCGATGCATAGACACGAGAAAGGTGCACAATGAGTTATCAATCATTTTTGACCCAGTAGCTACTAGGTACTGTTCACTGTGAGTGGTAGCAGACTCCTCCGTCATTGCTGCATCACTGTACATCTTCGCACATACTCATGATTGGGGTCGGAGCACTTCTGTTAGCTATAGCATTGTTAGGCTACTGACACTCGCTAAAGCGCCGAAATTTCCAGGTTTCAAGGGCGGTGGGAATCAACCCCTAGGTATGCGTGGCATCCTACGTAGGAATCCCTACCTAGGTAGGTAATTGTGACTTCGGACTCTTTTTAGTGGTCACCGATGGCCTGAGAATCAACCCCGACGATTGGCGAACCGTGGGAACACCTTTAGGGTTGCACTTGCCTATACTTTTCAGCCCAGGCAGAAGACGCGTAACCCTTTGGAATATGGAAGGAGCGTAGAAGAATTCCTTCTTCTTGATAGGCAAGAGCAATGACATACAAACTTTCTCGCCCAGCCATCACTGTTCACACAGACCCTTTCGCTACCAAACGACTTGTATCAATGCTTACCCTTGTCGCACCCAACAGACTCGATTTACCCATTCAACTTGCATCCTTATGGTCATGTCAACATCTCTGTCTCCTAACAGACAATGAGAACCATAGAGTACATCTCCGTGGCGTCATTTTCGCACTTGGCAGCCCAACGCGTATCTGAAACACAGGATGCACGTGCCGGTCGTGCCTGCCACAAAAAGTGCTTCATCTCTTGCTACACTCCAACCAATGAAATCTCAGCCTTGAAGATTGTGCATCCTGTCCCCAAACAACCTCCCCATCGTCGCCCCAGGCTGTCCTGTCAACTATCGTCAACAACCTCTATCCCCGTATCAGCCTCCTCATGCCGTGTTTGAGATCCCATATACCTCATGTTCACTTGGCATTGGTCATTGGACTCATCCTCTCATCTCCTTTGCATCCTTAACCACTCATGTTGCTTACCTGACCTCATCCTCGTAGCGTGTTTGATGTTCTTCGAGGATCATGTCGCTGCCCTTTGCGCAGGAATTCCTTGATCACCATGAAAAGGAGAAGATACAAGGCAAGTCCAATGGATTTTCTCACTCAAGCTAATTCCACCGTGGTACAAAATGACCTGTTAGCCCACCTGGCCTCATTCTCTCCAGCCCTGTACTGTACTGTCTTTATCTCTTCTTTCATTCTTCTCGTTCAATTCATAGACTGCGGGTCAGTCAGCCATTTTGAAAATGCCTCGTTCAACATGCTCAAATTCTCTCGTCACACTCCTGCTCCTGCTCAACCGTAAGTCAGATGGATGCTCACCCAAGCCATGCCTCGACCTGTTGCTGACCCCGCTAGTCGCTTTACTCGTCTTCAGCCAGGGCTCCCAGTTCATCACAGGTCCTTGCACAAGTGATGCTGACTGTGCCTCGGGATGCTGTGGTTTCAACTCTGGTAAATGCGCAGGCCCCGTAGTGGCCCAAGAACGCGACGGAGGTTGTGGCTTTGGTGATGGCACACCCAACGACAGAGCTGCTCAAGCATTCCGCAATGGAGGCGCCACCTCTCCTGCTCCAGCCAACCCCAACACGGGTGGTGGTAACACTGGAAATAACAACAACAATAATGGTGGCAACGGTGGAGCCAACCCTGGCACTACAGCCACAGGAACTCAATTCATTACCGGTGCATGCACAAGCGACGCTGATTGCGCGTCAGGGTGCTGTGGCTTCAACAGTGGAAAATGTGCTGGCCCTGTAGTTGCTCAAGAACGTGATGGTGGCTGCGGGTTTGGTGACAATGCCCCGAATGACAGAGCGGCACAAGCTTTCCGAAACGGTGGAGCCATGTCACCAGCCAACCCCCCTCCTGCCACGGGCAACACTGGAAATGCAGGCAACACAGGGGGAGGAAATGGCAATGGCAATGGAAACACGGGTGGCAACGGCAACGGCAACAACATCATCGACACCAGCATCCCCGGATCACAAAACGTCGGCAACGGGAATGGAAGACAGTTCATCACCGGCCAATGCTTTAGAGATGCCGATTGCGCATCTGGGTGTTGTGGATTCAACTCTGGCAAATGTGCCGGCGCTGTCATTGCTCAGACACGGGATGGTGGTTGTGGATTCGGCAATAACACTCCAAACGACGATGCTACTCGGGCATTGGGGGCCAAAAATAGGAGAGACATTGAGATGAGGGTCTAAAGCAATGGAAAAGCATACGCATAACATGGCATTTTCAAATCTATTGAATATCATTTCATTTCGAGCATGCATAAAGTCTTGCATAGATGGAGTACATTTGGTCGTCAAGAAGTTGAGTTAAAGACCTATGCCAATGCCATCCAAGTATTGATTTCTACATACATGTTCCCTACTTTCCTTCCCAACCATAGCCCTTATTGTAGCTCATCATCTCATTCCATCCTCTGTCATCGCCCCGACCACGACGAAGCAAAAGAACCAATCAAACGAAGACACCAAGCCACAGTCCTCCGACACCTCAGTAACTTATCCTGATCCAAACCAAGCATCCCTTCCCACGTAGAACATGGTACCACAGCCGTCGAAGATGGAGTCGAGGGTGTATCAATATCGATCACCCATTCCGGCACAACACCGAAATGTCTTTGACCCTGTAGTGGTATTGGTGATGGACGACAGAGATCTCGTGCCTCATCGCAGCGACCTTGTGATATCGCTAGCATGGCTAATGTCAGACGCGTTAAGCTGATTTGCAGAGGTTCTTTGTCATGATCGTGGCCAGCTTTGAGGTTCTGGTTGTGGAATTGATCACCACAATTCCCCATTCCCATTCCCATTCCCATTCCATTTCCACATGTCAAAAGCAATGAATGCGCAATTCTGGCAAAGACACACCCGTCTTTATTCCATTGAGTTTCTCGACTCGATCCAGAAGCAGATCCAGTGCCCGCACCCATAGCTAGCATTGCATATAAGAGCATTCTATCTTCAGCTGTCTTGGTACGACATGCCATGACCCATGGCATGACGAGGTCGCGAGGAATGCATTCTTCGAGTGTAGGGTCGAGGTTGTGTAGGAATTGAGTGATGTAGTAGATAGTTAGGTTGCGGTCGATGATATAAGGATCGAGATCGGGTGTGAAGTGGAGACGGTGGGTAGGGATATGGTCTGGTAAGGACGAGGGTTTGGTTTCTGGAACTATGAAGTCCTTGGAGAATTCTGCTTTTCCTAGGTTGACGGTGTTCTTTGGTCTTGAATGATCAATCAACGATTGCCAGGAAATATCTTGCTGCTCCAGAGGCCAACTATCGTTGCCGAATGGTTGATTTGGGCTTCTTCGAATCGATGGACTGGGAGATAGTCGTGATGATTGGTCGGAAGATGGAGATACCGGGCTATCCTGCCTTGATGGCCGGGTATATTCAGGCCGCAGCTGCAATGCATCGGGTTTTGGACGACCAATACGAGGTCTGAGTCTTGGTTAGTCGGACTGTATAAAGATGTCGACGATGTAGAATAGAGTCCTCAGGTCTCGACTTACCTTGTAACCAAGTCACAGACATAACCACGCCTCCAGCAGTGTGAACACATGGGATTACTTGGCTCACACTTTACCTTCAATTCACGACATCGTGTACAAGCTCGCTCTGATCTTTTTCTTGGTTTGCCGGCTTTCGTGAGACTCATGTCTTGGTGTTCAGAAGGATGATCAGCATGGACATGTTGAAGCAATGAGCTGAGTTTAGGAAGAGCCGTCTTGTCGTTTATTGGTGTCTGGGAGATACCGCGAAAGTCATCTCCAACAGGATCCCAGGGTGAGATGCGCAAAATAGGCGTCATCTCTGGATGTAAGGGAGTATGGCATGGTGGGCTTGAAGATGAAAGGAGACCTTGTGTTAAAGGCTTAGGAGAACTCGAACGTGTCCCTTTATCGTGATATCCAGAGTGATCAGAAAAGTCTGAGGGAATCCCATTCTCCGACAGAAATTCACTGAATGATGGGAGCACTAAAAGGCCCGCTTGCAAGCTGCAGGACGGATTGGAAATGTAGTGGGATGTCATGTCGTAGTTGGTGGTTTTTGGGCAGTCAAGAAGTCTGCCAGTTGGGTTTAGCTACGTGAAATGATCATGTCCGCGGTCAGTAATGCTTGGAAAATATCGAGACATGGTCCCTCGACGAGACCACAGGAGTATTTCAAATGCATTCTTCTCCTCAATGTCGGAAATTCGCCCCCCTACGAAGTGCTTACGAAATGCTTGCACACACACAGCGTCGCTTCAATGAACCACAGATGCAGTCATGAATGTTAGAGTTAGAGTTCTGGGAGGTAAAGTGGTCAATCCAACCGTCATCCAGCTGAATGGTCCTCAAGAAGAAGGGATGGTTTGGAGATGGCGTATGATGACATGTACATTGTCCAAATAACAAAAGGTCAGGAGTTGGTTCCAGTTCTACCTCCTGGGAACCAGTGACAGTCGGCTGAGGAGTCAGTCAAGACATACCTGGCCCAGGCTTCATTTGGACATGGAGGACGGATGATTTGCACCGTCTTCTGGGTGCGCTGCCCCTGCAGCCCTATTACTATTTCACTCTTCCCAAGCCAACCTTCCCGCCCCGGCCAGTTCCGACAAGAACAGAAGATTGGTCCAAAAGAGATTTCGACGTCAGGCAGATCATCAAAGATGGCACAAGGACAGCCCAAGCTGAACCTAAACGTGTCGAACCCTGTGCTTGAGACCTCTTGCATCTCGTGCATCTGCAGTTGCGGATGCTTATCTTGCCGCGCTGTGACGCTAGGATCTCGGTTGACGGTTGTGAACGAGTGGGCGAGACAGCAAGACACGGGGAAAACAAACTTCAACCAAAGAATGAGGCCGAATTGGGGAGGTCCAATGCGAACATGTCAAACGGAATATATAAAGATTGAGTGGAGTTTATGGTTGGCATTCCAGGATGTCCGCAGATCTCGGCTGAACTCAAAGCATGATCAGTCAGTCTCCAGCATCAACTCGGTCATCAAGCTCGAAACTGGGGTCATCCACGGATGGAGAAGTCTTCCGTTATGTCTCAGTGCAAGAGGAGAGAGTCCATCCGAGAAAAAGAGATCCACGTACTCTGACACATGACAAATCTGGTGATCGATTCTTCACTTACGGAGTAGTATCGGGCGCCTTGTCCATCTCCACGTCGCTTCATGCACAATTTCCGAGAAGATCTTCACCAGACTAGGTTAAAGTTCCCACGGTATTCTAGAGTCCTGTTCTGCAAATCTGGGGCTGAAGATAGGACCGAGGGCTTCTCTATGCATAGAAATGGAGACCATTTCTGTGGGGAGCATCGATGAGAAGTGCCTCTCTGCTTATGGGCCCAGTTCCCCATTGTTGGGCTTGTTGGACTTTGGATCAGGTCGAGTCATATCTGTTGCACTGGTAATCGATGCCATTTGGCGTGAGGATTGTGTCATGCCAACATCAATTGGCCATAATATACACGATTCATCAAGGTATGTAAAGATAGATTGTTGCAAAACTAGCCTCTTGCACACGTTCATAGCATCCAGACACGCCAAATCCACTTTTTCGCCTGCATCGATACAAGCAATGCAAGATCCCATAGCTCAACACGCGATGAATAAGAGTGTCTCTGTACTAGCCACTCTGACCACCACTTACTCGCCTTTCAGCTTGTCCTGCATGACGCTGAAGGCGTCCTCTAGCAGTTGATTTTCTTCTCTGACATGGCTAGCCTTGAGACCTGTGGCTACTGAAGCACTTGGGTCTCTGCCCGCATACATGACGTGTCTCCTGTTGTGGTGTTCCGTCTCATTAAGCAATGTTTCGATACGAGGTTGGACGAAGCTCCAGGCACCGGCATTGAGGGGTTCCTCTTGACACCAGACAATGGTTTTGGCGTTCTTATAAGTGTCCAAGTTTTCTTTTAGCTGTGCCCATGGGAAGGGGTTGAGCTGTTCAATTCGAGTGATGGCAGTTTTGGTGTGGCCCTTCTCGCCACGGTGCTTGTGCAATGCTGCATAGACCTGGCCAGTGCAAAGAACCACGCGGTCAATCTCCTCAGGCTCGGCAATGGCGTTGCCGTGTTCTGGATCCGGGATGATCCACTGGAAATGAGATTCTCCGGTAAAGTCTTCAAGATTAGATCGTGCAATAGGATGTCGCAGAAGAGATTTGGAAAAGAAGACGATTAGTGCTGGGGAAACTGTTAGCCATTTTTGTTTCACTTTCTGTGGAGGCTGGACTTACGCTTTCTGAATTGACGGTTCATCTGTCGTCGGAGGATATGGAAGTAATTGGAAGGAGTGGTCATGTACGCAACTTGCATGTTGCAGTCTTGATGTTGACGGTCGAGCTTCTCAGGTGAGGGGAAGATGCGAGGCTCTTCGTTACACAATTGCAGGTATCGCTCCATGCGGCCTGACGAATGCTCTGGTCCTTGGCCATCGTAGCCATGGGGAAGGGAGCAGACAAGTCCTGATCTTTGCAGCCACTTGACCTCACCTGATGCAATGAACTGATCGATGATGCATTGGGCGTTGTTGGCAAAGTCACCAAACTGGGCTTCCCACATGACGAGGGCGTTGGGTGAAGAGAGAGAGTAGCCATACTCGAATCCAAGGACACCGAACTCACTCAAGGACGAGTTGGAAATAGTGAAAGCACCTTGTTCGCTGGACAGATTGTTCAGCGGGGTCCAGGTTCCTTCATTTTCTTGGTCGTGGAGCACAGCATGTCTCTGGGAGAAGGTTCCACGCTCAACGTCCTGTCCGGAAACACGAACATGGTGGCCCTCGAGACACAGGGTGCCAAAGGCCAGTGCTTCGGCAGTAGCCCAGTCAATACCCTTGCCATCATCGATGGCCTTCTTTCGGCCGGCAAGGATACGTTTCAGATTGCGGTGAACGGTGAATCCCTTGGGTGTGTCGGCAATCTTGGCTCCGATCTCCTTCAGAATGTCGGAGGGAACGCCAGTTGGAAGATGGGGAAGGACTTCGGTGGCAAGTTCCTTGGGTGACTTGAAGCCGTTCCATGCAGATGTCAACCATTCCTTGCCAGTAGGTTGATAATCTTTGCTACGCTCAAAGCTGTCGTTGAGCATGCCCCAAACCCACTTTTTGTGTTCTTCAATATCCTCCTTGCTGAAGGTGCCTTCATCCAAGAGTTTTTTGACATATTTGTCTAGTTGAGGGACTTGAGATTCGATGCGCTTGTACATCAGAGGTTGGGTGAAGGAGGGTTGATCAGTTTCGTTGTGGCCTTGCTTGCGATAGCATACAATGTCGATGACGCAGTCCTTCTTGAAGTCAGCACGCCAGTCGGCGGCCAATTGACAGACAAAGTTGACGGCCTCGACATCGTCACCGTTGACGTGGAAAACAGGGGCATCGATGGCCTTGGCAATGTCGGAGCAGTAAGGGGTCGATCGGGAAAAGCGAGGATCAGTGGTGAAACCAATCTGATTGTTGACGACGACGTGGATGGTACCGCCGGTAGAATACTTGGGGAGGGCGTAGAAACCCATGGTTTCGTAGACGATACCTTGACCCGCGAAAGCAGCGTCACCGTGGAGTAAAACGCCCATGGCGGTTTGGTGCTTTGACTCATCATTGTTGTAGTGTTGAATGGCACGTGTCTTTCCCAGAACCACAGGATCTTCAGCTTCCAAGTGGGAGGGGTTGGCCACGAGAGACAGTTGGACTCGTTTGCCAGAAGGAGTAGGCCTTTCGAAGTTCATGCCAAGATGGTACTTGACGTCCCCAGAGCCTTCATCGGCGGCTTCGGTGGTTCCTGAGAACTCGCTGAAGATTGACTCGTTGGGCTTGCGCACGACGTTGGAGAGGACGTTTAGTCGACCTCTATGGGGCATGCCGATGATAATGTCCTTGATGCCGTAGTCGACGCTTCGATCAATCATGGCCTTCATACCGGGCACTAGGGTTTCACAACCTTCGAGACCGAATCGCTTGTCATTGGGGTATTTGGTGGCCAGAAAGCTTTCAAAGCTGGAACTCCAGATGAGACGGTCGAGAATGCGACGTTTGTCGTCGGTGGAATATTTGAATGGGGTGGGCACCTCGACACGACTCCGGATCCAGTCGCACTGTTCACGGTCGGGGATGTGAATGTACTCAACGCCGTAGCTTCCACAGTAAGTTCTTTCACACGCGGCGATAATGTCGCGTAACGTCATCTTTTCTCGGCCCTCAGTGGCAAAACGAGGAAGGATACCAGGACCGAGGGAAAACTCTTGGTCGAGATCTTTTTCGGTGAACCCGTAATGATCGATTTCGAGCTCTTTGGGCTTGCGGTATCCAAATGCATCTGCCTCGCCGCGGATACCAAGGGGATCAGTCTTGGCCTTGTGGTGACCAGTTGCCTGGTATGCTCTGACGAGTAACTGGACTTTTAAATGATTTGTAACATCTCCACCACCGGTAACAGCGGATGGGGCGATTCCGATGGCTCCTTCTGCCTGTGAGACGAGTCCCGGAGGAGGCTGAAAGGCGCGTGAGACGGGCATGGTGCCATCTTCCATGTTGCGGAAGTAGGCTTGCCAGGAGATGTGGACGGAGGAAGGGTCTTCTTTCCAGGCTAGGTACATTTCATCGATATAGTTTGCAGTGTTGCCCTGTAGGAAGGAATCATTGGGATCCTGGGCTAAAGTTAGCTTGCAATACATTGAAATAAACGGGCGCAAGAGCAACAAATGACATACAACTCCTTTATTAGTATCCTCAGCAGCAATGGCATAGCTTCTACGCGGCACTGAAGTGCGGAGAAGGAGAGCCAGCGGTTTTCTGCCACTGGAGAGACATGTCCTTTGTGTTGTGGAGATGAGTTTAGCTTCCGAGGCAGTATATAGGGATCTCGAAGCTCTCTGAGCTCGAGGGGGGAGTTTGGCGACGGCGCATCGATACATGACGGAACGAGGTCAGCTTGTTGGAGCTCAATATTCCAGGATGCAGTCCATAGGAGGTGAGAATGACAAAGAGAGAATGGACGCGAGCCTCGGAAAGAGTGGCAGCAGCGAGGGAGTCTAGGAACAATGACAAGGGAAGTGAGAATAGGTGTTAGGTGGTAGTGAGGTAATGAGGAGAAAGAGACGAGATGAGGTTTGAAGGTGTTTGAGGTCACTAAGAAAGTCCGGAATGAGAAGTCGAAGCAGTTGCAGTTGCAGTTGCACTTGGAGTCGCACCTGCACCTACTTCATTTTGCTTTGTATGTGCCTGCCAAAATGGGGTCGGCAATTATGATGCAGTTTGGCAGGTGCACCTGCAAGTGAGCACCAACGAAGCGACGAGATGAGCACTTAGCAACGCGTTAGTGGCCACACCTACTTGGCACTAGGCATTTAACACGTCCAAGGAACCAGTCACGGCTCCCCGTTTGACAATACCACTCAAACGCCAGATTTGCGGCCTTTTGGGGTTGCTTTCCGCCTGGATTGATCCACGACGGTGCAACTTCCGGGCGTCTGGGCTCCAATAAACGCCTGGGGCGTTAGTCATGGTTGCCGCGTTCGAGCCCAAAGGGGCCGCCGACGATGCTGTTTTCCAAGACCTCGTGGCCCTCTAAGCACTCTTCTGAAGGCCCCTGTAGCCGAAAGTGCGGAGGTGACCCCAGCGGCGCCACGTCCCTCCCGTCCAAATTCTTGGAAGATGAGATCTTCAATCTAAGTACTGTACCTATCCATGTCAACACGTTTCGAGTCTGAAGAATTGGCTCAACGGAGACACACGTGTATCATACAATTCAATAGCACCACGAACATACGTAGAACCAATCTACTCGTCGACACATCCATTTCCATCTACCCCATGACGCTCCGTCCCCGTCTTCCGCGGATAAAAACCTCAAGGGATTTATTGCATCCAATCACGACCCCCCAAAACCCCAATTCCAAGTCTCCATAACGCCGTGAAAGCTCCGCCCTCAGCTCCCGACCGCATCTTCCGAATTATCTGCGAGGAATGAATCCATCCAATTCCGCATTGTTCATCTCCAGCTTCATAAAATTGGACCAGTGTTATTATTATTTGCATAACAGCTATTGTAGAAACGGACGGACCAGTGCGTCCACATGTAAGATTTCTCGTCCAAACAATAACCCTCAATATCCTGCGCTATGCTAGAACTACTATAAGACGGCAGGGCTATTCAATTCCAACATGGGTATCTTGAGACGTTGCTTTCGCTCAACCAATCTATTTTGCACAAGTATCTTCACTTGTTACTCGCCTTTTCATGTTTATACTGTCAGATCCGTGTGCCTGCGAGGTATTCGCGGTCCACTGTTTCATCTCCAGTCTCTTCATCCGTTCGTCGTCTTTCCAAAACCCACCTTCCATCCATTTCTCGTTGATAACTGACGCTCTCGGCGCCGCTACTATTGCGGCTGTGATGGCCCTTGCGCCGTTCTGCTGGGACTGCCATTGGAGACGAGGGCAAATCTTCTTGCGACTGAAAGACCAGAGGCTCTGGGATTCTTTTTCGTGGCGTATTTTGCGTCAAGGTCGGACGACCATCTTCCTCGTCCTCTTCCTCCGACTCCGGAATACCCATCACGGGCGACGATCGCCCGTGGAAGCCTGAAGACATCCTCACGCCGTGATGATCCCCGTGACCGAAAGGGTGGTGCGAAGGGTAAGCCAAGGGCGAGCTGATTTGAGGTGGTCCACCTCCACTGTTCAGACTCGACGAGCTGCCCCCAAATGCTCGACCACGAAGTCGCATCAATGCACTGAAGCTCATGTCCTCATCATATCCAGGAGAATCGAGCTCCAGAAGCTGAGCAATTCCTGGGCTGGGGATTGATTGAGCCGATCCCGGAATACCACCGGGCATCTGGAGCGACACCACCGAATTCCTTGTGCTCCACTCACTTCGTTCTGTAATCGGCGTCAGGCTGGGCTCCTGAAAATTGGCCTTGCCACTATGACTTCGTTTCACCCCACTGGATCCTCTTTCGCCAAAATAACCCCCATTCACAATCTCGGTACTGCTTTTGGTATTCGATCGGGCATAGAAACCAAACTCTTGACCATAGAACCCGTCCTCATCATTTTCCAAGGCTTCAGCGTTCGCCTCGGCGATCATAGGATCATCGTCCATATCGTCGTCGAAAGGGAATCCATCGTCTTCAGCAATTCCCATGTTGTAGTTAAAACCGAAGCGACTGTCTGCTGACACGATTCCCTGTCGGCTGTTTTCGAATGACTGTGACGTGTCGTCCGAGTTCTGACTGAAGCTCACCTTGCGATCAAATCGCCCTTCTACGGCAGCTTGGTTGGCTGCCATGGCGAGTGCATCGTGATATGCCGCCAGATTAGTCTCAGTCAGACCGGCCAGGCTATTGCCTTGTTCTAGGCTTGAATCGCTCACTTGGCGCTGGTGATCATGCTGCTTCCATTCGAGATCGTCTTGGGGCGCATGAGCCGTCGGCCCATCCCAAATCGGTGCAAGTTTTCCATCATCGTTTCCAACGGCGTGGTGAAGTGCAAGAGCCAATTTGCGAGCATTCTCCGCTGGGATGTTCCGAATCTGTCCACTCTCATCGTCCAAGGTTTGTTCGTCGAATGTTGGGACAATAGATTCAATCCCAAGATCCCCAAACTCGCCATCGTCAAAGTAAAGATCGTCGTCATCAAAGACTTGGGCGTGTGGCCGTTCGACGTGGTTCGACCGTCTCCGAGGACGTGCAGCCGGCGTCGTGATTCCGAGGCCCCCAATCAGCGAAAGCTTTTCTATCTCGATACCAGCATCTTTCTGTTCCAGGGCATCGTGACTTGCTCGGGAGGATACTCTGGAGTCGGCAATTCCGATGGGGAATCCTTCGTGATCCCGTGGCGTGGGTTGGGAGGCGTTGTTTGTACTGGTGGGACTAAATGTCAAAGATTGAGGGGTGAAGTGGAAGCCTTGGAGCGAGTGGCGATGTAACGTTGTTTCCTTGATCACAGACTCAGGCAAAGATGGTGGTGATGTAGCATAATTGGGCTCCAGTACAGGCTCTGGTCCGACCTCGGCTTCGGGAACACCTGTGCTCTCGCTTGGTAAATACTTGGGAGCCAACAGATTGCCTTGGGGAAGATCAGATGTATCAAATGGGTCTTCGTCGATGGGATAGCGTGCAATCAGAGCGCTGTTCTGAATGCCACTCAGTGTTGAACCTCCATCATGGTATAGATCAGCATTGAAGCTGGGGATTTCCTCCTCGAATCCATCGTCCGCATCAAAGTCGTAGTTTGCATAATCGTCGTCCTCCTCCTCTTCGACTTCTCCGACCGGAGGTTTCCGCGTTGCTTCGTGTTGCTTATGCTTTTCCTCCAAGAGTCTTTCCTGGACAGAGGAGCCACTCCCGCCCATCTGGAAGCTGAAACGAGATGAGGTACTCGTCATGTGCTTCGGGAGAGCAGCTGGAGGAGGGGGTTCAAACTTTGGTGATGGAGTGCTTTTTGGAGGAGGCGATGGAGGAGGAGGTGACGGCTCTGCAAGCGGGATTTCCGCTGCAGCTTGATGGTCAGTTTCAAGTAACGATGAGTTGACTTCAGACTGAGGGACTACAGCAGGGAGCCGCTTGGCAAACGCCGGGATATTGGTGGGATCTTGTGAGTCGAAGGATCGGTTGTACGCTGCATGGTTGTGCAAGTAGCCAGTACGCTCCGGCTGCAGAGAGGTCTGGTCATCTTGGAAGTTTTCCTTGAACATAGGACTGTGGGAGGCGTTTGAGACCCCACTTAGAGGGCCATTTCGACCACCAAAAGGATCCTGGAGGCGACTCGAGTCTGGCAGTCCGCCTGTTCGTAGACCAGGAGACTCGACGAAGCTGACATCTGATTGAGAGACTTGCCTACGTGAACGCGGCGCGGAAAAATCATGGACGAGCTTTCCCCGGATGCTGGGCTCAAAATTGTCAGGGAGAGCCGGCACGGACAGAGTATTAATGGTGAGATTGAAATCATCCAGCTTTTGATTCTGTGACGATCGGCGGCGAGCTAATAGACTCATCGGGTTCAAGAGATTTAGCCTGCTCTTCTTGGCGGTCGAACCCTTGGACACAGCGTGGTCGTCGAAATGGGATCGATCTTGCGGTGGGGAGGAGAAACTGTAATTACGTAGGGTCGGAGAGGAAGTATTGTCGGTGACTCTTGAGATGGGCTCAAAGGAGGATCGCTCTTTGTAATCGACAGAGTTCGATTGAACGGACACAGGTGACGGGCGTGCGCCCAAAGTGGCTGTGTATGGAGCAGATCTGTTCGCATCGCTTGTGGCTGGTCGGTGAACATCTTCGGACGGTCGGACGGTATCCGTGGTGGCATCTTCCGAGGATCTTTGGTAAGGAAAGGAATCTGTCGGAGGATATGATTGATGTGGGGAGAGGGGAGCCTGAGCAGGATAGAAGTCGGTATGGGCCGGGGTAAGACGTGGCCTGGGAGAGCGTTGGTCGGACTCAGGGATCAGAGGGGGCGCATCTGTAGGACTGAAGGGTTCGCCATGCCTATTGAAGCGTCTCGTATAACTAGGAGAGGTGGGAGAGACATGATCGGATCTTCTTCGCATGCGACGTTGCAGCGGTTGGTATATATTCCCTGCACTCATGCTGAGGCAGGTCACAGGTCACGGCCTGGCTGAGGCTAAGGAGTGGCAAGGCCCGCGAGAGTTCGCATTTTGAGGATTCAAGACCGAGGGTACTAGCAGACTCGGTGGTCAGGCAAGTGGTGAGGATGCAGAATTCGGTCGAAGTAGAAGAGGCCGGCACAATTTCGAGGCACAAGAGTATTGACGAACAAAGTCCAACATATCATCCAGAGTGAATGCCACAGGGTGGTGATGGAGGCGGCATGGTGATGGGAAAGCGAAGTTGATTGTTGTTGATGGAATGAGACAAGACGAGTGTCATGATGTGGTCCTGGAGTGACCCTCGCAGGCCGTCGAGTCAAGATTGAGATGAAGTGGAATGGATGGGGAACCTCGTACGCATACGTCGCACTTGGCGGCCAATATGAGCAGGCAGTGGTGCATTACCGAGTCCAGAATGAATGGAAGGTTCGACCAGGGAGTCAGCCAATTGACAGATGAAGATTGGGAGAAGGTGGGGCAATACTGGGGCCATCCAAGACACCAGCAGTTTTTAGCAAGAACGGCAAGTTAAACAGTCGCGAACCCTGGCTTCTCAGCATTGAATCACTGGGGTATCGGTGCCAAGATCTACGGCGGGCTGAGGTGGTACTTTTGGCACTTATCAAACACCAAATTCCCTGATCTCAGCCTTGTCTGATGGATCACTCCTATGCTCTGTCAACCACTGCTGATGACCTGGCCACTACAGCTTCCAAATCCTACAAACCCAGGTCCATCCTTGCATTTTTGCCGTGCCGTGAAATGGACGATATCTCCATCCTCCAACCAGGCACGACTAATGGTTTCAGAGCTCGAGCCCACAGCCTGCATGACACGAGGCTGTTTGCCATCTCGACTCCCTTCCAGAAAGCAGCCCAGCTCGGACTCTTTTGGTCCGGATAATGTTCCTGTGCCAAACAGATCACCTGGCCTCATGGGGCAACCTCCAGCGGTGTGATGTGCCAACATTTGTCCGAACGAAAAGCAAGTATACTTGGTGTTGCATTGAGAGAACCGGTACTTCTTCGAACCCACTATAGTCTCACTTAGTGTATGTCATCTATGGTCAACATTACATTATTCTTACCTTGGATATAAGCATCGACGGGAATATCGTGGACGGAGTCATTCTTTCCTTCGAGGTAAGGCTGCAGCCGAATCTGTCCCCATCGTCTCAGTGATCTTGTCAACAACTGCCCATTCAAGACTTACCGTGGTCAAAGTATTCGTCCGATATGGCTCCAAGGCATCCAAGGTAACGATCCACGGTGAGATACTGGTGCAGAAATTCTTGCCATTCAGAGGCCCCAGTGCCCCAGCCTCAGCCCTCTGAATGTCTCTTGCAGACCAGTCATTCAGGAGGACCAGTCCGAATATGTGCTCTTCAGCATCGTTTACATCGATGGCAGTCCCATGCTCATTTCCTTGTCCGACAAAGGCTGCGAACTCGACCTCGAAATCTAACTTTTGCGAGGGCCCAAACGTGTGATTATTGTCGACCACAAATTGGCCCCGTGGTCGACGGACAGGCGTGCCGGATACGACGATCGACGAGCTGCGACCACCATAGCCAATTGGGAGTTTGAAAAACCCTGGAGGTAATGTTTGCCCAGGTCGAACAAGGTCAGTACACTATAGAGATCGACTGTCAGCGAAACTTCTCTCACCCTGACGGGTTATGCTTACGTTTTGAGCGTGGTATGGACTGGTGAAGAAATCGGTGTAATCGCCAATGCTCATCGGAAGGTGCATTTCAACATTCTCTAATGACGCCAGCGCCTTTTGTTTCAACTCTTGGTTGTCGCGGAGGACATGGCCCAACGAGGTCTGTGATTGCAATAGCTCCTGCAGAAGTGCCCTGACTTTGCGATGGACATTTCTGCCTTGACCTGCGTAAAGATTCAAAGTCGGCTCCAGCAGAGTGCTTGTGTCAAACCCAAGTCCACTAAATACTTCTGACTGACAAAGTGCTTTGAGATCCAAGACTTGGTCCCCAATTGCGACTCCGATGCGTCGGTCATGCTCTGCGGTGCTGAAGATACCATATGGTAGGTTCTGCAGAGAGAAATCCGAGTCGTCGCTTACTGGAATCCAAGATTGTACCATGGTTGTACTTCAAGACGTATTGGCGAGCAAAATGACCATCCCACACCTTTGTGGATATTATTGTACTCTAGAAGCGTTCTTATTGTTTATATCTAGCTTCTTCTTTCGATATTCGAACGCGATCCCTTTCCCGACCTCGCGTCTGCAAACCCCCGACCCAACTGCCTAAAAATGAGTTCGTGTCCGCACCTCTGACACAATATCCCATCCTACAAGTCGAGACCCACGGCATTAGGAATCACAACCCGGGCATGTTCAAACGATCTGGCCCATCACCATGCCTCAATAACCCGATTGACGGAGAATGACGTAGTTTCCCGACCAAAGCCGGCTGCGACGCTCAACACGTGATTGACTATTGAATTGAATTTCAGGTCACGCAGTCAAATCAATCTCTACGTCTCTCCCAGGTTCTTGAAATTTTCGACCCTTGTACAGTCCTCAGCATAATTGTATGAGTCATACAGCTAGGTCTACGCCCATCTTTGGTGAGCGACACTAAGTCCCAAGTCGAAGCACCAACATTTGCAAAAGCGGGTACCCTGGTCACGTGCCGATATTGACAATTCATCTGACATCGAACGCCACTCGAATCTTTTGTTAGACGAAATCTTGTTCTATTTGCTTCGCTATCAGCATTTTATATAGTTCTCTAACAGGCGCTAGTATCGTCCTATCCACCAACCCTGAAGCCAAACTCACATGGTCCCACGAAGTGACCAAAAGCCATGCGCTCTGAATGTGCATAATACATGCAACTCTGGCCCTGGAAGCAATACCGCGTCTCCACTAGTCCTGAAGGATGGCATCTTCACTGACGCCTGGGAGACCATCCACTGCTTGTCAACAATGTAAACACCACAAGGTGGGTACGCTGTTCTTTAGATAATTGCATCCATAAGCATCTCGCTAATCAGTCCAACCATCGCGCAGGCTCGGTGTTCAGGTGATCTTCCTAAGTGTAAACGATGTGCTCGAACAGACACAGAGTGTATCTATGCTCCAGGTGCACACAATCAGCGTCGAAAGCTGTCTGATCGAGCCTGGCTTGCTCATAACGTCTCCCCATTCCGCAATGGCTCACGAGACTCTCCAGTCAGGCGCCTACCAACACCGCAGATGAATCCCTTGACTATTCTTCAAAGCCCCGATTATCTAGGCATTCCTGAGTCAATTGCCTCCGAGCTCATTGACACATTCTTCTCCCATCACTACAACGCCCGACTGCTTCTCCACAAGGCTAAGTTTGAAGAGGATAGGTCGAGGCGGACGCTTCGGCCTCATGTTCTCTTGACTATTTGTGCTATGGGAGCCGTGTGAGTCTCCTCATAGCATACTATACTGCTTTGCTGACAGGTCGGAGATTCTATCACAATGGAAAGTCAGAAAATCCCTTCAAAGAATTTGCTCGCGTTTGGGCAGAGCGCGCTGGAAAATTAGCTCTTAACGAAGTTGAGATACCTCATGAGGACAATATCGTCACATTTTCCACTCTGAGTCTTTTCTGGTATACTCAGGGGTCGTGGAGAAGATCATACATCCACAAAGGTTAGAATTGTCCTTTCGATAGGTTTCGTGCTGACGTGTCAGGAAATGCAATGCAAACCGCCCATGTCTTAAATCTTGTCAATAGAGTAGGAACAACAAGGGACTCACTCGACGTCGAATTGTCACGCCGACGCTTCTGGGCTTGTTATCTAATCAACTGCCACAGTACTGACAGCATGTTTGCTATCAGCCCCTCAAAAAGTCTAGCTGCTCTTCCCTTGCCGTGGGCCGAGGAAGAGTTTGAACGTGGCTCCAGCAACATGCGCCCATGTGCTTTTGGTTCTGGCAAGACGAATGGAGGAATTTATAGTGAGATGATTAGAGCCATGACGCATTGGTCGGTATCCTCTCGATCACATCTCGGTTGTCTGGCTGACACAAATCACTAGGTCTTCGGTAAACACCTTGATCAAATCATTTGACGGAGATTCTCAAGCCCGAATTACAGCAATTCATCGTCTTGACGCTGAGATTAGGCAGTGGTGGGATCGCGTCCCCCAAAACTTGCGCCTCCATCCTTCCAACCTATCATCATTTCTTCGCGTGGATCTCACAAAACTCATTCTCATACACGTGGTATACTACCAATGTCTTTGTGCCTTGCACTCTTCAATTGTACCCCTGTTCTCCTGGGGTCCTGATGAGCCAAACCACGCTGTAGCCCAACAGCTATCGGCGCAACTAGCGTATGAGAATGCCTGTGCAATTTCTCAGTTTCTCCAGATGGTACTGGACTTCTCGCAGGAAGTGGCAGACTTCCCAAGTTTCGTTGGCTATGCAGCTTACTGCAGCTATGCTATCCAAGTACCGTTCCGATGGTGTCTGAACCCTGGGGTGAGAGAAAATACTCTCAGGAACACTCAAGCCAATCTCGAGGTCATTCAAGGCATGGCCAAGTACTGGGAGTTCATTGTCTTACTGGTATGGATATCTATTGACTGGTTAGAAAGAAATAGTTGCTGACTTGCTTTATAGGGTCACTACGCAAAGTATCTCACCGAAACTCATGCCCAAAATCCCCTTGGGCTAGACGACGAGCCTAAAAACTTAAGCGCCGGTAAACTCAACGGGTTTCGTATTACAGCTGCTCGCGCAAGATCCTCCATCTTGAGCATGAATGGCATTCTTTGGAAGGACGATGGCTATTCAGTTCAAGGGGATGAAGTCATGGATCTCGGGCTTGATGGCAGACAAAACATAGGTAGCCCTTCGACCTCGCCAGCTGTGGACTGGGGTTCTCGAGAAACACCTGCGACCGCGGGAAAAGGTGACACTCCACCTATTCACTCGAAATTCTACTTAGGAGTACTACTGACACTGAATGATAGATACAGGTCCTGCCAACCAGGATACAGGCTCTACTGTTGTCTATGAAGATCCCCCAGCAATGACCACCACTGTCCCAGACTTTTACGATCAGCAGCCTGTCTTTTTCCAGCCAATTCTGGATGCATCCAATATCTTCGAGCCTATGCCCCAGAATCTGGGAATGATTGACTGGAGTGAGATGGATGCGTTGCCCTCCTGGGAGGTGCTGTCCTCACGAGGACAGTCGTATGAATTACCACTTTAATAGATTGTAGCTTAGAGCAGGGCGCTGGGAACCTCGGACCGAGATGGGAGACATATGATAATGCAATTGCATGAGCCATGAAGAATCTCAACGTGCCTGTGATTCTAGGTTTCCTTCATAGGATGATCTGTTCAGATCGCCTGATCTATGTGTAACAAAGTCCTTGTAATACAGTCCCCGAATCGACACCATAGTCCTAAGAGTCATTTCTGCCAACTTAATTAAGCTTTGATCAAAGCATCATGAATTGGAGAGGTATCGGTAATTATGTAATTTCCTCAGCACAGTCCATCCATCTCCAACTGCTGCTAGGATCAACAATGATGGTCATGCACCCCAGAGGGGCGGAGGGGTCACCTGCAGGCCAAGATGTAGCTGTCGAATGTGTAAGTGGTTCTTCGGAATTTAATCAATGCCACCAAGAAGAAGTTGTCGCATTACTAGAAACCGGCATAACCTCAAAGAGAAATTCAGCTCTGGATATATGCCTCGGGCGGCCTTACTTTGAATCACAACTGGGAAACATCAATCTTCAAACTTTCTCCCAATATCTTCAACACAGCTGTGACTCTTCCATCAAAAATGGCAAACAGCTACTTCATCAAAGGCGGAACCGTCGTTTCAGTGGACGACAACATCGGCGTCCAATCAGATTGTGACATTATCGTTGAGAACGGAATCATCACGCAGGTGGGAAAAGGACTGAAAGCACCAGCCAACCTACCAGTCATTGATGCCTCAGAATCTATTGTATCGCCAGGATTTGTCGATACCCATCGACATGCCTGGCAAACGCAACTCAAGAATGTCACCTCAGACATGCTCCTCCCAGACTATTTCCTATACATTCGAAGTGTGTACGGATCATGCTACACCGCTGAAGACGTCTATATCGGAGAACTCATGGGAGCATTGGAGTCAATCGACGCAGGTATCACCTTTATGATTGACCATTCTCACATCATGAACTCTCCCGCACATGCCGATGCCGCTGTCAAGGCTCTCAAGGATTCTCATATGCGCGCCACCTTCTGCTACGGTCTCTTTGTCAACCATAACTGGGAAGGTGTTGCCCCAGGGACGGTTACTGCTGCTACTTCCCCAGACTGGAGATATGCGGATGCAAAGCGGGTTCGTGAAGAACATTTCTCAGCTGAGAATGGACCCCATGATCTGCTGAGATTCGGATTTGCTCCGGCAGAGATCGAGCGATACTCGCCTTCCCAGTCGATCAAAGAGCTGGAATACGGGCGTTCGATTGGTGCTGCTCTCGTGACAGGCCACATTTCCCTAGGAAAGCTCGATCGTGGAATCAACTTTGTTCGAAAGCTCAAAGCAAAAAATCTACTTGGGCCGGATCTGCTTTTCAGCCATTGCGGGTCGCTTCAGGACGACGAGATGGAATTGGTCAAGGAAGCTGGCGTTTCCATCTCAGTTACTCCTGAAACCGAATTGCAGATGGCCATGGGACCCAATCTGTCTTTCCGAGCGGAGGCCAAAGGCTGCAAGCACAGCTTAGGAGTTGACGTGGCATGCAACAACCCCATCGACATGTTCCAACAAATGCGACTCTTATTACAATCGCAACGAGGTATCGACAACGAAGCATCAGACGGCCCCCCTGCCACTATCACGCGAAAATGTGAAGAGGTCCTCAAGTTTGCCACCATGGGAGGTGCCGTTTCAGTGGGTCTCAAGGATGTTATTGGAAGCATTACCCCCGGCAAGCGAGCTGATTTGATCATTACCAAAACCACCTCTCCTCGCTTGACTCCTGTTCATGATCCAGTGGCGGCTTTGGTCCTGTATGCAAATGCATCCGATGTGGACACGGTGCTGATTGACGGACGAGTTGTCAAGAAAGATAAGCAATTCGTGGGCTTTGAGTGGTCGAAATTGAGACAGCAAGTTCTTGAATCAAGCAAGAATATCATGGAGCGGTCCAAGAAGGCTCCCATGGAAGCTATCAAACATCATAATCTCACTGAGAGGTCGTACTGGATGAACAAAGAGTAATGATGATTTTGGATAGATAGAAAATGAAATCTTGATTATGTTTGATTTGTTTACCTCGAGTGAAGCGAATGTCAAACAACAGTAGTTTAAGGATAACTTCAACATTGTAAGAGTATCTGACTTCCATGCTGTAGGCGTTCACATGCCAAATACCCATCCTCTCTATCCAACTCAAGGTTGTTGCATGCGAGAGATAGATCGATTTGTACATCATCTATGTTGAATCTATTCACACCTCAAAGATTATTACTGGCTGTCATCTCATGTTGTTCGGGAGCCAACTTCTCTCCCAAAGCCTCACCACCCAACTGAATCGGATGACTATCAAGAAGCACAAACATCATCCTCGCCCACTGCGTAGCGCTAGGATTCCTCCAAGCGTGCATAGTTCCACGTTGAACAGCGACATCGCCTTGTTTCAGGGTGACGACCTCCCCAGAATCGAGAATCATCTCCATCTCTCCCACCAAAACAACACCATAATCCAAACTCTTTGTCCGATGCATCATGGGATTATTGCCAGGCGCAAAATCACACATTCGACAAACACTGCCGCCTCGGTTCACTAACCCAGATCCTTGCTGTTCGACCTGTTCGTGTGTTTTGATGTCGATGTCGTTGTTGAGTTGCGCTGGGAACTCGGATGTTGTGTATAGTAGGCTGAGTCCGACTTCGTTGTTGCGCATGCCTTGCCATTTTCCGTGCTCGGACGAGTGGACAATTGCTTTACCGTCTTCGCGGTGAGTGGTGATGAATCTGGTGACGGGTCGGAGGTTGGAGACTGGGTCAGAAGGGAAGCCGTTGATGGAACCCATGGTTGTTGGTATGATGGTAATGGAAAGAGTGTGTCTAAGGGAGGTTCAGTCTATGTTGATGACCTTGATGTCGGTACAGGTCAATGGAAGAACGGATGATGGTGTGTAAGTGTTGGATTACTCTAATCGTGGTTCGACTACCTGATGTTACCAAGGTCTAATGGTCCAAGAGAGTATAAAAGTAAGGCATCCTCGGCTAATGCATAATTGTTTCCCGCCCCAAGTCCTTGCCACCAGCAACAGGGCCTGGCCTTTGCCTTTTGGGTTCCCAGCCGTAGCATCCAGCATTTGGAGGGTCGATTTGACTGTATTGCATGTTACACTTTGTTATTGCCTCCGGACTCGGCAAGATGAGATCAATTCGAGTAGCATTCTATTGAGCCCTCTCTCTTGGCTATTGAAGAGATATGTCGTCGAATCATCTCATACAGAAGCCTAAGTTGAACGAACATAAAACACATTCAGGTGATGCTACCACAGACCCACCCATTCTCCGATAGGATGTCACAAGAGGCGGCATTGAGAGACCCGCTCATTTTCCGGGCGTCGTGATGTAGTACCCACCAATTTTCCAATGGTTTCCCGGCGCCTTGACTTTTATGGTACTGACACACACCACCTTGACACGTTTTTCTCTCCACGGCAACATTGATCTGGAGGTTGTCTCCCCATTTTTGAAAATTTCTGGGGTCATGCATTGAAGCCTAGACTGTGCAAACAGCCTCCAGAACAGACCCTTACTCCCCGGGAAAGTCGGTATATCTGTGGGGAATTCTATCAATTCTATTCAAGCGACTGGGAAATCCCCAGAGGCAAAATCTGGGTTAGCGATTTGTTATGCCTTGATGGATCCAATTTGTCAGACGACACTTTCTCGACAGACTAGTTCTTGACCCTTTTTCTCCTTACCGTGGAAGCTGGGGATTCAAATCGTGGCGAGAGCGGAAGCTCAAGGCGCAAATATATAATACGACATCGTGGCCTTGGTTGAGCAGGGGTTCTCATTCACTTCTTAATCACTTTAACTGGTTTTGTGTTGCGACACGAAAACAAATCTCATCAGTCAACATGACAATGGATCCCACTGCCGTTGCGGCGGAGAAGGAGGCCGAGCTCTTCGAGGAAGAGAAGACTAATGTCAATCTGCAAGATGAGCGCGGTCCTGAGACCTCACCACTGGACAAGAAAATCCTGCTGAAGCTCGATTTGTTTGTCATTCCCATAATCACCATGGTTTATCTACTTGCATTCCTTGATCGCGCCAATCTTGGAAACGCTCGTGTGGTACGTACATGACATGACATGAGTTGCGCGAAGCCTTAGAAATTGGACTAATCATAGTTTTAGGCTGGACTTCAAGTCGACCTTGGACTCACAGATCATCAATATCAGACAGCAATCACGGTTACCTATGTCCCGTACATTGTGAGCGAGATTCCATCCAATTTGATCATCAAGAAGATCGGTCCTCGCATCTACATCCCCTTTCTCTGCTTTTCCTGGGGCATTATTTCGACTCTACAGTGCCTTGTACAAAACTATGCCGGTTTGGTTGTCTGCCGCTTCTTCCTGGGTCTGATGGAGGGTGGATTGTTCCCTGGAATCATCCTGTATCTCAGCAGCTTCTACCGACGACAAGAACTCTCACTCCGCATTGCCTTGTTCTGGTCAGCAGCATCTCTCAGTGGAGCCTTCTCTGGGCTATTAGCTGCGGCCATTGCGCAGATGGATGGCGTTGGAGGCATGGCAGGTTGGCGATGGATCCTCTGTCTCGAAGGTATCTTTACCGTGGTCTGGGCTGTCATTACCTACCTCTGTCTCCCCAACGATCCTGAAGGCGTGAAATTCTTCAAACCGGATGAACGAGATCGATGTATCGAGCGACTCAAGCTCGACGCTGAGATTTCTGAAGGGGAAAAAGTCAAAATCGGTCGAGTCTTGTCGGTGTTCAAGGACCCTCATCTTTTCCTGGTCTGGTTGTGTTCCTTCTGTTCAGGCTGTGCGATTTTTGGATTGGCATACTTCTCTCCTTCAATCATCCGGTCGATGGGCTATTCCACTACTCAAACTCAACTGATGAGTGTACCTCCATATGCATGGGGATTGGTGCTCACGATCTTCACATCATACTACTCCGACAAGTACATGATGCGAGGAATTCCCATGTTGATCACATATTTCATCGCGTTGATTGGATCCATCATGTTCCTTGTTGGTCGCAGCGTGGGAGTGCGATATGCCGGGGTCTTCTTTCTACTTGGAGGAGTGTATGCCAACGCGCCAGCACTCATCGCCTGGGTCCCCAACAACTGTGCTGCACACACTCGACGTGCCACAAGTGTAGCGATGACTTGTATTGCTGTCAACTGCGGTGGTATCATCAGCACTTGGATCTTCCCTCAGTCAGATGCGCCTTACTATCCGTTCGCAGCCAAATTCTTGTTGGCCTTGAACGTCATTGCTATTGTTTTGACAGCAGTAGCCATGTTTGTTTGCCACCGAGCCAACAAGAAGAAGCAGGACCCAGAATACAGACAAAAGTTGTTGGGAGATATGGGAGACCTGAGTTTTGCACAACAGATTGAGAAGTTGGGTGATCACCATCCAGATTTCAAGTATGTCTTGTGAAAGACTGGTTGAGGAAGACGTGGAGTGGGGATTATAGCTCTCAGTTGGCATTTTAATATCAATAGGGACTATTTCAATACTGCCTACCTACATATGTTCACCTGTGATATTCCATGAGTGTTTATTGACGTATGACTTGGGGTGGTGAATGAGCAGATGAGAACTACACGTGACTGGACTGAGTCTGTGGCAGTATTATTTATCGTAGTGCTTATTGGGTCAGACGCAGAGAATCCAAGCCTACAGTAGCTACCTTAGCTAATGCCCAGGCATGATGCCTAGAAACTTTTGAACCCATTCCTACCGTCGCCCGAATCTTGACCCCATTAGGGTGTGATCCCCAAGTGAAGAAGCAATGCTAAGCGCCCCAGTCTCTGAGCTTATAACTATTTAGGAAGCCTGGCAGGTATCTTTGGACGCCACTTGGGGGGCATTTAACCCCCGAAACTCGGTTCTAGAGGGGGCAGGAGAGGGTTCAGCATGTCAAACCAAACCGACTTCTGTGTCTGTCAATCGGATGTCAAAGATGCAAACCTGCAGCCATGCGAATTGATCCATCTGTGTTTGTATCAAGTCTCATATCCCTGATTAATCCCTGGCCCTACCGAACACGAAAGAATCCAGCCTAGAACAGAGCAAACCCCCAGGAATCGAAACAGCGGTAAGTTCAAGCTCTGCGTGTCAAAACCCTGTCACTTGTAACGAAGGAGGATCTCTCGGAAACCGTAGTACTGGCACACCGCCACCTTACTAGCTTTCGAGTCTATCTCCTCAATTGTCGGCGAAGCTCTTCGGGAGAAACCGCAATGGCTGTATATCATTCTTGAGCCCGACCTTCTCTCTATCTCACTCTTTTTCTTCCCTTCACACGCGCAATTCAACTTGACCCATTTTTACAACTACATTACTTTGCCTGGCACCGCTCTGCATATTAGAGCTGCAGCCCACCATGAATTGTCCCTCTCGTCCAGACAACACAGAGGACCATCCTGACTGGAACCAGAACCCTCAAGATCTGAACTCGGACTTGACCACACGAGCAGATCTCAATGGGATAGTCAATCTCCGCGAACAAAGACACCTGGATTCAAGTTTGGACAACGACCAACAAGAACAAATCCAGGTGGTGCAGACTCTCCCCAGTGACTCGCCTGTTAAAACGTCTGGAAAGACCCTCTCTGTCAAGGTTGATCCTGTGGTACACGAGTCTGCTGCACATGTCGGATCCTCGTCCACGGACTTTCAACGCCCACGCCCACGCCCAGCTTCGTTTCTCGCTTTCTCGGCCTGGGTTGTCAAGAAAAGTGTCAACACTTTGCAAAAATACGCCCGCTTCGTTGGCCCTGGTTTCCTCATTGCTGTCGCCTACATCGATCCTGGAAACTATGCCACCGATGTTGAGGCCGGTGCTGCTACTCAATACCGTCATTTGTTCATCATCTTGATGTCTAACATCATTGCTATCTTTCTCCAGTCCCTCTGTATCAAACTCGGCAGTGTCACTGGTCTGGATCTCGCTGAGAATTGTCGCAAGCATTTGCCCAAATGGCTTAACCTAATCCTTTATGTCTTTGCTGAGGCAGCCATTATTGCTACTGACATTGCTGAGGTGAGATGAAGTCTTGTGGCGTTGGATTTTCCCTTTGTTTTTTGTTCGTTCTGACAACCTACAGGTTATTGGCTCTGCTATTGCTCTAAACTTGCTTTTCAACATCCCCCTCGTGGCCGGATGTGCCATTACTCTGGTAGATGTGCTCGTGCTCCTCATTTTCTACCGTCCTGATGGCTCCATGGGCCGACTACGACTATTCGAGTACTTTGTAATGAGTTTGGTCCTTGGTGTCATGATCTGCTTCTGCATTCAACTTTCCTACTTGGAAAACACCACTGCTGGTCAGGTCTTCAAAGGTTATCTTCCATCCGCGGCCATCGTCGAGGGCAATGGTATATACCTCTCGTGCGGTATCATCGGCGCCACGGTCATGCCTCATTCCATCTTCCTGGGATCTGGAGTCGTCCAACCACGGCTCAAGGAGTTCGACCGCCAAAATGGCCATATCATGCTCGACGAAGAGGATGACGAGGACGTCAAGTACGTTCCTTCCATCTATGCCATCAAATCGTGTCTCAAGTATTCCATCGTCGAACTCGCCACTTCTCTCTTCACATTTGCCCTCTTTATCAACTCGGCCATTCTCATCGTCTCAGGTTCTGCCCTCTACCCAAAGACCGAAGCCACCGAAGCCGACCTTTTCGGCATATACAACTTGTTGAACGAGAATCTGTCCAAGGCCGCAGGAACTCTCTTTGCCATTGCGTTGCTGCTCTCTGGAACCTCAGCCGGTATCGTCTGTACCATGGCAGGCCAGATGGTGTCCGAAGGTATGCTTCATTGGACGATCAAGCCATGGTTGCGCAGACTCATCACCCGTTCAATCAGCATTGTTCCCAGTATTGTCATTGCTGGTGCCATTGGTCGTGATGGTCTCAACAAAGCTCTGACCGCTAGTCAAGTCTGTCTCAGTGTCATTTTGCCCTTTGTCTCGGCACCCTTGATCTGGTTTACCTGTCGCAGTCACATCATGACCGTCCACACTTTGGAGGGCGAACAACGTGGCCAGGAATTCAACATGCGCAACAACTGGTTGACTGCCGCTCTCGCTGCCCTCATCTGGCTTGTCTTGGTCGTCATGAACATTGCCCTACTAGTTCTGGTTGGGCTTGGCAAAGCCTAAACTCCTCGACGAGTAGAAGGGAGAGAAGGATGCCGACCAAGACAATGTGCAATATCGCTGGGATATTCAAGGAGACGGATCGCCGTAGAGTTGGCCATACAAGGTGACGCGAGGAAGAGAGACGAGAGGAAGGGAGGTGAATAGGTAAGGTGTCGTAGCTCCACATAGCTCCACTGCCGCATCAAAGATTAGAGTAGAGTAGAGAAGTAGTCGATACAAAGCAATACACCGCGCTCATTTGTCAAGCTTTTGCAACTGGAGAAGACTCAATCTCTTCACTGTCCGATTTCTTCAGCTTGCTTTTTGCTTCATCGCTTAATTTCTCTGCCTCATATCGTGTCGACTCAGGCAGCTGACCCAAATTCTTCATCTTGTCGAAAAACCAAACTCGAAACTAGAAGCATCGAATGTCAGTCAGTCATTCATTCACTCATAAACCAATACTCGGGAAACAAACATACTCCATCAAACGGCGTTCCCTCTCCATGTGCCGGTTCCAGAAAGAACACAAAGTATAAAATCGTCATCGTAATCATCGTCTGCTGCAGGATCTTAATACTTTTATTCCAAGTGGGCCGCGCCCATTTCAGCGCCGCACGTCTCCGATACGTCTTCTCAAAATGAAATTGTCGTTTTGGATCCAACTCTCGAAAGTCAGGCGGCCACTGCTTGCGCGCCCGGTACGGGTTATTATTTACGTGGAAAGGTGCGGGCTTGAAATTCGATTTCGGTACATGTCCAAAGAGCGTTTTGACCCACACCCAGAACGTGAGCTTAGAGCCGGGAATGTCCATCGGCATACCGCGCGACGCTCGTGGGTGAGCCCAAGTAGGCCGAGGGGCTCCGAGGGTATGGGAGTGTGAGGATGAGTTGTTGGTTCCTTTGCGGTTAGAGGGGAATTGGCGGGTGAAGTTGGAGGGCGAGTATGGAGAGGAGGATGAGGAGCTTGAAGCGTGGCGGTAGATGGGGAGGTTAGGGCGATGGGTTGTAAGCCCGGATCGGCAGTGTCGCTGGAATGCCATTGCTCTGGTAGCTTGTGTCGTTGTCGACATGGTGGGCAAGCCAGCGAGCAATTGGCGGGCTCATGAGTGTAGAGGTCCTTGTGGTCCGATGCGAATTATTTCCTGAATATCAAATGTCATACTGAGACTAATGCTCCGCTGTTGAGAACAGTCACGTGAAAGATAGGGCGGATTGTAATATCCAATACGCATGACATCATCATCCACGTGATTCCTCCAAATGCCTCGGTCTTTTCCATCTAAACGCAGCGTCCGTGTCATTCGCGCACATGCATTCAGAAACACCGACACCGACACTGTATCCATGGTAATCCATCCCATGGTCTCTTGGGACACTAAAATCTCAGCCATGTTCGAGTAATCATAAATCCTTTCCACTCTGCTCTTCTTCTTCTCTTCTATATTCCACATCTTTGACTCATCCAATCTGACCTGTACCGTTCTCATCCCCTCACAATGGCACAAGGTAATTTCCACCACAACCGTTGATCCCAAACAGATCCAGTCCTCCTCTTCTCGTTTCTGACAGCCAGCTAACATGATCTTCCAGCACCAAACAAAGCACAAGAACGACTATCCCAAGTCTCTTCCCAATTGACCGGCGGCAACCCTGCTCAAGCCCTTCTCCAGAAATCTCCCGATGATGTCGTTGTCACATGCGCACTCCGCACTCCTTTCACCAAAGGTGGCAAAGGTCTCCTGAAAGACACCGCTGCCGCAGACCTCCTTGCCCTGACCTTGAAGAACCTCATTGAACGCTCCAAGATCGATCCAGCGCTTGTTGAAGATATTGCCACTGGATGTGTATTGGCTCCAGGTGGCGGTGCCACTGAATACCGGGCCGCCGCCTTAGTGGCAGGGTTCCCTGAGTCCACCGCCGTCAAGGCCCTCAACCGTCAATGCTCCTCGGGTCTGCAAGCCGTTGTTGACATTGCCAACGCCATCAAGGCTGGCATGATTGAAATTGGTATTGGATCTGGTGTCGAGTCCATGTCCAGCCAATATGGACCAGGCGCAGTCACTGAGTTCAGTGATCTGCTGGAAAATCACATGGAGGCCGCCAACTGCAAGGTGCCCATGGGTGTCTTGTCTGAGCAAATGGCCAAAGACCGAAAAGTCACCCGTATTGATCAGGACACTTTTGCTGCAAGCTCATACCAAAAGGCTCTCAAGGCGCAGCAGGCTGGACTTTTTGATGAAGAAATTGCCCCTATCACAGTCAAATACACCGACCCCAAGACCGATGAGGAGAAGACCGTGACAGTGTCCAAAGACGATGGTGTCCGACCAGGAATCACAGTTGAGTCTCTGGGCAAGATCCGCGCCGCCTTTGCCAAAGATGGAACCATCCACGCCGGCAATGCATCGCAGGTCAGCGACGGAGCAGCGGCAGTTTTGCTCATGAAGCGATCGACAGCCGAACGACTAGGCCAGCCCATCCTGGGCAAATACGTCGCGTCGTCAATTGTCGGTGTACCGCCCCTATTGATGGGCATTGGTCCATGGAAGGCCATCCCCGTTGCCCTTCAAAAGGCCGGCCTGACCCCTGACAAGGTCGACATCTATGAAATCAACGAGGCCTTTGCCAGTCAGGCCGTCTGGTGTGTCAAGGAACTCGGCATTCCCTTTGAAAAGGTCAATCCCAAAGGCGGTGCTATTGCCTTTGGCCACCCCCTGGGTTGCACTGGTGCCCGTCAAGTCAGTACCCTGTTCACTGAGTTGAAGCGGACGGGTAAGAAGATTGGTGTCACTAGTATGTGTATTGGAACTGGAATGTGAGTTGCCTGCTATTTTGTCCCCGCCGTTCTCCCACCACGACATCGCCTTTTTCCTTCGAGTCTATACTGACCTGTCTTCTTCGTATAGGGGCATGGCTGCCGTTTGGGTCGCTGAGTAATTGACTGGCTATGTTTTGGGTATCTTATTCTTCATCTGTGTCATCTAAGAAATGCCATATTACGCTTGGCCTGCCTTTGAGGGCATTGGTGGTGTGAATCCATGTAGAAGAAATATCCCGGTTTGAAAAGTCAGATATTGGTATCATGCCCAACTCTGGTTCGATGGCTAGATCCATCACCATCATGTTATTAGAATCTTTCTGTGATTCAGCCATGGGGGTTACTGTGGACAAGTAGGAGCAAAGTATATCATGGCTCAGATGTAGGTCGTCGATTCTTGATTCTTGGGATCGCCAAGTACAAGTACAAGGATCTCTGAGATCATTCACAAATCACGTCAAATCTAAGCAATGGTCATGGGCAATTGCGAACCAAAAGGCCTTGCATTATTATTACCTAACTACCAATAATCACCTAGTTTACGAGGTTGGAAGTCATGCCTTCCGTTGTCCACCTGGCAGTTCCTTTTCCTTTGATATGGAGTTTTCCATTTTCACTTGCAGTGTTCACAGCATAGGAGACCGGCATGAATGTGCCAAAACCAGTGCTTGCTGTTTGCGATGTGACCATTGCAACCAGAGTCGACGATCCAGTACTTGTTCTGGAGGTAATTTGATTCATAAGACAAGCACAATGATTAGAGTCATAGGTGCTTGATGGTGAGAACGGAGATGACGAGAATATTAAAGATGATTTGAAAACATTCACACCAAGGGACACAGTTTGCAATCGCTCTGGAACATCCATGCCATAACTAGACTACCTAACCATTATTGTGTTTGATTAGATGTATTCTTGTCCTACTTTTGTGCTATTCAACCTAGAAGCTTCAGCTCAAGCTCAATATCCTTGTCGCTTCTTGGGCATATATGGCTCTTCCAAGTACTTGATATCTTCCTCACTCAACTTGACCTTGATGGCCTCGACTGCCTCATCAATTCTCTCCTTTGAACCCAAGCCAACAATTGGAGTAACATCTTTCTTGGACAATGCCCAGGCAATGGCCACTTGAGCCATACTCTTACCAATTTTCTTAGACACTTCCTCGACGCGGTTGATGATCTCCTCATCTACCTTGTCGTTGCGTGATCTGACCAGAAAATTCAGAAAAGCATCGGTCTTCTCACGAGTGGTGTCTCGACTGTTGTATGGACGGGTCAAGGCACCTCGTGCGACGGGGGACCATGGAACTAGGCCGACTCCAGTGTGGTTGCAGTAGGGTATCATCTCATTCTCCTCCTCGCGGTAGATCAGGTTATAGTAGTTCTGCATGGAGATAAATTTATGCCAGCCGTGACGATCAGCGATATTCTGCAGTTCTTGAAACTCCCATGCGGCCATGCTCGAAGCACCAATGTAGCGTACTTTACCAGACTCGACGACGTCGTTGAGGGCACGCATGATTTCCTCTCTTGGGGTGTCGCGATCCAAACGGTGGATTTGTAGGACATCAATATAGGTACCCAGTCTGGCAATACTCTTATCTACGGCGTCGAGGATATGCTTCCGACTCAGACCGATCTGGTTCACCATCTCGCCATCGTTGATGGAGACGGCGGAGATTGGTGCACCTGGAGTATCAGGAGTGACTCCAAAGTAGCATTTGCTGAGGATGACCAGATTCTCTCTAGGGATATTGAACTTCTTGATTGCCTTGGCAATGATCTTTTCGGATTGACCATGCGAGTAGACGTCGGCGGTATCCCACGTGCGGATGCCAACCTTGTAGGCATGTTCAAGCAGTGGCAACGAATCCTCTTCATTAAGGACCCATTTTTGCCATTCTGGTGTGCCATAGCTCATGGTTCCCCTGGGACGATTAGTACTCGTGGAAGCTGTCACGTGCTGCTGACTATGGTACGTACAGGATAACCTTGGAGACCTTCAGGCCAGACTTTCCGAGGTTGACGTACTCCATTTTTGGTGAACCAGGATTCTGAAGGGTATCGTGGGTAGAGGAGAGTTGAAGGAAGATGATATCGTAAGTGGCATTAATTGAGACGAGCGGATTTTATATAGTGGTGGAGATCGAAGAGTATTTTCGATGGCCAAAGAACATACCAAGACGAATTAGGACGTTGTCTCCACCTAGCTCAATGTCGAAATATCACAATGATTATTGAGAACTGGATGAAGTTGTGGGTGGTATGTTGTTGAGACACGGAGTCTGTAATCGGCTTCTGTTATCTCCACGCCTGCCTCCCCGCATCATACTGGGAAGGCAAGAACGACTCACTATCGCCGAAGCACAATCCACAATGACTCATTCTACCTCGGCTTTAAGCTAAAGACCTTCCCGCTGGCAGGAGATTCCAGTGAGAGTTAAGTCACTCAGTCACGTTGTACTTTGCATGATCCCTAAGCAAGGACAGTCTCAGGTATACAGTATACGCACACGTGTAAACTACAGGCCTGATGGGTCCTCCCGGCCGCTTAAGTTGCCCCTTCTAGTTGTGCGATTGCCAACCCTTGATGCGCTTTTCTCGTGCGTCTACTGGCCAAAGTTCAACGTCCCTTTCTTTGACACCGTTTCGAAATTCTGTACTTGTATACTTCTCTATGGTCCAACCTTTGGATAAGAGGTATATGAAGATGTGTTTTTATTCTTTTTTAGCTGTACGTCCTGCTGGGCAATGTGACAGAACGTGATGATATTGCCACACTTGAATTCGTCCTTATTCGTGGTCAAAGGGCTTCAGTGTGTTTGGAGACCCTATCATTCTTTCTGCTTCTATCATGCCAGAATTTCACTTTAGCGACCTCAGCTCAACCCCTATCCAGACGAGATCAACCCTCACGTCGGCGTCAAAGGTTGATTCATCTCGATATCAAATCAAGGTTGGTCGACAATGGTCTTTATTGTGTCGAGTTGTTATTGTTCTCATGAAAAGAGGTTGTGTCATTCATTGTTGGACAAAAAAGGGTCAAGGAAGAAAAATGAAAAAGTTTGTGGCCTTACAAGCCAATAACACAATGATCTACGAGAGAGTTCAGGCACTAGCCACCAAATCCGCCGCTAATGCTGCTGCTGCTTTTGTCCTTTCCACTTGTCATTCTGCGTCTGACTATAGGTACTTTCACGATCGTTGGTGACCCATGAATGGCGACCGGCAGAGCTTCCCCAGCCATGAGCACCCCAGATAGCGTGAATGACCCGAGAGGTCCTCATTCACGTCCACGTTCTCGTCCACGTCCACGTTCACGCCTTGCTTGCTCTCGTCCTCGTCAACAACACGCAGTCTACGCTCAGAAGCGTGTTGAACCAGGCAGAATCTCCCTGCCAAGCCTTTACTCGCACCTCCCCTTTCCCCAAACCACTCTTTCCCCAGATCTGTTTGTTGTCAACTCTTCATCCAGTCTCTGCGAGATCTCTCAAACCAACCTGACTTCTCGTTCTTCAACTTTGTCTCCTTCATCTTGCACTCATCAAGACTCTTGCTTCTCAACGTTCGAGCCCCCCTTTCCATCTCCTACCCACATCCCTCATTCGCCCTCGAGCTTAGTCTCCTCTCGCTCATTCCTAGATCCCCCTCTGGTCGTTCATCCTTCCTGCGAAACCATGAGACATACCAGGAAACAGGACGTTGACGCAGCCGCGCCACTGCCCCCAGGTTACGTCTGGGCAGCAGATTTTCAAGAAGAACGAAGATCACCTCCCACCCACCTTACAATCATCTTTCGCAAGACCCTGGTCTTTGGTATGCCGAAACCTGATGACTGGGATGCCATGGATCATGCAACTCAGATGAAGTCTAAACGAGGTTTGTTCCCCTCTCCTTCCTCCCTTTACCCTTTATCACTCACTAACCTTCTGTCTAGATTACTTGTGCCATCGATGGGGCGAGGACAGCTTCACATTCGAAGAAGACCCGGTGTCTAAACGCAAATTCCACGGCCGTATACGAGTCGAACAAAACAATTATTACGCCACCTTTGAAGATCCTACTTTTGAGACCCCCAACTTCGATGAGCAGTATCGCATCACCACCAGGCTCCTGGAAAACAACACCAAGATTACCGACGATGTCTCCTTCTACGACTTCAAAAAAGCCCTTGAAAAGGCAGAATCTGCAACAGCAGTTGAAGTGCACGCTCCTGAGAACTTTCTTCAACAAGAAGACCCGGCTGTCCTCCTTGCTGCGCTCCTGCCTCCGGCCAGTGTCCGACAAAGCATCCCAGAGAAGCAAAAGCAAACTGCGCCAGCCACGCTACCTGTCAAATCGAATCAAGTCTTCCATCCACTTGCTGCTAGTCTCTCCAGTAAAACAGCTGGCGACAGATCTGGCAAACGTGAAACAAAGGCCGTCGCCCCAGTTTTGGATACGCCTGCTCAACTACACAATGTTCCTACCAACATTCCCAGATCACAAGCAGCGATAATGGAGAGAATTGGCGTCACGGCGTCCACTTGCAGATTAACTTCTAACGACAAAGCTGCACAGAATCCTCTTGAACCAATTTCCAACAAGAGAAAACGCACAATGACAGAAATGTACACCCATGTCAATGCATCTGTCCCCACACCACTTCCTGAAACCCTTGAACAACTTCCAGAACCACCAGTCAAAAAGCCAAGAACCAAAGCATATACAGCACCAGCAACTCATCCACCTGCCCCTCCTCCGAGGCCTGCACCAAACAACCTGACAGTCGCACCGAAGCATGTTGTTCCACCGAACAGACAGACGCCAACCTCCTCAACAGCGACTGTCCAACTGCCACCAGGAGGCCGCTTGAACACGAACATGCATGACGTTCACAGTGCGTCGGCAGCTCCAGCCTACGGACCTATGGGCTACGCACCCCCGATGCACCGGCCCTCACCTAGTTTGGAACCGAGGGCCCTAGGCTCCCCATTCCAACATGCTGGGCCGATGGCGGGCCCTGATTCAACACCAACTGCTGCTGTCTATTCACGAGCCAACCAGCCTCCAAGTGACTTTGCTATGAATACTGATGGGGTCTTTCAGACACATCATCGACCGATGCCTGTCCTTGCAACCGATCCCCAAGGCAATTTTCCGGCATACGCCTATAGCTCATATGCCTTTCCCACGAATGCTTACGGCGGCTTCTCACAAAGGTATCGACAGCCCACGTCTGCTATGGTAGCGAATCCTCAGGGTATCTTTCCGGTGTGCCCAGGATTCACACCTGCCACCACAGTCAGTGCCTACAGCCAGTCTCCACTCTACCACCACAACTCGCCTGCACCTATTGCAACTTCCCAGGGCTGGACCGAGCCAGATTCAACCCCACGCCTTCAAAATCCCTCCATTGCCCAGCATCGATCAATGGGCAGGGAGATGATGCAGGCCCCCATCAACCAAAACCTCACAAGTGCGCTACGTCCGAATGGTCAACCTAAACCAAGACCGCATGCAATGAATGGCCAAGGTCCAATCGATCATCAGGACAACAATGACAAGCTCCAGAATGACCGCAGAAAATTCTTGCAGGGCCTGTCCCAAAGGCTCTTCGATTTGAGCAAATCGAAAAACATTACCTTTGAAAGCATCATTGAGTATGTGTTTAGTCTTCTCCGGCCCTGCATCGGAGAAAATCGATACAAAATCGACGTCAGTTCAGGCGACCATTGGAACTGCTTTTGTACCGCATACACTCAGTTCTGCCTGCAGCTACTCTCCAAAGACCCTCAACTGGTAGCCAGACGCGAAGAGGTTCGACAGACCGGTTCGAAAACATCGGAGTTGGAGCTCAAACAAGCCCTTCACAAGGCTGGACTTGCTAAGTGGGTCCAGGCAGTTGAGGCCACAATCAGAAAGCTCACTGCCATGCCATCGCGAGTGTGACTTTGGAACCTGTTGGTTGGATACATTTTCATTTTGCAGAGATGACTGGCAAGGAGTGTTACAGGCAGTGCTTTAAGGTGATCAGTGGTGATGATGTTGCTGGTGGAGAGACTGAATAGGTGGGAACCTACCATAGAATATCACCTCAAAGAGATATCTATGGTATTGACGAACCAAAAGAGTATAGCATTGGATTATTATTGAGATCAAAGGGCGAGATATCGCCGACTTCAGCCGTACCAAATGTTTGTGCAGTCAAAGTCGTACAATTGGAGTCTTGAAGTCTCGAAGTCTTGGAGACGTCGGGTGGCGGGACCATCGATTAGTCAAAGTCATGAATAAACCTTGAGATAACAGAAACTCCTCCACTTTTTAGCCGGGGGTGGAACCATGCATCTCTGTCCCACTCCCACCTTTGGGCCATTTCGAACAACTGTCATGCAGAGAGTTAGACGTGGTTGTTCGACTCTCTGTGTGGTGTGTGCTCAAAAGTCATACCGACCTGTGCCCAATTCTTATCGTTTCAAGGTCACCTGATGTTCATCTCAACACCGTCATTGTCTGTACGAACGTACAACCTCTTGTGAATAAACCGAGATACAAGACTTCTGTACGTTTGTTAAGAAAGGACAAACACTTACAAGTTTTGGCTCTTAAACCGGCCGCGTGGACAAAGAAGCACATCTTTCACGACTTTACCGCCATCAACTCCCACTAAAGAACCCATCGACAATATGACTATCGCACAGGCTCCCCCCATCTTGGACTTCTCTGGTAAGATAGTTGTTGATCTAGTCTTGGCATGTAACCGCTAATAGGCATCAAGTATTCTATGGCGACGATGAGGTTGCCAAAGCCAAGTTGGTTGAGGAGGTCAGAAAGTGCTGTTTGCACAACGGATTCTTCCAGATCACAGGTCATCGTGTTCCAGCCGAATTGCAACAAGACCTCCTCAAATGTGTAAAAGAGTTCTTTGCTCTTCCACAAGAAGAAAAGGAAAAGGTTCTCAAAGGTGTGCAATCCTGGTCCGTGGGCGGCGGCAACAACACAAACCTGACTCTCGACAGATAAAAACACCTGGAACAGAGGCTACGAAAAGATCGGATCCCAGATTCTCGAGGCTGGCACCTCCCCAGATCTAAAGGAAGGCTACTATATTGGTGAAGAAATCAGCAAAGATCATCCTTATTTTGTACAGAAGAAGTTGAACAGCGGACCCAACTTCTGGCCTGAGGGACTTCCCAATGTCGAAAACTTTCGAGAAACATCGATGCGATATTACAGAGAAATGCATGCTTTGGCAAGGGATGTGCTGGTTGTCCTCGCTCAGACCCTAGACCTCGACCCTGAATACTTCAAAGGCTTCACCACCGACGCTGTGGCTACACTGAGGCTGCTGCACTATCCACCACAGTCACCGGATTCCGATGAAAAGATCTCCAGAGGTATTGGCGCACACACTGATTTCGGATCTGTGACGCTGTTGATGCAAGACGAGGTTGATGGTCTTCAAGTTTACGAAAAAACCACGAACGAGTGGCTCGATGTAAGTCATTGCCCAAGTAATCCATCGTCCCTGAGAAGCAACTGACCTAGGTCTAGGTTGAACCAATTAAAGGTGCCTACGTGGTTAACTTGGGCAACATGTTCATGAGATGGTAAGAAAAAATACGTCTATGACCCAGTAGCTATAGTTCACCGCTAATCATCCTTAGGTCCAACGACAAGTACATCTCCAATCTTCACCGAGTCATCAACAAGTCTGGAAAAGAGCGATACTCGATCCCATTCTTCTACAGCGGTAACCCCGACTACGTGATTGAATGCCTTCCTAACTGCCGGAAAGAAGGCGAACCAGCCAAATATCCTCCCATCACGGTTGAAGGTGCAGTTGGAGGGAGTTACAAGCAGAGCTACGGTGCTGCAACCGCGTTCAAGTCATCACTTGCCACGGCGGCGCCAGGTCCTTCTGCGGTCACGGCATAAACTTGTTGCTTGTCCTATATTCTGCTGTATGCGCAGCGGTGTCCTTCTGGCCCATTCCTATCGCTACAAGGAGAACCAGTGGTAGTTTTTATTAGCGTCATGTATCAGTGGTTTATGAAGCTTCATTCTTTTTTGATATTGCGACAAGAACTGCATCTACATCAAAACTTCCATAGGTTCGCTTAAAGTGACAATTCCCGTGACCCATGCGCTTCTCTCCCCACGTTCTCATAACGCTACACGTTGGCACAGTGTACTATGATAACTAGTGTCTCACAATGTTCTGGAAAGGCACAATACCAGTCTAGAACACTGTGGCACCACTATATGCCTCGGTCTCAATCGACGAGGCCTAGATGTTATTGACCAGGAGTCTCCGCCCACCTTTGTCAAGCGCCTCCGAACCTCGACCGGTCAAGGGGGAGATCAGTAAACTTTGATGATCACCCCCCCATCTTTGGTTCGCCCTCGGGAAAAGTAACCCCGTGCTGCGACCGTCCAAAATCAAGCATCCAGAACAAGCATCACCTTACCCGTGCCCATCCCCGCCTCTTTGGCTTCATCCAACCACCGCCCGTCATCCCTGGAGCGACTTACTCCGTGCGCATACGTATATGCGTATGCACATGTTGGAGTGTGGAAGGATTTTACATCCCTGCTGCAGATAGGGAAATACACACACCAAACTTTGATAGGATTATCGCAGGATTATCGCTTAAACACAACTTACTTCACAGTAGGAAAGACGCCATTCGCACAGATGACTGCAGACAAAGAATAAACACTATAAGTGTCATGACCAACCTCTAAACCATCGCAAGTCCAACTACAATCTCCCTGCTTGACTCCAAACCTCCACGGACTGCGTTGCGATTTTTATAAAGACTCCAAGATGTCTGTTGAGAAGAAGACCGACGAAGAGATCGGCACCGCTCCCATACGGGTCGAGTCCGGCATCACAGGAACCATGGAGAAACTCCGCGACTCTGATGATGAGGCCAATCGAGAGTTTTACGGCAACTCCATCACTGATTCATACCGTCTCAAGTCGGAGCTTGTTAGCAAGTGCATGGAGGAAATCGGTATGGGGCGCTATCAGTACGAACTCTTTGTCGTGACGGGATTTGGATGGATTACAGACAACTTGTGAGTGGTCTTAGGACACGTCCGAGGGATTAAAAAAAGGGGAAAGGAAAGATTGCTGATGTTCAACCATGACAGCTGGTCTCAGGGAATCGGTACCATTCAACCTGCAGTCAGGCTCGAGCTGCCTAATGTCACCCGTGTCGCATACAGTTCCATCGCCTACTACGTCGGTTTGATATGCGGTGCTTCCTTCTGGAGTATCTCTGCAGATTTCATTGGCCGCAAACCCGCCTTCAACTTTACACTGCTTATTGGAGGTATCTTTGGTCTGGCTGTAGGAGGGGTGAACAATTTTATCGGGTTTTGTGTCATGTGGGCCATCATTGGTACTGCCGCCGGCGGTAATGTGCCCGTCGATTCAATGATCTTCCTTGAATTTGTCCCTGGAAGCCACCAGTATCTGCTCACAGCATTGTCTGCCTGGTGGAACTTTGGGCAAGTCATCGTTTCGCTGATCGGTTGGGTCTTTATCGCCAACTTCACCTGTCCAACAGGTTCTACACCAGAGACGTGCCGCAGGGAAGACAATATGGGCTGGTAAGTAAATGACACCCTCCACTGTTTGTTTTGTCCTAGTCGTTGGTGTCTAATTTCTCATCCACAGGCGCTATGTCATGTTCACACTCGGATCGTTGGCCCTGTCCTTCGCTTTTATCCGCATGTTTATATTCAAGATGCCCGAGTCGCCACGGTATCTCTTATCGAAGAATCGGGACGCTGAGGCCGTGGAGGCTGTCAATTATGTGGCCAGACGAAACGGCAAGCCTGAGCCCCTGAGGCTGGAAATGCTGCAAGAGATCGATACAAACTTAGGTGTTATCGTCAGTCCTGAGGAGTCAGGCCGACAGGGACTCAGCAGGAAACAGATTCTGAAAGAGAATCTGAAAGACTTCAAATCCACCAATTTCAAGAACCTCTTCGCCACCCGCAAACTCGCCCAGCATACCACCATCATCTGGATCATCTGGCTGACTATTGGGTAAGCAAGCACTACTCCCTTCTCACGCGTGGCAAGAATGCGTTTTTGATAACCGCTTTTGATCTGATCAACTAATTGTTGCTTGTGTCTATTCCTGTAGTATTGCTTACCCTCTCTACTTCAACTTTCTCCCGACATACCTCGCACAGAAGTTCACCAACGATGCATCCTTCGACCAGACATATCGCAACTACTGTATTGCATCTGCAGTTGGAGTTGTAGGCCCATTGGCCGCAGCCTTTGCCGTACAAACACGTCTGGGTCGCCGGTACATGATGGGTATCTCTGCCATTATCACTGGCGTGTTCCTCTTCTCCTACACGGCTGCTCGTTCTCCAGCAGCCGACCTCGCTTTTACATGCATCAGCGGACTATGGGGCAATTTTGGTGAGTCTACACCCCTTCCACCAGCAATCGAACCCCGCAAGAGATTCAGACAAGACGGGATTTCATTTCAAGGTCTAACTCATTTGCTCCCCTGACAGAATACGCCATCATGTACGCGTTCACACCAGAAAGCTACTCCGCCCCCCACCGTGGATTGGGCACAGGTATGGCAGCCACGTTACTGCGATTTGGTGGGCTCTGCGCCAGTCTGATTGGCACGTTCTCGGACTTTACAGTCGTCCCCATCTATGTCTCTGCGGGCATGTGGATGGGAGTGGGTGTCATTGCTTTTGGCCTGCCCTTCGAGACCCAGCAGCACGCAGCCATATAGACCTGGATTCCAGCAATAGTGGGCACTCAGAGTGTCTCAGCAGGAGGGGTGGGCAGACCATCGGTAGGATTACCCACGAAGCCAAAGTGGAGGAACGCGAGAGTGAAGCAGCTATCATATTTGTTATATCCCTATCTTAGTCAGCGATCTCGAGGTGTTTTAGATTGAGGTCTGTCGTCGCAAAAGTGGTGCCATAGAATATTAGACACTCTTATTCAATTCAAAGGTGGTGGCTGTAATGAAGTCTGTCTATCTAAGCTAAGACATCTCCCATGAGAGAGGATGAAACAACTGCTGAGGAGTAGGCAGGCCAGCCCAGCTGGCTCCTGCCTACTCCTCCACTCCCGCTCCTGCCTAGCAAGTGCAACGTCCCTGGCGGCAGGAACGGCCTAACAGTGGCACAGAGAATGAGGAATTGGAATTCCTCGATACGATAGCTATAGAAGGTGCTTAGCTCGCCCAAATCCTCACGACTAGTAGAGAGAAAAATGGCGGAATACGAGAGAAGTGCATCTCAAAAGTTCGATAAGAGAGTAGTTACCCATTGTGTGTTATCGTCAGCATTTCTTCTTCTGCTATTGAGGCATTTATCAACCTGTGCGATCTTGTTTATCTCTCGCGACTCCCGGGTGACAGAAAGATAGGAGGATGGAGGGCATGTGTGGACGTATGCCTTGGACTGCACTGCACAGTAAGAAGCCAGCCACCACAGCATATCTTCGCTGAAGCCGTGTTGGCGACTTTGTACGGCTATAGTAGAGGCCACCCAGGAGGCGTATGAGTCCTACTATAGAGATGTCTAATTAGGTACTCTTGGGTGGGGAGGTCAGGACGATCTATACCGGCGCCCCTTTGCTAACAGCCGGTCCAGTTAGCCGAAAGGGGCCATGGAGGTCGAGTTAGGAATTATGGTCGTTACGCTAGACGAGTCATTCATCTCGCTATAGGCTATACGTATACCTAGTAAAGTCGCTGTGTGGTGTGACTGATAAGCGCTTGTATAATCGATTTGATGTTGTACAAGGCGTTGGCTTGTTAACCAATGAGAACCCTCAGCCTCGGTAGATACACCTGTCGTGACGATTTTGGCTGTAAAAGCGCATGAGTGGATTGTTTCAAGGATGGGGGAGAGCCGATAAGAGCAGGAAAGTCTTATCCTAACATATTCGTACAAATGCAAGGCGGCGTAGGCGGATGGGTTGAGTTTGACCTTGACAGTGGAGCATAGAATCAAAGTTCCGAACAGGCGCATTCGCAGTGGCTGCGTTGATAGTTATCTAGCCATTCGTAGTCTAGAGTCTGGATTCAGGAAGATCACTTAAACCTATCATGGGGGTTTGAGAACCGCCATTTACCCACCGGAAACTCTCCGATGTCATCTCACCCACCTTGCTTTCGACGGAGAAAACACATAAATCTCAAGGACATCCTATCTCCTGAAGATGTGGCGTAAAAAATGTGTGGCCATGACCCATCTTGGCGGACAGGAATTCGATTCTAGTTCATCGCTGGAAGAAAAGAAGCCACCTCCCGCCCGCCCATTGGTCTTCTCTCACTCCGTCTTGGGACCTATGGACGGGTTGGGGATTGGGCTATCTGGGTTACTTATTTAAAGGGCGGAAATGTGCACCGACAGAATGTTGCCAAGTCTCGGAAAGGCTCTGACGAATGTAGTTGAGTATAGATACGTAACTTCTCTTATCGGGAGTATCAGGGTGGAGAAATCTTGCGATAAGTGACTCGTCACGACCGTCTGAGTCATGATACACACACACAAACTCACACAATCCGTACTACTGCTGCGCTCAACATACCCATGGGTTGAGTCCCAAGAAACGTCTAGTACTCATTATGGACCCCTTCCAAAAACAGCCTCTCCCATCTCGGACCCCCACTCTTGCGTTTATCCGGCCATGTGCGCACCGCGTTGGCAGCAAGCAACACGGCTGATCTCTCGCCTGGCCCAACCTTCTCCTGGGCATGTCACCCGTGCACTAGAGCCCTGAATCCTCTAGTTCCTACTGAATGGACCAAACTGCAACCAATGTCGTTGGACTCGCCGCTTGATAATCCTCTGATACCGACATTTAAGGTGGGTCTGGGGCGGCATCCAAGCCATCAAGTCTGGCCTGGCTAGCCAAGTATCTATCAATCTATCTATCTATCATCTAGAGATGGAATCATTCCTGTACATATAATAGACCATCTTGCTATTGTCTATGAACCTCTTCAGCTCTGCAGCGACGCAAGAAACGTCTCAAGGTACACAAGCACTGTGACTTTCGCCAGCAGGGACCAAGTCAATTTTCGAAGCCTAATTCTCTTGTAACGACAGACACCATGGAGAAATCTATCACCCCGACCACCGACAAGGCAATCCCGTATGATGAGAAGACAAAGGAATCTACCGAGAATGGCTCAGTCTTGCTTGCAATCGACGCTTCGGCGGAAAAGTCGTACCGTAAGAGAGGCCACCGTCATCTATGATCGGCCCAGGCTAACAGTTGGACTCTTTAGTTCGCAAGCTCGACATGTATCTACTTCCATATCTGTCTTTGGTAGGTGGGAGAACTGCTCTACAAAAGTCACCTTGTGGTTTTGAACTATGCTAACACCGACTCGCGCAGATGTACTTCTTCAACGCCATTGATCGTGTACGTTCCCCATCATGCTAGAGGCTCCAATTTTGACATTTCGGACGCATCAACTGACAAAAGGACGACAGAGCAACTTGGGAAATGCAAAGACGGACGGCATGGATGTTGACATGAACTTCGTCGGCAACCAGTACTCGCTGCTGATTCTGCTGTTCTACGTTCCTTTTGGTCTGATGGATCTGCCATTGAACTTGCTCACCAAGCGCTTCTCCGGAAAGATCATGCTGCCCACTTTGATGGTCGGATGGGGATCCATGGCCACCATTCAAGCAGCCGCGGTCAACTTCGGCGGCATGCTGGCCCTGCGACTTCTGCTCGCTTGCTTCGAAGCTGGTTTCTACTGCGGTGTGGTTTTCTATCTCACTCTTTTCTACACCCGTGGCGAATTGGCTTTCCGCATCGCCATCTTCTTCGGTAGCGCCTTGCTCGCAGCTGCCTTCTCCGGTTTGTTGTCCTACGGCGTCTTCCAAATCGACCATCCCACCATCCACGGTTGGCAATGGCTCTTCATCATCGAGGGTCTTCTCACCGTCATCTTCGGCGTCATTGCCTACTTCTGGCTCCCCGCTCACCCAGAAACAGCCTGGTTCTTGAACGACCGCGAACGTGCTGGCGCCCGCGCCAGAGCCCTCCGAGATTCGTCGCGCAAGGTCAACACCGCCTTCAGCTTCAAGGCCGCTTTCGAGACGTGGAAGTCGTGGAACTTTGCTCTCTGGATGCTCATCTGCTTTACCTACCCCGTGGCATTTGCGACTACTTCCAACTTTCTTCCTCAGGTGAGTTTGGTCACATGATTTTTCACACTGCGAAAGCCGAAGGAATCTCCGTTTCTAACATTGTTTATCTCTAGATCGTACAACGTCTGGGCTACTCCGTCATCAAGACCAACCTGTGGACCGTGGCGCCCAATGCCACTGGTTTCGTTGTCCTCCTCTGTGTCTCTAAGTCATCCGATTACTTCCGCGAACGGACGTTCCACATCATCGGGGCTCTGTCTCTGTCGCTCGTGGGCATGGTGATCCTGGCCGCCATCGACGCCCTCAACAACAAAGGTGTCGCGTACTTTGCCTGTTTCCTGATGGCCAGTGGCGCGTACATCCCGTCCGTGCTGGTCCATTCATGGCACAACAACAACGACTTGGACGAAACATCTCGAGCTGCCCGAACGGGTCTCCTAGTCGGCCTGGGTAATTTGGGAGGCATCATCTCCGGAGCCACCTTCCGAGTCGAATATGCCCCATCTTACTGGCCTACTCTGGTCGCCACCGCTTGCTGCAACGGTGTCTGCATCATTTCCGTCCTCACCATGGGTCTATGGATGAGACGCGAGAACGCCCGCCGAAACAAGGCTCAAGGTCGTGTTCTCAAGGCCGAAGATGTCGATACCGATACCCTCCAAGACGGTGAGAACTCACCTGATTGGAGATACTTCATCTAGATGTGGTGGTCCGTCAGTCAGGACGGTCGAATCAGAAGCGACCCCGGAGGTGTAGCCCATGGGTCACTGAGCTGTGGGTTAGAATGGGGGACAGTATATACTTTTTATTGTGTGCCCACTCTTACAGTGGTGGAAGAGGACTCGCTCGGCCTGTCCTGTGGGAGCAAACAGGAACACTCCTCGCAAGGGGAGTGGGGAGGCGAGGAGTCTCAGCTAGATCTGACTTGCAATTTTATGGAGAGCCATGATCGAGGAACACTCGTACTTGGTTCGTTACAGCCCACTCGTACAGACAGACTCTCTGGCGGTCTCCCCACTTCTCCTCATTTCCTCGTAACGAGCGCTATGTTGTCGCGCATTTTCTTCCAATAACAGCACGAAAGTTAATTATACGGTTGACCTTGGTCTGGGGACGGAGGATAGAACTTGCGGTAGCCAAGATTCGTCATCTGGGGAACTCCTATGCGAGTACGTAATCGTGGATGCTAGGAGCTGGAGGTGTCCCGCAACGATGAGTGGATTGGTAGCGACAACATGTACAGCAAGAATGACCAGAGTTAACATTCAACCATAGTTAAGTAGGAAAAGTCGGGGTCCATCATTGGCGACATGTTCCTTGCGTTTAGTGTTGACCACAAGAAGTGCGCCAAAGTCTCAATCACCGTTCCTTTCTGCTCAATATGTTTCTCTACGATGCGCAACACTTCCCTTTCAATTCGATTGATACCCATCGATGACGACTATCCTCCCTCGAGAGATATTGTCCTGTGAAAAGCCAACATCATTGTGGCTTGAATCAGTTCAATGCTGAAATTCGTCGGATGGTAAGACCCGTCTCGGGGCATTGCGGAGTTTCATTTACCCGCAAGATGTGGGATGGCATCTCGAAGAAACTAAATTATCCGCTAAAGACACGACAGGCGGTGACACACTCATCTCCCAGTTCGGAGATTACATCACATCTACTAGTTTTCGTCCTATGTCTCTTTTATTTACACTGCTCGGGTACGATCGTCAGAACAGGCTCTCCACAAACACCGCGACGGGCATTCTCCATCGCACATGCCTCCATCTTGGCTAGTGTTTCCGTCGTGTGAGTGCCTAGATGAGGAATCAACAATGCGCGGTCATTGTTTAGTAGCTTCTCATGCACCGCGGGCTCTTTCTCATAAACGTCAAGGCCAACTGCTGCGATATGGCCCTCGTCCAAGGCTTCCGCCATGGCTGCCTCATCTATGATAGCTCCCCGAGCTGTATTGACTATGACCATCCCAGGCTTCATCTGTGCGATTTGTTCTTTCCCGATCAAGTGTCTCGTAGCGGATGATAACGGCACATGGATCGAGATAATGTCGCTCTTGGACAGGAGCTCTTCAAATGTCACATATGCTGCCCCGCCAGCTTTTTCGACCGGGAGAGGCCTGCGGTTGTGATATACTGGCTTCAAGCCGAACGGCAGGGCCCGCTTGACCACCGCTTTCCCAATACGGCCCATACCTAAAATCCCCAGAATCTTGCCTTGTGGGTCATGGCCAAACCCAACTCCCTGCTTGAACTTGCCTTCGTGGATAGCTCGGATACCGGGTTGTAACTGACGAAGAGCCCCAAGTAGCAGAAACATTGTCAAGTCCGCGGTTGCCGCTGTGACCGGGTCTGGAGCATATGTTACGGTGATATTGCGCTTAGTGCAAGCGTGGACGTCGATTTGATCGTATCCAGCCCCATTGTGACAGATATATTTGACGGATGGAGGGAGTTGGGATATGAACTGCGCATCGAAGTTGCCAGCAACCTTAGTCGCATAAGAGAAACAGTCCGAAGTGACCGGGAAGAGATATTACTCACTGTCCCGCTTGCAGATGTTCGATATATCGCATCGACGTCCTCGTACTTGCTCGTAATGTCTCGGAAGAACTCTTCACGAGACTTGCTGCTTACCACTTCCACGTTTGCAACCTTTTGCAGGGATTCGAGCTCCTTCAATGCATGTCGCACCGGGTTGAAACAGAGGACCCGCGGTTTTCGAAGCGCCATCATGATCGGGTTTTACTTGCTCCCGTCATGGAGAGCATGAAGCAGTACGAGATCATGTAGCGGCCTTTGGTCTGTTTATATTTGGACAATCACTTGCCTGCCGACAACAAACCGGTACGGCCAAGCTCGGGAGCGGCTAAACCTGTACAAGTTTATCCGCAACTTTGTATCGATGGTCCTGAAATCCGGTCTAGCCCGTCATAGAGACCAGTCCAGATCTGTTACAAGTTGCTGTAGAGAATCCCAGCCCATACTGTCAAGATATATGTCATCGAGGTTGCCTGTGTCTGCAAAAGTGTCCATTTGATGGAATGGATCGAAATCCGAACGTTCTTGGAGAGCTGCGGGAGCCATAGAGGTCGCTTGCTGATTCTGCCATGCTATGGATGCATCGGCATGAGACGGTGTCATGGGGTTATCAAGGATTGGTTGACGTTCTCCTGACTGACGTCCGTTTTCTCCGACCCCACCTATTGCGTTATCCGCAATGTCAGGACGAGTCATGTTGGCGGCTAGTAGGGAGTTGGGAGTGTCTTCTAGCCCGAGAAGTGCGCCCTCTGAGTTAGCATCTCTCCTCGTTGATAATCTTGTCCGTTTTCGCCGATGTTGAGAATTCTCCGAATTAGCGCTCGGACTCTTTGCATTGCTTGGTGTGTTTTCTGGGATCCCTCGTATTTCTCCCGCAATATTCGGCTGGGTGGAAGTTCTGGTGGAAGCTGCATTGGCGCCTGGATCTTGTGGCTGCTCAACAATGTTGTCAAGCAGAAGTGACAATACAGAACGGCAAGGGATGGCTCTTGACCAACGCTGGCTCATACTGTCGAGCAATTTGATAGCTAAAGATATGTCCCTGGATTCATATGTTAGTCTTGACTAAGTGAAATCGCTCTGTCACACCCGTACTTAGCAGCTTTGGTCTTGTTATACGCGTTGATGCGACCAGCAAACGCTATGACAAGTCCACTCATCCACACAGCGAGAAGATGACCAGGCCAGAATATCCGGAGCTGTCGCACCATGTGACCGCTCAAGATCTGCAGGATCGATTTTGCCGCTCCAATACACTTCTGCACAGCAGCCTGAAACTCTGCAGAACTGCGCTCCTTGGACAGAGCTGGCCGATTGACCAGTAAGACCATATGGTGGTAATATGTGGATAGGAACACGTTGGCAAAATATTCAGCAGATTGTTGGATATCATCAAGATCGAGGTTCGTTGCGAGCTGAGTCGAAGTCACCTCATATACCGAGCTGTTGGCCCACGCATCGATATCAGCTTTCAGACGTAATGCTCGTTCTGGGGACGCAGAGCGTACGTGAATCGAGCCATGGAATGTATCGACCGTCCGACCTAAGAATTGTGAGCCATGAACCCACTCGGCATGGAGAGACAGTAGGTCTGGTGCTGAGCTGACATGCTGAGATCGCTTCTCAGGAAGTGCTGTGTCTGGGTGGACGTCACACTGAACAGTGCTCGTTTGGGCTCGTCCAACCAAGTTCGTACGTCCCTCTCTATGTGTTGAAGATAAAGGCATGGCTGTGTCGTCGACCGAGGCTGAAGTTGCAGCTGAATTTCCACGCTGCATCGGTTCATGAAGTTCCTTTGTGCCTGGCAGACACACATCGATGTCTGCATCCTGGAGACCTAACGGATGACCAAGTGCCTGAGATAGGAATCTATCCAACACATATGCACTCCATATGACACGTTTGCGCATGTCCCGCTCCAGGCTTGTCAAACCAGGATAGCGCCAGGGGCATCGATGCAGACCAGCCTTCATGATAGATCGACTGATCAGTCCACCTGTGATCGAGGCCGCATGAAAAGACATTGTGGCAACAAAATACAGCTGGCAACTCAATAGGGCCTGGATTGAGGTCAAGCTGTCATTCATGGCGATGACAGCAAGATGTGGAAGCAGACTGTCACCAAAAGACCCACCATGTCCACATCGATTCTGCGTTTCTGTGTCCTCGAGAGCACCTATCTGTAACACACAAAGAAGAATGGTGTCCTTTGCCAGATCTTTACCAAGCTTTGTGTTGGAATTGCTGTTGTCCAAGTTCAATTCCTCAAGATCTGTCAAAAGGGAGGGAGCATGGATGAAAGGTATGAGAGACTGCCATGTCCGGAAATATAACTTGCAAAGCCTTCGAGCTGTAGGGTAATCAGGTAGGCTATCATGCAACAGGGTCGTTTGTCCAGAAGAAGAGACTCCTGATACACCTTCCCGCGGGGTTGTATGCGTCTCACTTCCATAGATCAATTCCGGGGACCATGATGACAATCCTGCAGGGTCAGGAGATGGTCCACGGTGCTGTTGACCTCTACTCAGGTCCGTCGCTGCATTTGAGAATGCATTTCGAACAGTCTGAACAAAGAAGACGCCGGATGAGCTGCCCACGAATTGGCTTTGGCCGTGATTGCGGGTCCAAAGACTTCCGATTTCTACCACGGCCGATGCGGAATTTTGCGACATCAGAGTACTCGACCTGACCTCAGCGGAATGTGGCTCAGTTCTGGCACTTGGAGAGGGCTCTGATGCTTTTCATCACTTCCATAGATGCTGGTAGTAAAAATGCAGACCGTAGACATGAAAATGGAGGCAGAGGCAAACGACGAAGATAAAAGCTGAGGCCCCAGAACGGCACGTGATGTCTTGGCATCTTGACATCTTCTATTTCTTTTGTGCGGCATTAAGATTAACCGCATGGTCCCAAGCCACCTTATTATGACCTTCTTGAGGCACCTCAGCGTGTAATGTGATCAAATTCCATTCTTTGATACCGAATGATTCCTTCAAAACATGAGCAGCGACTCCAGACAGAAGTCTAGCCGCATAAGGACAGCATGTCTGGCCTGCAGGGCTCGAAAACACAGGGTGAGCTACGTTTTGGTGTAATGCAAGCACAATGAAAGTAATACTCTACTAACTCGAGCCTGGAACCCCAGTGCAGTGGTGAAAAGTAAGCAGTGGTCCTTTGGGCAGCCCCAGAAAGCATTATACCGTCTCTGCCATTCCAATTACAAACTAATCATGGTCCAGGCCTCTCTGTATCCAATGCCGAGCACACAACACGCCCTGTCAGTGGCCACAGCCCTGCAAAAGGTGTGCAGTCAACAATAATTTAGCGCAACGATTTGTTTCGAGCGGTCATGTCAGTGATAAAGTGCCATCAACTAACGACTATATCGTGATAGGGGTCCGCAGAAGAAATTCACGAGTCGGCTGATTGCTCGGCTGATTGAGACTGAGGCAGTCCTGACGAAGCTCCTTGCTGTTGTGCCGGATGAACTGCTAGTGTTGTCCTTTAGAGAAGCGGCACCTCACCAGGACGGGCCAACTGTACGAACACAGACACAGAAATTGGGGATCGGCCAGAGACCTTCGACGGAAGACGGCTACGGATTGGCATATTGGGACAAGTTTCCCTTAGACTCTCCAGAGTCAGTGCGACAGTGGGAACGTGATAAAGCTGCAAAATCACTCGCCAGAGCACAGGATAGGGCCAACCCCGAAGGAGAGCAATTTGGTTCACCCCCACCAGCCCCCGAAGAAGACTCGACATATCCGCTGCCGCTTCACGATACACAGTCTCCAGAATCCATATTCACTGGGGCTTCAACGCCGGCCAACGAACCCGCTATTACAGACAGTTTGGTGAGCGCAAATGTCGCACCCGGCCAAAATCTACTACGTACGCGGTTCGAGGAAGATTTTGAAGCTCAATATGTATGGTAGTTGAAACTATACTTGATACATTCAACAATTCCCAATCGGGACTGTTGGGCCATTTCTGGGAAGGAGCGGCAACGACTACAACTACGACTCAGGGCAGGAGCCAGCTTTGTATGGGAAATCTGGTATCACTCGATTGATCACGTCGCCGCATGACTACTCTATCTGCCCATCTGTGGGAGCCAGAGTGCCGGCCCTGAACGACAGGGAGAAAGTGTCAGCATACTCGGGAAAATCTAGTTGAGAATGCCGGATAGAGGGCCGGTGGCCTGTGTATCGGCACGAATGAGCCATTTCTCAGGCTACTTGAACACCGAGATGAGTCAGCAACCAGAGATGCTCAGGTTGAAGTGGCGAGGGTCTGGGCACATTAATGTCCCAAGATGGGAATGGAAAGCACTCGTCTCGAGATTCCGACGTCGAAAATTCTGTTTCAATGGTCCTTGCCTGTACCGATTGAGCAGGAGTCGATTGATATTGATCACCTCCTTTCAACGTCACACACCCAGACCAAGACTCTCACACTCACAACCATCTTTAGTTTCCATTACAACCTACAATGTAATTATGACTCTGATAGAGACATCTATACTTGGCACCTTATTCAGTAGTCATCGTAGGCCGCTCTGAGCGAGCAAGTTCCTCGAGGAACAAACCGTTCGTCCAAGTAATAGTCCACTACCTGTATAGTGCAACGGGTAGGCTTCTGAAGCCATCCGCTCAACTTACAGGCAGTGGTAGTACCACTGACAAACAATAAATTGGCAGTCACTTGTGTGCGTCTGACACATAATTGAAACTCATGATCTTGCAAACGACCAGGCTGAAGAGATATAAATCGAGGCAGCACTCCTTTCTCCCCCTTGTCTCTCAATTATATACTCATTTCCATCACAGTAAAAGTCGTGCGATGTCTCATAAACTCAAAGGAAAAGAGGTAATTATGGTCTACTTGCATCTCTAGACCCCTCTGAGTCTGAAACCATGGAGCAGGTTGCAGAAACCTCCTCAGGCCAGTCCGCCACTCCCACGTCTGACGTTGAGGTCCAGTGGCACGGGAAGTACCTTAACCTCTGTAAATTCCCTCCTTTTGAAAGTCCTGTGCCGTCCCATGTCACAGTACAAGAATTAATCAGGGATTATCCGAATCATATCCGAGACGAGTATATAGATGAAATGATGCAACATCACTACACACCAAATGATTTGTGGTACGCAATTCCCCAGTCCACCAAAGACTTGTGGGAGAAACATGGCCTCCTGAAAAATGGCGGTTTCAAAACGATGGACAGAAAGTTTTCGTATCGAATGAAGATCCTCGGTGATGACGGGATGCTTGAGCTGTTTGAAGAGCTCGAGATCAACGGACCAAGACGCCAGAGCAAAAGAACCTACAGGAATTTGAAAACTGAGAGATATCATCGGCGCGCCAAGGACAGACTTAGATCCAAAATGAACAAACAGAAAGCTCAAATAGGTTCATCTCATTCAAAGAAGTGATGAGTCAAGGAGATTCGACAGAAAAAGTATGGAAGATGGTGTGCTAAGCTTCGATTGTTCTTTAGTATCTCAGCATGGCACGAGGGTCAGTGCAAGAAAATACCATCACTGGATCATTTCTGATGGCAAATACAGCTCCTCATAAGCTTAAATTGCTCACAGAAGCTCAGCTCATGCCTGTTAACAGAGAAAATAGAGTTAGTAAATACTGAGACTATTGTCTGGATAATTTTACGGCGCATCCGTGTGGCTTTTTGGAAGTTGCCGGCCTGTACTGCTTCACATCATCTGAGCGCATCAGTCTATCAGTATTAGGTGTCGTAATATCTATGCAATGATGCATCTGATGTTAAAAGTTTGTTGGTACGATTCCTCTGTCTTCCATGGGGACGTTGGTTCAAGGTTTTCCTTTGTGGTCTTGGCAAGGCTGGGTGCCCCTGATTGGAAAAATAGGGCCACACGACGACGAACATCGTTGAAATGTTTGGCTGAGACAGCAATGAGGCCTTGATCTTTCCTTTGGGGCTTTTAGTAGGCGAGAGAAACGTGAGATCTTCCTTGGATGGCTGTAGTCGTACCCTAGGGTGGGTAAATGAACGAGAATAAGGGAAGAGAAGGTTTGGTGACCTCGGCGTACAAAGTCTTGAGACTACAGCCAACTCATGGCTATATTACTGACTGATGCAGAGAGAGAGAGAGAGAGAGAGAGAGAGAGAGAGAGAGAGAGAGAGAGAGAGAGAGAGAGAGAGAGAGAGAGAGAGAGAGAGAGAGAGAGAGATGTAGGTTTTCGACAACCGCCAGGGGCAAGTTGGTTAGATGTGTGTTTCTTCCTCAACATTCTCTTTTCGTTTCCAGGGGCAAGGACTTTCGGGAGGTGGGCGAGGTGGAGGAATTGGTATACTCTCTTTTGAGCTTCAATAGCATTTAAAAAGACGGCTTCTAGTCAAGTCCACATAGTACTGATTGGAGCATTTGACTGAAGCGCAGAGGGTTTGTTTGATTGTAGTCCTAAACAGACCAAGGCACAAAAGAGATCTTCGGTGAATCATTCGCCCGGAAGCGAACAACTGTCCTTCTGGAGTAACGATGAAGAATAGCTCCAGTGAGGCATCTCTTTCACTTGGTGAGAACAATTTTTCTGCCCTTTCTATTGTGCTATGACTCAATTGCTTTGCCTCAGAAGCTCCAGGCATCACAATTCATCCATTAGCGACGCTTGGCATCCTGAATAGCCGGCATTGTTTCCTAGCCTGGGGGTAGGGGAGTCTGCTTTAATCCTATGTCGTGACTTCTCTGAGAATTCACGGAATTAGTAGGTGATAGTCAAGGCTCTCGTAGTGTATCAGCTTGTCCACGTCCGTGAATTATCGTGTCATGTAGACCTTCTGCCCTCCGACAAGTCACGTTGAATCAGCTTTCTGTCTAACTGTTGTCAACCTTTCCCCTATCTCAACCTTTTCTATCGATGAACCCTTGGGAACAACACATCAATCGTCTTCTATTTGACGTCTCATCTGGCTTCGTATTTGTCCCACGCTGTCTTTACAGACCCCAGTTCCAACCCTTAGATCGACAGGCTTGACTTTCTCGTCCTTCATCCATCTCCCTCGAACGGTCCCCAAACCCAACATCCTCTTCGATCAATTGGAAAGCAGTGGAAGTTCAGCAGGCCAACTCGACTAAGTAATATCACATTTTAACAATGGATCCCACATCGAATATCCCGGAAACTCGAAAGTCAGCTCCTGCCGCACCTCCAGAGACTGGCATGTACCCTTCCTTAGCTCGCTATAGGTCTGACGATGGTATAGATAAATCAAGATTCGCCAAAGGACCACCACCCATGTATAGGCCATTATTGCCACGGATTCCGTTCTCCCAACAACTTCAGGATGTAACAAACACGGGACTTCAGGGTGAGTGCGCTGGGAATTCTGATAAAACAAGGCTGACATATCCTAGAACCTGGAATGGCCACAAGAAAGCGAAAAGCAGAAGCTCCCCCCCAAAACGAACCACCTAGAAAGCGAGGCCGCCCTAGGAAGTCAGAGACGACGGCACAAACCTCGAACGTCATTACATCGATTGACCCCCAAGATGGATTGAGAATCCGACTCCCAGATCGGCTACTAGAGGCTAAAGCCAACGCTCCTGCCAACAAGACTCCAAAGCCAGCAGCTCTGATGGGTCCCACTGATGGTCAAGCAGCTGTCGTGCCGTCTCCCGATCTTGTTCTGTCCGGATCCAGGCACCGGGAGTTTATGGCTCTATGCGACGACGACATCAAGGCCCATCGAGTCATCCAACGGATCAAGAGCCTGGACAGCAAAATAAACGCTCTCAGGCAGTCGATTAGTCCTGAATTGGTGGGTGGCAATGATCCAGCTAGAAAGATCATCCTCCAGCCGTTGAGACCTCACTACTTCGTGGCAAAGCTCCGAAGCTACGAGCGCTCTGAGAGGGGGACTGAGTCCATATCGCACCAGACGGGGATCAAAAATGATGTTTTCATGGGCTTCAAGGGTTACAATTGGTGAAAGAAACAAGGTCAATAGCTCTTGAGGCTGGGTTTTCTTTTTCTCTGCTGAAACCCCGCCTCAATCAAAATGGTCAAATTTTCTAGGTGATTTCAATGATACGGGTTCTCAATTCTGAAGTAGCTTGAAAGCGATTTTCATCGCACTTGATACCTCTGCATACAGAATAGTTCTGGACAGCAATTCATTCAGATTTCATGGAGTACGTTCTCCTTTACGAGTTTGCGTAAATGATTGGTCCAAAGTACAGACTTTTGCCAGCTTTGTATTCCCTTTGTCATAAACAAAGCAACCCAGTAACAAACGAGTAACATCTCTGGTTGTTAAAGTACAAATGGCATGGTGGAGGAACAAAGGGAACATCAACGGTTTATATTTAATAAGGGAAAGTACCACAATATTCAGGGAACAGCGTTACCATATTGATTTCACTCGAACGGACAAAGATTTCGGCACTGCCTATGTCGACAGTGAGGCCAGGGGAACTGCCTGGTATATAGATCTATGTTATGGCTCTTTATTACCGTTTCTTTGTCGGTCGAGGCTGTAGTGACAGGCTTCCAGGCCTCCAAGGAGGAGCAGTTCTCGGTAAGGTATAAAACAACTAACGTTCTTTTGATCTATCCCACTCTGTCCTCCATATTCGAAGCTAAAATCCTCGATCCGAAGCCTCTCGCCTTTTCAAGAAGATTGACTCGATACTGCCATCAATTCCTAAGACTTCAACAGGGTTTGGAGCAAAAGCAAGGATCTAAACGCGTTTCCTATCCAGATCCCGGTCAATTGATCTTAACATCCGCAACCACCTTTGGCCACAAAGCGTCAAACCTTTCTACGACCACCATCTGAACGACTGTACCCTCTCTGTCCTCCTCGGTGCCACAGACTCCTTTCACTGGCATTATTTGCAAGCTTTCAAGGCAAGTGACCGCTAGATTCGAGGAATCAAGACGCTAACGACTCGTTTCTCAAAAGAAATGAACCCCTACAATATAAGAACGGGCTACGATCCCACGCTGCCTGTCTTTCAAGCGACCGCAACGAGCGAACATCCTACAGATGCAAACAACGCCATGAACAATGCTGGATACCCCTCAAACCCGAAGTTTCCCGAGCCTAGATCCATGGTTGACGACTTGGGATTTCGTACCTCTCGCCACTTGCCATCATTTCCAAACTGGGAGACTCCAATCGCCGACAATATCACCCTCGAAGACCTCTGCTACCACTACCCCAACCACTTGTTCGGAGCGAGGCTTGATCCCTTTATTAAGCACAAATGGACTGGTGGAGACATCTGGCGGCGAATGAGCCGTGAAGGCCAAGAGGAATGCAAGGAATACATCATGAGAGGAGCTGAAGAAGAGCGAAATCGAGCCAACTTTCTGGGCAAGAGACTGGAGCGACGTATAAAAGCCATGTCTGACGACGAGATCTATGCATTGATGACTTCCAGGGCTACGAGACGAAGCGCTACCAATTACGTGGGCAATTCCAAACTCCAGGTCAAACATCGAGGCCCAGACCCTCCTCTTCCTGTACAGAATCAAACCGTGGATCCCATGTTGACTATCCTGCCGGGATTTCGAGTGCCAGGTCAGCCTATGCCTGCTCCATTGGCCCCTCCGCAGCAGCAGCGACTCCAGCTTCCCATGGCGCCGACAGATGAACAAATCATGACTGCTTTCCGAGAGCAATTGGTCAAAATGAACTTCTTCTTCAGCGACCAATTCGCGGACTTTGTGGCCGGTATGAATAGCTCATGGAGCCGTCAACATGCATGGTGCCAATCAATCAAAGCCTCTTTGAACTGGGACACTTTACCAGCGAATGAAAAGGAGCATATTACGATGAATGGAGTGGGAGCCGTCGAAGAATTTGCTGGAAAATTGCATTTTGCTCGGGTGCAGGGAGAAGCGAATGCTTTTCGAGAGCTGACCATCAACAAGTTGCTTGAAGCTATGCTTATGTTTCTCAAAGATCAAGGACAAGATCTCTACTCTACACTCGAGAACAAGGTCCTGAGTTTTGAGCTTCAACTCGTTGCAATGAAGCACCTTTTGGCCGTCGAGAGCAATCGTTTAGAGGCATTGAGCCGTCTATTCTTAAGTGAGTCCAAAGATATGGTGTTGTCCGCCGAAATCCTTGCTAACAAGAGACTTCAAGATCCGATTTCGCCAATTCGCAGCCCCTTGCTCGCCCAGCGAGAAGCCCGTGAGCAATCAACCTTGTCTATCAGCGGCGATAATACAGGTGACGGCAATCCAGAAGCATTTGACGACCAGCAAGCTCGATGGGCAGGTCAAGTTCAAGACTATCGAGAAGCCCATCAGGCTATACAACAATAAGAAGCAGTGCCCGATGTGGATTGGGATCAATGGATTCATCCAGACGCATGGTATGAAGAAAATGCTGCCAACACTGTATTTCGCGACGATGAGTTCCTTATTGATGAGGAAATCGATTTTGGACCTATGAACCACGAACTCCCTCCAATCCCTGAAGAATACCAGTTTCCTCCAGTCCTTGCTGTCCCTGCAGCCCCTGCAGTCCCTGTAGTTGCTCAGAATGGTGGAGAAGCTTCTAACTTACCGACAGGAACGACTCCCGCTCCCATTCCCATGCTTGAGCGCAACGATTTCGACGACTATTTCGATTACCTTGAGAATATCGGCTTGATGCCGGCGAACAATGAGGGTTGAAACGTTGACTGCTGAGACTCTACGGTCAACTGTACACTAGAGGCTAGAAACGGAGTTGTACATGGGAAAGTTGGTGTCATTGAATGCAAACGACGACGAAATGATAGAATCCTGGAGACTCTTGACTAGCGAGAGATACCTCATGGATATTGGTCGACTTGGCCATGTTATTGGCAGGAGGAATTCTTCTTTGCAACACCAATACCATATGTAGTTAAGCCTCGACGTTTGTGGCACTTCTTGTTGTCTGCGATCCCATAACTAGAGCCAGCACCACCTCGCCGTACTTATCTCGGATCAGGATTTGACATACCCGTGGCGCTATGGTTGTATGGTCAATGGGACTCAAATGGTTGGTAAAGGATCAAATCAACGATGGGCTCCTAGGGAACGACTATATGACGTGGAAGTTTCTACAAGAGCAACCAGATCTAAGTATTCCACTGGTGAAAGAGATTAGACGACTCAGCGATTCGGAAGATCCTGTACAACTGACATTGAGCTTGCGGGCCCCAGATCTGCCGCTAGCTTTGATTTGGCCTAATCTATCCCTAGAACAGAAATCCGAGTATAGGGACCAATCGTTGGGCTTTTTTCAACAACTGAAACGTTTTACAGCACCTTATACCCAAAAGGTCAATGACGACCGACTTGACGATGGAGTGATTATCTGTACGTCTATCGCTCCACCTACCTGTAGCTGAAATAGCTGGTAAAGTGACTGAGTCTTGAGTTGCTTGTTCTATCTAAAAGAGGAGGAGGAGGAGGAGGACGAGTAGATGTAGTCATCCACCTCGTTGCACCTTCCTTGTTAGTCATAGTAGTCACGTGTTATAATTACAAGCAACAATATTGTTGGCATCCAGCAGCCCGTGTACAACTCCGCGCCACAGGACAGGATCATCATGCCAATCAGTCGTATCAATAATGAGCTGGGAGGACTCTCCATCGAGCCTTGTCTCTTGAACTCTGCCCTGAGTACAAATGACTGTAATTTTTTTCAGATATGGAGCATGACTCGGCGGCAGGAAACATTCTGAGCACGAAATGATAACAGCATAAATAGCCCACAGACCTGAGTAAAGGAGGTGCGCACTGGATCATTAGCCAGGAACCTGCACCGAGCTGGCCACCAAAAAATTGGCTTCAAGTATGTTTTGGGCGCAATGAGCTGTGCAATATTAATGACACGCCCAGCTGCGTTGTGCGGGAGCAGAATTGCGCCCGCCTATGACAGGTAGCCGTGACAACACATTAGGGGCTGAGCTTCAAATGAAAGTAACTCCCTGGATGATGATCACTAGACTCAGCAACTGGAGATCTAGGACTTAGCCTAGGTAACTTAAAAAAATACTGTATTTGAACCTACTGACTATGACGGAGTACTTCGAATTAGGCACCTCGCCGACCCCCGGGGCACCTTTGCGGCACAGGTTAGAATGAACGAACTAAGTGACTTAACCTAGTTAGGTGGCAGGAAATTCTATTGACTGGTCTTGACTCTTGACTCTTGAGTTTTGACACTAATCTCTCTTGGAAGGAAGAAGGTAGATGTCTCCTCTGAGAGAGGGTTTGAGGGAAAACGTTTGTTGGCGTTAGGGGAGTCTTGATAGGTGCAGTACCAAGCTAGACGGGTAAGCTAAGCCCCGAGCTAGACACTCCCCCTCTCGAAGCCCCCCTTAGGCCCGAGGGGCCGAGGGCTAGCCAGAACTCCAACGCACCTTTAATCCAACCAACCCGACCCCGCGGTCTCGCCGTATCGGTGGATGGGATGCGAGCTCCACAAAGGTTGGGGCACCCCACAGAACCCTGATGACCCAGAAGCCCTCGTGGCCCTTTTAATCCATCCCATCGACTCCCTGTTATGGTTTGTCTGCCACACTCTTGCTTACCTGATCCCGGTGAATGCTAAGGAGCTTATTGTGGTTATGGCCTCTAGTAAAATGACTGACTCTACCACCAAGTACCGCTATCAAACCACTCGGCGCCAAAACCGGAGCTGTGACTACTGTCGGCGCTACAAACGGGCTTGTGATGCTGCCCTCTCCCAGTGGACAGGCTGTTCAAATTGCTTGAGGCTGGGAAAGACGTGCACTGTTGGGGGTTTAGACCCGCTGAAGGCATTTACCAAGACACACACACCACTAAAAGACAAGGCTCCAGTACTAGAGACTACATCCAAGCCCGCAACAGGAACGCCTATTCCCAGAAGGCGCAGAAGGGACACTGATGCAGAAGCGGCGGGCCCCTGTCTTTATGGCTCGAACAACGAGAAGGTGTATCATGCGCCCCCTCTTG